TTTATTTCTGTATTTTGTCGTTGTTGTTGTGTGATTTTTTGGTTTGAACGGCAGCTGGGACATTGCAACATGACACCTCGACATGACAGCAAAATGAGCTTCTGTTGCCCGGCTCCTTTTCGAGATCTCGCTGCTGCTGGTGCTGCTGCTGCTGGAGCAGCAAAAGCAACCGGAATGAGTGACAACTGCAACGGCATGGCTTTCAAATATTTAACACCAACATCACCAGCAGCCACAGTGGCTGCCTCCAGCAGCAGCAGATTCGGACACTATGTTTCGACGCACAAAATGCATGTGAAATCGATGCCAAAACGAACTCTTTTCGCACTCACAGAAAGACATAAACATGGGCAGGGAGAGTGGACACTTGTCAATACAGTGGAGATCCCAAAAGAGCCACCATCCAGTTAAAAAGCTTGATTTTTGTTTTTTGAAAATGAAGCCAAGAATAGCCCCAATCCTCAATAGTTTGCCTAAAATGGGGTTAATGCTAACCATCTTTTTGAAATCTAAGTTTTATATTAAATTTATATTATATGTTTGTCCTGTAGAAACTCTGAATCCTTCCTTTATTAACGACATCTTACTGTATCCTGTGCATTTTGGCCAACCAAGAGGTGTCTTTCTTCGATTCAACCAATGCCATTTTCGCATTCATTTATTCGCATCTGTTGCCAATTTACAAAACTCAATTTCAGTTTTCCTGATTTTTGATTTGGTTTTTGCTGGTTTCTGGTGTTTTTTTGTCAAACGTTGAGCCGCCTTAATTGATTTTGGCGCTTTAACGAGGCCAACAAAATTATTTGACAGATCCGGCTGTGGGCCGAAACGAACTTGGCTATCGGAGTGTTAATTGAACGAAATTGTAACGAGATTGAAATTGTAATGCATGATTAAAGTAAATAGATCCAGTATTTAATTGAAGTGGAGTTTCCTCATTTGAATTCAGAGAAATAAGGTGGAAAAATAAAATGAGAATTTAGATAATTACTAAATAAACAAAAAAGAAAAGCACTACAACAATCAATCACTAAAACAACATAAAACATTAAAATTACAACAAAAAAAGCAAACAAGAAAAAACAAAAAAAAAAATTTAAAAAAACTTTAATTTTCGGATTTTTTGGGTCTGCTTAAGTGCAACCTATGAGAATCGAGGAGGAGGGCGCTTTTTTATAATTAATAATTTTAAAAAATTTTATTGAATATATACCAAATTGAAGCTTTTTCTGGAATGTTAGTATACGCAATCAAACCGTAAAATTGTACTCTTCATTACTGTTGGACTTATATGCGCCCTTAAAAGTAGGCAATGGAAATATAAGTGTTTACATTTTCAGATTTATAATTTGTAAACAAACATGTTTTTCTTTAGAAATTATCGATGAATCAAGTTAATTAAGGATATGTAAGGAAGGAATTAAGGATTTACTATGCATACATATGTATATCAATAATATCGGATGTAGTTAACCGGATGTAGTTCAGGAAAGTATCACCAAAAGTCCCAAGCTTATATCTGCATTATTATTAAAGTCAATAGAATTACTGACCATTCAGTTATATAACAGCTATAGAATATAGTCTATAGTTGACTTTGTAACTTTTCAAAAACCCCAAAATTATGGCTTTTCCCAATGAAAAGATATATACAAGTTGTTTTTTTTAATTTTTTTTTATTTCTTGTAATCATGCATTCTGTCATTTTGCATTTAATTTTTGTTCGCCTTTCAATTAGTTTTCAATAATATTCGTAATCGCTCATCACCGCTGATATTAATATTTATATTTTTATGTACACCATTGAAATTCGGGCATCTTTATGGAGCGGATCGGGCCGACTGCCCACATCCAGATTTATAATTACACATATTTGAATGAGTTTTCCAGCTTCATGCTTTCTAAATATGTAATTAATTTGTATTTTTTATAATTTTTTTTTGTTTTGTGTTTACTACTTGATAGCTTATGCAAGAAACAGTTAAAATCGCTTATGCCGTTTATTATTATACCATTTTTAATCATAAGTTTATTCAATTATCCATCAATCTCTAAGTTAGTAATTTTTTTTTTATTATTTCTTGTTTCCTTGTGCTTTGGTTTATTTTATACAGTGTAGCAAATAGTCTCAATTATATAGATTAAATATTTTTTATGTTAAATATACGCTTTAAAGTTTTTGTTTTCGTTTTTTTTTTCACTTAATTACCACAACAAGCGTTTTCAGTTTTCTTATTTGATTTACTAACAATACATATACAATATTTGATACGGGAATCGGGTAAAAAGATGTTTGGGTTCAAAATTATTGTAAAGTTTTCGAAAGAATTCCTTAAAACATTAAACGAACACACGGTACTTTTTAAAGAAATTTTTCAAGGGCTGGGAACTTTGAAATGAAAATATTTTAAAAATTAAATAGACGACCTTTTTTGAAGTTTACTTTTATACAGAGAGGCTACATGCAGATTAAGCTATTAATACTCGATTGGTAAATTTTACATATTTAGGAGATTATAGAGCATTACGGATAGAGCGTCAGGGATGTTGTGAGGGACTTGGGGAGTTAGGGTGTGGTGTTGTGTGTCCTCTAGATGTGTCTGCTGCATTCGCTGTAAACAATTTCACATTTAGTTATGGTTCATTTCAAATACGAATACGCAAAATGGCTGTATCGATTATATATGTATATATATATATTTATAATACATAAATATCCTTTGTAATATATATTGTATAGTTTCCCTTTGGTTTTCTTGCGTGTACACTTCATGCAAAAGAAGAAGTTAAAAACTGTTAAGTACATATAAAAAATATTCATATTCAGCCGAATACTCAATTCCTCACTTGCAGAAAGACATATATTTTTTGGAAAATTCTTAAAATCCTTTGAAAGGGAATCGGAATAAATGTAATTGGAATTGAGAACAAGACTGCTGGCTATAACTATTGTAGTTAATCGTAATTATGTACAGATATCGTAAATTACTAGACAAAAATGAGTTAAAAAACTCTTACAAAGTCAAAGCTATGATTTCATGGGTTTTGTTTATAATTTCTATTTCGATTTGAATACGACAATGGGGCGCATCTCCAAAAAATGAAATTTCGAAGGATCAAAAAACGTTTACTGAGACAGTCGATTTGAATCGTATGTATATGGTTACTTTATGTACACAGCTATACTTTCTATATATTATAGTATATATTCTGATGACTAATCTGCTATATGTTCACTGGTTAGATAGAGTTTCGTGTTCGTGTTACCCGTATTTGCTGTTGCAGAGATTTCAAATCATAAAAGTTGAATGCATCACAATTGGTTTAATATATGGATAATGGATGATGGTTTATGCAAAACGGAAGGATCGAAGAAGACTGAATGAATCTGTGGCCGCCGGTCATAAGATACTCCGAATACTACACATTCAAGGTACAAGATACAAGATACTGGCATGCAATCCCCTCCGACTCTGAGAAGGACATAAAGTATCTATGTAATTTGGGATGGGGATTCGGTCAAGTGCTGAAACTGAAAAAACATGAAAAACACAAAAACAAAAGGTGACGATATCTTTCAGTTTTGCTGAATGAATTTAGATTTAATCAGAGTTTCGATTGGTTTAAGTTTGCAATTTCTTTTCCATTTTATTATCGCTCTTGCTTACGCTCTTATCGCTCTACAATTTACAAACTACGAAATTATATCGCTACATAATTATTGTTTAAATGTTTTTTGTTATTTTCGTTTTGCTTTACTCGGTTTTGTTTTGGATTTAAAATATTATCATAGTTATCATTAGTTTATATTTTGTTTAGCATTATTTTGTTTATGCTCTTGCTCCGACCATTATCGCATAAGCATTTTACTGTTTGCAATTACGAATACAATTAAAATTATTACCTTGTATAAAAAATAATAATTATAATAGCATACAATAATAGTGATTTTGCGCAACTCTCAATCCGTTGCCTCTGCAGTTGCATTTTATAGTTAAAATAACTAAATGTAGTTTAATGTGTTTTTGTTTTTGTTTAAGTTACAGGATAAGTTAATTTAATTTACGTACATTGAAAAATGTGGTTTTTGTTACTTTCTTATTTTTTGTTGTTGTTTTTATCCTCGAGCTGCCCTTAATCGCCACGCCCTTAATTTGGGGATTGGATGGTGGTAGGGTGCTGGTAGGGTGGGGCGGTGGGTCATCTATCGAGCAGCCCGGCTAAAGCGCGTGGTTCTGAAACGGCGTGAGCCCGGGAGAAGGGCTCTCCTCCCCATCGTTACAACTATTCGTATCACTAATTATAGTTTCATTAATCATAATTCTTGTTTTTTACTTTGTGTGTGTGTGTGTGTGTTTTATGCAATTATTATCGAATATTTACAGTTTGCTATTTAACACTTGAGTTGATTCTGCTGTTGGTTTTGTTTCGGTTTCTGATTTTTTGTTGGACAAGAAGCGTAGTAGTAGTCGGGTAGTAGTAGGGTAGGACTATAAAGAGTTGCTCTCACAACCAGCGAATCGAATCTCTAGGCCGAGAGAAAGAGCCAAGTTTTAGGTATGCATTTTCATATACATTGTACATATATATATTATGGTTTTATTAATTTAATCTTATTATGGTTTAGGGTTAGGCGATCTTGAAAAATAAGACCTAAATCGTTATACACACATATGCTTCTATATATGGCTATAGAAAATCAAATAAAGCGAAATCTGTTAATGGTGACTTTTTTTTTTTATACAACATGTCGTCCTCCCCATCCTGCCACACTCTTTCGCTCTTGGCCCTCTCCTTTGCCGGCTAGAAGATCCTCCTGCTGCTCGGCTATTTCACAATTCCACATATATATATTTCTAGATTCACACCAAATAATGATTTAATGGTTGTGGGTTGCGGGTGGTGTTTAAGTAGTATGCGTGTGTGGTGGTGTAGCTACGAAATTTTGTAAAATCTAGTTTATGATTGGCATTAGCCCAGCTCGCTCTTGTTGACCAGGCAGAGGGCACAGCAACAGTTGCTCGGCTTCTGCAACAGCTGGCCCAAGTCCATTTGGGCCTCCGCCAGAGGCAGGGATATGGCCACCGCCTGGGGTTCCGTTGCCGTCGTCTTAGACGACGGCTTTGCCGGTTGCGGGTGTACTCGATGTTAGCTCTTCCCCTCCGCGTCTCATCTGTTGATGGTGGACGTCACTCCCGCTACCCCAGCTCCAGCTCCGGCCCCGGCTCCAGATCCTCCAGCAGCTACCGTAGCATTCACGCCGCTCGTGCTGCTCACAGTCCCTCCGGCTGCGCCTGCTCCGCTTCCATTGTTGTTGTTGTTGTTATTGCTGGTGGGCAGAACCACGCCGCCGTTATTCGCACTGGCTATCACCTGCTCAACGGTGAGCGCCTTGCCCACTTCCTTGGTGTTCAAGAGAGTGCCCTCGGAGCTCACATTATTGGCATTGGTGGCCACCAATTGCCGGATCGTCGTTGTGGCCGTGCCTACGGCTCCTCCGGTGCTGTTGACGGTGGTGCCGAGCGGCAGGGTCCTGGTTATAATCGCCGAGTTGTTGAGCCTTCCACGGAGCACCTGTTGCAGCCCGCCCGGACCCAGTTGCATCTGCACCTGGCCGCTGTTGTTCTTCTGCAAGGGCTTCACGTTCAGCAGGCTGGTGTACAGCACTCGCTTGTCACCCTGACCGGCCTGGGCATTGCCGCCGGTCGCCAGTGTCTTGAGCTTCTGGTGCTGGGCGTGCGTCTGCTGCTGCTGTTGGGACTTGTTCAGCACCACTGTGGTGGACGGCTCGCCGGTGCCAGTGCTGCTCACGAAGTTCAGCTTGATGTTCGAGTTGGGTAGCTCCTTGTAGTGCAGCTTCTGGGTGGCGGATGCCGCAGCCGCTTGAAGCTCGCCGGCCGTGGCTATGGTGAAGTTGCCAGTAGATCCTCCGCCGCTGCTGTTGCTGCTGGTCAGGAAGATCTTGTTCGACTGCTGGGGCGTCGCCTGCGTCGTGATGATGGCCGTGGTCGCCGGTTGCAGGCTGTAGTTGTGGTTGGCTGCAATGGCCGCCGCCGAGTTCGGCTTCAGTTGCTGCTGGGACTGACCAGACACCGTCTGTTGCTGCTGATGGAGATTGAGATCCGAGACCAGAACCGGGTACGGGCTCATCTTGACCATTTTCAGTTTCTGCATCTGTTGTTGTTGCTGCTGCTGCTGCTGCTGGAGGGTGTCCCCTGCCTCCAACTGATCCCCTGTTGTGGTGGCCACCAGTTCGTCCTCATGCTGAACCAACTGCTGGAGCTGTTGCTTGCTAAGCTGGATCTGTTGCTGCTGCTGCAGCTGCTGCTGCTGTCCGGCAATCACCTTTCGCTGCGAGAACTTTCGGTTTAGCAACAGTTTGTTGATGTCTGCAAGAGATTGTGGAGCAAAAAGAGGTTTTATTAGTTTATTATTTAATTCTGTGGGTTGGGGTTTAATGAAGAATAACCTCCAGATTAGATAAGCTAGGTAGAGGTATTATTCCCTCTGGAAACTCACCTGTATTCTCCGGCCCATTGACCTGCCTCTTCTGGGTGGCTCGACTGGTCCAGACTATCTTGCTTCCCACCGCTGCCGGGGAGGTGTCCACCGAGGTGGAGAGCACCGCTGTGGTAGCCACCGCCGTGTTGGTTCCGCTCACTTGACGCCACACAATCGGCTGTTGTTGCACCTGCAACTGCTGCTGCTGTTGCTGCTGCTGGACATTGTTGCGGGTGGGCGTGGTCACGATAAGTGGCGTGCTAGTGGTCACCTGCTGCACCTGTTGCAGCTGCTGCTGCTGTTGCATTCCAGCGATGCTGTGCACGGCCAGCTGCTGGCCACTGGCAGTGTTGATGATGTTGACACTGGAGCCGGAGTTTGTGCCACCGCCGCACGAGCCATCATCATTTTGCACCTTCACGTTGGACAGCGTGATGACTGTGTTGGGTCCAATCGATGCAGTGGTGGCTCCTCCGCCGGAGACTCCCGTTTTCTGGATGGCATAGGTCACCTTTTGGGCCGCCGCCGCAGCTGCGGCTGCTGCCGTGGCCGCAGTTACGATCTCGCCGCTGCTGGTGGTGTAGATCATGTGGTTGCCGGTGGCGCCAGCGCCGGTCGCTTGCAGGGGCGTCAGTGAGCGGGAGGGATCGCGCTGCATCTGGAAGAGCAGCTGCTGCTGCTGCTGAGGATTCTGGTTCTGATTGGAGGTCTGAGGGGTCGCCTGCCGCTGCTGGACGGTTACATTGCGGAGCTGGGCCTGCGCCAACTGATGCTGCAGTTGGGTCGGCAACGGGCTGCTTCCGGTATGGGGCGTGATGGTCACAATGTCGCCCACAGCTGCTCCGCCGCCGTACTCCGTCCGTGCAATGATCTGGGGCGTGGCGGTGGCGAACTGGTTGAGCAACTGCGTCACCTGCGGCTGCTGCTGAGGTTTCTGGGTGGTTATCTGGGCGGGTATGCTGATCAGCTGCGTCGTGGGCAGAGCTATCGATTGGGATTGCAGTTGCGTGGGTGCAGCTACCACAGGGACAATCTCCGCCTGGGGTTTGTCCACCGTCGGCTCCATCTTGACCGTAACTATGGTTGGTGCTGGTGCTGCTGCTGCTGCTACTGCTGGTGTCTCCTTTGTCGCCACGATCTCTGGCTGGCCTGCTTCCGCCGGAGGTTCCTCTTTGGGGGTAACCACCTCTGGCGGAGCCTGGCTGAAGAAGAGCTCCCGCTCCTTGACGGAATCCACGGTGGGACACACTGTGAACGCCGAACTACCCATCGTGCCATGCGCTAATCTCGTTTTGCGATTGCGACCAGCGCGCTTGGAAGAGTCCTGGCCACCCACCTTGGGCTTCTTCTCGTCGATGCAGTCCAGCAACTGGTCGGCCATCTCCACTTCGTCCACGGCCGCCTCGCCATCCAAAATGCCATTCCAGAAGTTGGTGGCCTGGTTGAGGGCCTTTGGATCGTCCATAGCGCATTCCTGCAGGATGTTGTCCAGCATGTCGTGGTTGTTATCCTCGTCCTCATCGTCGCCCAGCAGGTTGTTGATGTCGTTGAGGGAGTCGCCGCCGCTCAGGTTGAACTCCAAAGCGGATCCCGAACCGGACCCCGAGCAGTTGGGACTCTTGCTGCTGCCGCGGGCATAGTCCTGGGCTTGCACCGTTTGCAGCAACTGAGAATCGGGCTCGAGATCCGTGTACTTGAACAGCGCGCTCAGGAAGTACGAGTTGGAGTCGGTTTCATCCAAGCCAGGTTTTCCCAGGCGGTTCATCTCCACATTAATGGGCGTACTCTGGGTCCAATCCACTGCATGGGCGTCACAGGTCTTGCCGACATCGCAATCCTGACTGTCGGACAACTCATCCGTGGGCGTCTTTGGCCGGAAGTGAATCCAATCCCGTCGGATCTCGGAGAGCAGTTCGTTGCATATATCCAAGCGCTGGCTGGAGGTGGGCGAGAGGCCGCCCAGGTAATCCACATCCAGATCATCGTCGACGGGAGCCTGAATGTACAGGTCCTTGGGTCTCGCATGCACCTGGGTATTGCGCAGATTTCGCAGCCGAATCACATCCGGCACCTGATTCAAGCAGGCGGCCGAGTCCTCCTCCTCCATCCGCCGCCTGTATTCCTGCTCGACCTGCTGCTGGTGCTGTTGGGCCTCCAGCTCTTTCTTGACGGCCGTGTGCCGAATAATGCTGCTTAGCTGAGCGAGATTGACGTCATCCTCGGCCTCGTCGTCCATCAGCTCGGGATCGGGATCGGGAACGGGGGTATGCGTGGCGGACTGCAGGACAGCGGCGGTGCGAATGCTGCTCAGTGGCTCGTTGGAATCGTCGGCGTCGATTAGCTCGCGCTTTATATTCTTGGCCAGCTCCTCCAGCGAGGGTCCTGGTATCGCGGTCGCTGCCTCTGCGGCGGCGGCTGCTTCGGCGGCTCGAGCTGCGGCCGCTGCCGCCGAGGTGGAGGGCTCTTCACCGTCGCCCTCTCCGACACCTGCTTCATCTGCCTCCTGCTTTATCACATTGATTTTTTCGCTAATGCTAACATCCTTATTCATAACACTACTACTAATATTACTATTGTTGTTGTTCAACACGGTGTTAATGTTGTTGTTGTTGTTGTTGGAACGGTGGTGCTGCTGATGATTGGCTCGCGGCGGCTGCAACTGCTCCTCCTCATCCTTGTTCTCCTCCTCCTGCTGCTGCTGCTGCTCCTCCGGTGCCAGATTCTCGCAAACTGACTTATCCTTTTCCTCCTCCTTCTTGAGTTTCTCACCCAGAACCTTGGCCAGTCGCTGGAGGTAAGCCCTGGGCAGGGGAACCAGTTCTGGCTTCATCTCCTGCTCCGACTGCTGATCGTCTCCCACACCGACCACCGATTCTGAGGATCTCTTTAGCCGCTTGGCTGCATTCGATTCCCTTAGCTGTTGCTTCATTCTTCGCAACCGCCGGCGTTTCTGGCGAAGATCGAGGCAATTCTGTGGCAACGTAACCGCGGAACTATACATTCCTATTCGCGACACATTCTCGTCGTCCGTGCCGATGTCCTCGTCTTCGCCCTCCAAGTCCAAGCCTTCATCCAGTTCCAGTTCCTTTGCCTCCCGGCCAGGGTCTGCCTCCGCTGCTGGTTTCTCCGCGTCGTTGGCCGGTTCCACCTTGACCAGTTCCGAAGCAGGGGTCTCACCATCAAGAGGCTTGCCGGCGGGCACCAAATCCACCACTGTGGGCGGTGAACTGGGCTTCGACAGCTGGGCCGAGTGCTCGTGCATCATTTTGTCGCCCCGCTTCCGATCGACCACCACACTCTCCATCACGGTGTAGTCCAACTGCGACCAGAAGTCGTCGAAATTCGTTGTAGCCCGATCCAAAATGATTCGGCCACCGCGACCCATTCGGCGACGCGCGAATCCGATGCATCGTGGCCTGCAAGATTATCCCCATTTGGGTTTCAGTACGGGATTGGATGGGACAACCAACTAAGACAACAAACCTTGGATTGTTAATGGAGGTTAGCGTGTAACGGTATTTGGTATCCGGGCAGGCTCCACTGGGCATCTCCTCATCGGGTGATTCCCACGGCCAGCGGACATCTCCGTGACGTGTCTGGAAAAAACCACCAAAAAATATCAGTTAAGTTTGCCGAGGAGAAGCTGGGGAGGATTTCAATTACCGGCAGGTATATACAGCTCGACTTGCGCCTAAATGCAAACGGCGCCTCGTCCTCGCTCTCGGAGCCCAGCTTGTTGCCATTCTGGGCACCGCCGGCGCCAAAGTAATCATCCTCCTCGCTGTCCGCGATCGAGTCGTTGGCAGCCGGCGAAGCGCTCTGCTGTCTGCTGAGGTGGTGCAAGTGGTGGGGCAGGTGGTGGGCGGGTGACGCTCCGGCGACTCCCGACGCTGGCAAATACTGTTGCTGTAGCGGCTGCTGCTGGTGTGCTTGATGCTGCGTCTGCGGCTGCTGCTGGTGCTGCTGCTTGTCGCGTGGCAGTTTGTGCTTGCGCTTCTTGTACGGTCGCTTCTCCTTGCGACTGCTTCCATTGCCACTGCCACTGTTGATGGCATCTGTGGATGACATTTAAAGATTAGAATAATAGAACTTGAGAGACTCGAGGCTACCCTTACCCATTGTCAGATTCGACGTGTTCAGGTACTGCGACGCTGAGCCGTAGACATTGGCATTACCCGCCGCTCCAACACCGCTCGGCAGCAGACCCGTGGGCAGGGCGGCCAGAATGGCACCAGCCGTTCCCACCGCCGCTGTCCCTTGTGAGTATTGATTCGTATACAATGGATTATACGCGGGTCTGTAAATAACAACATATTAGAAAGGATTCTCTGGATAGAAAGTCAATAGGAACGCACCTTGTGGTCTTGTACTGAGCATTCAGCTCCGAGTAGACAGCACCGTTGAAGTCACGCATCTCGACGCGCTTCTCAAAGATGTTCACCGTCATCCGAAGATGATCTCGCTTCGTCTCCTCGCGCCGTCGAACCATCTCCAGTATAGCTGTGGCGCGTCGTAGGTCCCGTCTAGAGTGGATTATAAAATATATGTTTAGAGATCAGGAAGGCGGGAAAATCAATCTCAATTCTTACCGCAGCTTGAGCATCTTCTCGTAGGAGGCCTCGTCGTTCTTGCGATTCTTGCGGGTTTGCATTTTCTCAGTACGCCGTCGAAAGGCCAGATACGGATTATTGGAGCTGGCGCCGGGACGGCTCTCTGTCTTCACCGTAAGAATGAGCGGGTGTTGCTGCGAAAATTAAGAAACAGGGCTATAGAGATCAGGCCATAGGGATATCTGCCAAGCATTTACCATCTTGAGGCGCTTGTTGAGCCAGTAATCGTAGACGGATATACTGGTCTCGTCATCCTGGTTAAGCAGCGATTTGGCCTCGTTTAGCGTTACCACCGTCTGACCGGAGCTCTTCTCTAGCCGATCCATCATCTGCTCAAACTTCATTTCAGTGAGCTCCAGACGCTGCTGCTGGCCAAGCCACTCCTCGTCGGCACTGTCCATGTCGTAATCGGGTACCTCAGTGTCCAGACCAAGAGCTAAAGGATAATAGAAGACTTGTATCCGAGAATAAACCTAATCTCGTGTCATATCTTACGTTGCATGTGGATCATTTGGCGGGGCATCTTATAATCTGGCGGATAGTAGGCATCGTAGAAGGGCTGATCCGTCTGCAATACCTCCGGTGTGGGGATAATCAGACCCGTGCATATGGCCCGTTGCAGATGGTGCTCCTGTAGAATCACAACCAAAATTAGAGACCATCCTAGATGATATTGGATGTGAGATGACTTACCGACTCCTCCTCCTTCTCCATGCCACTGGGCATCTGCGGTACCGCCCTGTTGATGGCTGAGTACTCGGGCAGATCGGGCAGTTCCTCCGCCAAGTAGATGGGCATCTGCTTGGACGGATCCAGGTGGCGGGCTCTGAACGACAGCTTCGACATCTTGCTGACTTTTGTTTTCTGACTGGGAGGTGGTGGTGGTGGAACGTTTCTATTTTCTGTTGTGAGGATGGTGCTGTTTGTTTTTGTTGTTGTTGTTGGTATTTTTTTTAAGTGGAATTGGCTGCTTAGGTGGCTATGGATGATAGTGATCCTGCGGCTAACCAACTGTGAAGCCGCGGACTTGTGCTGCAACTCCTGTAGCTGTAGCTGTAGCTGTGGCCCCTGCTTCTGGTGATCCTACTAGGGATACTCCGAACTGTTGGCTTCGTTGTGGCTCTTCTACTCGCTATGGGGGGAGATGTTAACTCCACTATGTTGTGCTCCTCCTGCGCCGATGAGCTGGCACCGGGGCTGCGGTGGCTGTGGCTGCTCTGCCAGCTGGTTAACGCAGCCCCTGTGCCCGTTCCCCTGGCTGACGTAGTGCCTCCTCTGCTGATGCCTCTGTTTGTTGTTTGTTGATTTTGATCGGCGGATTGCCGTTTGTGGGTGGCAACTTTGGTGGCTATATAGAGCGTATCCTCCTGACAGGCCCCCTGCCGCAGTCGCTGCAGCTCCTCCTTCGCCTTCTCCTCCTCGGCCGGCGCCGCCGCCTCAGTGGGCCGCTCCCTTAGCGGCTGCCTTGCTCTCGCCCGCTTCTTTTCGGCCTCCTGCTGTCGTCCTTGCTCCTTGTCGTGGATTTCCGCTGACAGCGCCGACAGCAGCCAGATGGCCAAGGTGATGAATGTATTGCAATTACGACGACAACGCAATGGTAGCAACAACAATAGTGACAACGAATGCAGCAGTTGTGTCGACGACATTTTTCACGTTGAAATCGAAGGATCTATGTGAATTGGCATAATTACGTTCATCAAATTTGCACATTTCAGTTCATCGTCGGTTTTTGTTTTTTTTGGAAATCGAAATTGTTTTTTTATTTTGTTGCTTCTGCTTCTTCCGCTGCTTCGTATCCTCTTTCAAATATTATTATTATTGCTGTTTACTTCTTGACTTATTTTTTTTTTCTTCGTAGTTACCGTTATCGTTGACTGATAAAAATCTACAAACAGGGGGACAACAACAAAAAGTAGTAAGTAAACAACTCACACATACAGACACACACACACACACACACACACACATTTATAGACGAAATTAATAATAGGAGGAAGAGCGCGCGCGGGAAAAATATTACAAATCTGGATGTACACACATACACGCAGGTAGATGGTAGGTATACGGTTTCAAAATTAATAAAAACACGCACAACAACATGATGGCTTGTGAATCACTAGTATTGTCCGACTCATAGTCTCCTGATCGTTTATTTTGGCGTTTAATAAAAACTGTGCGAAAAATGCCAAATCATAGAAAGCCGCTCGCCGAAAAAAAGGCGGCATAAACAAACACACGCGCGGCGACAGAATCAAACAAACGCGGCGAATTGCACGAAGTGAAAAAACACGAAGCGCAAAACACGACGAAAAAGTGGAGAAAAAAGACCCAGCAAACTCCGCCTCATGTGAGTTTTGTTTTTTGCATTTTTTCGCCAAAATATTTATCCGCCAACACTTGCGTGTATTTTTCTAGAGTGGGGCTAATTTTTCACACACTTTACCGCACTTTTCATGCACCAGCGAGCGCAATTTTGTTGATAAATGGCTCGAAAAATTTACACAAATTTCCCGATTTTGCGTATAGCGTGGTTCTGCTGGAAAGCAATAATGGCGGCCAGAGAGCCGAACACCGACGACGCTGAAGACAACGAGGCCGCGATTATTTCGCGCCGCCGGCTGGACCGCCGATTAGCGGCGAGTCTTAAGCGTGTCAAAAAATGCATTCTTCGCTGGTGAAAATGACTCAAAATAGTTGCAAAAAATTCAATTAATTTTATTTTGTATTTTTCAAGTCTAAACGCGGCCTGCTTGTGACAGAAAATATTTATTTTGCAGCGTAATTGTTATCGATACATCGCCGTTCACATCGAACGTATGCACGGCCTCACACTTCGAAGTCACTCCGAAAGTGTGACTGGCGCCCTCTAGCTAAAGAGCCAGCAAATTTTTTTTCACAAACAAAAAAATCGATTTAATTTTTTCACGCACATTTTTCACACTGATTTTGGCCTAATATCACGTTGTAAATGGGCCGAAACATGTATTTTGTGGTGTATTTACCACTGCCGCACGATTCCAGCTAGATTTAATCAGCTACGATAGCGCAAACGGGCGAAATTGTTTTTCAGCAGCTGGACACGTTTTTACTTAATGGGCGGCCATCACGAATGAGATTTTCGGAGTGGTCGGAGTAGGGCAATCGTCGCAATTCTGACGAAATTATTCTGGCTACCTCTCAGGGCGAAAAAATTGATGAAATCGAACGCTATTTTCGCCGGAACCTGTGAATTTTTGAGGGGGCTCGCATACATGCATTGGGAAGGCTGCATCCAGCTTATGTTTAATTTTCTGCTGTTATTAATTTCCTGCTGATTGCTGGGTAGGGCTACCACTTTAGCCATTTTATGGCCACTTCTACCACTTCTTATCACATCTCTAGGTTTTAAGTACCGCCATCTATCGGTGTTTTCAACAGTCATTTTTATCAAATTATTATCATTTTATCAAAATTAAAATATTTAAAAACCTTGAAAATAAAAGAATATGCCTGTATTATTGTTATCTTCTTGCTCCGGCTTATGCAAAAATATTCGCAGTGCGCTGTCCCTACTTCAAACGTCTTGAAACCAGAGTTGCCACACCGTGTAAAGTTTGTAAAAATTTCGCTGGCGCCATATTTAAAATTAAATTTAAATTAAACTTCAATATTCGTTTAAATGCTTTTCTTTATTATAATCTCGTACAAGGCTTGTTCGCATTTCGCTCTGCTTGATTTGCTTAACGTTGTTTATTTGCTAGTTACAATGTTTTCATAGTTTTTAAAGGTGCTCGTTGACTTGCCTTCATTGGAATACAATTGAAATATTGTCGATAATTTGGTAATTTGAATTTTTAACAATTTCTGGGAGTATGCTGGTTGGATAAAGCGTTTGATTATGAAATTTGTAATATAGTTGTTTTGTTTTTTTGTCCAGCAAAGCGAGTTTGGAAGCACCGGCTGACAAAAAAAGGAAGCTTTCAAGCAGAAGAAGCCTTTTTTGGGTTTTCCCACGCCGATCCTCCAACGGTATTCTCAGCTGCAGCTCCATTTCATGGGGTTTCGCATTTTTTTCTTGGGAGGATTGCCGCAAGGACGTTCACAATTACAGGTGGGACGGCGACCGCCTGTGGCCAAAAGCGAATTTTCGCGGGAAACAGGCGGTGCTCTTGGTTTTTCTTTTTTTTTCACCCTCGAAGTTTCAGATGCTCGGCAATGACGCGCGCCTGCCGTCCACAATTGCCACGCCCCCCGGCTAGGGGTCTGGCTTAAAGTTAATAATATATATTGCAATTGTGGAACGGCTGTCGCGGCATAACGACCTCTGATAAATGGCTGCGATGGCGTACATGATGAAAAATCTAAGTCAGACAGTGGTGTCGTATGTGAAAAAGCACCTTTTTCGTTTTGTGGAGGGAGGTTTGAGGCGGTTGGGAAGTGGGCGGTGAATGGGGAGCACTGCAGTGCTCATTATAATGAAAATAAATGAAATATCTTACAATAAAGTTTAAATTATTATGTAAACAAAAAATGGCTTAGTGCTTTAAATTATTTCTGTCTTTTTTAAATCAAAAAGACAGTTTTTCGCTTTAAAAAAAAACTATGTTAATTTATCAACTTTGTTGCCCGTTAGGTGGAGCCACAATACATGTACTGTAAAAATTTAACAGAAGGAAAAGATCTGTTAAATTGAAAATAACATAGTTTTGAGCGGGAAAATTTGAATTTTGAATATTTCAGGGACCGTCAATAATGTTTAGCGAGAAATGTTAATAAATAAATGAAGTACAATTTTTGTAGTTGGCCATAATAAGAAAAATTCAGAATTATCTAAATGAATAAATAAAAAATAATAATTTGAAAGCGATTACTGATTTTTCTAGAGAGTTGGTCTTGTGTTATCTTCTGATCTTTTTTGTTTGGTTTCATCGTGTCTGTCTGATTCTTTTCGTATTTGCAATATTCAACAACCAATACCAATATTTCGATTAATTAGCACTTTGGCTATATTGGTAAAGTCTTTGATATTAATTTAGTGCTTTTTGTATTGTGAGGAATCTATGGATATGGAGCTTAGGCCCTACTTTTCAATGGGCTCTTCAAAAACGAGTTCAATTAGAGTTTCATAGTTTTTTATAGTTTTTGGAAAAACACGCGCCTACAAGTAGTAAAAATTCACCATAGGTTATATAATATTCATGAGTGGTACGATTGTTACTAGGTGCTTCGCTAAATTCAGTAACTATTTCAGTATATATTTCGCTAACATTTAGTGTATTTCGTGTCTTTGTTATTTGTGATTTTCCCTCATAAATATGCTACAGATGGTGTCTCTAGTGAAGGAGTTCTATGTGGTTTCAGTTTTTGTTAATTTTCTTTTTGTTTTGATTGAAAGTTTAGTAAAAATATTGGAAAAATCAGAGTTGTTAGATAGAATGATAGATTGTTAAACAGATCAGATAGAAAGAAAGACAGAGAGAGAAAGAGAAATATATAGAGAAAATGTTGGCGCTAGATAGGTGGTTGGATCTACAAAAAGTACTAAATTAAAATAATAGTATTCTTTTGCACTAAAAATCTGTGTGTGTTTTCAACTTGGTTGCCTGTATTGTTTCGTATTATTTTGTATTGTTAATAAACTTTGAAACGCATCAACCGTCAATCAATCAATCAAATACTGGTTATAAGAATATTGTCAACATTCACAAACCAAAATCGGTTAGATATATATTTGTGGTTAAGTATATAAGTTTATCTGTTTATTGAACAAACCAACATACCAGGAAAGCAACAAACTAAACAAATCAAACACAAAAACGAATGGTGTTAACATTGCAAAGGGATTTTCGCTAAGTGTACGGGAGTGGGCAAGTGGGGCCGGGAGGGGCCGGGAGGGAGCAGGACTTAGAGATACTTTTGGGAGTGTGTGAGTGAGGTGAATACCACCGAGATAGGCCGGCTAAAATCCGATACCCCATCCATTCTACGAGCGAGGCAAGAGAGCGAACTAAGGAAACGGTGCGCAACTGTACTTGACTTTTGAATTTTTTTTTTTTGGTAGTAATAGTTTTTTTAAACTTTTTTCATCAGCTAGTGACTTACCTGGGCCCAAAAGCAACGGAACTAGGTCACATGCTCCCCGGCTGGACGGAAATGGATACTCTATTTTTTTTTTAATGTATTTTCGTAAAGCAGTTTTCAAACTAAAGCCAAGTCTAGGGGGTAAATATTTTACAAATGCGTGGGCAAAGGTGCACGAATGTTGGAAAGTTGATTAAAAGTGAATAGTAGCAAGTAGATAAAGCAAATTGAAGCTAAAAATGTTGTTTAAAAAACGGCAAAGGTTGATAGTAAATTTTGCTAAAGATATACAATATGGTATATGGTAAAAAATGGTTGTTTTTTTTTTATTAGCCAATCTTTTTTTTTTTTTTTAATTTTACAAATGAAAAGTTTTATGCTTAAAATACAAAACTTCAAGTCGAATACTCTAGTCGAGATGATAATCATAACCATTATTAATTAATGTTTAATATTGATTCAAATTCGAATTCAAAAATGTAAATCATAATCTATGTAAGCTATAAGTTCCGATTCGATTCGATTCGTTTTAAAACTATCACTAGCATGAATGAGAATTGAGTCAATTTCAATTTCATAATGGGGGGATTTAGTGGACCATGGGGTGCGGATTGGGAATCAGGATGAGGATCGGGGGATCTCTTCTACTTACAAGCTAGTTATCACTTGTTGAACATAAACCAAAGGGACCAGGGTGATCGGTACTTTATACAGTTTGGTGCTGGTGGCGGCGGTTTCTATGAGGCTAACTACACTAAGATCGATCGGTCTCATTGTTGCTTCGATTACGTGATATGATGTGGGATCTACGTTTAATTCTTGATGTTATTTCTTTTTTTTTTTTGTTTTTGCTTTCTAGGTCCAAGCAAGAACCGAGTGTTTGCAATGCTTAATGACTAAAATCTAGGATACATACTTGTATTATAAACAACAAAGTAAAACAACGTTCTAGGGCGTTTATGAAGTTCGCTTCCGACTTTGGAATAAACAAGATGAGCAAATGTTTCACTTGGTTACTGCAAATACTTTTGGATGATATTGAAAACTAGTCTGGCGATATTTACAGAGTGTCGAGTTATTCCAAGTTTACATATGATTTAAATAGGGATTTTCTTGTTATATGTATGTATGTCTAAAAACTTATTAAAGTGTGAATCGATTACTGGCTTCGATTATTATTTTTTTTTTTGGTATATCCCTCTGGTCAAGAGGGTGGCTTTTACAAATGTAAGTAACAACAAAATCAAAATTTAATAATCACTACGAGTCCTACTTAAGCGCTACATGCTTCAGCTTTAGCATCAACAACATGCAATTCAAATACCGAGTACGAGTACGAGTACGATTACGAGTACGATTCGGTTCAATTCGATTCGATTCGATTCTCAAGAAGACTGTGCATCCAAAGCTGGGCTTTACGTGTATTTATGTATCATTTAAGTGTGTAGATTTTGTGTGTGTGTAAGAAAGGAGAAAGCCTTCGGTCTGGGGAAGCTTTGGTATGCATTCACATTCCTTGGATCGGGATCTATTCGAGCTCTCGATTCGGGTGTGCTGATCAAACTACCTTAGGTTCTTTGAAAAAAAACTGTGCTTCAAACTCAAATCAATCGCAACGGTAACCGTAATGAAATCAAATAAAGCTACAAATCATACGCTTAGATAGAGATAGAGTTAGAGTTAGAAGGATAAGGAGAGAGAGATAGTGAGTTGTGTGTTGGATACTCTTGGTGTTGTGTGTGTTTTGAGTTCTGAATTGAGTACTGAGTGTGTATGTTTGTGGGTCTCTAAGGATGGTGAGCCTAACACTTTCTATCTGCTGAGCAGTTGACCCATTAGCCATGACATTGCCACTGCGATGGTTATGAGATGTAGCTGGCAACCGTTAGTGTGTAAATCTTTACTAGAATTGCACATATCTTCCTCACAAAAGCACATATGTCCATTGCCTGAACTTTCCATCATGCAAACGTGATCGACCATAAACAAATTTATCTGTAACTGTGACGTACACATGCGTCGCACCACCTCGTACGCTGCAAGAAAAGAGAAAGAGAGACAGAGAAGAGAAAGAGGGACAGGGACATACACAGATGATCGTGTCGATAAATCAGTCCAAGAGTTAATCGATTCGCAAATGGAGGGTACAGTTGCGTCAAGTTTGTCAACTACTCACGTGATCTCTGATGCCGCACCATTTTAACGCAGCAACCGTTGCAAGTCATCAAGGGAGGCTGATCCCTGGGCAGAGCCGTATAGTTGAAAGGGTCCTTAAAAATATATATTTTATTTTATTGTTTATAAGATGGGTTTTAAGTAATAAATCAAACCTTGCAACGAGCATCAGTCCAGGAATCACATTCATAGCAGTATATCGAACGCGCTATATGAAGGAATACGTCATTAATGTCTAAATCTCTATAACCATTTTAATTTCTTTTTTCTTCTAGTTTGAGGTTAGTTTATTTTAGGTACAGTAACGTCAAAAGTCGTGCAACACACTAATGCATGCCATTTGCCAATAAACAAAACAGCAAGCAAATTTCAAACTATGTGGTTTTGAATATTTTTTTAAGGATAAGTGTTTCTAGACTTGCAATAAATCAAAGAACTATATTTTATAGAGGCATAGGGGTTCTGTTTTGGAATAAATGTGTATTTATAAAGCATGCACTCACACTCACAGTCAAATACACCACTCACAGATACACAGAAATATAAAATTGATAGAGACTATCTATCTGGGTACAGTTTTCTTTCAGAAATTTAATATATTTCTTACAAAGGATCTTATTTTTTTCACAAATTAAAGCTCAACTGTACCACAGATGTCACTACTCTGGACACAATGGACTTCAGTAGGATAGTTTAAATAAAATTAATGGAGACGTCTAAAAAAGCCTTGATTTATTGCGATATGAACTAGAAAAAATAGTGCAACTGAAGGAAAAAGTGAAGTGAGGTAAGAGATAATCAGGATAACCCCATAATTGATTGGGGCATTTGGTGGCAAAGCATTAGGAATGAGCGGGAGGACTCCGATTGGTCCTTGGATACGAAAAAATGATAATTTCTTAAGTAACACTGATAATCCAAAAATATTCCATATTCATGGAGAACCCGAAATTAACCGATTCGGGTATTATTAGAAATAGTTTATACATATACTTATGCATGACTCGTATTATTATAATTCTTTTATTTTTTTTTTGGCAAAATGGTAATTGATAGGTTTTAAGCAAATCGTTTCTGGGTTGGAAATGGTAATGGACTCATACTTTGACATTCGGCTGAGGCCTGCGGAATCCATATGAAAGTTAGAAATCCGAATATGGCTGCAAATAAACAATGGAAGAGAAGAGAGCAAAGTAGAAGTGGGCAGTAGAAGGAGCACAAACCAAAGATGCAAAATGGGATAGCCTCATAATATCCTACTGCCAGGTAAAGTTTTGATCCTTCATTTCTAAGCGATCACAACTGTACCCGGCAATCGGTTATGGTCTTTTTTTGATTGGATTCAGGTGGGGGGGAGGAGTAAAATAGAGTTGGTAGGTGAAATATGTCAACACTCTACAAACTTGGGGGGGTATTACATAAACACTCTCGATATCTGTGCACACAGTGTGGTCCAGGACCAATGCCAGAAGGCACATAGGAAAGACAATTTACAAATTACGTTTACATTTTTGGTGTGAACTTCACTGCAACTCAAGACGCATACGTGTTGTTGTTGTTTGTTGTTGTTGTTATTGGATGTGACCAGGAATATGCAATATATATATGTATATATGGGTATATAGAATGTATATAGAGTACAGACAGCTGCTTATAGTCGATATATGTATGTACGTAAAACGGCATTTACAATCAACGGCACGTACGATTCGAAAAACTAATATCGAAAAAACAAACGTAACTCAAATCGGAACGCAACAATTTCTTTTGACGTATTTTTTGTACAAGGGATTATTTTTATTTTATTAGATTAGTAAAAGAACTGAATGGTAATTTTGTTCAAATCGAAGGGGGGTGGGGGAAATCATACGAAAAATGAAACTTACTTGGAAAACAATTATCGGTGATAGCGAATTTTGCCAATGCCAAAAAAACTATTATTTTTAGTTTACCGATGAAAAATGAAAAAAATAAAACAAATTTCAAAAAAGTTTTCAATCAAATTTGAATTGAATTGTGAACGGCTTAGCAGCTATTAAATCAAATGAAAATCAATCATCTCTCTGGTACCCTATCTAAACAATTTCAAAAAAATTATCAATCGGTTCACACTCGGTTCAAAATTTCTATACGAGGTGTTTATTTAAAGGTGTTTGGCAATGGAAACTCCCACTTACTTTTAATATTATTCAGTGTTAAAATAAGTTGATTAAAACTTATTCAAATAGATGAACCTATGAATTAAATTGAAATCTTTTTTGAAAGCGTTTTTATGGCTGCTTCAAGTCTAATCGAGATAATTACGTTTTTTTATACTATATTTCCCATATAAATTCTTTGATCTGTGTGTGATAATAATACAATTTAATGATCTATAAAGAAACAGTTCTTCGCGGTTGTGGGGCTCTGATGTTGACCTTTGCTCATCTATTTATGAATTTTACGATCGGAGTGACGAGTTCGATGGGTTTCTGACTGGGTGAGTGAAGGGATTACCTGTGGTGACCAACAGCCAGTGGTTGACTGCAATTCGGGGGATCCACATTTTGGGGGTTTTCCGGCTCCTCCCACCTGCAAGGATAATTCCGTGGTTAGCTGACAGTGTCTTATAGGTTTTTAAAGCTACCTGTAGTGGGTTTTTTAAAGTTGATTTTGATTTATGCTGCTTGCAATCTTAGGTCCTGCTTTTGATCCACTGCATGGTGCTCTCGTTTCTAGAAATTTGTTTATGAATATCAGCCTTTATATTTTCATCCACAAAGTTTGGTCTATAAATCATTACAGCTTGAAATAAATCTCATCATCGTTTGGTTCTTTAGCCGGCTAATCTTTTCTACTTTAAATTCCCCCAATTTGTGTAATTTCTATATTTAGTTTTCCGCCCAGAAATTAACACTTTACTCCGAAGCAGTCATCCACCCATCTCCTAGGGGTCTTTAATATTCCCACTTGTGCGAGGGCTGGCACACGAGTTTGGCTAAAATGATTTGTGGTGGCCGAACTTATGGAGACACTTTAAGCTGCCATGGAACAGCCTCAAATGTGTACGTCAATATGACAATATAAATATATGGCACTTATATATAGATTGTATAGATGGAAGTGGATCAAAAACATCGCTCTATAAATAGAGCGGCACAACCTCTAATAAGTGTTCTAGGTCAATCTGAGTATGTGGTGTGTGTCGAGTGTGTGCCGCAGTGGATGGGGCCGTGTTTTTTGGGTGGAATGGCTTCCATGGAAGTCACACCAAGTCATGGCTGTTGCTGATGTCAATGGTGTTGGGGGCCTCATCTTTTTGGTTTTAGCCAATGTAATTGACCGACGAACTGTTCGAATGCTGGTCATTGATTTCAATATTTTACAATTGAAAAGTCTGCATTTAACACATCTTGTTTGCTTTCGTAGAATTTATTGTGGCATTTTTTGCATTGAACTTTGGCAAAGTGTCAAAAGAAATGCGAAGGCGGGATACCCGAAAAAACAAGAGGAACCAAGGGGGGTGCCAGACAAAACTATTTATATTTATATGTGTGCCACTGCTAAGAATATTGTCTAAGCGATTTCAAATACTAGGTGGCATGATTGACTAAAGTTTACTCTTTTATTATAAAGATACTCGAAATTAAAACAATACATTTTTTACGTTTCTTTATAATTATGTTTTAGAAAAGTAATACCGAAAATTATAGTATGTGATTTAGCTTCTGATTTTTATTTTTAACCAAACATTTCGGTCTTGGAAAAGCAAATACCCCGTGGCAAGTGTATAGCCATAGCTTAGCTTAGTCTATTTCAACATTTCAGGTTAAGGTTTTTGCATGGCATCACTATATTTAGCACAATGTTTCGCCAATATCGACTACTATCCACCGAAAAAGTGGCCACCAAGACGCATCACAATCCGGTGGGTCAGAATGTGGTTCACTGTCCGCCAACTGCTCAACAAGTGTTTGCACTGCTGCATCATTTTAGCCATGATTATTACCAACGATCGGATTTCATGGGCCGTTTATCACAGTTTAATTGTCACGTAAATAGTTAATTGCCTGCCTGCTGGTCAAATGTATAATTGAGAGGTTATCCCTGTAATTACTTGCCTTGGCCAGGGTGCGCTAGTCTATAATGGTTAACAAAAAACTGACATTTCTTTCATTTTGGGCTGCCAGTTTTTTTTTTTGGTTGGCCCAGACAGAGGTACACGCGAGTATCGATTTTGTGGGTTTGTGTTTACTCGGCGGGGCTGCAGCTTCTCCGCATTTCCCTGACACTTTCCACTTTCCACTTTTCCTTTCCTTTCACTCTCCTTCCTGCCGCTGTTTCATAATAAGTTTTCGCATCGATTGGGCCAGCTTAACTGGGCCAGCAAGGCCCCAAGCTACTGCTGGGGTCTAATGCAATTTGCATTCGAGCTTCGTTGCGGTCGTGGTCGCGGTCGCGGTCGCCTCTTCTCCTTCGATTACCAAAAGAATTTTCACTGTTTTCTTATTGATTTGGCTCACAACACTTTGGGGCACTGCATTTTTCCTTGGTTTTCCTTGGGGTTTTTTTTCATTTCAATTAACTTCATGCACTGCCAATTGTTAAATCACCAATTTAAATAATAACTAAATCGTCAACTAATTTATGTTTGTTGTGGGCAATTTTCTGTAGTTTTTCGCTTTTTTGTTTAATTTAGTTAGCAGGCCACACGCAACGACATTGACATCGACGACTGCCGAGCGGATTGGATTTTCCGATTTTCCCTTTACGCTTCTTGACAGTTTTGGCGCACACGCAGAAACTCACGGGCTTGGATTTTCCGATTTTCTTATCGATTTTTTTTCGATACGGAAATTCTTGAACCTTTTGGAACACTTTCAAACAAGAATTTAGTTCGATACGAAAATTTCAAGCTCTTCAAGCTTTCAAGCTTTTTAAATTTGTTTGCGTTTTGCGCCGCAACAGCGATTTTTTTTTAAAATTTTTAAATAGTGTTGAAAAAAAGGAAAATGTCCAAAACCCGGTGAATTAAAAAGTGTTGCAAGTGCTCCGTTCAAACTTGTTTTTGCTCGACACTTTTCAACACTTTTGAGCATAAGCTTTTCAGGGCGCTTCTTTCAAAACAAATAAGAAGAAGAAACACATACAAGAATAACACGTTGTCTTACACGGTTTCATGAAAATTTCTCTTTTTCAATATTAATATAAATATGACAAAATTACAAAAATTATTTGGAAATGATATTAATCCGCTCGATTCATCGACAGGTACTTGACCATTACCGATAGTCAGAAATTGCTCCGAGAAATCTTCAGCAGATGTATCATTAAGCAATGTAACTCTCATGTTTGTTATCAGCTGCAGTTTCTTCACATAGCGCCATAGATTTGACGATTTGAGGCAAGCGTTTATTTCGTCGGCAGCCGCAGATCTTGGAATTACTGGCAACTTCACTTTATCATTAACGCAGCATAATCCAGGCGTTTCTCCGGAAAACTTTAATGCACCACAATACTCGCAAACAACGTCCATTTGCCCAATGCAAACGCTAGGATGCAAGCTGTAATCATTGCTGCAATCGTATCGAAACGCAGCTCGATTCAAATCAGCTAAAATTTTTCGTCGCAAATTAAAATCTATTTGAGAAGCACGAAGTCGAGCCTTACTATTGCGGCTCTGTTCACGTGCAATTTCTCGTTCTTCTTCAGTCCTTTCATATGCAGTATTTTGTATTCTTCTTGCATTACGGCTTTGTCGGGAAAGATTCGATCGTCTTGGTAGCGGCATTATTAATTAAACTTCACTTCACTTCAATCCACTTGTTAATTATTTATTTAATAGAAATAGTTTTAATATTGATTTCTTACAAATATCAATAGAGAGTGCAGAGGCTCTAGTGGTGCTTCAAGTTGAGGCAATTTCACTTTCCCGGAAGCGCAACACAATCTTTTTGGTTCGTTGTTAAATTTGAGAGCCTGACTATGAATTTGACTTCGTTTGTAACTGACATTTTGACATTTGACATTTTCTTCTTAGCTGTCTGCCTAAATAAAAAAGTATGGGCCAGGGAGGAACGCTGTCGAACGGGACAAAAAGTATCCTATGTCCTTCTCCTGGCTCTAAGCTACCTCCCTACCAATTTTCACTCAAATCTGTTCTTCCGTTCTTGATTTATAAGTGTTGTAACATAAAACACGTTGTTCTTTTATATATATAGATTTATTTTTAACATTTCACTTTATTGTGCTGGCATGAGACATGTACAAGTAATTTAGTTTGTAAATTGCATTTTACGGCAGCTTATGTATTAGTTAAATAAAAAATGAACGTTTCATGAATAAATACATAAATACACACGAACGAGGAAACAACATAGGTAATAAGTAGGATAGACACAGAGCTGAATTCATTAAATGATCCTTATTGATCCTTTCCACTTCTCTCTCTGGATTCGAGGCACTCCAAGTTTTCCTCCATTCCTAAGCAAAGTCGCGTGCACTTTCCAATTTTCGCATCTATGGAAGAAAAGAAATTATAACGATTTTAAAAAAGGTTAAAAAAGGATATTAGTTTATTTACAATGTGTATCTGTGAGTGAGTGCGTGTGCATGAATGTGTATGAGTGTGTAACGAGGTAATAATGATCAGTAGAAGTACTCCTCGCTCCAGGCATTAATCAATCTGATTCTCACCTCGCGTTCATCGGCGTGTGTTCGGTACTTCTCGGCGGCCTCATTCGTCTTCGGCTCCGGCTTCGCCTCTAGGATCTGGGTGTAGAGTAGGGCAGCTGTCACGCCCCCGAGGATGGGACCCACCCAGTAGATCCAGTGGGCAGACCAATTGCCGGTAGCGAATGCAGTGCCCACGGTACGCGCAGGATTCATACTGGATCCCGTGTACCGAATGGTTCCCAAATGACCCAAAGTCACTGCCATGCCGATGGCCAGAGGTGCCGTGAAGCGGGAGTCCGGCTTGTTGGGGTCACAGGCTCCAAACACAGTCAGCACCAAAAGGAAGCCCAGGAAGAACTCGATGCCGAGACCCTGCAGTTCCGTGATGTTGGGAGCCAGAGTCGTGTGGCCCAGGCCATTATAGTAATCCTGGTCGATAAGAGTCTGGAAAGAAGAAGAAAGTAAAAGTCAAATAAAACTGTACATTATTAAAAAAAATCACCATTATTTCATTTATTATGAAATTTTTTATGAAAAACAAAATACATGTAAAATTTAAAAAAAAGTCTAAAAATCGATCAAGGTATTCCGCATAAAAATCGGATAATAATTGGCAAGATATACGTCGGCATCGCTGAGAAATAGCAAAACAACTAAAAGTATTTATTAAAAATATAGCGACAGGTATAAAATCCACTTCCCATGAACATTTCAGCAAAGTAAGCCAGATGTATTAAATCACTTATTACGATACTCAATTCAAAAACACATCACTCAAACATGCAGACACAACACTCAAACATGAAGAAAATTGTTCTTTTGTTTTTGGCCGTAAGTTTATTGTAAGTTGAGAAAAGCGACAACATCATATTTGATTGTATCTCTAGGTCATGGCGTCGGCGGTAAAATCCTTACCTGTGATGCCAAAAATATCTGAAAAAAAGCCAGACGAGAACTCGAAAGCAGAATACTATTTGGAAAATCAGAGACAACCAAGAGCAGACGTTTATCCTTTGTTTTTGGACTACAAGGCAAAAGAACAGGCGAAAAATCCTTTGGTTACAAACGTTGGACACGCTCTGTTTCCCCAAAACTTTTACAAATTATCTTCCCAAAATGTAGTCGAAGATCCAGCCAAAACATCTGAAAAAACTACAACATCCGTGGGGAAAGACATAACAAATACAAGGACGCCTATACCTATCGAGTTGCAATTCTATCCGAAAGCCCAAAGTGAGTTTTAACTAGAATGGAACGCAAATTTGTGCAATTTATTTAGTCGAAAACATCTCATATTTTCGGAATTGAATTTAGTAGACTAGTTGAAAAATTTGCCGACAAACTTTTTACTTTTTTCTTTTTGCAGATGATGGTGGAACAGATAAAAATTCGAATAATGCGCCTGGTTCAGGAGGTTCAGAGAACCAAAAAAAACCGCCTAAAGAACTGACTATATCCTTACCCCGCCATAAAACCGACGAGGAAGGAAAATGGGTGTATAATCCATGGGGTGTCACCTACCCAAATGTGTGGAAGTTTACTAGACAAGATCAGTACTATTGGATATGGGATTTTAAATCCCAGGGCCTTTATAAGACTATGGAACCTCATCCGACAGTGTGCTTTGGTAAATCAACAGTCTACAACGTTCCACCTATAATGAAATGGCTGCTAAAAAAAAGCGATAGAGCATCTTTAATAGGTCCAAAGGCTCTTCTTACAGATCTTAGAATGGAGATTTACCTTCAAGGTAAATCGGAGACCTGCCACACCAACCAGTATGTGGAGGTTCGTCCTTATGTCGAGTGTGCCCTTTTACGTAATATGCGGATGGAGTATCTGATGCCACAGTATCCAATGCATCAGACCGGCAACTTTTGGGCTCTTTAGCTTGCGTTTATTATTTCCACGTTGAACTCTTTGGACATTTATCGAAAACTATCCAATAGGGATATGCGATAAATATGAAATCTCAATCTTTTTAAAGACTTCTCATCAAAAATCATTTACTATATTATAGTTCATCATAAAAAAATTTAAAAAAAAATGCAGCAATATGTGCTTTAGTTTATTTATTTCGTTTCGTTGGTTTTTATTTCGTTATTTTCAGGAATACTTATCGCAAGAATGACTTCATATGTTCTGGAAGTGTTCTAAATTTTTCAAAATGTTAATTTTTCAAAAAAATAAAGGCGACTTTCCAAAAAACAAACAAAAAATCTAAAAACTATATTGCTTTTAAGTTTTTTCACATATTGATGCATGGAAACGATCCACAGTCCGATCATTTTTAGCAAAGACTTAGTCATGGCTGGTGCTCATATTGAACTCTACATGCATTTTTCAAAAACTCGAAGAGGAAGAAAAAACACTCGACTCCTTTTCAAGAAAAAAAAAAAATCTACAAAATATTTTCCTTCTAGTTTCAAATGTAGATTAAAGGAGAAACGCTCTACAAATCGATCAACGTATTCCTCTCGACAATCGGATGATGTTTGGCAAAGATATTGGCATCGCTGAAAAATCGCAAAAAACGCCACATTATAATAATTAGTTAAAAACTTCCATTAAAAATTTCATCAAAGTAAGCTAGATTTATTAAATCACTTGTTAAGATACTCACATAAAATACACAACACTCAAATATGAAGACAATTGTTTTTTTGTTTTTGTTCGTAAGTTTATTTTAAGTTGAGAAAATAACTATATCATTTGTGACTCTATCTCTAGGTCATAGCTTCGGCGGTTAAATCCTTACCTGTGGTATTAAATATATCGGAACAAAAGCCAGACGACAACTCGAAAGCAGAATACCATTTGGAAAATCAGAGACAACCGAGAGTGGAAGCTTATCCTTTGTTTTTGGACTATAAGGCGAAAGAACAGGCAAAAAAGCCTTTGCTTGGAAACGTTGGCCAAACTCTGTTTCCCAAAAACTTTTACAAATTCTCTACCACAAATGTAGTTGAAGATCCAGCGAAAACATCAGAAAAAACTACATCCGTGGGGAAAAAGTTATCAAATACAAGGAGGCCTACTCCTTTCGACTTGAAATTCTACCCAAAAGCCCAAAGTGAGTTTTAACTAGAAAGGAAAGATAACTTCGGGCGGTGCCAAAACAAAAATTTTACACATTTTTGGAAATGTATTTATTAGACCATTTAAAAAATTTGCCGACAAACTTTTTCCTTTTTGCAGATGATGGTGCAACAGATAAAAATTCGAATAATGCGCCTGGTTCAGGAGGTTCAGCAATGGATAACCCTAATGAAAAAGGACTTGGACAGAAAAAACTGCCTAAAGAACTGACTATATCCTTACCACGCTTTAAAACCGACGCTCAAGGAAAATGGGTGTACAATCCATGGGGTGTAACCTACCCACATGTGTGGAAGCTGACTAGACAAGATCAATACTATTGGATATGGGATTTTAAATCCCAGGGCCTTTATAAGACTATGGAACCTCATCCGACAGTGTGCTTTGGTAAATCAACAGTCTACAACGTTCCCCCTATAATGAATTGGCTGCTTAAAAGAGCAAGAAGAGACTCCATAAATACAAAGCGCCTTCTTGTAGATCTTAGAATGGAGATTTACCTTCAAGGTAAATCGGAGACCTGCCACACCAACCAGTATATGGAGGTTCGTCCTTATCTCGAGTGTGCCCTTTTGCGTAATATGCGGATGGAGTATCTGATGCCCCATTATCCATTGCATCAGCTCGGGAACAGGAGGTACTCAGGGCCTGTATAGTACAGTACTCTTACTCCTCGTCCGACAGTGTGATTTGGTAAATCAACAGTCTACAACGTTCCACCTGTACTGATTTGGCTGCTTAAAAGACTAAGAAGAGACACCATAACTAAAAAGCGCCTTGTAGATCTTAGAATGGAGATTTCCCTCCAAGGTAAATCGGAAACCTGCCACACAAACCAGTATGTGGAGTGCCCTTTTGCGTAAAATGCGGATGGAGTATCTGATGCCCCATTATCCATTGCATCAGATCGGCAACAGGAGGTACTCTTAGCTTGTGTTTATTATTTTCGCGTTAAACTCTCTGAACATTTGTCGAAAACTATCCGAGAGGGATATGCGATAAATATGAAATCTCAATTTCTTTAAATACTTTAAAGATTTTAAATAAAGATACAGAAATAGGTGCAATAACGTTGACAGACTGGGAATGGGACTCACGCTTTAATTTCAAAAGCTAGCTGCGGCCGAAATTGTGTTTTTATTTTCGTTATTTTCAGTAATACTTATCGCAAGAATGACTTCATCTGTTCTGCAAATGTTCGGAATTTTTCAAAATATTCATTATTCAAAAAATTGAAGGGGCCCCTCCGAAAAACAAACAAATATATATTGATGCATGATCCGCTCAACAATCTGATGATTTTTAGCAAAGACAGCCATCGCTGTGGCTCAAATTGAACTCTGCATCCATTTTTCGATAAATTAAAGGGGACCCTCTAAAAAAAAAAAGCCTACAAAATATCAAAAATGTATTGTTTCTGTTTTAATGAAGATTATAAGAGAAACAATCTAAAAATCGATCAAGGTATTCCTCTTGACAATCGGATGATGTTTGGCAGAGATATTGGCATCGCTGAAAAATCGCAAAAAACCCAACTGTATATTATTCATTAAAAATTTTGCGACGGCTACAGAATCCACTTCCCTTGAAAATTTCATCAAAAAAGTAAGCCAGATGTATTATATCACTTGTTAAGATACTCACATAAAATACACAACACTTAAATATGAAGACAATTGTTTTTTTGTTTTTGGCCGTAAGTTTATTTTAAGTTGAGAAAAGCGAGAATATCATTGGTGACTCTACCTCTAGGTCATAGCTTCGGCGGTTAAATCCTTACCTGTGATATTAAATATATCGGAACAAAAGCCAAACGACAACTCGAAAGCAGAATACCATTTGGAAAATCAGAGACAACCGAGAGTGGAAGCTTATCCTTTGTTTTTGGACTATAAGGCGAAAGAACCGGCAAAAAAGCCTTTGATTACAAACGTTGGACAAACTCTGTTTCCCAAAAACTTTTACAAATTCTCTACCCCAAATGTAGTTGAAGATCCAGCCAAAACATCAGAAAAAACTACATCCGTGGGGAAAAAGATATCAAATACAAGGAGGCCTGTTTCTTTCGACTTGCAATTCTATCCGAAAGCCCAAAGTGAGTTTTAACTAGAAATGAAAGGTAACTTCGGCGTGCTGACCCTTTTATACCCTTACTATTAAATAGCGGCTTATCTTTGAAGATAAAAAGAACTAGACTATAAAACGGATATCTTTATATTGACTAAAATTGTCATTTCAATCAAGAGTATATGTGCAATTTATTTAGTCTAAAACATCTCATTTACCGCGTCGCATATTTAAAAAAAATGTTAAAAATTTTTGAAATTTAATTTAGTAGACTAGTTAAAAAATTTGCAGACAAACTTTTTGCTTTTTTCTTTTTGCAGATGATGGTGGAACAGATAAAAATTCGAATAATGCGCCTGGTTCAGGAGGTTCAGCAATTGGTAAACCTAGTGGTTCCAATGAAAAAGGAATTGGACAGAGAAAACTGCCTAAAGAACTGACAATATCCTTACCACGCTTTCAAACCGACGCTCAAGGAAAATGGGTGTACAATCCATGGGGTGTCACCTATCAAAATGTGTGGAAGCTGACTAGACAAGATCAATACTATTGGATATGGGATTTTAAATCCCAGGGCAATTATAAGACTTTGGAACCTCATCCGACTGTGTGCTTTGATAAATCAACAGTCTACAACGTTCCACCTATAATGGATTGGCTGCTTAAAAGAGCAAGAAAAGGTAACATAGGTCCCAAGCCCATTCTTGTAGATCTTAGAATGGAGATTTACCTTCAAGGTAAATCGGAGACCTGCCACACCAACCAATATGTGGAGGTTCGTCCTTATGTCGAGTGTGCCCTTTTGCGTAATATGCGGATGGAGTATCTGATGCCCCATTATCCATTGCATCAGACCGGCAACGTAAGATACGATTGGTTTGAAGATGAATATTGAAATCTCAATCTTTTTAAAGACTTCTCATCAAAAATCATTTACTATTAGGATCATATAGTCATTTTTCGAAAACTCGAAAGGAACCTTCCAGAAAAAGAAAAAATCTAAAAAATATTTTCCCCATATTTCCTCTCCTTCTTTCCTTCCTTTCTTCCAGATGTATTTAAGTCACTTGTTAAGATACTCAATTAAAAGACACAACATTCAAATATGAAGACAATTGTTTTTTTTTTGGCCGTAGGTTTATTGTAAGTTGAGAAAAGCAAGAGTATCATTTGTGACTCTATCTCTAGGTCATAGCATCGCCAATCCTTACCTGTGATATTAAATATATCGAAACAAAACCAGACGAGAACTCGAAAGCTTGAAGATCCAGACTAGACAAAGATCAATACTATAGGATATGGGATTTGAAATCCCAGGGCCTTTATAGTACTAGGACTCCTCATACGACAGTGTGCTTTGGTAAATCAACAGTCTAGGTACAACGTTCCACATGTAATGAATTGGCTGCTTAAAAGACTAAGAAGAGACACCATAAGTAAAAAGCTTGTAGATCTTAGAATGGAAATTTACCTCCAAGGTAAATCCAAGACCTGCCAACTAGTATGTGGAGTGCTTTTTTGCCCTTTTTGTATATGGATTTTTCAAAATATTTATTATTCAAAAAATTATACGGGACCTTCCAAAAACAAACAAATATATATTGATGCAGTGATATTAACCTTCAATATAATATATATATTTTGACGATCTATAAATTGAACTCTGCACTTTGAACTCTCTTTTTGAAAACAAAAAGCCAACAAAATATTAAAAATGTATTGTATTGTTTATGTTTTCATGAAGATTATCGCTAAAGTCGCAAAAAACTTAACTATATGCTACCCAACTGTCATTCAAAATTTCGCGACGGCTACAGAATCCACTTCCCTTGAAAATTTCATCAAAGTAAGCGAGATGTATTAAATCATTTGTTAAGATATTCAAATAAAAGACACAACACTCAAATATGAAGACAATTGTTTTTTTGTTTTTGTTCGTAAGTTTATTTTAAGTTGAGAAAAGCGACAATATCATTTGTGACTCTATTTTTAGGTTATGTCTTCGGCGGTTAAATCCTTACCTGTGATATTAAATATATCGGAACAAAAGCCTGACGATAATTTGAAAGCAGAATACCATTTGGAAAATCAGAGACAACCAAGAGCAGACGTTTATCCTTTGTTTTTGGACTATAAGGCGAAAGAACAGGCAAAAAAGCCTTTGGTTACAAGTGTTGGACAAACTCTGTTTCCCAAAAACTTTTACAAATTCTTTACCCCAAATGTAGTTAAAGATCCAGTGAAAACATCAGAAAAAACTACATCCGCGGGGAAAAATATAACAAATACAAGGAGGCCTATTCCTTTCGACTTGCTATTCTATCCGAAAGCCCAAAGTGAGTTTTAACTAGAAAGGAAAGATAACTTCGGGCGGTGCTGACCCTTTTATACCCTTACTATTAAATAGCGGCTTATCTTTAAAGATAAAGAAGCTAACTTCGGACGGAGCCGATGTTGATATACCCTTGCAATTAAAACCGGATATATATGGCAAACATCGGATATAGTTGGCCGATCCTTATGAGAATATCATAATAAAACGAATTAATTACAATAAAAAATCTAGAAAATAAAGTCTCAAGCTTCTATCTTTAAAAATTTCAAAGTTGATATTTCTACCAAACACAATTTCCGATCGTTCAGTTATATGGCAGAAATTTGGTAGGTCGGATTAATGGGAAAATAGAATCTATACTAAGTTCCAGCTTTCTATCTTTAAAAACACGAAAGTTGGCTCATTTCCGATCGATAAAATCGTGAAAATGTTAAAAATTTTTGGAAATGTATTTAGTAGACTAGTTGAAAAATTTTCCGACAAACTTTTTTCTTTTTGCAGATGATGGTGGAACAGATAAAAATTCGAATAATACGCCTGTTTCAGGAGGTTCAGAGATTGGTAACCCTAGTGGTTCCAATGAAAAAGGAATTGGACAGAGGAAACTGCATAAAGAACTGACTATATCCTTACCACGCTTTAAAACCGACGCTCAAGGAAAATGGGTGTATAATCCATGGGGTGTAACCTACCCAAGTGGGTGGAAGCTGACTAAACAAGATCAATTTTATTGGGTATGGGATTTTAAATCCCAGGCCAATTATAAGACTATGGAACCTCATCCGACAGTGTGCTTTGGTAAATCAACAGTCTACAACGTTCCACCTATAATGAAATGGCTGCTTAAAAGAAATAGAAGAGCAACCATAGGTCCCAAGCCCATTCTTGTAGATCTTAGAATGGAGGTTTTCCTTCAAGGTAAATCGGAGACCTGCCACACCAACCAGTATGTGGAGATTCGTCCTTATCTTGAGTGTGCCCTTTTGCGTAATATGCGGATGGAGTATCTGATGCCCCATTATCCATTGCATCAGACCGGCAACGTAAGATACGATTGGGTGCGATAACTATGAAATCTCAATCTCTTTAAAGACTTCTCATCAAAAATCATTTACTATTAAGAGCATATAGTCATTTTTCAAAAACTTGAAGAGCACCTTCCAGAAAAAAAGGAAAAAATTCTACAAAATATTCTCCTTCTAGTTTCTAATGTAGATTGAAGGAGAAACGATCTATAAATCGATCAATATTCCTCTCGACAATCGGATGATGTTTGGCAAAGATATTGGTATCGCTGAAAAATCGTAAAACAAATTAACAGTATAATAATTCATTAAAAATTTAGAGACTGGTACAAAATCCACTTCCATTAAAAATTTCATCAAAGTAAGCCAGATGTATTAAGTCACTTGTAAAGATACTCAATTAAATGACACAACACTCAAATATGAAGGCAATTGTTTTTTTTTTTTTTGGCCCTAGGTTTATTGTAAGTTGAGAAAAGCGAGAATATCATTGGTGACTCTATCTCTAGGTCATAGCTTCGGCAGTTAAACCTAAATCGGAAAAAAACAGACGAGAACTCGAAAGCAGAATACCATTTGAAAAATCAGAGACAACCGAGAGTGGAAGCTTATCCTTTGTTTTTGGACTATAAGGCGAAAAAGCCTTTGCTTGGAAACGTTGGACAAACTCTGTTTCCAAAAAAATTTTATAAATTCTCTACCCCAAATGTAGTTGAAGATCTAGAGTAGACAAGATCAATACTATTGGATATGGGATTTTAAACCCCAGGGTCTATGACTGGGGTCTATGACTCCTCATCCGACATTTCAAAAGCATTTCAAAAGCTAGCTGCGGCCGAAATTGGGTTTTATTTTCGTTATTTTAAGGAATACTTATCGCAAGTATGACTTCATACTTTCTGGAAGTGTTCTGAATTTTTTTCATTAATTCACCCAATTCAGTGAGCAAATGTCGAAAAGAGAATTACAGTTTAAGCTGAACCGGAAGTAGTCCAATCAAAAACGCAAACCAAAAAAACCATAAGACCATTTTAAGAATGATTATTTTTAAGTGAGACTGATTAGTCAGAAGGGATTGACATTGAACATGTGGAGAATTGGTACTTGAAGTACAATATTACTTACCCTGACTGCAGCTGTTCCCGCAATGGCTCCCAAACATTGGAAGATTATATAGAAAAGGGCTCTGAGAAAACTTATTCGACCAGCAACTAACATGGCCACAGTAACGGCAGGGTTAACGTGTCCGCCGCTCAAATGACCAACGATCTATGGGATGCACGAATATATTTATAAGTAAAGATTTTTATAAAAAAAAGTTTTTAAAACTTACCGTAATAGCCATGAAAATGGCCAAGCCAAAAGCTAGGGCCTTGAAGGTGCTATCCTCCACTTGAGTGCAGGCACCACAGGCGAAAAAATTGAGGATGAGATTTCCCAGGAATTCTCCGATTAGGGCCTGCCATAATCTCAGCTCCTTAGATTTAAGCTAAAGATAGATATTTGTAATTATTTTAAATGATGATATGAAAATAGCCTCTTTAAAAATACCTCATTCAATCCGAGTGAGTACTCGAACTTTCCCATCTTATAGGCTTTGCTTTTCAATCTCTACTGACGAACTGAAAAAGACAAACGGAAATCAGTGAGCTTTGTGGGTTGACAAATGCATATGGCAGTTGGAATTGAAAATGCAAACGGGCATCAAAATGGTTGTGTCGGACATGAGCCATAATTAACTAGCGACGATGAACCTGTTTTGCACTCGTTTAAGGTGCCACATTATTTTGGCCTCAGACGACATTTCCGCTGAATTTTAATTTGTGTGTAATGGGTTTGATACTTTTGTAGACTCTTGACTTTCTATAAAAGTATGTTATATATTTTATTATCATCATAAATTATTTCTAATGAAGTAGGCAAATTCCTGCTGGTCCTGAACATATATTTTTTTTGAACCTTCTTAGGGATGTTAATGTATTTAACTTAACCCTTTGTCATTCTGGCGAAAGTAGGTAATTAAGGTTGTCCCCTTGGATACCGCCTTTTAAGCCCATAATTCCAGCTTATCAGCGATTGCAGCTGCATGTGAGAAAACATGTACAAATATAAAAGCAAATAAAAAATAAAATATTTAATTGGCAACACGTCATAAAAGGAAGATAAATATTTGAGCGTAGCACAGGCCGGAGCGCACAGCCCCACTTCAGAATGAACACTCGAGAATGTTTAATCAGGGGGAGCTAGGGGGGGCGGTCAAAATACTACAGATGCCGGGGGGATTAGGCCTGTTTTTCATGGCTTTCTCGTTATAGAGTGGAGAATCAGTGGAGACTGTTTGCTCGGCAGTTCTTATTTGGCGTAATGCGGTCACGATCAGTAGTTGCCAGCCAGGCCCAAAAATGGCCTACAACTCAACCACGTTGACCGTGCCCCCACACCAGAACCAGACATTAAAAACATCAGAAAATAAATATATGTAGATATAACATATTCCATTTGTAATTTGTCTTTGCCATCAATCAGTGATCGTTCAATGTTAATCCCCATTTTCTATGCTTTAAAAATATTTCAAGTTGTTCATCATTCTCGACTGTTTTCCTTCTGTTTTTGTATTTATTTTTTAATGCAATCTTAATGAATTTCGTGTTTTATTTACGTCATCTTTGCGGCCCGTATCAATATCAGACAATAGACCTCAAGTGCTCTGATATGGGCTTGCCATACTTTAATTGAGGTGGAGACGAGTGGGCTAGATGAATTGGCTTGGGGCCGGGCTGATGGATAAGTGGAATACCTTGTAACACTCGTAGAACCATCCCCCTGTACAATCACTTCCATTGACTGAAACCCCTTGGGAAAATGGGTAAAACCTTAGTCAAATATTTGTCATAGCTCTCTTAATCATCAAATGAGAATGTAATTATACACGTAATTGGTTTTCATAGAATATTATTTTAATGAAAATTGCAAAATGCTATTGACTAACATTCCAAAGTCAACATTCCCACAAGATGATGCCTTTCTAGAAGCTAGAAACTTATTAAAAACCCTATCAATCGAGCACTAATAATGTTTTTCAGCTCTGATTAATGTTTAATCAGCTCTGATTAGAGTTTGCTTTGTGATTACCTTTGGAGAAGAAGCCATTTATGGACGATAAGCGGTCTGTTTAATTGGAAACCTAATAGCTAACCCAAATGTTTGCATTCAACATCCAATTCGGATTATGGAATTTTCAATGGCACGCTAATGACCCAAGTGTGAGTATGTCCGTGCCTATTCACCCAATATTCGAACAATAAAGTGAAACGTTTGCTCAACAAATTAGCACAAAAATTCACACATTTTTTCGCACACCCAGTACGTCAGGCAACAAAGTAAAATGCATTTCAACGCATTTCGGGCTGATCGGACACTCAAAGTATTTCGGTTACATTCAAAAACGTGTATGAACAGAGGGTTCTTGAACTTGAACCCGGGTCGCACTGAACTGAATGGAAAGGCGGTTACAAATGAAAGCCCAATAAAATTTAATTATATGCAAATAACGACGAATGTCGTTAAGAAAACTTGGTTCTCTGACATTCATTTTGAAGATCGATAGAGATAATAAGAGTATAAATCAGTGGCGATGGAGCAGATGAGCTAATGTGTGGATTTTACTAAGTTGTTTATTGGCTTGCCAACAGGAAAACAAATTATGTGGGCTTTGTAAGCTATATGATTTTTAGATATTTATAGTTTTTAGTAAAGCTGAAGTAATGTATTGGAAATAATTCATGTATGACAGGCTTTCAATTCTTAGAGGTTTAGGATTTCCATCGAAATGGTTTGATGTTAGACCGACTCAAATAAATAACTCTATTTACTTTATATAATATGTTATGTGGCCTAGCCTCAATTACGTACGCCTGCTGATTTACCGATAGAGACATTCGCACTTGTTGGCAGCAAGTTTGTCACTTAAAAAGCCATAAAACTTACTTAAGCTTTAAATTTGTATGCAACGGCATACTTGCGAACCCGGAGTGATAAAGGGAGGGGAATGGAGCCAATGCGGAGGATGCACTGAAGAGTTAATAGACGAAACTCCCACACGTGTTCTCCGGGGCTACAGTGGAGTCATGCTAATCGCAAACAGGTCACTCCAATTACCGAATCATTTCACTTTTGTTCAGAGACCAGAAAATCGCTGTGGCCACCCATCAATCAAAAGTGTCAGATATGAAACAAGCTGAGCCACGGGGCAGTGCCACCCATTACCATGTCAGTGTATCATGGCTCTACCGGATCGTAATTAACCAGACAATAGAAATTTATAGAAATCTTAAAAGCTTATGCAGATTACACGACCGCATCATTTCATGCAACGCTGGTTTTAAAATTAAGAGCGCAATTAAATATATCTCAAAGTTCTGGGTAAATATCAAATTATATATTTTTTTTATTTTTGGCAGCCTTATAATAACTTATACTATATCCGGCGACTTTTTATTTCGGGGAATTGTGGTGGCTGACCAAAGTAAAAATTCTATATAAATTGTATTATTTTTACGATTGACACATGCTTCCATTTTTCGTTTGTTGTTGCTCTTAATTTTAGATTAACGTTTCAAAAATGACTTAATTTTCTGCCTTTTTGAGATTATTTTAGCGCCAAATTGAAATTATGTTTTACTTGAAATGAAACGATTACCTTGCTTTTTATTAATTAGCTCACTGTTGGCACCTTTGCCCACTTGCTAACAAACTTTATGCACAACAATAACAAATATCACATTAACTTGGACTTGAAAATTAATTAATTTGGCGGTAATATATTACTTAATATATGAGCTCGTTCTTCAAGCGATCCGCGCACTTGGACGATCGCTCCAACTGTGTCGCTTGCTTTTGGCAGCGCGAAATCCAAAGCCCCAAAGACCCCAAATGGCCCCGTCGTTGTGGGGAGAACGATGTAATCTCTTCTTTGGAGAACGGCAGAGGCAACGAGAGTGTTTCCGGAGAGCGCTGGCGCAACGGTTGAAATAAAATGTTTGTGATTATCTTAAAATTAATAAATGACTGAAATACAGCAATGGGTAGTTACTTCAAGCACTTTTAGGCCTTTGATCAACAATTTTTTTATAAATTTTTGGAAATAGAAGTAATATTTTCCTCATTTAAAGATTCTATTTTAGTATAAATACATAATTATTTAATTATAGATATGATTTAAACGCTAGAACACCCAAACGGTCTATGCGATTGGCCCTCTCTGTAAATCCAAGTTCTCCACCACCATTTTATGGCACAGCCAAGACGTCAACCTGGCCCCCATCAAATTATTATAATCGCCTGAAATCGTTTGAACAACGTTATATTATGCAAATAATTATTAAGAACCGAAATCCTGTACATTACCCTACCTACACAGGTATAATCTGCGTCATTGGGTGACGTCGACAGAAAAGTGCCCACCTTTTTATAACCGAAATCAGTCGGAAATCATGTCTTTTGCTAACAAATTTTTTAATTAATTTAGTGCAAGCACTTAAGGGAACACTGAACTTTTCCATGATTCAATAAAAATGAACATTGCCCAGAAACAGAACAAGAATCGAATTCACTTTATCAGAGGAATGGGGGTGGCCCTAATGTTTGTTTAACTTTTTAATTAAGAAAATCGCAAAAAAAAGCAACCAAAATGTTTATGGCAAAATAAAATGGTGTTTAAAAATCAAAGCACACTTTATGGGGCGCCATATAATGTTTGTGTAAAAAACGGGCAATATTGACATGTCATACGATCTGTGATTTATGGGCTTAACCGTTAAATAATTGGGTTAAATTTTTTAAAATAAAAAAATTAAAAAGCCTGGTTTGTGTATTTGTAAAGCACTGTTATGAATAAGACACTGTAAGGTGTCTAAGGGCGTGCTTTGAGATAAACGTTTCGCTTTTTATTCAAACTGATAAGATTGTAAAAATTTGCATAATAAAAATGGTTATTAAAGCAAATATTTTGGCTTTTTGAAGTTGTTCACTTCATAAATCATATCATGAAGCTCTTTGGCTAATTTACATTGGAAAGAAAAGCTTATACCTTTTGAAAAAACAAATCAAAATCAAGTCCCACATTTCATGTGCAAGAAAGGTGTACGGCTCCTCCTGACACTTGACTCTTGACACATGGCCAACGCCCACTTTTGAACCACAATAGAGTGGTCCTACGGCGACCTTGGCCCGACATTGCGTCCATTTGCATGAGACTCGTGTAATCCTGTGGAAGGGCCGGGCCAGGCCCCTTTTTGGTTTTGTTTCGCAAGGAGCCCCAGTGTGAAATATGGAAAAGCAAAGTAATTGTGTCCTGACTGGCGAAATAATAAATTAGAATTGTCCGGTCATAGCGCCCCCAACTGGGAAGCCATTAATTAAATCAGACATAGTTGAAATTCCCTATGACGTGGTCTAAAGAAAGTGATGTCTTTTATAAAATGGGGATTTGGTATTAGAACGAACCGCTAATAAGTTTCTTATCACTATTTGAGTAATCAAGTAATGTTTCAACAGCTGTTTCTTATATTTTTTATACCCTTTGCGTAGGGAAACTTGAAACGTTTAAGGTACTCCGCTTGAAAATCGGATGAGAATTAGGGAAGATATAGCCATCACTGTGGGCCATATAGGGAAAAACCATATTTTCAAGGGATCCCTCACGAAAAATGGACAAAAAATCTAAAAAATATTTTGTCTCAGGATTTTGATGCAGAATGGTGGAGAATTGATCTAGAAATCGTTTAAGGTACTCCGCTTGAGAATCAGATGAGAAATGGGGAAAATATAGCCATCACTGTGGGCCATATAGGGGAAAACCCCATTTTCAAGGGATCCCTCACGAAAAATGGACCAAAAATCTAAAAAATATTTAGTCTCAGGAGTTTGATGCAGAATGGTGGGAAACCGACCCAGAAATCGTTTAAGGTACTCTGCTTGAGAATCGGCTGATAATTGGAAAAATGGACCAAAAATCTAAAAAATATTTAGTCTCAGGAGTTTGATGCAGAATGGTGGGAAACCGACCCAGAAATCGTTTAAGGTACTCTGCTTGAGAATCGGCTGATAATTAGAAAAGATATAGCCATCACTTTGGGCCATATAGAAAAAAACCCCATTATCAAGGGATCCCATCACGAACAATGGACAAAAAATCTAAAAAAATATTTAGTCTCAGGAGTTTGATGCAGAATGGTGGGAAACCGACCCAGAAATCGTTTAAGGTGCTCCGCTTGAGAATCGGATAAGAATTGGGGAAGATACAGCCATCACTGTGGGCCATATAGGGGAAACCCCCATTTTCAAGGGATCCCTCACGAAAAATGGACAAAAAATCTAAAAAATATTTTGTCTCAGGATTTTGATGCAGAATGGTGGAGAATCGATCTAGAAATCGTTTAAGGTACTCCGCTTGAGAATCGGATGAGAATTGGGGAAGATACAGCCATCACTGTGGGCCATATATGGAAAAACCCCATTTTCAAGGGATCAAGGATTATAATAAAATTCTAATATGAATCGGACTACTATATGCAATAAATATCCAATCTTAACCGCAAGAGTATATCAGTTTAGGCTCCGCCCGAAGTTAGCTTTCTTTTCTTTTTAAAATTCACATTAATGAGTCATTTAGATAAGAACTACTTCCGCACCTTTTCTATACTATATATACCGAAAAAAGGTTGATTCGCCACACACAGAACCCTAATTTAAACTGGAAACAATTAATTTAAACTTTTTAAAACAATTTCCGGCGCTTGCGTAAAATTCACATGTTTAGAACGAATCTCGGTTGAGTTCTGTTGGTTGAATTAAGGTTTCGGTTCACATCTGGGATTAAATAAAATCGCCAACATCTGCTTGGGCTTATCAGCATCGGAAATAAGCAAATTTTCATCAATTGCCATTTTTTATGAGCCCATTACCGTTCTCCATCTTAATGGCCACTCGATATATAACACGTACGCCATAAGTCAACAAAAGCCGTGCCTAACTTAACAAAAAATAAATAAACTACACAAAAAAGTGAATAAAAACTGCGTTCGGGGAAAAAAAAATATTCTATCTGTTCTTGAAGGTATTTTTATATAAAACAACAGAACAAAAACCAAAGAAGTTGAGTAAACACACAACAAATGGCCAAAAAGCACCAAGTGCTTGTGTCAATCAAGCGATTCGATATTGGAGTGTTGCGATCTTTTTAGCTTGAACATCCAACCAGCCAGCCAGATAGACAGATTGGGAAGAGAGGTAGTTTTTTGTTAATTACCTGCAATTTTTGGCCCCGGCACGCGCTTCACCATCTCCCATCCCCTACAGGAAGTAAGTATACGCCTCGTGTGCCACTATGCCAGAATTAACCTTTATTCTCGTATTGTGTATGTTCGTTTGATCATTGAAAGTTTTTTTATATGCAGAATGTGAGGCGTAGATAGATTTATTTTTATTTTATTTTTTTTTTTTGCGATGCCCGCATAAGATTTGTTTCTACGAAAGCTCTCGGCAATATTTCCCACGGCGCATGCGTGAAGACACAAGACTTGAAGAGGGAGTTAGTCATGGCTGCAAAGATGATGGAGTTGATGATCGCTGGCAGGCGGAGATGGGGAGGGGAGGCCGCAAGCGACTGAAAATGTGCAAAACAAATAGCTCAACAACTATTCAACATTTCGAATTGGACTTGGACGAGGCTGGCCAAAAAACAATAACGAGAACCGCAATACCTCAAGCCAAGCCAAGACCAGACAACAATAAAAGCAAACCCAAAGCAGCGGCCTTATTGAAACATTGTGTGTGATGTATATGTACAGTAAACATTGCCTATAGGAAAAAAAAAGAAAAATAATTATTATTCTGATTTAAAAGGTATATTAACTAAAAAAGGCTTGAGGTTCCATAGTAAAATTATTTTTTTTATTTTCTAAGCTTATAGACCTCTCTAATGTGTACTTACTGTACTGCACATGTATCACACATCATGCCTGGGCAAAAATTACCGAACAAGCCATAATCAGAGCGCTGGCTAAAAATTTGCATAGCTCATAGAGAGCTATGGACTTGGACACTCACGCATCTAACACTCGGAGACCTGAGACCTGTGCTCGGGACTACTAACAAAGATTGATGAAGTGTCAAATGCCGGAGATAGAGCAGCAAAAAAAAACAAAACTGGGACTAGAGGCTGCAGGTGGAGGGCTGCGACATTGACCTTTATTTGATTTTTTGGTTTCTGCCCAGGCTAAAATCAATCATGAGCCCCAAAAAAAGAAAAATCATCAAAATCAAAGGCAGGCACGCTCCTAGTTTTTATTTTTTTTCGATTTTATCTGCCACCTGATTGAACCAATTTCGGGGGCATTTAATTTTTTACCGAATCATTGCAAAAAATCATTACATTATGTTTATTAGCCGCCCCCTGCCAACTGCCAATAACGGTACATAAGCATAAATAATTGTTTTTTTTTTCTGGCAACCAACACTCGCCATTTCGTGATTATTATCGTTTCTCTCGGCGCGTTTACACATTTATTTTGCTTTGTTTTCTTCAGCCATTTATTTATATTATTTATTTAATTTTTTTTTGTGCATTTTTTTAGCAGCCCCACTCGGCGGCGATCGTCCGTCACTTACAGTTACATTTGCAAATGTTTCAATGTCACTGAAGTCTTGTTTTGAATTATTTTTTTAGCATCACAAGATCACAAAGTGCAGAGAAAACAGATAATTGTTGAAATTTCAATTGAAATTGGAAGATTTGGTAATTGCAGCTACCATTTGGTTAGTTTTTCATGGTTTTTATGGAAATTACTAAAGAAAAGTGGTTACTGTTTCTTAAAACTTTCACTTCAAAAGGATAGATATTAGACTCTACAACCATTTATTATAAGCCCATCTGCCCACTAAAATCTTTGATTTAATTAGATTTCTCTCAGGAAGCATACTGATGAAGCCAAATTACTGAAAAGAAAAGGGGCGACTCCCGGAGATCTATTGGTAATTCGACAAGCATAGACCATCTTAACAGCCACGATGATTATCTCGCCCATTTAGCCAGACTTCGTGCCATTTTAATGGTTAACTGGCATTAAATATAATTACTCATTAAAGCAACAAAGTCGGCACAGAGTCTTTTCATTCAGTTATCCACTTCTGTACCGCCCCTCTAGACAAAAAAGCCAAAAAAATATAAATCTGTCTGTCTGCGAGGGTCTGACTCTTGTTTTCATAATGGACTGAGACGCTTCCACAAACAAATTGGAGGGTCTTGGCGAATGTCTCCTTTTATTTTGGGTTGTCACTTGTTTTGTCAATAATAACCGGCAACTGTTGCTTCTCCAGATAAAAATAGCCAAGGTACAAAAACCCCTATTTCCATATAGTTTGCCAGAGTTCGCAATCAATACGGTTTTATTAAAGTTGTGGAAAGTTGTTTAAAAGTGAAACTGATAAGGGCCCAACCGTGCATAACCCATTAGCTGAAAAAATGCACTAAGTGCCATTAAAACTAAATGAACGCCTTTCTGGTTTTCAAGTGGGTGGTCGATTGCTTGGATTTTGGTTTTCCAGTTTTAATTTTTGTGGTTGAGTCTAAGTCAGTCACGTGTGGGGCTTGTGGATTAACAAAAGCAAGAGGCTTTTGCCGTGATAAGATTTCAGCTCGTTGATAAGTGGAGTCTAGGGCTTGGCATGACCAGCACAATTGGATTAATCAACAATTTTTATGGTTTTTTGTAGTATTATATAGCTACATGTTGTATATTTATCAATTGCCTAAAATGGCAGAGTTGTGGTTTCTGGAGACTGTGTGCAAAAATTCAAAATGGCATTGAACTTTCCCCTCAAGCCACAAATTGGCTTATCTTTTGAATGATTCAAATAGGTTTTTAATTGGTGATGTATTCCTAATTATTCACTAATGCCACTTCACTATACAGCTATGAATAATAATATTTAGAGGTTAAATGATTAAAGTCTTTCAAACAAAAACAGAACACTGACATCTGGTTTCTCAAACTTTTTAATAACTGCACTTGCAACTAGCAATTTACCAATCTTTTTTGGCCATAATACACCCATAAAAATCACCGCCTCGCCCATAAGCCCTAATAAATGTTTTTACCACAATGTTGTCTCTAATATTCTGGCCCAGATGTAAACACCCATAATTTCGATTAAGTCATCATGGCAGGTGTTTTCCGTACCCAGATCCTTTCTGGCCAAGCCCGCAAAAACATTGAAACGCCGGGTTTTTTACATTTTCGCGCATTACGTATACGCTCCCTTGGTCGCTGCCACTGGCTACGCCGGCGTCGGCCGAGCAGCAAGCCGCGACGCCAGCCGCGACCGCGACAGAGAGTATATCAGTTACAGCCGTTGCGTTGCCAACGTTTATTTGCGCTCGAACCTCGAACAGTGAACAGGTAGCAAAGCACAGCTCTTATAGCCAAATACCGAAATCTTCAAGAGAAAAGCCTTCTTCCAGTGGCAACGGTAATTTGAAAATTCGAAAAAGGCAATCCACTCCGCGGTGCAGTTTAATTTAATTGAAAATAATAAAATCGAGTTATTATACGTTGCGCTTTCCAATTTCGGTTCAACGAAAAGAAAACATAATTGAGCCCGGTGTGAAAATAAATACGGTATCGCAGCCAAGGAAAACATCAGCTTGGGTGAAATTCAATTGACAAAAAAACTAACAAAAAAATAAAAGAAAAACAACTCTGTTGTCCGCCCAATTCCAGTTTTGTGGTCAAGTGCCTGGCAATTGTGCAACCTCAAGACTCTTAACCTTAACAATTATTTTTTTGGCCACAACTATAAAAACTTTACCAAAAAAAAGGAACAAAGCTATTGGCACAATTCAGAGCAAATCAAGTGCTCACTTTTACCTGTACAAACCAAAAAAAAATAATTAAAAATCAAACAAAAAAGTTGCTTTGAAAACGAAAGCAAAACATAAATTCGATTTCGAACCCCCCACGCTTTGCTAAATTCGAGTGGCAGCCCCCAGAAGACAAGCGACAGAAGACAGCAAAATGGTTGAGAAAACAGGTGAGTGCCGTGCAGATTTAAGATTGCAGATTTTCGGTTTTTGGAGAATGTGAGCCATGCGTGTGCGTTGGGTCTATCCGAAGGTTAAAATAATTTAATTGGGGGCGAAAATTATTTTGTTTTTATGCGAAAGTTTTATTAAGAGGCAGAGGCGTTGTTTTGGTTTTAGTTGGTTTATTCATAGACCATTTTCTTAAATGGCTTTTTAAACAAAATATACAATTAACACCTTTTAAACAAGCTTAGCTTTTACTTTCTATATAATATCAAATTTTCGGGCAAAAATTAATCATCTTTCCCAAACAATAAATCATCTTTAATAAGCTATCTAAAGATATTTTGATAAATCATCTTTTTTGTTTAACTTTTTGGCCTCAAAGAGTGGAGACCGCCTATCGATAACGATAACGACATGATTGCTTTTCAATAATTTCTCTGGCGCAGCATGACAGAAACCGTAAATTAGCCCCCGAGTTGTTTTTTATTTTTCTATCAAGTCTGTGCTGTTGCTTTGATTTGGCTTCCGTGGAGCTGGCTGTGGATGGATGATGATTTCTTGAACTGAAAGTTTGCATGACAGAAAGGCCTGAAAGAAAAGAAAGAAAGAGTCAGAGGAAACCTGGGTGAAAGAGAGGGGTGTATAAAGAGGAAGAGAGATGGATAAACAACAATAGCGGAAACTACATTCGATTCGAGCAATTTAAACGATGATGATGACTCCCCGGCTGCGAAGCAATAAACCACATTGGCAAGTGAATGAACTGGAAAGAATTGAAAAGTCCAAAAGAAAACGAATTAAAAAAATACAATTAAAGCACCCAAAAATAGGTGTATTTGTCCAGCCTCCATGAGTAATTAATTAAAGTCTTAATTGCATTTCTTATTTGTCCTTCTGGCGTCACTTTTGGCGCTACCCCTTCTCTGACGATAACGTTATACTGATAATGGCGAAAATATTTGCCTAGCCACAATAGATGAAAATTCATTAGCTCTTGCCAAGCTCTATAATTGAGATTCTCGGTTCCAGCTAATTAATGTCAACCCAGTTCTTATTTGATCAAGTGTTTAAGCTCATAATTCAATATTTGATTTAAATATTAAATATTTTCAAGGGCCATGGTCTGAATGGGTATTTTTTGTAGACTCTACCTAGTACTGGAAGAATAGTAGACTTGTGAGCTGCGTGAGAAACTTGACGGCCTTTGGCGTTGAAATTCTGCAAATTATGGTATGAAACGTGTTGCTAATTTCATCTTTCTCCCCTATATCTGGTTTTTTGTGGCACTTAATGCTCTTGGCCCACCTCATAATTCAATGCGTTGTCATCTTTGGTATATAATTCTACTCACTACCACCTGGGGTCTCGGCTAGTTTTTTTTATGGCGTCGCATTCGCAGATATATGATATAAAAACAAGAAAGGAAAGCTAACTTCGGGCGGAGCCGAAGTTTATATACCCTTGCAGTTAAAACCGGATATATATCGCAAACATCGGATATAGTTGGCCGATCCTTATGGGAATAGGAATATATACTCCAATTTATTACAATACAAAATCTAAAAAAAGTCCCAAGCTTCTATCTTCAAAAATACGAAAGTTGATATTTCTACCAAATACCATTTCCGATCGTTCAGTTATATGGCAGCTATAGGATATAGTCGGCCGATCCTAATGAAATTTGGTAGGTTGGATCAACTGACCAAAAATAGAGTCTGTACTAAATTCCAGCTTTCTATCTTCAAAAACACGAAAGTTGGGTCATTTCCGATCGTTCAGTTATATGACAGCTATAGGATATAGTCGGCCGATCCTTATGAAATTTGGCATGTCGTATTATTTTGCCAAAAATAGCTCTCACCTAAAATTTGAACTCTCTAACTCTAAAAATACCAAAGTTATACCATTTCCGATCAATCAGTTATATGGCAGCTATAGGATATAGTCGGCCGATCCGGGCCGTTCCGACTTATATACTGCGTGCAAAGGAAAGAAGGGTGTGTGCAAAGTTTCAAGACGATAGCTTTAAAACTGAGAGACTAGTTTGCGTAGAAACAGACAGACGGACAGACGGACAGACGGACAGACGGACAGACGGACAGACGGACATGCTCATATCAACTCAGGAGGTGATCCTGATCAAGAATATATATACTTTATAGGGTCGGAGATGTCTCCTTCACTGCGTTGCACACTTTTGGACAAAATTATAATACCCTCTGCAAGGGTATAATTACAGTAATAATCGTGAGCTGAGTTGACATGACATCACGGTGAAATTGTTTGCGTCGCTGGCATTCAAAACAGTAGCACTTAAGGCCAGGAAATGTTTTGTGGCTAGAACATTTCGACAGTTAGCACAGTTAGTGCAACTCCAAGTCACCCGGCTTATCCTACGTTTCAAAGTTGGCAGCACAGCTTAGTTCCCAATGGAAGATCAACTTGTTTGTTAATCAGAGAGCTTATAATTAAGATAATAAGCTGCCATTGAGATCTAGAGAAGCGAAGATGTTCATTCTCATGGAAAGTTTTTGATTCACGTAACACGGAATTCAATTTACAGAATTGCCTGAATTCTATTTGACATTAAAAAGGCTTACCTGGGAAAATACCTCCTCCCACTTGTCGAATCGTTTAATCAGAAATTATCGCCATTAATCGGTAAACTCCTTAGTTAGTCATAAACCACAAACCCCAATAAATAAGCCTCCTGATTTATTGACCATTGTAAATGGGTTGAGGCGCCATAAATTTGTTTGAGCCCAAAAGCCCATAACGATTGTTGGCAGACGCACTTCACCCGCACCTTCAGCCGACGAAAAACTGAAATTTAAACCGATTCTGGTTCAGAATAGTCCCCCACCCATGACCATACCCAAAAAACATTGGCAAAAATCCAAACATCCATGTGACTAATTAATTTATAACGACAATTAATGGCCGGCGAACTGGTTCCGATCTTTCCCCGCGACTTATCCAAGTATTATTAATAAAATCATCACCTAAATGAACAAAAGTGCCCCAAGAGAGAAGCAAAGAGTTGCGCAAACCGAAATTAATAATCCGATTAAATTGATTAATTATTGTAGACGAATTGAGGCGAAATTGAATGGAAAAAATAAACAGCCAGAATCTTTTGTTTTGCACTAACACGAGTGGCATGTGTATGGGGAAAATTTATGTCTGTGTTTTGGTATTAACTTCAGGGCTAAATAAAGTGCATCATTTGCATAAGGCACGAAAATAACTGATTTTAAATTTAAGAAAGAAACGGCTCTCCTTTACAAACCGAAACCGAAGAAAGCCACACCTGTCTTTTGTTCTTCCAAGAAAAAAAAGAAAACTCTTGTATGGTTTTTTGATTAAAACATTTTCCTTTCTGTTTTGTATAATAATTGTACATTTGACGTCATATTGGGTAAAAAATTACCATTGGAGCCACCTTAAAAACTATCACAAGCCATAAAAGTTGTTTTCGTCAATCCTTTGCCCGTCAGTCAGCGACCCAACTTTCTTTGAATGATTAAAAATCATATGAGCAGAAATAGACATAAATTAGGAAACTTATGCCATATTCGCGTGTCGGCAGCAAATTAATAAAACCAAAGAGGGGATATATTCTTTTGGGTTTTGCCATTCCAGAGACGAGGTGAGAAAATGCTACAGGCGATGACATTGCTCATGTTTTAATAATACGCAGATAAGTCATGGCTAGAAGACCCACCACGCTCCCCTCCTCCAATAATCTGTGGGCCAGGCCAGGACTTGGGAGCGGCTTGTGCAGAGCCAAGCCTTTGACTTGGCCTTTAGTCAGAAATCAGACGGGCACGTGTGCTTGACCACGCCCACGTACCTTGATTTTAGTTATGGCCAAGGCTGGTTATAAGGCCTTAAGAGGCACTGAAAGAAAAATGATTGGTAATAATCAGGAACTTAATTGGCGGCTTTATTTTATTTTTTTCTTGTAAGATAACTAGAGGGCTGGAACGCTGCTTACTTAGTTTTTTCTTTCAGTGTCTTGTTGTACCATCCACAGGATGTAAGCCAGAAAAACAGGTGCATGTCCATGTCGAACGGATGTCCGCAACAAAAGCAAGTTTACGGCCACTGCAAGTCGCTTTCCCAGAGGTCAGAAATGCATTTAACCGTACGGGAAACTTGGCCTAGATTCCATTTTGGACTCACACTGTGAATAGCTATATTCGAAACGGGATCCTAGCCATTTAGATAATCGTAGAGTGGCTAGCACCCGTGCGTTAATCTAACGCCATACAATTAATTCTGGCTAACGAAATCAAACCCAACATGGGGATCCGAGTGGGAACTAGTATGTATTTGGCTATCTGGGAGCAGTCGTAACACCTTATCGGCCTTATCGGTCAGTCAGTCAGCCAGGTAATTTCACGGGCAATAGCCATAAATCGCTGGAGAGACTGCTCTTGGCAGTGACATGAAAGCGAACGAGCCGCAAAAATGCAGATTTAATCTTCAGACATTGCGAAATAGCTGAATAATTCCACTTGAGAATGTGGCGAAGGGTTCTCTATGAGTTCATAGTTTTGTGTTCTGACCCAACGACTAGGAATTTTTCACACGAGGATCGTGATTTATATGCCATGATGATGGCGATAACGAAAGTCCGAAATTTCTTTTTCATTGTTTTTTTGGAGGGTAGTGGGTGCGGGTGCAGCGACCTTGACATTTGAATTGTATTTTCGGTTTCTGAGCTTTAGAGGTTACGACGAATTTTGTATACCCTTCTTGAATGTTCACATTCTTGAACTATACTCTTAAAATAATGGTTTAAATTCTATCACAAAATTACACCATTTTTGGAATCTTGTTATTTTTTTATAGAGTATCTTGTGGTTTAACTTTCCCGCCAAATAAAGATTTTAATCTTCCACTTCGAGTAATAAAATTTTAATTTGTTTTGCTTGTACAATATTTCTTTATTTTTTTCTTATTTTCAAACACGGAAGCCACCAGAGAAAGAAAGCAAAAGAGCCAGAAAATAAAGCCAGGCTTTACCTGTTTTGAATTTCAAATTATTTCTTGAGTTTTGCGAACAACAACAAAAAACGGGCCAAACTCATGAAAATTAGCAAGTGTTTGTGTGCCAGGTACAGTACATTCTGGAATGTGGGTCACTCCTCCACAAGACAAGTTCTTGATGGCCGGGGGGCTATCGCTCCAGAAAAAGTGAAATATTACGCATACGCCTGGAATTTCTCGATTCGAAAGAAATTAAAGTTTATTTCACTTTAGTCAGTGCCCGATTTTCATGTTTATGTTTTGCGATAGTGCGACAAGATTGCGTTAATTAATTTCATGTCGATGGCATTGGCAATGACAGTGTCACAAAGTGATTGATAGCCGGCATCGGGGTCGGGGAATTGATAGAGTGCTTCCCAATTTTAGAATCGAAATCAAAGAGTCATAATTAAATAAACTAGAATACACAGAGTATTTATTTAAAACGCACAACGTTTGCTCTGCTAATCAAATTATAAAGAATTATAAAGACTCATTAAACTTTCAACTCTAATTAAATTAATTACAATTCATTATGAACATATTATCAAATGGTATTCGACAAATTAAATGCGAAATTAACGCAGATAAATCTTCATCTCGCAAATGTATCTCAACTGGCCTTGCTGAATGGATTGTTTTTTGTATTTTTTGGTGTATCTCTGTATGAATTTTTTTTTAGCAAATAGACAAAATCCACAGAAAGCCTCGACGTCGTCACGCCCTCACCTTCCAATTGATGACTTTTGTGTGTAATTGTTGTTATTATGATTTTGTTTTTTTGTTAATTTCATTTTTTTTAATGTGCCTGCCGGCCACAACAATAATTTATTGGGTTTCGCGGATTTTCTTCAGACCACTTTCAATGGCAAACATACGCAATTCAAGATTTCAAGATTTTTTTTGTAAGGTTTTAGCATTAGAGTCCCAAGGATGTGACATGCGGGAGGCCTACGAAGGTTATATCCACCTCATTTAGATTATGTTGGGTAAACTGGGGAGATAGCATATTTATTTTTAGTATTTCCAGGTAGCAGTCACTACTTTATCTTTATGGAGCCGCGGTTAGGTAGTCACTTTGCTTTCCTCAAAAAAACACAAACTAGACTCTGGAGTCTAGATATAAAAGCCATCAATTATAGAACTGATTGCGGTGATAACTAAAGCGCAGAAAGGCTCAAACAGCCTATTAAGCAAACTTTAGGTGTTAAGAGGCCTTTCGTAAGCGTAACTAACAGCTAATTTAAATGCCAGCTAAGAAAGTTATAAAATATTTGTAATAATTTGTGTAAATTATCAGAAATACAAAACACAGACATCAACTTGACAACGCACTTCACAGCTTAAAGCTCAACCTGAGAGGTACAACAAATTGTAAATTAATGATCCAAAGTTCCATTGAACTTGAATTTCAATTTTCAATTCAATTGCCGTGATTAATATCGCAATTGCCTGGCAGATGAAGTTATTAATTTAACCCCCCACCTCGCCCAGCCGGTATTGATTGATTGTCAAACGAAGATGGAAACAATTCAACAATCATTTGTGTTTGTTCCTCCACAATGCTCGTGTAATTATGTTTGACATTTTTTGTATCTTTAATTAATTTTAATTTACATTTGTTTTAGCTACCCCTTGACTTGGGAATAGATATTGAATTAAACAAATGTTCATTGCAAATAAACCATAAATTTTGTCCATTTATGCTAATTGAGTTTCGGGCCAATTGCGATTCTTGTCTTGTCAACAGGTCGATCTGGTTTCATTTGCCAATTTTATTTACGATTCTCATAGATTGGACCCGACGTGGGTGTATCAGCCTTCAACAAATTTCGATTTCCATTAGAAGTCTTTGCGATAAAATGGTTATTGCTTGAAGTATTCATTAATGGCCGTTTCCTGGGCTCAAAATATTTAGATCAAGTGCGAGATAGTTTCACTTTTTAAAGGGTTATAGTCCCAACTTAAGTTCCATTTTAATGGCCTTATCAGTTTGAAAATTTTGATAAAAAGTGGCGTCAATTGAATTCCTCGAAATATCAGTTGGTTATTTATGGACTTCCTGGATTATGGGTTTGGCGCAGGGGGAATTCCTCCGATCAGAGATCTCTGCCAATTCAGATCACGTTGGCCTGCATCTTTGCCGGCCATTTGATATTTTCACCCGATCTACTGCCACGGAATGCGAATGAGCTGCAATTTGCAGTTGGCCATAAACAATTGCAACTGGCCGGTAGCCTAACTGTTTGTCGACAGCCCCCCACTTTTATGGGGTCTTGCCTGCATTTTTTTTTTGATTTTATGGTCTGGCTGTCACCAAAGTCATGGGACAGAAGATAATTGCTGGCACTAAGTAGAGAGTGTGCGAACTTGACTTGATAACATCCCGCAACTTATCAGAGCCCAGAATTGTGGCATTATTTGGCCAGCACTTGACATTGCTGTGATAACAAGTTTGTATTTATCTTTCGGATTAAGATGGGCTTCTCCAGATACCCAGATCTCTTAGACCTCAATCTGGTAATCCCCAGATGGCCCATATTAAATGCATCTCAGGCTCATCATGAGCGTGTGTCTTGTTATTTTTTGTAAATATTTAGAGGTAAGCCCATTAGCACCCGCTCATTAGCACTCAACTAAGCGATAATGACAAATGATAGAGCCATAAAGGCTTCTGTCAGGAAGTAAACACCCAGGTGCCATTAAACAAATTAATTAATCAAACGATGTAAATTGTTTGAACAGACCAGGCAAAGGGCAAATTGTTTAAATAACAAAATAAACAGTATGGTAATAAGTTTCTAAAACCATGAGCTTACTGGTTTCCCCTTCTTTTGTGGCTTTTCTACAAAAATGACAAAAACTAATAACTAATTATGATGTGGCTTGCGCTGCACAGGTTTCAATCAATTGTAGATTTGTTGCAATCTTTACTAATATCTGTTTTTTGTCCAATTTTTTCTTCTATTCCATTTGCAGAAATGTCGAAATTCGTTGGCGTTGCCGACATAACCGAGAACAAGAAAATCTGGCGCATGCTATTCGGCGAACTGGTGGGCACATTTTTCTTGGTCTTCGTCGGCGTTGGCAGCACGACGAGCGGAAGTGTACCACAAATCGCATTCACCTTTGGCTTGACTGTGGCCACCATCGCCCAGGTAAAGTATATACGATATACGCACTATAATCTGCAGTTAGAGTGGACTACATCATGTAGTTATATCGAGTAGCTTTCAGTAGAATTTATATTGCCTTTTGTTCATGTCCACCCTTGAAACCCCGCAAAATACAAATCATACAAAGAGAACGCATCGAGCTATAGATTTGAGATTTTTTGAGTCGAAGTGCGTGCATTTATCGGCGGACATTTTCAAGGACACGCCACCGCCGCGTTACACTTTCGGCTCATTCACAAACGTGGCTATATAGCCGCTGCTGCTGCCGCTGCTGTTGCTATTTTGGCCAAGAGACATTGGCATTTAAAACGCGACAACAAGACAACATCTCGCACACAGTTCGTTGCAATAAAAACGGCAAACGAATGCAGCTCGACTCTTGACTTCAAGCCTCAAAGCCTCAAGACTGCGTGCGAATGTAATTTAGAAAATTGACAGATTTACAAACGCACACACATCACACAAATTCAGATTCAGATTGAGATTCAGAATGCGAATAATAAATGCGCGCTCGCAGCAAAAGCGTCTGCGCTGGCAATTAACATTAATCAACACGCAAAATATGCAATTAGATTATTATGCGTTTAATTACGTTATGCTGTGTGCTGCCCCGACTGTACTTGGAGTGTGTTTTGTGCATTTTAGCATTTAAAGCGATCTACCATTCAATTTATGGCACTACAAAAGTCAAGCACAAATAAGCGAATCCATCAAAATAAAGAATATGTCTTGGAACTCATCTTGTGGCATACTTGGCGTATGAGTCATATTTTTTAAACAATTTTTAGAGTCTTTAAAATAGAATTAAGAACCGATAAATGCTAGCAATATCATACAAAAGAAGTCTTAGATTTTAATAAAAAATATCTCTGTTCAATCCCCTATCTTTGGGATCACTAGTCGTATGCGTAATATTAGCAGCTACTTAAAAAAATCATTTTATTTATTATCTTCATCTTTTCCCCTATTTCTGCAATTTAAAAGGCTATAACATAATCGTTCGAAAGCATTAATAATTTCTATAATTTAATGAAATCAAGTAGCAATTTTATTGGCAACCGACAATGCAACATTATTAACGCTTACCTCAGCCACCGTGTATTTCCCCGCGGAAAAGACTTGCAACATTTTGGTTGGCCTGCCGTTGGCTATTAGGTGGCAAATTAGTTGTTCGACGATTTCCAAACCACGTGCCATGAAAGATGCAAGAAATCAGTCATGTTGCAAGTGCAACCTGTGGCAGCAGCGGCTTTTCCTGCCTTTTCCCGCGCCAGCCCAACACGATTGCCCAGATTAGCCAAGGTATGTGTGACGACAATGGCTATTTGACGGGTTTGCTTGTTCGTCATCGTTATCGGGTTATATATACCTATAGTATATATCCATATAGTGTTTTGTTCAATGGAGCCCAACGCGTGGCGTCAAATTGGAAAACGTGCTAATTGCAAACAATTGTGTTCGCCCTGGAATGGCACTAGTCCACTAGTTACAAGTCTAGAAACATAACCGAACTAAGCCCAGAAATATGATATTGCTGATCCAGCAAATATGTATATCGTGTATCTCCATAGAGCGGCACTTCAAATGCAAATCTCCGGCAGATTCACATTTGAATGCATCGAGCATCAGAAGGAAGTAAATCTTTGAACAATGCAAATAAAGTAAAATTAAATTTAATTTATAAAAACGTGCTTTGGAAAATATTAAATCAGGAGATTACGAGTCAACTTAATGCGAGTCGTAAATCTTAAAGGCCACAGCTTCAGATTGTTATCCAAAATGAGAGGGCTTGGCTTTAGACCTACATTCTTGGCTGACATTGTTCAAGAGGAAATGCCTTAAAAAAATAAAGAATAAAAATGAAATATCTCTAAGTACCCGTATTCACTTCTTGACTAGAAAAACTTTGTGCGTGCAGCATTCACGTTTTGGTTTTCAATTCAAGATCGCAATCGAATCAAGTTGTTTGAACAAACTTTTCTACTTTGACTCCGACTCCGACTACGACTCTGACTCTGACTTCGACTTCGACTTTGGCTTTGGCCCGATGCGAACTTGAATTGAATCAGCAAACGAGCAAAAAATATCAACAACAATCGCCAAAATGTTGCTGTTGAAAAGCAGAACGAAACAAACAAGTTAACATTCGATTTTCAGCCGCCAAGCCATAAAATATGATTTAAGCGTAAATGTCGAATTGCTGCAGTCCGCCGCTGCACATGCGTAAACCAATCGATCTCAATATACATTTGTATATAAAAATATATAGGTATATAAAAATGTATCTGGTCGATCGGTAGTAGAGACAACGAGGAGACACTGCCATGGCAGACTTTTCGTAGCCAGCAAGTGGCCTTGAGATCACGGAGGCTTGGACTGCAGAATAAAATAATAATGTTCTCCATCGGCTGTGGGCTTATTTATTATTATAATAAATAAAACATGATATAATGCAGAAACAGTAATAGTTTAAGCTAATAGATATTGCCACAATTAAATCAATTTTGTTTATTTATGATTTAAGCTTTTAAAAACTAGCCGATGTCTCACAAATAAACAGCAACTCCTTAGAGCAAGAATTATCATTCATGGCCACTTTTCCATTATAGGCTGTGACATCCACACAGTCTCCATCGTTGGTGGGTTCTTTGACGTCCCATTTTAAAAATCTGGCCTCGGATCCATTGGTCATGGACACATATTTTCCCTCCTGAAACTGATCAGTGACATCGATCCAGTATCGTGCATTTGGCAGCAGCTTCCCTTTGATGGCATCCAAGTCTTCCTGGTGCCGCAGGTTGACCAAATGCCCGCCCATTTCATGGCATTTCTGCAATGCCACGTGCCATGTTACCTTTTGGTTCTTTTCGATGTAGTAGTACTTGGATCCGATTTTTTCAAAATTAGTATTATTTGGAGGGCTGGAGGCTAGTTCCAACTGGGTGCTGTTATCCTTATCGTTGGACAAGGATAAAGGACTTCCGAAAGTCTCTAGTCTTTTGTCGTTGAGGGCCAATCTAGCGATTGTAATGGCTGCCTCACAGGACTCTGTTCTTCTTTGCAAGACAGCGAGGTTCGACATGCAGGGTTTCAAGACTCCGAAGCAATAGGAATCGCACTGTGACTGGCAGCTATCACCCTGTTTAATTAATTTTTAATGATATAGGGTTTGATTTTAAATAACTATAGACTTGCCTTGCATTCCTCAAAGGAAGTTCTTACAATAAATATTACTAATAAAGTTAAAATAACTGAGTAGTGCATTGCTTTTGATTTGTAGGACTTGTTTGTAAGGAAATCTAAAGAAGACTGATGGTACTTATAGAGCTGCAGCTCTGAAAGTCAGATAATTCAAGACATTGACTTTTAGAAGAATGTTTTCAAAATCATACGTACATATGTACTTTGCAGCAAATCGTACGCTTCTTATCGGCTTCTGTAAATTGTTTATTTATAAATGTTGTTTAAGAAGAAAGTCTTTGTAACCTTTATGATTATTTTAAACATAAATCTCCCATTGACCAAACTCCAGTTTAGCCAATTTTTGATCAATGACTCATTGCTAAGTTCAGTCATTCTGTCACTCTCGGATTTCACACGCACCCGGACCGTCGATCGCGATTGCTTTCGTTGCATATATTAAATTTAATTATGGGTTTCGGGTCTAGCAATAAATTTGATTAATTTCACGACTCTTCGAGTGGGCTGGAGTGTTCAGAGTGTTCAGATTGTGTTTGTGTGTGCAATTAAGAGGCTGAGAACAATGCGATAGGCCTAAAGCCTAAAGCCTAAAGGCCCAAAGCTCAGATCTTGTCGATTAGGTCAGAGTGTATTTATATGTATAGGTAGACAACTTGCAACAAAAGCGGCAACTTAATATTATAGACGAAATTGCAATGCACGCATGAGCATAACCAAAATGTCAAGAAGTTGTTCGAGTTGCAGTTCGCCGCTCGACTCGATCCGATCTTGCTCTTGGCGGCATTTGTAATTAGCGTTTTGTGGTTGAACGGCCAACACGGCTATTTTTTGTTTGTAGTTGCATTTTTTGCGCATTTATTAATTAAACGCAAAGCAACGCACGACATTGGCCATGCGAAATCCATATCGAAATCGAAATTCGTATCACCAAAAAAAAAAAAAGAACAAAAAACTAAAACCAAAACAGCTTAGCTGCAAAAAAAACCAAAAAAGATATCAAACATAGAAGCCTGCACATCGACCTTGATTGCAGTGAACAGTGCGTTTTGGCTTCATTCATAACACTTGATCCAATCCGATCCACAACGACTCCAAACCCATCCAATCCGATCCGATCTGCAGACAAGTGGCAATTTGTTGGATTTCCATTTACCATAACCGAGTAGTTCCATGTGATCCCTCTTGGGGCAATGACTTGGCAGAACCCCGATTTAAATCACTTTTACTTTCGAGCCGGCTCGACCTGAACTTTGCAGATACAAGATACAAGATACTCGTTCGGCAAACGGCAAAACACTTGAGTGCATCTCGTATCTGACAAATTGCTTGTATCCGTTGGCAGCTGCCAGCGTAAGCGATTGTGCAATGAAAATTTCGGAAAAATCGACAAAAAACCCAAAACGATCTTATAGGAAAAGGTAAAAATCGGATGTCACGGCAAAGGGCAAAACATTGAACAACAAAGGTTGGCTCAGATGTTGCATTGTCAACTTGACATTTGACTTTGATTGAAAAGAAATTTAAGATGTATCTTTTTTGAGAGACAAAGGTGAAAGATATTTACTTTGAAAGTTAAAAATAATTAACACTTATAGGCTGATTTAAGTATGAATTTCCTGAAACCTAATAACTGATTTTTTTTTTTTATAATTTCCAGGGCTTGGGTCACTTGAGTGGCTGCCACATCAACCCTGCTGTCACCTTGGGCTTCCTTATTGTCGGCGAGATCAGCATCCTGAAGGCGGCCTTCTACATCATCGTCCAGTTGGTGGGCGCCATTGCCGGAGCTGCTGTGATCAAGGTGGCCCTGAACGGACTGGTCGGTAGCGGACTGGGTGTCTCCTCCTTCGATCCCTCCCTGGACGCCGGACAGGCGGTGCTAATTGAGGCTCTGATCACCTTCATCCTGGTGTTTGTGGTGAAGGCTGTTTCAGACCCGGCTCGCACGGACATCAAGGGATCGGCTCCATTGGCTGTGGGACTTGCCATCACCGCTGGACATCTGTGTGCCGTAAGTTGTGGAATAAACAATAAAATAGAATCTTTAATAATCACTGGGTATATTGCAGGTGAAACTGAGCGGTGCCAGCATGAATCCAGCCCGATCCTTCGGACCCGCTGTGGTGCAGGGCATGTGGGGGGACCACTGGGTATACTGGGTGGGTCCCGTTGCCGGTGGCCTGGTTGCCGGAATTATCTACCGGTTCATCTTCAAGGTACGCAAGGGCGACGATGAGGCCAACTCGTACGACTTCTAGACTTCTTAACAATATCCGAAATACCATATTTTTGTAAATGTCCGCACCCGCTTCCCATCCACATCACATTTCGCTTAACACCCACCAGGGACACATCGAATTCTTTTTCGAAATTTTCTCCTTAACCTCTGACCTCTGAACACTATTTTTCCCCTCCCACTTGCCCCTGTCTCACACACAACTGTACAATTTTTTATTTGTTAAAAAATAAAAAGCAGACATCTTGTTTAGTTAATAATGCGATGATAACACCTAAAATATGCAATATTGTATTTGAGTAATTTTAAGCTAAATTATGTGCACAATATCGAGGGAAAACTGTATTGAAGCTTGACTAAATTGTATCTCGAGGGCACTTTCACTTTGTTGAGCACCTACGAATTGTATTATGACTATTGTGTAATAAAATGTAAATCAAGAAAATCCAAATACAACTGCGTCTTTGTCTGTATGTCCTGGGGCTTCAATCACCACCACAATCATCCAATCAGGCGATCATTCGGTGACATTTTTAAACACTTTTTTAAAAATATAGCTCTTGGAGTGCGTTTTCCTCGGCAGCGGATGAATTTGGTGAATTCTGAAATCTATTCTTGCGATTATTGCTTCGGGCCTATACCAGTGCTACGCTTGGGTTTTATCTTTATTTTTTTTTCAAAGTTCAGAGGCTAATCTATGAATTTCAGTTCAAGAAACCCTTTAGACCATCGAAAGAGTCCTTCTGGTCCGTTGAGATCTTGAAAATCCCCATCATGGTCATATTTTTGTTTGCCATTCTTTGCATTCTCCTGATGATGTTTCTTCTGCTCGAGGACCCGGTTCTTATCAATCGGCAAGATGTGGAGCTCTAAGAGATATTTTATGAATCATCAAAGGTATTTAAAAAAATATACAATATTTCCCAAGTAAATATTTTTACATTTTAGACAGAACTTGGAACATGATGAGCATCAGCCAAAGATACAAAGGAAACATATCAAAGAACAAATTATTTTATTTATGACTAGTTAATTTTTAAGATACCATTAAGACTTTACTGAAAAATTGGTTTGATTTAAATAAAAAATAAGAAAACCATTTCCCATAACCATTTTACATCAACTTTTTATCCAAGACACAACCCTATCTATGTCGTAGTCTTCTACCACACGCTAGATGGCGCCAAAATTAATGTGTTGCACCATTAACATTTTCTAGTTGTATTTGAGTGTTTTTATATATTTTAAGAAAAATAATGCACAAATAAACAGATAATTAAAAATATTTGTGCTGTTTCAAGGGAAATACCCTTTGGCTTCTATTAACTTCTTGTTGATCGCGCTCGGGAATGGGATTTACACCAAGCCTTACGCGATTATTATTCATAATAGTTGATAAGAAGAGTACTTTTATTGCCGCCGAGCTAAGACTCTTTTCGACTACTTGGAAATTTTCATTCTCAAAACAATATTTTACGTCATTACTCTTGCTCACTGGGTGCACTTTATGGTGGTACACTGCCGCATGAACCCAATAAAGTGTTACAAGGTAAGATGCGCACGCGTGCCCAGCCGTTCAGGTAATTTCAGCCGCAAACAATTGGCAATTTCACCTCAAATTCTGATAAGCGATGCACTGGCAGGAAAACTGAGTACCAGCGTTTATTTAATTAGGCAAAAACCGCATGTGTGCGATCACATTATTACTATTTTACCTTTCGGGCTTCCAATGTTTTGTTATCAGCCCTCAGCTCTCGTTTGAATAATGAATATAGTCGTCGCTACAGATATAGCTATAGCCCTGAGCTTCTCCCAACTGACGATCAGGGTTTTCAGTGTTCGATGCAATCAGCTCACGACAACACGTTGCGAAATGAAGCCCACCTTTAAAACAGTCATATTTTTGTGCTTTTTGGTGTCTGGAGGCTTGGGTCAGGATGTGGAGCCTGAGTTTCCGGTATTCGTAGAAGACACTACGGAGACTGAAACTGAAAAGCCTATCGCGAGTACCACAGTTTCAACAACTTCAACAACACCAGAACCACCAACAACCACAACAGAATCTACAACCACTACAACAACCACCACGGAAACTACAACAACTTCAACAACACCTGAACCCACAACAACCACCACGGAAGCTACAACAACTTCAACGACACCTGAACCCACAACAACTCCAGTTCCTTCCACAACAACAGTGGGAATACCAACTACCATTTCCACAAGTACCCAACGGGAACCCACCTACCCAACCCAATTACCAACCACAACCACGAGGAAACCCCCGTACACCACCAGGAATCCTTGGGATTGGTATCAGCCAGCCCAGCGTTGTTATTTGAAAGATCAAGTGAATTACGCCATTAATTGTTATGGTAATTATAATAAGAAATCCACCAGGAGAAAGTGAGTCAAGGTTGATTCACACTGACTCACTGTTTGTTTTTCCAATTTTCAGGCTACGGCTGGACTATATCTTACAGTTGTTATCGGTGTTGTTATTATGATTACAATCATATTTCCGGATGCAGTAAGCTCCACCAGGGGCGCTGCTGGTGGTATAATGGGGGCTACTATTAAATAAAAAGTAACTGTTAGATAACTTTTAGAAACTTTATGAATTATGTTTTACAAAAAAACTGTGAATAGTATGTGTGATTAACAAGAATTATTAAAAATGTGTCTTTCCTAATCCAGAGTGTAAACATTGCCCAGATTCAGGAAGCAATCCTTGAGATGCTGTTGGGATTCACAGAAATCGGGGAAGGGCGGAGCCAGTACTTCGTACATAATCCGGATCAGGTCGATAAATTTAACAAGGGCCTTTGAGTACTCTCCGGTTTCGTAGAGCCTCTTTGCCGTTCGGGTCATCATCTCAGTGTCCTGCATGACCTTGAGACCCTTCAGGATGTTAGTTATCTCGCCACAGGTCACGCACTTGACCATGAAATCATTGCAGCTCGGTGGCACCTCGATAACGGCAGCACAATTGTTCGGAGCCTCGCATCGGAAACGGATGATATCCCGTGGAAGATCATCGAATTTGGGCCAATTATCGATGCAGGCATCACAGGAGCACTCGAACCAGTACAACTCCTTGAGACGAGCCTGTCGCTCCGACCTTTCGTCCTGCGTGTAAATCGGTCCATAGTTCTCATTGATTGGGAGTCCAGCTTCGATGGGACGGACACTGTTTATGTGGATGGTGCTGCCACGGAAGTAGCGCACGACTCCGGGATCGCACGAGTGATTGAACAGGGCCAGGGTCGGGTAGATGGCGCCACCAATGAAGATGGACTTCTCCCTTCCCGAGGAGCTAAACTTGTGCAGTTCGGCCACCTCGTGAGTGTTGAACTGGATGAACTGCAGACTGCGAAGCACCAAGGAGCATATGACTTGGACCTGGTCCTGCTTGGGGTCCGAGCCAAAGTAACCTCCCGCCTTGAGGCAGCGGGTCAAAAAGCGGGCCATCAGGACATGCTGGAAGAAGTTGGAGGGCTGACGTTCGCCTTGATGTCTCTCCAGTTGGGCCACTCGGCGGAAGTCGTCTTTGGGTAGGCTGGAAAAGTTGATAATTACTTTTTGAAAAATGCTTTTAAGAAACCTTACTAATCTACCTTACCTTATCAACTTTTCCGGCGAGAGTTCTTCATCAATTGTTGGCTTTAACTTGAGGAAGTAATCCAAGGGTTTACTGGCTATGATCCTCAGGGCAATATGGTTATTAATTGATGCTCCCGATCGCCACAGAATGGGGACTATGCCACACTCGTATTTATGAAATTTTTTAGCTGCCTCTTCACGACATTGTTCCGAACAATAAATGACATCAGCACACCGGGGACAGGCCACAGGAACCACACTCCTATTGAAAGGATACAAATGGTTTACCCTTTTCAGATCATCAATCATCAATCAACATTACCTCACAAAGCAATTCTCGCAATGGGTTTTGGCAAATTTCTCCAAGAGGACCGAGACGAAAGGACGTTCTACGAGAAGTTCTTCGCCAGCTTTCACATCGGCAGCTGCCCTGGCAAAACGACCCTCTTGCCGATTCCGATCAATCCTCACCAAAGGACTCACAAACTCCTTCTCCTCCGGCAGACTCTGAGCCTGATCCAAAGTAGTCTTACGCTTTTGTTGTTTGGCTTCCTGCTTGGCAGTTCGGGGATCGTGTTGCAACATTTTGATCATGGTCATGGCATCCAGGTTGAGTTTGGAGCGCTTGTCGGAGGTCAAGGTAGAGTTATCCATGGTGGTGATGCATTTTCTAGTAAATCATAGATTAGTTTTTATTCAAAATAAAGTATAACAAAGCTAAAACTTACTTGAAAGCTTCAATTGTATGAGGATAATCCTTAAGAGCCATGTAGCAACGGGCTTGACGTTCGTAGAGTTTGTAGACCAAGTCTTTGGGATAGCCCAAATCCAAGGCTCTGCGGATATCTATGAGGCATTCTCTGGAAATTATAAAAGAAAGAGTTATATTCAGAGTAAGAAGGTAAACAATAAACTCTACTTACTGATATTTTTGAAGATGGTACAAGGTAGCCGATCGATTGGCCAAAACAATACGTATTTCAGCCACTAAAAAATATATTTAAAAAGTTTCAAGATAAAATATTAAGGTATAAGTCCATCTATCTACTAACCATTTTCATTGGGCAACGCCAGATAGCTTCTGGTGTAAAGAACCATGGCCTCCAGCCACTTTTTGGCCTTGAAGGCTGCAGTGGCCGACTCCTTGATCTCTGCTGCCAAAACGGCGCTCTTGCCGGTGAATTCCTGGTTCACCACCAGGTTGGCATCCCCAGCCTGCACCCATGGTAACTTTTCCACATAGGCCACGCGCTCCTCATCACTGCCACAGGCCGATAACTTGGCTATATCCGACTCGCAAGTGGCACCTGCCTGATCCTTTAGCTTTAGATAGTATTCGGCAAAGAAGGCCGACTTCTGGCTGAGTGGAGTTTTCATTTTAATTATTTTAATTAAGAATTAAAAACTTATGCAAGTAACAAAGAATTTTCACACGATTTTCTGTACTTTCAGCTAGAAAAATGCACACGAACTGAATGGGGAAAATGGGGAAAACTAGTCGACAACGTGTGGTATAGCTTTTCGGCGGTTTTATTTATAGATTAAAGAGAATATTAGGCAAAGAGAAATTGAGAAAGCAGGAGAGAGAACATTCCGCGTTTGTTTACTAACAAAATTGCCGACTGAGTAGGTTTAATTCTCTCGCATGGTTCTTTATTTACCAAGCACGATAGGCCATTTATAGTTAATTAAAAATGTTGGCTAAATTGGGCAAGAGGGGTGTCGGGAGCGTATGAATTTTGCAATTTGCGGAGACCGGTTTGTGCGCCTCTTTAGCTCAGTGGCAGAGCACTGGTCTTGTAAACCAGGGGTCGTGAGTTCAATCCTCACAGGAGGCAATTGGAAATAGTCAACGACGATCTATCTTTAGAAATTATTTGGGGATATTTTTTTTTAACCTTTGATTAGAGTTTGTTAAAGTAACCTTTTTAAAAACCTATAATAAATATTGGTATGTTACAAGCCCAACAGAGTAAAACCAAGAATATTCAGCAAAATATTGAAAAACAATCTAAAACACATATTTTTTTATGAAAAGAATAATTTCTTATTTTGATAAATGTTAAACTAAGTACTCAATATCTTAATGAAACATATTCCTTTATTTTATATATTCTCTATTCCATTTAATGCCTCTGAAAATATATTTATTGGTGTATTGTTTGATATTTTTTGTAAGAACTCTATGTAAAAATAGTTAAATGTGTTAAAAACAATCTGCTATTATTTAAAAAAAAAATAAAAACAATAGAAAAATAAAAATAAGTGATTTACTAATGCCTCCTGTGAGGATTGAACTCACGACCCCTGGTTTACAAGACCAGTGCTCTGCCACTGAGCTAAAGAGGCTTGAGCAACGCGGCCGGCAAAACCGAAATAACAAGATAGCGCGAATTGCTGGTCTGTTTTTCGCGCCCGTGTTGGCAGTCGCGCGGGTTGTTTGAAAAGTTACCCACACATACAATTATAATTGTGTGGCACTTTAGGAAATTGGCTCGGCAACAAAGGAAATTAATGTTTCTGGCGTTATCTAGGCATCAACGACACTTGATGCAACCGGCAGCTGGCTAATGAAGACAAGTCGAAGTTCAAAGAAAATTGCGGGAGTGAGGGCTTCACTCTAAGACTCCAATTTGTTATGGGTAAATTGTGGAGAAGTGGCGTGGGAAGTGGAGGAAACAACGCTTCTTAATTGTGTTACTAGAACTATGTAGAGCAACTGTAGATCCCTTCACCCAGGGTTACAGAAGATGGGGCACAACTGTACCACTGGCTTGTATCGAAGCCAGTTCCCATATCGAATTACCTTTGTTCAGCCCTTTGGCATTTAAGTTGTATGCAAATCCGCTAAAGCACCCGAAACAGAAAAGGTGAAATGCGTAAATTACAGTGTCAACATTACAACGCCCACTTTGGGTTGTTGTTTGGTAAAAAATTCAAATCGTTTTTTTTTTTTTGGGGTGTCCCGCCGTGAAAATGCATTATGCACAAAGGATGGCGAAACCCAATACGGTCGGGCAAGGGTGCATTATAAAATGTACAAGTATGTAAATTTTCCTAAGCTGTTGAATCGCGCCCCGCTTTTGACTTTAGGCATTTGTAACCCCCTTCGGTCCTTCGGTCCGACAGTGTTGGAAAACATTCGGCAAGGACGAAACAACTGGACATGACAGCTAACAGTACAAGCACTCGGCCCTGTAATCAATCATCAATCACGGCCAGAACCAGCAACAGAAGGGGTGGTCTGTCTGTCAAAAACAATGTAATCATCAGGGCTTACAGCGGATCGGCAGCTGTCACTTGTACGCGGTGCGACTTGTAGTAGTACAGTAGAGCCACTCAAAGGATGGCCCCGTGTGGTCCTGATTGAACATTGTCAATACTCGTAATCACCATTCATGGGGCGAGGTTTATGGCCTGTCATCCCGCTGCAAAATATTTATCACTCAGCGAGAGTTGCATCCTGGGTTCAGCCAGTAACTACGTATCTTCCACACTATGGTGTGCATGCAACAACCCCTAATCATGTTGGATGCTGCCGAATGCATTTCGAATCGCTTTCGTCCAGTTTTTGACCCTGCCTCTGAAAATCGCCACTGCGAATGCAAATTCAAGCGGAATAAACGATGCATGCCACTCCTCCCCCTGAGTGTCCCCTTTTCTATTTTATTTTAATTTTTTTTTTGCCAAGATCCGCCAGTTAATTACAATTTATTTTGTTGTTTCCCCTCCTGGCCCACCTTTTAATTTTTTGTCCCTTTCCGTTCTCTATGGTTCTCGATTGCACAGACACATACCTCCATCTACTCGTACATATATTTGATTAAACTTCCGCTGCATTTGGGTTTTTTGTTTGTTCTGATACCCTTCCATAAGGCTTGGTTTACTCTTCTGTTTGTTTGTTTTCAATCAAACACTTTTTTGTAATTTTTTATCCAAAAACAAATATTGATCAAAATGTTATTGACTTGAAAATTGAGTGTTAATTGGATGGATGGAGTATATTGTTTATAGAGTATTTTATAGATAGTTTCGTTTGCATTTTGCAATCCATTAAACTTCCGTTTCGAATTGTTGGTTTTTGCTTTTGTTTTTGTAATTTTCTTGTCATTGCCAAGTCTTTTGTTATTGCCACAGATTTTGTTGTTGGCTTGCAGGTATTCATGTCAACTTGATTTGCACTGAAAACTCACAGACTACGCGCAGACCCCCCCACAGACCATTCACAGACAACAATCGAATAAAACCGAAATTAATTGCAGCAACTAAATTGTGTTTAAGCCAGCCTGAGCACCTTCCTGCCTCACATTGTCAGCCAAATAATTAAAAATCATTTTTCTCTCCCAAGCCCCTTGCAGATCAGTTTTGCCGCAAAATGTCATTTGGTGGGCGAGAAAACGCATTTGGCTGTTGACATTTGGGTAACGTCATAAATTATTTATAACAGGCTTTACATTTTGGCCATTGTCTGAAAAGTCTTGAAAATGGATTTATTTTTTTTATGGAACTTGTACTTGATTGCCAGCTTAGATGTTTTATTTGTTTATGAGCCGATGTTGCCTTTTAGCCAACTTTTGACTTTTATGCAAATTAATGTGTGTCACTTAATTAATTTCGAACGATCGGATAAGCGTTTTAAATAAATTAAGGTCTCGAGGTGATCGAAATCAAGTTGTTTTTTCATTGAATAATTTTTGTCGAGACCTGGGACCTGCGGACTGATTTGTAAGTTAATGGCATCTAAATTTTAGTGAACGAATGTAAATCAAACGGATAAAAATGCTAAATCAACAAATTTTGAGACAATATATGGAGTGCCAAGTTGTAGATTAGATGGGTGGGGATCGTATATTAAATCAACTCAAGATTGGACAAACTTGTCTTGATTTTCTAAGAAAAACCAGACCGCTTTCAATCATTTAGAGTGGTTTGTGTTAAGCCGTCACTTATCGATCAAAGGAAGGAATCAAATTTCAATTTATTTCTCAACTCTTTTCTTTTGCGAAAATTTTCTTTTCGGTTTTCCTCAATCATTCAATTCATTCAGTAACCCTCTTCGCAACATGACTTCCTCGGCATTTCCTGCGTCACTGGGGGTCATTGGAAGTGCACAAAAGGCCCTAATTCAATTTGAGTTCCATTAACGTAAACGCATTGCGTGGAAAACTCTTCAGACCGAAATCAGTTCAAATTAATTAAAAACTAAAAATAATAGAAAATGCCCGAAAAGAAAGCAAAACACGAACAAAAAATGCACTTCAATGTGTTTACAAAGGCAACAATGGAAAGTGCTTCAGCTCAAGTGGAAAACAAAAGCTAAATGAAAAAAAAAGATGTGTTTGATTCGATGAGGGGGTTGAAAATTCCCGTTTCCAGAGCAGTGGCGTTGGCGGCAGCTGGCAAAAGGGAAAGGGAAGGGGTAGCGTTAGGGCAGGGCACGTGGCGCATGCGCCTGCGCAAAGGCCTGCGCCTGCTTCTGCCAGGGATCTCGATTCGGGTCGGGATCATAAGCTGTTACATCCAGCAATCCATCTGTAATACAGTTACAACCTGAGATTGATGGGCCTGAGGGGATGAGGCAGGATGAGAAGTGACAGACTGTGACGAATTGCTGCTCCGGGCCCGATGCCAACCTCCCTCCCCACACGCTATATACTTTTTCGATCTTTTTTTTTCGGGATGCTAATGACAACGTCCCATTGATGTAATGCTTCTTGCCTGTCAGCGAGTATTAGCCTCATATTTCTCTTTTTTTTGTTTTTTGTTGCAACTGCAATTTTACACTAAATCGGGCAATTTTTTACCCAATTCGGGGATTCATTGTTTTCGTTTGACACTTTCTGGATTGATTGGCCTCATAAAAAAAAGACAGCAAGACAGGGTAGAATTAGTGAGATTAAAATCCTTATTTTTTTGCGGTTTTGGGATGCTTATTTTAATGCGATTTAATGGCAATTTGGGCACCTCGGGTAATTTTAAGCCATTTTTGGCCATTTTATTACCCTCGCCGACACATTAACTGCAGCTGTTGAAAATTTTACAACTCAGCACGCGACAATTGCTTGTCTTTTCGTCTGTCAGGACGAGGATCGGGATCCTTCGCCTTGCCCATTGTGCCTGCTGTGAGCCTTGCTGGGGAATTCTTGACGGTTTCGGGCCTATAACATATGGGCCCTAATCGATCGGTCGTGTGGCGTATGTATGTACTTTCCGGGGGGAAAAACGCCCTGACCCGGAGCGCCGTTGATTTTACGGCTGCTAGCGAAGCGCAAAGATCGTTGATCCATTTTGCACGCACTGCTGCCTCGAAACTGAAATCGAACTGCACTCCGCACTCCATCCAGCATGTATCTGTATGTCTGAGTATCTCTTGGATGCGTGGTAATCAAAATGATGATGTGAAAATATTTGCTCATCAAGCATGTCGTTTTCATTTCAGTCTTAAGTCTTGAGGCTTTCAGGGAAGCCCTAATGGCTCCATCTTGGCAACAGGTGAACAGGCTGCCGAATTTCTGGCTCTTTCTTCTCCTGACCCTAATTGTCATGGGCCACTGAAGCGCAGCGCCCAAGAGCCGATCATAATGTTGATTATCCGCTGAATGTGTGTAATTTTTGTGAAATTAATATCCGGTCGGCCTGACCTTGTACGCCTCTACGTTACCCCCACTACTCTTTTCACCTTTTCGCTGGCATTTCTCTTAATTACGTTGGAAAGCATTTATCAGCTTGGCGACAGTACAAGAACAACTGTGTCAACATATGTTCGAGTTCTTCATCTGTTGCCTTGCTATCTTTTGTGTTCTACTCGCAGATACAAAGATAGAAAGATACAATGCAAGCCGAGCTCTCACCCTGTTGAAATTCGCTACTGGGACGGCCTCGATTCGTGGGCCTCTTTAGCTCAGTGGCAGAGCACTGGTCTTGTAAACCAGGGGTCGTGAGTTCAATCCTCACAGGAGGCAATTCTAAAGCTGGGCTTTACTTTTGGAAAATCTTTTTATAACATGGTAAGTAAACGAGTAAATTATACCTCTGAAACTCTTTCTTTTGGAACTATCATGACAATCTATCCTTAGTTCTTCACTAAAATTCTTGATATTCTCAGGAACATTCCATTAAGTTGAACCCCTAAAGATAATATACACCTGTCACCTGCTTCAGGACGTGGAAACGCTCCAGAAATGCGATCCAGTTCCGCTTCCATTGCCACATTTAATTCGTTTAGCGAGTGAGACAATTTATGTTGTTTTGCGATCAGGGAACTGAAAAATGTTCTATGAACACGCACACCTCAGCCTTCGGAAAAACAAGAGCAGAGGACGTCTCCAGGTAGCTGGTCCAAGAGTTTTCTATATGTGGCATAAATTCAATTTTAATTGAGGTTACAAGCGGCTACTTGTTCACCCATCGAAATCTCATCTACTTGGCATAAATTACGGCTCACAACGACACTCCCGGTTTTTCTTACATTTTCAAGTGCCACAAAATGTAAAAATTTATAATGTTTGCTTTGGCCTTTTGCCCCGGCCTCCGCATCAATTACCAAACCAAACCGAAATCCCCGCTCGATCTCATTCTTGGAAAAGCGAGGAAAACCCAATGGCAAGTAGAGTTTTTCCAGCCACTTGCGGTCTTCCTTTCGTTGTTTATTTCGTTCGGGATGAAAAACCATAAAAAGTGGCCTCCATCAAGTGATTTTCTTTTTTTCCTTTCTTTTTATTTTTTTTTTATTTTTCGAGAGGAAGTGCTTCATTTTTTGTTTTTTTTTTGGCCCTTGACAGGCAACAAATATCTCTTCGATTCGGCGCATTCTTAGTCTTTTGTCTAGATCCGTCGGTGAAACGAAAGACTCAAGCGACGAACTTGTATGGAAATGAGCTAACAGCTTTCGGTGGATTTGGTAATAGACTCGCTCTAACGGTAAAGCACATTTCACTCGGCAGGCGAGGGTTTTTGATTTATCGCCACTGCCCTGCCTCACATTAGCTAATCGAAACGATATCAGCCCATAAAAAGTTTTGCAATTAGGAGACCAACCGGAGGGTTAAAACCCGAAAGTAGCGCACTTGAAGCGCGTGAGAGGCACAAGCGTAATCCCTTCTGTTATATTTTTTTTATATATTGCATGTCGCTTTAATTTTTATATAATTTTGATTTATGTCTGCTCTCGAATCGTGGCTCTGTGTATCTATTTTGGGTTGCCTTTAATGAAGGGAAATACAATCAACGCCAGCAACCCCTACGCATCAGGATACTACCCCCGATCTAGGGTAAAGGGTTTCCTTTTTGTTTTTTTGTGAGCACCGGGATTGTTGTGATCATTTTAATTGACTTTGCGCACGAGCGGACTCATCCGACCGAATCGGAGGAGATAAGAGCGGATCGAGGGGAAATTATTTAGATACCATGCCATATGTCGATGATGATGCAACTGGAGCAGCAGGCAAATGAGCAGTTTAAGATGCGCGTTGCAGTCGTTAAATCGGAAATCTCAGATGGAGACGGCAGCTGTCAAAATAGGCATAGACACCCACCGAAAATAAAGACGAGGGAGTGGAGTTCAATGCACTGGAACTCTATTAACCATTACGGTCTAACCCAATAAATCCTATTGCACTTTGCCAGGGGTCTCATGGCATCGCCTTTTACTCTCTCCCTCATGTAACAACACTCTTATTATCAGTGGTGGCAGAATATTTGGCTATTTTTTAGACCTTATAATAAATTGATTATAAAATGACATTTTTTTAGAGAAAATCTTACTTAAAGATAGTTTAACCTTTAGTTTTTAAGTTAAGCTTTCAATTTGTGGTCTCAATATTTTATAATATATATTTTAAATATTTTATAATATTTTTAACTTAAAATATTAAAACAAAACATCTTAATTATTGTACATACGTTGTGTTTAGAAATAGTTTCGATACTATAGAAGATAGTTAATTTTTATGTATTTCTAATAAATGAACAATAACTTAAACCTTTTGTTATGCTCAACTATTTTGAATTTTTTCCAATATTATATTTTATGTTTTTATTTTTAGAGCTGTCTAATAATATTTTTAGCTGTTTTATGGCTAAACTTACAAGAGAAACCGGGGGTGAGTTTACAACAGAGAGTGAGAGGCGGATTGTGAGTGTTTCGATGCCCGAGAGCGGCTTAGTGAGTTGCCACACGAAACGAGATACTCAGACATTGTTCAACCGTCGTCGCGATCGGATGTATCTTTCGGATTTCCATCGTCGACGTATCTTACGGATTCCGGTGATCAGAGCGCCTGCGTGAATTACAGACCTTCTTCCTTTCAGCCTGGAAGGAAATAAAACGTTGTGTGTGTTTATTTGTTTACCTTTGAAACTAAATTTCCTGCGTCCGCAAAGGAAGCCTTCATTGACAAAGGAAACGCACAAAGGAAATACAAATCATAAATAAAAATTAAACAAACAGCAAACGGAAATAATTAAGCAAACCAAAATTAAATTAAATAAATTGCAACAAATCTGTGCCGCTTGCGCTTTAGTAACGGCACCATAGCGATTTAAAGTCGTGCAACCAAACAATCGGCTTAAACATTGACATCATTGATTTATGCCTCAAGTGTAAATAATTCGCACAATACAATAAAACCAAATTGAGGCTTTCCACCCTCCTTCTTCTGGCCACAAATCCACACCAATCAAATGCAATGAAATGAAATGTTGCCATTGATTTGTGCACATTGCCATTGTTCAATTGTTGGTTGATTTTAAACTGAGGATCCGTACTTAAGTTGGTAAGTAGTTTTCATCGTTCGCAACAATGCCAGCAAATGAAGAGCGGAAGAATCGATCGCGGAAAGCGAAAGGTTAAGCAGCGATCGATTGTCACCGGTATTAGTGCATTCTAAGACACAGTGCGACCTCTTTAAAGAGAACGGGGTCACATCACATCAATAATAATAATGATGATGGGGCAATTTTCGCTTCGCTTAGTTTTCTGTCTGAGATTGTAGAAGGCCGCCACTCCTCTACTAAAGATCTTGGCACTTGTCTTGCATAATCCCCAAAGATGGTGGAAACCTTTTCTTATCATCACAAAAACTGGCAGGAAAATTGAAATCTCATAAATAATTTACCCCGCAATCCATTAAAACGCGATTTGTTTTACTGATGGGCCCCCCAGATAAGCCAATCTCCCCAGTTTTTTCGCTAATTATGCCATAACCAAGTTCAAAGTATCGCGCAAAAACTGATTCACTGATGAGGTCGGAATTCCTAACAACAAATTCTACCAATCGGCCGGCCACAATCAATCAGTCAAATATGACTCGATCTCTGACCATATAATTACATATTAGATTTTTGCGGTTGAATCAGAACCTTTGATTGAGATTCCGACGTGAAATGCACTGGGTGGCAGGTTCTTGGTATAAGGTCGTATCTCTCTGTCTTGATTCAGCACCCATCTCGTTTTTGTCATTAATTTTAATTAGATATTTCCTTTTGGGAATCGATGGCTGCATTTGAATAACAATTGACCGGTCTAACCGAATTGTGTGTTCATTGAAATGCCAAACCCTTTATCGGCAGGATGTCTTTGGGGTCTCTAGAGTATTATTTACATATTCTTCGAATTCCGCGTTCGTCTTTGACTTTTGTCTGCTTTTCTTTCGATGTGTTCAATGCTAACAACCTAATCAAAGATTGTTTTTTTGGTATTTCTTGGATATGTAAATTTTGTGGATGACTGTATTTTATTTTTATGTGGGTTTCATGTCGTGATTTCTGGCGACCGTGCCGACAGAGATGCATCAACGCATTACTACTGCTGACTGGTGGCTGACTTTTGTTTCTGTTCACCCCACCGCAGCATCAAAGTGGGAATAGAAAGCCGAGATTCGGAAAGATAACTTTGCATACATCACCATCGTGTGTTTGTTAACTTTTTAGTCTAACTGTTTCTTGGTTTTTTTTTTTTGGTTGCGGTTTTCACTTTCATTCAGAGGGCACTGTGGAACAATTAAAATGAGAGCTGCGAATCTCTATTTGAGATATAAACCAAGCCATACATTGATTTCGATTTCGCTTTCGTTCGATCATATATCCGATAGCGATGGCCAAGGCAATTTGCACTTTCCTATAGCACCTAATCGCAGGCCGACTTTCTAGAATTGATTTGCATAAGTGATTTGTCCAGTGCGGGGACTTTCGCGACCCCAATATTTGCATCTCGACCAGAAGCAGCTGACATTCTAACTGTGAACAATAATATTCGTAGCTCTCGACTGGGGCAGATAATAATTGTTCAGTGGAAATGATGGGCAATTATCAACTGACATGGCAACAGCTGCTAAACAAATGACTGACTGTACAGTGTTTACTCGAGAGCAACAACAATAGTTTTGTAAATATTTTGGATTGCGATAATTGTAATATTATATGCTACAAAAAAAAAGGTTAGAGGAAGAGCTCAGTGACATAACACCAGAGATTGTTAGAACCACTAATCAAATAAACAAAACAATGACCTTTCTTTGAATTCCCCCAAAGTCATGATAATAAAGAAAGGCATAAACCCCGAAAAAACAAACAAAGAAATTTCCATATTGATGTCAAGTCCATTAAGCAGGTTCTTAGCCAGTTGCTGGTATTACCATCTTAACCTGGCCGGGTCCATTTCGTTGGCCATGTCGCCAGAGACAGAGCCGGAGCAGCAGCCTCCGAGGCGATTAAAATTATCAATGTCGGGGCTGCGTTTTTTGTGACACTTGTGCACATAACACAAAATAATGCCCGACAATCCAAGCCAATTGTCAAGCTGGGCCAATTCGTATCTATTCGAGCGTGTTGTCAGTGGCTGCGAGAAATATTTTAGCTCGTAAATTACCCAAAAAAACACACACGGCAGCGCAGGTGTTGGGAAACTACGACCGGACGAGGGTTAAGGTTTAAACATTAGAGACAAGATAGAAAAAACAGCAAAACAAACCTAATTTGGCATCAAGCCCTCTGGCCAAATGTTTATTCATAAAGGTTATTAATAATACAAAAATGTTACAGAAACGGAATCAAGCCAATTTTTATAATTATTTTAGCCTTGTATTTAGTTTTTGGTAAAAAAAAATAAAATAAACTAAAAAAAAATGATCATAGGCAAATTGCCTCCTGTGAGGATTGAACTCACGACCCCTGGTTTACAAGACCAGTGCTCTGCCACTGAGCTAAAGAGGCTCTGTTAAGCGGGCGGCAAAAGCGCTATACAACTAACCCCTGTTAGAACAGTTCTTACATCTGGGCAAAAGTTAACAGAGAGTCATTAACAGAGATACTGTTAGGCAAATTCCTAACAGCTTCTACTGGCAATTTCTCATTTGCATTAACCGAATCGTCACAGTTCGGAGCTTTGGATCAAGTTATTATAAGTATTCAAACATATGTGTACTTTGAAATAACTATATATATTAGAACCAGGTGTCATCTCCATTTAAGTAATTGAGCAAAACAATTTTGCATTGTTCGCTGGCTTGTGGGCGCGCGCACTGAGCTCATCTCGAAACAATTTTGTAGGCGCGTACCTTCCATAAGAAAGAAATAAAGCTAAACCAACATAAAGGGGGCGGGTTAGATAACGCCCCCCCACCAGATACAAGACTAAGATGGGGAACTGTAAAAATTTTGATTCGATTTCTGTGCATTGAATTTACATAAAAGCCCGCATTGGATGTGTGGGCCGATGGCTTTGGAATACGCAACAATCGACCACCGGCATCCAAATGGTCTGCATTTGATTTATGGCTAATGGAAGATCCGATTGAGATCTCTGCTGATTGGAATTTATTGCGAAAAATCATCAGAATCCCCGTTTTAGATCGAAGCCACACCGATCCCGTGGGACCTTGGCGACATCGATCTGATCGGTGGCCAAGAAGCACTGGGAAATGGATAAAAAGCAGAATAAACTTGTCATCATTTCGCCGGTTTTTGGGTCATTTTGTGTGTTGTGTCTTGGCTAGACCGGAATCGACGCAGCACTCGAACAAGTTTCACTTGCCACCAAGAGGCCGTTCCAGTTGCGTGGCCATCAGCATCGAAATTGCAATTTGCAACTTGAATTTTAGAGGAGTAACAGTTATACCGCAAACGCGGTTCTCAATTCGCGGCTTGTTCTTGACTGGAAAAAACATTGTTTAGCTACCTTGGCTTAAATTGCTTCATAAACTTGGCTTTTTGTCGTGTTACCGCGGCCAGTTTCACTCCCCTAAGTTGGCTTAAAACGCCGGAAACGCGCTCAACATGAATTCTAAAATGAAAATGATTACAGAGCTCACTGTACTCTGGCTAATGGAGATGGCAGCGTGAGATATTAGCTGGGGTTTTAAATAGTCTAATCTAGTGATTAAATAAAATATATGGCGTTGTGCTTAGCCTACAAAGAAATAGGAAAAATTAACACAAATACTGAAATAGCATACTTTAGTCTTTTCAGGCTTATATAAAGTCTAAGCTCAAGTTAAAAATTAGTTTAATTATAGCTACCTTTTTGCCCAAATTCCTCCCTCACGTAACCAACTCTAATAACTTGATTATGGAGTACTACTACTTGTTCTTGGTCTGGTTGCGCTTCAGTGGCTCTACTTATTGCGCCCACATGTTCGGGAGGAGACCCAGGGACCGGGGCCTGAGAAGCACCTGAGAGCCTTGTCTTTTTGTTGTTCGCTGCACTTGCTCTCGTTCCTATTGAGCCAGAGAAGACCCTCTGGGTCTCTGGGAGTTGGCCACGCAAATTGAAGAATAATAATTACATGCATATAACTTGGCTCTCATACTGCATGCATACCTATGTATATATAGTAGTTGGGTATGTAGAAGAGGGTATAGTTGAACGATCTTCATGCTTGACAGACTTTTCCCACAGCCAATTGAGAATTGTAACTGACACTCCTCGGCTGCAATTCGGTGAGTGGTAGATTCCTGCCATCATGATGTCCCCCTAATTTCATCTCATTAGCAAAGCGTTCTAACAAAGTACAATCAGCCGGGAGATGGATGGATTCAAATCAAGTTGCTAATGTGCGACGAGTACTTGTCAGAGTTCTCACTCAACTTGTTCTAGTCTTTCTTTATTTTTCGTGGTCTGTTTATGTCCGGATTGGGGCCCACAATTAAGCATTAAAGCGAAATTAGATTAATGATAGGCCCACATTGGGCAAGCCGCACTTCCCTCTTACCTCTCACCTCTTGGTGGGGGTCTTTTCTAGTTCCTGCCTCAACACGCAACACACGGCGGGATAGGCCCCAAAAAGATCTTGTTCTGAAGCTAAGGTTTTTGTAGAACGATGCTCAAGGCAGTGCCAGCATAATAATTAGGCTTCAAGACTAATGACTTTCCCAGTTTATCTTGAAGGCAAAACACTACAATGTTAAATAGATAGAGATACAGATATAAAGATACTCGTTAGAGGAATATCAAATATCTGTATAGGATTTAAATTCCAACTCCATTAACAATTATTTTCAAATTAGTGTAGAAAGACTTTCACACTCTTTTGTGGCCAAGAAGCTCTCTAACAGATCAATCGCAAGTACTTTTCTTTTAGAACTTTTCCCCTGGCTTTTTTGTGTTTAGCACCCAATAAAAAACAAAGTAACGGTTTGGCAGTAGTATCTTTGCTTTGTAAGATACATTTTGTATGTCACATGTATCTATGACAATTACAGTATGAATGGAGCGCTTTGTCTTCGAGTGCCGACAAAGGCAAAAAAGACAAACAAGTGAAAAGCCACGGAAAACATGGAAAAGAGCAGTCGCCGTGGTTGTTTGGGTTTCTTGTGCCTTTGCCGGCACATTAAGTAATGTGATCTATGCAACCTCATCCGCCATCCACAAGATACAATCTCGAGTGTGTGTATGTGTGTATCTTGCGGCTATGCAAAATCTGCATATCGAATACATTTCTTTGTTGGGCTACTCCACCACCGAAAGTGCGTTGCCACAAAACTCATTTGCATGTGATCCGCATTTCTCTTTCCGCCTCACTTTTCTGATTTCTGGCAGCAATATGAATGAGTGACCGAATGATGAAAGGGAAGTCCAGAAGGATGAGCGAATGGTTCTAATTAAATCGGCTTCAGCGAAACGTAAATGTAACGTGCCAAAGTTGTTAAAACCGGCGAACCGAAAATTGCAGGCCAATTGTTTTTGCCAGGCCAGGCGGAACACGAAATTAAACTGACTCTGAAGGCTTTTTATGTCTAGGAGTGTAATTGAGGGCCTGTCCACTTGCCAGTGTGATAAGTTGAAAGGGCAAATGTCGTCTCAAGATGGTAACTGATAGTTTCTGTATCTCATTTTTTACTTGCAGAGCTCCATAAAGCCAAGTCTGCCATCATGGACACCGGAAGCGTGGTTAGTGAACCGATTTCCGCGCATCATCGCGCCTTCGCCAAACAGAAGTCCGCGTCCATGGTGAGTTAACACACGATTGAAATAGATATAATATATGAAAAATATGAAAAACCTATGCACCCGGTCCATTGTGTAAGGTCTAACTTAACATAATTAATGCAACAACCCAGCCCCAGCCCCGTGCCGCCCCGCGTATTGTCTGTGATTCGATTATGTAAGTGCGCGAATACTATATCTCCGCTAATTAGATATTGACACGCACAGCCCCCTCGACAGACAGACATCGGGGCATTTAAGCATTAGCTTAAAAGTGAGCTGAAAGCACTCACCCCAAATACTTTGCATCGCTACACGCTAGAAAGTTGTCGAAAATGAAATTCGCAAAATGGCAAAACATAAATCTGCGATTACAGGGGAATACCTTACAAAAAATAGCCGAGACAAGGCTTAAACAGAAGATTGATTGCACTATGTACTGGTGCAAAAACCGATCTTTCCAAAATTATCATGTAAAAGGTCATTTACCCATCACAAAATTCAATTAAATATTTGTCCTGACTCGAATCTGTTAGTTTCCCAAACAACAAACTTAAATGCATATTAATAAAGCATAAAAAAATACAAAATAAACATGTTTACAAATGCAATTTACAACAATTAATTGCAAATCCACATGAATGCATTTTTAAGCAACACTTTCACGCAGTCCACAATGCAAAGTCATTCAAGCCATTTGGGAGTTGTGAGTTGCATTCAACCGATCGGTAGTTCGAATATCTTGGGTGTGAAATATTGCCTGGGAATTTGTATTTATTTGCGGGGGAAGTGAGTGTAGAGTTATGGCATCATCTGGAGCAGATTTGGCAATTTTTTCAACGCCAAAGAAAGTTTGTGTTTATAAATGTAGCACTTATGATCCTACTAATCTTTGGCTCTTTGACCGCAATCATCATTTGACCAATAAGTTGGCCTTTTGTTTGGTAAACACATACCTCCATTTTTTGGGAGAGGGGGCTGCTTAGCAAATTAGTAGAAAGAAGTCCGACACCACAATGAAACTTTCACCCGCAGTGAAATGATTGAAAGCAAAAGTGAGTGACGAATGTGTTTTGTTTGGGATGTTTTGGGTCTGAGGCTCAGACTCTGAGCTTGTGCTTGTGGATGCTTCAAAATCAACATCAACATCCAACATTGATGCGAATCATTAACTGACAGGTGTTTAGTCATTTGTAATGATCCATCTATAAATACACCCAGTAAATTGGCCATAACCAAAGACCGAACAAACAACTCCCCCAGTTATGAAGTAATCATTACTGTCAGACCGAAACGAAATCGATACCTTTTCCTTTTCCTTAGCCGATGTTCCCTTCGAAACCGCACCCCGTGTTCAAAAATGCATTTCGCACCCTTCTTTGAACAGATTTCCTTATTACTACGGTCTACGGTCAATTAATTCCTTCCACAAAATTACTTCAATTACTCAACGCAAAGGCACTCCGAGAGCTGTTAATGAAATTCAGCTCGTAACTCGTAAAATATGCAAATTAATTTATGATCTGAGAGAAAAGTCAAGAAATTTAAGACTAAGATCCTCGGTGACAGGAAATTCTCACGTTCTCCCTGCGAAGTGGACAATGTCCAGTCGTATTATTAATTTTGTTCAATTTTTTTTTTCAAGAGAACTGCAACTTTCTTAGGGTAATTGTGAAAAAAAAGGGTTGCAGGGGTTGCAGATTAGGGTTTGTCCGGAAGGTGGTTGTTGCATTTTCCATAAGAATGTAGAATTGCAGCTGATAAAGGATCTTGTAACGGTTCTTGATCCTTCAATGGGGGTGAAATACAAATTCTAAGAGTTTGCCTTAGGGGAATTATTCATTGTCTGAAATATTGTTAAACGGAAACCAAAGAAAGGTTTCTAATGATTTAAGATCTATTAACAAAAAATGTTAATCATGGGAATATATTATTTTGAAAGCTATTTGAGCGCCAAAGCAACAGGTTCCCCAAAAAAGCTTTCTGGCCCCAAAGCTTGCCCCAAAACCCACCCATTTTCAACTCAGTCGAACTCAACACATCAGCTGATGTGCCATCGTGCATAAACCGAAACTTTGTTTATAATACCTTCTATTTTTTCCCCCAAGTGTTTGTTATTTGTGCAAAAATTAAATAATATTTTAATAAATATTACCAGTGATAAGCAATACCTCTGATTAAGTGTAATAGATGTGATAGCCGAAAGACTGTACCCGAAACGAACAACTAAAAGTGCTCAATTATCAGTAATTTAACAAATTAGGAAGTTAATCAGATGCCATAAGCCAGTTGAATATTGATCAACTGATATATATATATACGAGAATAGGTGAAGACTGTATCGTACTTTTATACGATACAGTGAGCAAATAGCAAATACAAATAAAATGAGCAAATACAGTGAGTAAAAATATAGTGAGCAAATAGAAATCTAAACTAGCCAGGCAAACCAATTGCAAACGAAGTCCAACCGATTAGAAACGATCCCCACACAGCTGGTCTGAAATGAGAATCGTCGGCGGCAGTATGATTTCAGCCCTCAAGCGGCTTTCATCAGTTGGAAGCCCCTCTATCTTGGCCAGTAATATCCGATCTTTGAGCACCTTTGGAACCATGAGTCTGCCCGACCGGAAGCCATTCTCCCCAGATTTTTTCTTTCGACAAGTATGTTAGCTACCCAAGTCTCAATATAGAAACTAATTAGATATCGTTTTAAAATTCAAACAGCTTTTCGATACAGAAAGTAGCACTTATAGTTACCTGTTGGCCGATTTGAAAAACGGGGAAGCTGTGATCATAGATCCTGTTTTGGAGCAGGCGAAACGTGATGCTCAGCTGGTGAAAGACTTGGGCTTTCAGTTGAAATATGCGAGTGAGTGTTTGGAATCTGCTATCAGATGGATGGATAGATAATTTCATCATGTATTCCGTTCATTTCAAAAGTCAACACCCACATGCATGCGGATCACATTACGGGCAGCGGATGGCTGAGGAAACTGACGGGTTGTCAGTCCGTAATTGCCGCAGCCAGTGGAGCCAAGGCAGATCGTCACCTGAAAGAGGGAGATCGCATTGATTTCGGCACCCATGTAATAGACACATTGGCCACTCCGGGACACACAAATGGCTGCATGAGCTATGTGATCAAGGATCAGGGCTGTGTCTTCACTGGGGATACACTGTTGATTCGGGGATGTGGACGCACCGATTTCCAGGAGGGAAGTCCCCGTCATCTATATGAGAACGTTCATGGCAAGATCTTTACGTTGCCCGAGAACTTCCGTATTTATCCGGCCCATGATTACAAGTGAGTGTATTTTGGGGAATTATAAGATCTGTGTCTTATAACTCTGCACTTCCAGAGGTCAAATGGAGAGCAGTGTCTGGGAGGAGAAACGCTATAATCCCAGACTTACCAAGGATCTGGAAGAGTTTATAAAGATCATGGACAACCTGAATTTGCCATATCCCAAGAAGATAGGTGGGAATATCAGAAATGTATAGTTTTTTCTTAATATTAAAGAAAAAATATTTTTAGATGCTTCTTTGCCGGCCAACCGGGAGTGCGGAGTATATGATATTCCCAAGGAGTGAACTGAAAACTATACACCTTCAAAGACTTCATATAGGCAGCTTATATGATAATGTTGCTATTATAATCTACAAAATAAACATATACACTTTTTTTTATCAATATCAAAACACGTCTCTTACTCTCAAAATAATAGTTTGGTTTAAGTAAATAAACTCAATTCGTTTTCGCTTTTATTTCTTGTAGACCATTCTGAATCCGAAGGGTTGTGGCAGTGCCGTCAAGTACAGTCTTCACTCGGCTGCAGAGAACAACCAGGAGTCGTGCAGTACCACCACGACCACCCACAGTTCCACCACGGGAAGAAGGCGAAAGGGTGGCTCTTTGGGCGGAACACTCTCCTCTCGATCCACGAGGAGCGAGTCGAAGGAGTTGAGATCGGCGCTACAGGACCGCGAGGCAGTTATCCAGAATTTGCGTATCCAGCTCTGCTTGGGAAAGCTGCCACGCCCCACTGGACCGCCCCTCGATGAGTCGGAAAAGCCAGCGGCCGAACAGAAACTAAACAGACTCAAAGCCGAAGCCGAAAATAAACGCATTAAGATCAAGAATCTGAAAAGTGCTCTGGAGAAACTTGATATCACAGAGTAAGTGTCTCACATAAGCCTTTTGGAAAAAGTAATCCTAAATCCCATTTAATCCACAGCAACATAGACATTCGCATCAGACAAGCCGAATTGGAATACGCTCTTGGGCGGGAGGAGCTCCAAATGCTTTCGATCGTGGAGGAGGCTCGTGCCCTGCAAGCCCGCCTGGAGAAGTCCAAGCCCGAAGCCCAAACCCTCTACAATATTATCAGTTCGGGAGTATCCCTAAGTCTACATGCCGTTCATGCCACCTCTGGCCGGTGGGCAGCCCAACAACGAACGGATCAGCCAGGATTCTACGTGGAATGGGCCCTCGAGGGTGATGGTCTCTACAAGGGAGACCGCATCTTGGAGATAAATGGTCGCCTCGTCACTGGCAAGTCCAAAGAGGAGCTGCAGAAGCAAGTGGGCAACTCGGGAAAATGCCAAATGGTAGTGCTGCGAAAGAAATCAGTAGCCATTCCCCAGAAGCAGCTGGACCAAGAGAAGGAGAACAATATGCGGTTGCAGCATCGTATTTCCTATCTAGAAGAGCAGGTCCGTGAGCTCCAGACCGTCAAGGAGCAGCCGCACCAGCAGCCTCCGAATCAGCCACTCCACCAACAACAGCAGCAGGCATCCTCCAATCAATCCCAGCACGTAACCAGCATCAGTATATCCTCACCTCCCTCCACGCCGCCCGAGAAACCCCTAATCTTCCAGCGGGGCAACTACATTACCACCTTAGTGGGTGGCAAGCCCATCGAACTGATGGGCGAAGAGCCCACCAAGACCCCTGTAGGACATGTGACTAAGACCCTCATCAAGGAGAACACTCACATTGATCTCAGGGAGCGTCTGCCGCATATGTACTCCATGCCCTCCAAGTCGTTGTCCGCCTCGAAGATTTCCATTAATAGCGATTCAGCGTACATGCAGCATCATCGTCGGGAAAAGGAGCGACACAGGGAGCGACAGCACCGCGATCGTCCAAGAGATCCCCTCCAGCAGCAGCAGCAGCTGCACCGGGAGCACTTGATGAGCGCACATGCACGCAGTGTGGAGCATCTGAACCAGTACAATGGGTAGGTTTAGGAAGAAACTGATCTAGACTAGTTATCTAATAGTATTTTTATTATTCAGAATCGATCGCCGCCGGGACACCCCTGGACGTCAAAGCGACGCCCACACTCTACGCCCTCGTCTTCCCAGCGACATGAGGAGTGTCAAGTCCCTGGACTTTGATAGCGAGAACGAATCGAAGCCACCGACTGAGAGCCGCACCACTCGACCCACTCCCCCCAAGAAACCTTTGCGCCTTTCCCTCCAAAGAGCCCAAAGTCTGCAAACGGTGGAACTTCATCCCAACGCCGATCTCGAAAGGAAGCGACCCATGAAGCGGGTCCACCACAATAACAACAACAGCAAGGGCGGAGTATCTCCTACGGATGAGGGTCATACCATGCTCATCGAGAACTGCAGTCCCATGCACACAGCCTCCCTGGGCAGGCACAAGCTGATCTGAATGCAAAGACCCCAAAAACAAAACTTATAAATATAACTAGCTTAACCTTCAATCACCAGTTGGTGTTTGAACCAAAAAACAGGCGGATATGTGCAAAATTATAATTAGCAATATACTATACCCTTACGAAACTACCATTAAGTGGGTAGTTTAGTTTAATGGCTTAGTTTTAGTACTTACATTCTACATTCTTACAAATACATATCGATAAGTAGGGCTTGGCTATTATCTGGTAGTAGTATTGGAAAAAAACGTATATAATTGAGCGTTTATTATTGTATGAAACTATATGACGATTATATTAGCACAATTTTTCAATGTGAATACACGAATAATTTCACTTTACTCTGCTTATTTTGTTTTGATTGATCATTTACGGCCTGCTGGAGGAATTTAATATAAGAGGAGGTGTGGCTTACTGAGAAAAGGGGGGTTGTAAAGAAAGTTCTTCATTGTGAAGATAGTTATCTGTAAAGTGACAATATTAGTGACGAAAGGTCATGCTCAATTAGATATAGTAACCTTATTTATGGTTTCAGAATTTCAAAAATATAAAAAGATCCTAGATTAGAATCATTATTGGTTAACCAAGTATAGTTGTTAGGCTTACCGTAACCATATTCCAGTCCACCACTGTAGGCACGAGCCTGGCACACATTTTTCGACACCATCGTGATAAACTATTCAATTGAAAAGCACGTTAGCGTGTCCCAGCAGTACTTTTTATTAATTTCCATGAAAGCACGATTTTTTATAGGTGTTTATTCAATATGTATGCTGTAATTGGAATTATAGAAAAAGTCTGCCGTACATGCGTTATTCTAAAGTTTTTGAATTCTTTAACTGATAAAGCCATTTGAAGAGTGACCCACCGCCCACTGCAGTTTCCGCCGCTCTCCCAAGGTGCGCAATTCTTCGCTCTCGGCTCGCCGCTCTCCGGATTCTTCGCTCGCCGGATTCTCAAAAAGGTGATTTGCGGCGGTTATGCCAGAAGCTCAAAACAGTTTCGCCGCAGATCTCAACCGAATCAGAGGTGCAATCGCATAATTCCCACACAAAATATATACAAATATAATAACTATCCAATTATTAAATAGTTGCTAACAAGGTGAGTGCTCAGCGTAACTGAGGAATAAGTTACAAGTGTCAGTAAATGAAATGAAAAGTTTAAAGCCATTGATGTATTCTAAGCAGTGTGATGATATTTAAATCGATTCGGTACTCCCCCTACTTGATATATTGATTTTTGCTTCGTTTTTTACAACCAGTTGAAATTTATTATTTGCGTTTCCTATTGGCCAAAAACAAAAACCAGTTACCTCGAAACGCAGTTAGTATTCCTCGGTTAGGCTTCTTACTTTCTGGCGTTTCGTTCGATGTCCGATCGCCCTTGAATGGGTTAAAGTAACCAGTTATTTAAAAACGAGCGTGGGTAAAATCTGCACTTGAAATCAAACAAAAAAAAATTAAAGAAATACTCCAAAATGTGTGTATATGTAAACTGGAGGAGTTGAACCGCATTCCATATTCTTTTTTGTCCAACAAGTGTTTACAATCTGTTATCTAAATGCATATGGAAATTTAGGTGTTTCTCTTATCTTAAAGTGCATAGTTTTCGATATTTTCTTTTTAATGAAATGCCAAGTCAGGGAGATGAAAATCTAATAATAATCTATGCCCTATTGCTTGCAAATTCATGATGAATTTTTCTAAACTCTGATAAGGTAGTTCTCATTAGCATAAGACCTGGCAGCAGGGTACAGCTAAAGTGACATGCACAAAAAAATACTGCTCAGCCATTATTTTCAAATCAATCACAGCGACTCAACGAGCAGAAGTCCAAACAAAACCCTAATAACACCAATTTGATGGACAAACGATGACAATTAGTTGCAATTTGTGGCCCAGTTCGAGACAGGTACCCTTCAGAGTATACAAGAGTTTAACAAAATCCGATAATATTCTGAATTATAGTTAAGATTGTGTGGGAATCGTAAATTTAGGAACTCGGTTCGAGTGCCAGATAAGGGTACGTGTGAAGCAGGTACTGGAGGCATTTTAATTCGGTTTATGACTTGGCAAGATCATGAGCATATCGCAGAGACTGATAAGGCTTGGACCCGGCCAATAAACAAACATTTCCCCGATAAACTCTGACATCCATCCGCTTTTATCAGTCGCATTTCAATTACTATAAATTTCGTAAAACGATGTGCGTACAAAAACTACAAAAAAAAGTGAAAAAACTACAAAAAAAGAGATTGTTGATTGACCTTCCCCCCAGCCGCACTTAACCCTGTAAAAAAAGGCTGTTTGCATTTAGATTTGTATGGGTATCGTTGATGTTCATACACAAAAATATGAATACCCGTTCGCACATCATATATGACCCACAAATCGTATCATAAATTGAGGTTAGGCGCTTCAATTCCGCACACAAATGCCAGATTTAATGGAATCAAGTGACTGTGCACCTGATGACGTCTAAAATAAAACAAATTAAGGAGATGGGCGGCGTTATCAAGGGGTCTGCAGATTAACTAGAAGGTCTACAATTTATCTCTAAGTATAAGCTTAAAATACTTATTCTGGAGCATTGCTGATTTGACTTTTTCGCAAAAAAGTTTATACATTTTTTGTAAAAGTCGTCGCACTACTAACCCCAATATTCATTAAAACGTATTTCTTTATAACCTCCCTTTCATCAATTTTAAGTGCCACACGTGTCATAAACTTAAAAATATATATTGCAGCTTTAAACATGTTGCGACTTTTGGCTACCCTGGCTCTGTGTGCCACCATTTGCTCTGCCGCCCAGACGGTAAGTTATTATAATCATTGGTAATTCCGCTTACCATTATTTTATTACAAAATTTATAGCGCAACCTGCCGATACAGGCCATCGCCTATGTGAGCGGACCGGAGGTCAAGGGCAATGTTACTTTCACCCAAAACGATTGTGGCCAGAATGTCCATGTCCGCATCCAATTGGAGGGCCTCAAGGAGGGCAAGCATGGCTTCCACATTCACGAGAAGGGAGATCTGAGCAACGGCTGCACCAGCATGGGTGGTCACTACAATCCCGACAAGGTAGGTGATCTGTTTCTCCCCAGCAAGTCTGTGTCTTAATAGAGGTTATCTTTGGTCAGGTGGATCATGGAGCTCCCAGCGATAATGTCCGTCATGTCGGTGATCTGGGCAATCTGGATGTGAACTCCACTGGCAAGGTCGACATTACTTACACGGATACTGTGATTACCCTTACTGGCGTTCGCACTATCATTGGTCGCGGCGTTGTCGTCCACGAAGATGAAGATGATCTGGGTCTGGGCAACCACACGGATTCCAAGAAGACTGGCAACGCAGGTGGACGTATTGGTAAGGACATGGAATAGTAATTTAACAGAAATTCTTATTAATCTTGTTATTTCCTTTCAGCCTGCGGTGTTATTGGTATCAAGTAAATATCGCTTCCTCCACAACAAACGCCAACTCGAATCTTCTCGAATAATATATATATGTGTTGTTTTTGTAACTCCTGGCGCAGTAACTAATGAACTGTTTTCCCAAACCCACCTCCATTCCATCCACCTAGACACTGACACAATCTCAATCACTCACAACCACTTTTGTTTGGCTTACACCACTACATTTCCCTCAATTAACCGTCTCAGTTCACTGACTCATTCGATTTTCATGCCCAACACCACCGCTCGCTGTACGTTTTTTTTGTCTTTGTGTGTAATAAAATCAACAAAAATTAACCGAACAAAATCCAAGCTAAACATTAGCGTACACCAACTACCTGTATCCTTCCAAAACTCATTCATAAACCTAAACCAACTTCGTCATTTTCTCTGTGGGGTTGATCGAGTGGGTGGGTAGGTATTTGGTATGACAAAGGGGTTTTCTGTACTTCGGCTCATTTATGTACTAACATCATTAGCATTATTGGAGGGCGATGGCGATGGCGATGGGGGATTGAAATAACAACAGCTGGACTCGGAAGGTTTCTAATCAACCTGCGCTCTCAGAACTCTCAACTTTAGCTCTGGCTTGTGTTTTTTCAGTGCTCCTCCGACAGAACACCAAGAATCATCCGAATCTGTATCTGTATCCGCACCACCACCACAACCACGCCAAAACCACCATCATCAACCACTGTACTATGTGCCCCACAGGGAGCCACAAGATCACGTTGTCTATCCCCTACAGCGGTATCCGCACTACCCGCTGCCATACCCATATCCATACCCATATCCGTACCCCCATCCGTACCCGTATCCGTTGTCGCACCAATTGTATCTATAAGATGGCGTAGCTGAAGACTAGAAATACTTTAATTGCAGCTCGGATGTCGACGAGTGGCCGTGTCGGACAGGTGGCGCCGGTGTCCTGCGCAACTCCCTTTCCATTCTGACCGTTGTAGTAGCTCTCTTTTTGGCCAGCAGCACCAACTAACCCAGCATTCTGCATCCGGATTGGATCCAACACGGATTGTGGCATGTGGCATGTGGGACTGTCCATCTTAGTGATCCGCATCCGCACTCTCACCACCTCAGAACTTAACACACACCCACATGTGATTAAAAACACACCCAAAACTCACACCCACACTTAAGTAATTATAAAACGCCAGCAAAGATCAGCATTATATTATTTTTTGAACAAGATTGATAATAAAATTTGTTAAATATATATTTTCGTTGTTTTTCTTTGATATTTTTTATATGAATTTAGAAATCCTTAAACTGTATTAATAAAATAAAAAGAGAAAGCAACAACAAGTAGAATTTCTTACAAAGGTCAAGAAACAATAAGTAATATCAAGTGTTGATTAGTTATGGATTTTTTTTCTAGGACACAAATGAACCTATTATTAGAATGCTTTCATAACAAGAAAGCTTACCAGAAATTCCTTTTCAAAGCGCGTTACATAAATAAATAAAAAAGTGCTTAAAATAAACATAATTAACACCGTTTCAGATATTTTTTGTTCAAATTCCAAGACGAAATCTAGAACAAATACACACCTCCAGTCTGACTTCTAGAATTTACTTTAAATTGTGAAAACCTTCAGCAAATGTTTGCCCTCCAATCATTCATAGAAGTGCAGTTTCTTCGGCTAATGGTCAAGCAACAGTTTTTGTTTCTTATTTTTTTTTAAGCCAAAAGATTTCCCTGACCCGATAAGAACACCCAGAGATTGGGTCACCCAGCGGGATTCCGGGCAATAATTCCCGACACGCAACACTAACATCATCCTGCGAATCGAAAGTTCCAAGACTGAACGATGACTCGATTGTGGCATACTTTTTCGGGCGCCTTTAATTATTCGCAAAGTCCCACAAAAATTTAGTATTTGAGTTTCTTGGAGGAGCATTTACAACTTTCACTTCCCTGGCACGAAAGCACGCAATTAATTTCGCCTTGGGCGTAGGTCGAGACCCGAGTGTTAAGTGCTAAACTTTAAAGGGAAATACCCTGCTCCGTATGCTTACAAATACCCATACCAACTAATACAAAACGGGCAGACGTCGGGCAGCTAGAATTTTTATGGTAATAAGTGCATTGACCCACCGGGAAATATAAAGGTGGCAAGAAGTACAGTGAGGTAAGCTCCCGGCGACCCACAAAGGTCCAACCAACTGGTCCGCCCCCTTTCGGTTGGATGGTCGGGGTCTGGAGAGTCCATATCGAATGGTAAATCAACGAAATGGGTTGCAGGGCATTAGACCTGCAAAAGAACTCCAGCCCCCAACTGTATTGTTGGTGTGTTATTTCTACGATTCCGATTCCCGTGCCTAATCATGCCTGGCCTGAATTCGAAACGGGCCTCGAAGACTTTCACTCACTTTTACTTTTGTTCCTAGTGCCCACCGTCCGGATCCGTTGCCATCGTAAAGCCCCGGTTTGGCCACAACAGACCGAAGGGTTCTAAAGCCCGGCCGGACAGCGGCTTTGGTCAGTTTGTCGTCCAACCTCAGACCGGCCAGTCGTTTCGGTCAATCGTTCAAAGTCGTTATCCCTATATTCCTTCTAAATTTGGAATAATATCTAATTATAAACTAAACTTGAAGAAACCTACGAGTTTGAGTGAAAATCAAAATGCGTTCTTGCGGTCCGAGTTTAATAAAATATGTTTTGTTTGCTTTCAATGTTTTGTTTGCGGTAAGTTATTTAAACTTACGAAACTAAAAAATATATATATTTGGGAAGTGAAGTGATGATTTTGAATCGAAAAGAACTAAAATGTTATGTGATTTTAGAGATTGTTTAAGAAAAAGTGTTCCATTTTAACTCTCTTTTTTTTTCTTTAGAATTTATTTCTGAAATATCAAATTTGTATCAATGGATCATTCATCAGACATCATGTTTCAGCCATTTTTCCTTTTCTTTTTTTTTTAAAAAAAAGAGTTATGTAAACATTTAATTAGTGAGAACCTATGTACCTGGTTTAATTCCCCTCATAAATGTCATTTTAAACACTAGAATTACTCCCATATTAAGGCCCTTATTTATATAGCTCATTTAGATAATTATCGCTGGAAAATGGCATTCCCATTCCTCAATATATAGCCTATAATGTCGAAGCACCCTCATGTCGAAAAACGCGATTTTCTTGTAAGCCCATGCAAGTGATGTATGCGTGTTCCAAAGGACATGGACAACATTCGATGTCCTTCGCATTGACCAATAGAACTCAGAACAGAGCCCCCGCAGCAATGACGACATGAACTCTGAACATGGAAATGCCATTGACAGGGTCGTGGGCGATTTTTATCGCACAATTTGAATTTGGAATGTAAATACAAATAACAAATTCGAATTAGGACTTGATTGGAAGCCATTAACATAATTGCTTGAAGGTTGAAATCGATTAATCAGAAGGTTCGACGTTTTCTTCCAGATCTCCGGATTGGGAATTCTTGTGGCAGGTGCCATTGTCCTTGCCGATGTGAATGAATTTAATCACTTTGTGGAGGGTCGTGTCCTGGCCCCACCGATTGTCCTAATCGTTACTGGTCTGGTTATATTCCTGATTGCGTCTCTGGGATGTTTCGGAGCGATCAAGGAGTCACCAACGCTGCTCTTGACAGTAAGTAATTATTTATAATTATATTAAGATCGTAGTTTTTATTTTTAACAATTTTAATTCGCAGTTTGCAGTTCTTCTGGCCGTCATCTTCATCGTGGAGCTGGCAGTGGGCATTGCGGCTAGTGTTTTCAAGAAGGATCTGGAAATGATGGTGAAGAACTCTCTGCAGGAATCGATCAAGCGGTCAGATAGTGAGGATACCATGGCCTGGGACAACATCCAGCGAAAGCTGATGTGCTGCGGTGTGGACACTCCGGCGGATTGGAGGGAGCTCAGTGCTAACAAGACTCTTCCGGCCAGCTGCTGCCAGCCGCAGTTTATTGACACCACCGTGGGACACTGTCGGGACTCGCCAGCTCTGGGCAAGGATAAGTACTACCAGGACGGATGTGTGGGCAAGCTAAAGGATCGAATTGAAAAGAATGCAATTATCCTTATCGGTGTTGGTATTGGAATAGCCTTCATCCAAATCCTCGGCATCATTCTAGCGTGCTATCTGGCCAACTCTATTCGGCAGGAAAGGGCCAAGTAAACACCTCCTATATGTATCTAAAACTTAAAGAAACTATAAACTGTTGAAAATTATTTGCGATTCCAAGTTAAGAAAATGTGTCAGTCAGAAAAAAGAAAACGCAACAATTCATCTCAAAGCTATAACTTATTCTTAAACAATTCTTTATCTCTTTCAAAACTATTTCTTTTTCTAACTATTTCTTTAAATCTTTATCTGTCTTTTTCTTAAATTAAAATTTCAAAAACTTTCCTTCTATCCTTTTTTCTAAAATTGTTGCCTTTTGTTAACAGTCCCAAAATCATATTCATTAATCGTTGCTTTATATTAATACAAATTTTAGATAAAAATTACGTTGTATTCCTTAAAAAATAAAACAAAACAAAAAAGATGTTACCATTTTTTTTCCAAAGAGTTTAAAAAAACTTGTTAGTATTTCGGTGACTTCTACTTTTCTTTATTTGTTTAGGATCTACAATCTTTTGCTTTTGCATTTATTGGCCAGGCTCGGCGTCCACCAAAGCTTGAGTCCCGCTGAATACAAATTAAATGGGAATTTTGGGTATATAAGGGTTAGGGGATTATGGGATGATCCATCTAAAACTAAAGAGTGGACGCTCATTGTGTCTCAGCGGCGTGTAATTGCCATTTAACGAGTGCTCGACTACTGCTACGTCCTCTACACAGAGACACCTTTTGAGATCTATAAATTGAGGTTTAAGGACTTTGCTTTAAAAAAAGGTTATGATTAAAAACAATAAGTATTTAAAAAGTTAAAAATTTCAACAATCGGACGAAGGACAAAATATAACCAATGTTCTATTTTTCTCTGTGTAGAGGAAAATGCATTTTTAATGGTCACTGTCCAGGAAACTGGAACTGGTATCCGGAAGGGATTTCATTTGCTTTGGAGCAGAGCCTCCGAGAGACGTTCGATGGCCGTGGCCGGCGACTTCCGTGTGTCCTTCTCTCCGCTTTCGAGTATTGCTGCTGCGGCAGCGGCTTCGGCAGCCTCGGCTTCCTCCAGGATGCGGGCCTCCTCCTGTTCGCGCTGCTTCTGATAGTGCCGAAACTCGGTTGGAGTAAGCATGCCCCTCAAAACCGTCTCATAGCTGACATTTACACCCTTGGCTCCCATTTTCTGGTGCAACTTCCAGCACTCGCGCTCCTTCAAGCTGCGCACATAAGCCGGATAGTTTTGATCCGGCGACTGCTGTTGTTGATCCTCGCAGTTGGCTGCATTGTTGTTGTTCTCCTTTTTGGCCTCATCTGGCGATAGGGAATTGTTGGTGGGTGGCATCTCATCCGCGGTGCCCTCCTTCTTCGCCGGCTGCTCCATTTTGCCCTGGACGTCGCTCAAGAAGATGGAAACGGGCGGCGCTGTGGGCGGTCGATTGGCTCGGATCCTGGCTGCAAGTGGTGCTATCGATCCACGGCGTATCATGTGAGAGTACTCCTTGGAGGCCAGTTGAAAGGTGGGCGGATAGCTGTCTTGAAACGAGACTGCCAAACAGCTTTAGTTGGGTTTTAATTAAAGGAGCGGATATGGACCAAAATAAAGTAGAAAATATCCACTTCTAAGGGAAGGTCCTTGCCGTTTTCAGATCTTGAAACTTACCCGATTTGCCCGTTTTCCTCAGGAGTGGCGCCCTCCGCTGGTTGGCGCCCTGGGTCTGCTTATCCGCCCCGATAGCGGGGGGGCTGGCCACGACCGTTGAACAATTGTCCTCCCGCTCAGAGTCACTGCCCTCGGAGCTCAACAGTGAGACCAGGGTAATGACATCCGGCGCCACTACACTTCGTGCTCGGTTCAATGCCTTCTTGGAGCCGGCGCCGCTTCCGTTTCCGCTGCCGGGGCCACCGGTGGAGTCGCCACCGCCGATGACATCGAGAACCGGAACCGAGGCACCGCCACCCACCGAAGAGGAGGCGGTGCGGGTGAAGATCTTTCGGCGACGCAGCTTCTGCTGGCTCCTCTTGCTGGCGGCAATCACGCCCTTACTGGTCTCGTCCAATCCGCGGACGGGAGCGGACATAGCACGGACCAGGGGCGGACGCCGCTGAACGGTCAGTGCCGGCGAGATGCTCAGAGGTATCTCAGGGATGACTTGAGCCACGGCCGGGACGTCCGTTTCCGTATCAGGCTCCGGCTCTGGCTCTGGGTCAAGCTCCTGCTCCCGCTCGTTGGTCGCCCTGATCGTCTGGGACAGGACTATGTTCAGGTTGATCCGATTCTTGTCCGCCTTGGCGCTGCTGCAAATGGGGAATAAAAATAGAACTGCAATCGAGTATGGAGGTAAGGTGGCAGCCCTAAAAGGAAATGGAAAGTTTCGAGTGACCTACTCCCGCCTCCGGCTAAATTTAAATCAAATTATTTGGCATTAGTTGCGGGGCAATTTATGCTGTTCTCGATACCGAATCATGCAAGGTACAGAAATAGAAATTAACTTCTTGTTTCGGGTTACCCACTCCCCCACAATCCTCACTATCCAGCCCGTATGCAAACGAAACCATGTCAATTACGTTTTGCAATTGCCGCCCGAAATGGAAACCGTCGAAAGTGAGTCTACGAATCTGAGGATTGGGTCATTGAACCCATCCCAGCCAGGCCCACGAAATCGCACCGCCCAATCAGCCAAGTTTTCAGCCTGAGGCTTCAAGCTATCTTGTCAGCAGGCAACGTGTGCAATGATCGACTTAAGTGTGCCGCCAGGTGGGCTTTCAGGTTGGAGCGCGTGGGTGGCTCTCGTGGGTGGCTAAATGGGAACCAAAGCCAGGAGCCATGCTCTCGAGCATGTCTAGCGTGTGTTATGCACTGGAACATAAAACTTTGACGTTTGATTTCGGCGTGAAGCATGCAAATTGCACAGAACTTGACGCGACGCCCATATCGAAAGTGTCACTTTCGGCATATTTATATAGATGATATCAGGGCAGATATCCTTACATCCGGAGTTGGCTCGTTTATTACGTATACGTAAACGAATCCGTACTGTGAGTGGGAGTGAATCCAATACGCACCCTTCGCTGGCACCAAGGTCAAACAATAGGATTCCGATTGGTCGGGTTTCCATAGGTGCGACAATCACTTGAATGGAGGATATATAATTTAGACATACTTGGGAGTTAGGCACTTCAAAATAATATATAAGAATAGATTAATATCTAGGGTAACTAAAAGATACAAATCTATAGACCATCCTTCTCAGCATGAGTTGCAGAACTCCTTTGATTTCCTTTTAAGAAAAGTAACGAAATTCCATTTCCAATTTTAGAGAATACTTACATTTTACTGTCCACTAGTTCCACTTGCTTGTGCCCCTCCGTTTCCTGATCCTTCAGCAAGGAGGAAGTAGATGACCAGGCCACTAGACTCTTGTCCCTCAGCCTCAGACCCTGGACCTGAGAGGCAGTGATGCGAGGGCCGATCCTCGGAGTAGAGTCCTCCACGGCCAACGATGACTGCCGGCTGACCGGGTACAACTTCTGCCGAATGTTTTCGATGGATCGACCAACGGAGAGACCTCTTGAAAGGTAGCCCCTCTGTTGGGTGGAGAACCTGGACGCTGGCTCGATGAAGGAGTGCTGCTTCCTCACACTTAGTGGTAGCTGATAGCGACCGGCTGTGGAGGAGGAGCCGTGGACGGAAGTGGACGACGGAGGAGCGTTCGTCGTCTGGTGGCGACGACGGCTAGCCACAGACAGCGACATGGCAGACGGCAGGCTATCCTTGAGAGTCCTGATTAGCAACGGTGACAATGAGTGGGCACTGAAACGGCGGCTGGAGTGGGTATATGGAGTGTTTTGGTGGTTGACGTTGGAGAGCCCACGAGTCGAGGTGCCTTACGTTTCAATTGCCAATCAATGTGGCACATCGAATGCAAATCAATTACGAAGTCATTAAGCCAAAGGCAATAACTTTGTCAACAAAGCCAGCCAGCCGGGCTGAAATGGAAACCGAAAGCTGAATGCCGAAAACCCCGAAAACCGAAAGGCCAAATAAACCGAATCATGAACCGTAGACCGTAGACCGTAAACCGTAAGCCGTGAACCGTAGTCGTAGTCGAATGGAAACCGGTTGCAGTCACGAAAGCGAAAGCCACTTGGGGATGCGGCATGTGCCGTTCTGGACGAGATCGAGGTGGCTTCCACGTCCACTTGGCTCGCTTGCCGTGCACCGACTGCGTTTTGTGAATGAAGACGGCCAAAACAGAGTGAGATTCGGATCCGAAATTCGGAATCGCACACAGCCATCGAAATCGGAATAGGTTTTTGGCGGGGTTGATGGCGCGGTAGGTGTGGGTGGCTGGGAGGTTGTCTGTTAGAGGGGGTGTTCGTTTATGTTGCCAACAAACAATCAACAATATCGCAACGTTGGCAAGGAGTCGCCTGTTATGCTGGCTCTCTCTACTACTCAGTTGTTTGTTCCATTTCCTGCTCACACCCACACAGTCCACATACGAGGAGGATATCCGTCTATCCACCTGAATCACGGCAAGAAAATGTTTTATTTTAATAAAAAAAAAAAGTTTTTATTAACTTAAAAAAATAGCACATATATCTGGTTAAACATTTATAATTTTAAATAAAATACATCTAATTTTTTTATTAAATTAATCCTTTTTTTTTTAATGTTCCATAGAGACCCCCACCTGAGGCACGTGCAATACCTCTGGGTCTGGCAAGTTTTCGACATCGACTCAATGAACCCGCACGAACTTTTGTTTTCATTTGCTAGCCCCCCACCCCCCAGCCATAATCGAAAGGATTACAGCATTTTTTTGGCAATATGCAAATCCGGCCATGAATGAATGAAACTCCTTGGCAAAAAATGCGACGAGAGGAGAAATGCGTACAAGTCGCTCAATGTCAAATGGAATATTAGATGCAAATTCAGTTGTGTGTGCGAATATCTCCGTTTGGACGGATGGATGGCAAGTGAAAAACTTTCACATTTGTGACAATTTCAAATTCATCAAAGACATGCAAAGTTGCCGGAAAAGTTCCGTGCGCGGTGGCAATCAAAGAAAAGTAACGAACATAACAAAGACCGGAGCGAGGCAAACACAAACACAAAATGGCATAAAATCCAAAAACCGAAAAAAAAGCAAAACCAAATCAAGCCCAATATTCAAGGTCACCACCACCCAAACATATGCCCGCCCGCTAGTCAAAGTAGCTTTTTTTATTTCTACGAGTGTGTTGGTTTATATGATTGCCAATAAAATGTACTTAAAACCAGACTGAAAGGCCTATTGGGGAATCCGGGCAGGGGATTGGATAGGCATTAATCATTTCCAGTCAATATTTATGGCTTGACTTTGACGACGCGCTTTGTACCGATCGGACAGGACCACTCTGATTTAGTGCAATCGGAAATCAATTACGATGGAAATGCCGAAAACAAGCGGCTCGGAGCCGTAACCTCATACGGAGCGGCACCAATGGCTACATGTCAAATGGAGAAACTTGTTTTAATTAAAAGGAATGTCGGAACCGAACTATTGTGTCTGGAACGGTCTGGACCAAAACACCATGCTATGTAAACTTGAGGATATAAAAATTCTACAACTGCAGGTGATTGGCAGATATAGCCATCACCGTGGGCCATATAGGGGAAAGCCCCATTTTCAAGGGATCCCATCACGAAAAATGGACAAAAAATCTAAAAAATATTTAGTCTCAGGATTTTGTTGCAGAATGGTGGAGAATCGATCTAGAAATCGTTTAAGGTACTCCGCTTGAGAATCGGATGAGAGTTGAGAAAGATATAGCCATCACTGTAGGCCATATAGGGGAAAACCCCATTTTCAAGGGATCCCATCACGAAAAATGGACAAAAAATCTAAAAAATATTTTGTCTCATGATTTTGATGCAGAATGGTAGAGAATCGATCTAAAAATCGTTTAAGGTACTCCGCTTGAGAATCGGATGCGAATTTGGAAAGATATAGCCATCACTGTGGGCCATGTAGGGGAAAACCCCATATTCAAGGGATCCCTCACGAAAAATGCACAAAAAGTAGAAAAAATATTTAGTCTTAGGATTTTGATGCAGAATGGTGGAGAATCGATCTAGAAATCGTTTAAGGTACTCCTCTTGAGAATCGGATGAGAATTGGGGAAGATATAGCCATCACTGTGAGCCATATAGGGAAAAACCCCATTTTCAAGGGATCCCTCACGAAAAATGGACAAAAAGTAGAAAAAATATTTAGTCTTAGGATTTTGATGCAGAATGGTGGAGAATCGATCTAGAAATCGTTTAAGGTACTCCGCTTGAGAATCGAATGAGAATTGGGGAAGATATAGCCATCACTGTGGGCCATATAGGGAAAATCCATTTTTTCAAGGGATCCCTCACGAAAAATGGACAAAAAATCTAAAAAATATTTTGTCTCAGGATTTTGATGCAGAATGATAGAGAACCGATCTAGAAATCGTTTAAGGTACTCCTCTTGAGAATCGGATGAGAATTGGGGAAGATATAGCCATCACTGTGAGCCATATAGGGGAAAACCCCACTTTCAAGGGATCCCTCACGAAAAATGGACAAAAAATCTAAAAAAAATTTTGTCTCAGGATTTTGATGCAGAATGGTAGAGAATCGATCTAGAAATCGTTTAAGGTACTCCGCTTGAGAATCGGATGCGAATTGGGAAAGATATAGCCATCACTGTGGGCCATATAGGGGAAAACCCCATTATCAAGGGATCCCTCACGAAAAATGGGCTTAAGAAAAAAGACTTAAGATTTATGAACATTTCTTGCTTAATTTTAAATGAAGTAGTTTATTTATAAAACAATATTAACTTTTGATTGATATTTGAACTTTTGAAATGACAGCAACAGCGGGAAACCGACAGTTTGAGGGATGCAATATCTGTTAAAATTATCGATAAATTCTGGATCAAAAATGTAAAATAAAAAAATTATTTTTGTTTATGCAATTTATCATTATTTATTAAACAAATAACAAGTAACTAGTAACAATAAATGTAATAGTATAAATTTATTATAAAAAAAGAAGTTTTAAATACAAGATAGGTGGCGCTTTGCGATACTATCGGCTTGGACACTCTCAACTGTCAGCTGTCAATTGTCAAGTGACGTATGTTGCTGTCGTGGCGTTCAGAGAGAAATTTGTAGCCGTTGATACCGCTGAGTTGGAAGTTATTCCCGCTGATTCTTCAATAAAAAACAGAACAAACTTGATCCAGGATGTCCCGTCAACTGTTTGCCCTTTGCCTGATGGCCGCTGTCTGTGCGTCCGGTGTTTACGGTAGCTGCAAGGCCGACGTTAGCTCCTTCAGCACTCAGGATGCCACAATCCTGACCCAGCTTGCCCACGTTGGAGAGTTTACTCTGCAGTGCAGTGGAGCTGCTCCTGCCAGCCTGTTTGCCGAATTCCCCTGCGGCAAGGTTGTGCCCGTAGCCAAGGTTGGCGACAACAAGTACCAGGTGAGTGAACAGTCCCCCCCTTATCAGTTGGCCAGAACGTAATGGCTGTCTTATTCTCAGGTGAGCTGGGTGGAGGACATCAAGCAGGGCAGCAGCGGAAACGTCCAGGTGCGTCTCTTCGACGAGGACGGCTATGCCAATGTGCGCAAGGCCCAGCGTGACGGCGACAAGGTCTCCTCTGTGAAGTCCCTGCTCGACATTGCCGTGCCCACGAAGAGCGCCTACAAGGGTCCCTGGGTGAAGGCTGAGCTGCTGGCTGCCTTCCTGGTTGGCGGCGTTGCCTACTTTGCTTTCACCACCAAGAGCAAAGTCCAGGCCTAAGTCTGATACCCATCCCATTCCGCGGATGCCACTGTCATCGTAGAGTTTTTGAATGAAATTCATTCGCCTAAATCACTTAGCATCAAATTCGACCGGGTCCCAGAGATTTGTCACATTTTGTACATGTAAGCACCGAGAATTATAGCCAGAGGACCGCCCCGTAATAAAACTGATCAAAAAACCAAGTCATGGAATTGTGAATGTTGAGATTAATTGAATTTAATTTAGGGATAACATGTACAGAATATGCTTAAACCTGCCCAGAGCCCACTGCCGGGGTGGGCACTCCATTCATGGTGGCCTCTTCGTCGGATGAGATGTCAATCATGCTCTCGACCCGCGACGGGGACATCACATACACGAAGTGCTCCGTGGAGCCCTCGGGACCGACTGGTGGAGGAGGGATCACCACAGAACCATCCTGCGGCGGTGGTGGGGGTGTGTCTATGCTGCAGTACTTTAGATTTGCGGCACCTCCACCCGAATCGTCTGGTGGTGGCGCTCCGCCATTGCAATCAAAGTTTTCCAGTTCAAGCTCGAGATCGCTGACTATTCGCATACACCGCATTTTTGCCAGGGACTGGAACTTCATAGGCATGGCGCGGACCTGACGCGCCAAGCTGAGGAAGAACAGAGTATTGGCATCCAAGTCACGGTTTGCTTGGAGCACAGCCGAAACATCCCAATCGCTTGGGAACCGCGGATCGCTTATCTTGCGCGTCTTGGCTGGTGATGGCTGTTGTCCCTGGGGCGCTGACTGGGGCATGTGTTGCTGTTGGTTTTGTAGTTGAACGGCACTGTTCGAGCAACTGAGATTAATGGCTGTCGTCTGAGGGGATGGTTGCACTCTTCGGATTTTGGAGGCGGGAGGAGCTGGAGGCGGAGGCGGTGGTGTGGGATTGCCCATGGGCAGACCAATGCCTGTCCCGCATTTTCCATTCATTCGACTGGCATTTTGTACCTGGTTGGCCAAATTCTGGAATAATCCTAGTGGAGCTCCAGCAGCTGCAGCCGCGGTAAGCTCTTTTTTAAAGTTATCGGCAGCGGCAAAGAGATGTGGCTCTATGATCAAGCAGCCTACATTGGTGTTAGACGTTGGAACTCCAGAGGTTCCGCATCCAGGCGGCGTTACGGTGGGTGGGAGTGGCAAACCAGCAGCCACAGCAGCGGCCTTGAGCGTGGCCAGCGGAAACATCTGCTGTGCCAGACCGCCGACACCCATTCCCAGGGGCAGGTGTGTGGCTAAGGAAGCCAGGGCATTAGCATTGGCTTTAGTGACAGCCGCTGCAGATGTCGCGGGTGAGACGGGCAATGGTAGAACCACGGCGGAATTGCAGCCACTGGTTGCCGGTGGAGTCAGGGCACTGAGCGGAGCTACTGCTGCACAGTTGAGGCTTCCTGTGGCGCTTCCATTGCTATTGCTATTGTGGTTTTGTCCTCCTGCTCCCGACCCTCCTCCCATATTGCTGCCCGGGGAGATCATGTTCGGTGGCGTAGACACTCCAAGACCGGGTGTCAAGGATGAAGCTGCTGTGCTACTCAGAGCGGTTGTATAAGTGTTAACCGTGTGCGTGCCAATTGCCGAGCAGCCTGCCGATGCAGTGGCGATGGTTATTTTTAGTTCGTCCTCGCCACCGTTACTGGCCGCCTTGGCCAAGACCTGGTAGCCAAAATCGCATTCCGTGTCATCCTCGTCATTTGATTTTCCATTTCCGTTTGCAGAGTTTCTAAAAATATGAATATTTATTGATATATGTACTCAAAATAGTTTATTATTAGAAGTAGTTACCTGCCCGGTCCCTGGAAGGGCTTAAGAAACTCCATGTGGTCGGCATGGGCCCAATACTGGTACTTCTTGGAAGTTTTCGTTCCTACGCGAAACGAGCGTAGATACTTGGTGTAACTGTCCCTCAGATTTTTCCATTTCCGTTTAGAAGCCTCTGTAAAAAACATAAGGAAAATTTTACAAATAGTTAAATAATTTTACATAATTTGCATATTTTTATAAGGTCCTAAAAATGTTTCTGTTGTTCTTCGGTAACTAATATTAGTTATTCAGCAGTTATTAGTTATTCATTGATATCCTCAACAGATATCATTTTAGTTATCAACAGTTATCATTTTTGGTGTAACGTTCAAAATATTTCAAATTTTTAAAAACTTCCACAAAGTGTGACCGCCTTAGTTTTGGACTAAAAAAGCCTTCCGCGTCAATAAATAAAAGGGCACTTAAAATCGTCTTCGCTTGCATTTTGATTTCGCGAGAAGGCGTAGAAACGTATTGTATTCTAAAATATAATCTATAACAAATCGCATCACAGTTGAAACTATTCTATTTTCCTAAAAGTGAACTCTATTTTTTCAGTATAAAGTTGTTGAATAGCGTGATCATATCAGCAAATCATAAAAGTTCTTCGAATTCTACATAAATATATGTAAATAGTTTTGCCCTATCGGTTATAAGGCTACAAAATATCACTTATCACCAGGTAATGTACATACATTACATACATATTATCTTTAGTAGCGATCAAATCGTGTTCTTCCCCGAAATAAAGCAAACCCAATTACCCTATTTCCATAAGACATATTTAGGTGCTTCTGTATATGTACATACGAAATAGGATTCTTAGAATTCAGATGCCGAATCGAAGTAGAATGGAAGTGAAGAACGAAATGTGACCGCTATGAAACAATAATAAATAACCAATGTTTAAAAACTTGAGGGACTGCAAATACAGGGTGTTGCTGTTTTGTAGATTGCAATTCGTTTGAAAGATTAAAAGAACTATGCAAAAAACATATAAGAATTATTTTAAGGATATTTTTATTGTTATTAGACATAATTATAGTTATTTAATAGATATTTGTGCTTGATTTATGAAATATTATTTTTCGTACAGGTGGTTGGATGTAGAATGCGGCAACCCTACGCAATGTTATTGTTTTGAAAAGCTCTCCTACGCTCTTCTCTCTCTCTCTCCCTGCGCAGTTTCGCTCATTTCTGTTTTTGTTTGTTTTTTCTGCGTGCCAGTGGCAGTGTTTTCCTTTTTATTTTTTTTTTTCTGCTTCTCGCTGCAATTTGTTGGCCCCACTCCCGCCCCGTATCCCCCACACAACGCACACATATACAGACACTCTGGCGCTTTTATATATACACCGAGCGTTCGAAAAATATCAGGCCGGGCGGCGGTTGGCGGCGCCGCTGGCAGGTACACACACTCATATATATATGTACATATATATATATATATATATCTACATAATACCTACAAACTGTACTGTGTCGCTGTTCTACGTAATTCAATTTCAGCCGCCGCCTCCTTTCGGTCTCCGCAAAAGGGAGGCGGCGGGTCCACCACCCATGTTAGGGTGGGGTGGGGGGCAGCTGCTGCGGACAGCGAACTGTGAGCTGCTAGCTGCTAGCTTGGTAACTGGTATCCAGGTATAGTTTACCTACCCACTGAGAGACCAATCTCGTCGGCGATTTGGGTCCACACCTTCAGCTTCACCTCGACGTTCTTGTAGTCCGGATTGTGATTGTTGTAGACGACATCGTACTTCTTGACGATCTCGATGAAGTCGGAGGTGTTATCGGAGGTGGTCGAAGATTCGCTGATTGCGCGCGCCACTTTCACATCCTTCATGCTAGCCCACGGATGTCCAACGGTTGCCCGCCGCCTGTTCGGGAAGAGCCTAACGAACGCAGCCGACGAACCAGAGATATATGTACATATACAACACTATACGGTGTGTAGAGCTTGCGGAAAACTGTGCGAACCGTCCGACTATTCCGTTCTGTGCGACCGCTCCGACAAACGTTGGACACTTGAATGAAACGACGACCGAGAGCTGCAAGTACAGACCAGCAGCGACAGCGACAGCGACAGACCGTGCCTCCCTCTGCTTCCTCTTTCCACTTCAACCGCTCCCCACTCCCAATCACACACACAGCCACCCTCCTGCCGCGCGCACACTCACACAGGCATACCAACAACATCAGCAGCAACAGCAGCAGCAACACCAACAACAACAACAACAACAATAAAGCTGAGCCCCAACAGCGAGCGAACGTCGTCGTCGTCGTTGGAGGACGTGTAAAGAAGAACAAGAAGGCAACCTCATCATCATGATACACCAGGCAGAGCCAGGGCGGCGAGGAGGGGTTGGTTGGATTGGTTGGTTCCGTGGGTGGGAGGGGGGTATTACCACAGATAGGTAGAGAGAGAGAGGAGGTGGAGGTGGATGGCGGAGGACGCACCGCTCCAACGGCGGCAATGCTGCGCTAACCGCCCACCAGGCAAAAAAAAAAAAAGACCCACTCTCGAGTCTTTTTGTTATTGTTGCTAGTTGCACTGGCTAGTCGCTATGTATGCTTGGATGTTGGATTGTTTGTGTACATGGATGCATGGTGTGTGAGCGCGACAAAATTGCAGCAGCGCGATGCTGCACCCCTTCATCCACCCCCCCCATTACCCCAGGCCGGCATCACCCACCCACCCGCACTCTGTGGCAGCAACAGCAACGAAATCTGCTAGATGCGAAAGCAGCTTAATGCAATTCCCTGCGAAACTGTTGCACCAGAAACATCAACATTATCACGTGCCGCTGCCTGCACTGGCGAAGTTCAAGGTCATTGAATTGGCATAAGGAAATTCGAGGAAGGCAACTATCGAAAGGATATCCCACCGAGGCAGCCAGGATAATGGGATCTCTAACAGTCATCTAAAAATAGAGTGTACCGCTAAAGCTAATGTTGCTGGGGAGAGCCCAGAGCTCAGTGGCTCCATCGATCCGGACTTCAGGCCATGGATACGTCTGTCCATCGCAGTTGCTCCTTGAGGCTTGTTGATGCCTCCTCCCACTTCTCCTGGCCGTCTTCCACTTGCGACTCTTGTCTTTTTGCGACTCAAGTTGTTTTTGTTGGCGACTGCTGCTGCTGGTGGTGCTGCTGCTGCTGCTGTTGGTGCTGCTGGAGCTGCAAAACCTACGACCAGTTAACCCCTTTCCCGACCCTCCCACAGCCTGCTCCCTCGGCAGGCTTACCGCGCCGCTTTGGCTCCTTCTGCTTGTGCAAGTAGAAGACGAAGTAGAAGAAGAAGAAGAAGCCGAGAAAGAAGCAGAAACAGCAGAAACCATGGGGGCAGGGTGAGGGTAGGAGGGTGAGGCGGAGCGTGGGGGTAGAGGCGGTCAGAGGCCCCAAACTAACACAGACACACACACAGCCAGGCGACGACGACGACGGCGCCTCTATATCGGTGTGTTCGTGTGCCTTGGCTGCGTGTATGGTATGGTATGGTATGTAGGTATGGATGTTTGTATCTTTTCAGCTTGTGCGGGTTTTTGTTGCTTTTATTATAAGTATTTTTTCGCTTTTCTCTCGTCTCTCGTCTCTCTCTGGCCCTCCTGCCCCACAATCTCTCTCGCTCTGGCTCGGTCTAGCGACAGCTCCTACAGCGACGTCTGCCTCCCCCTTTACTCCACCATCAGCAGCACCATCACCTCCACCGCCTCCTCACACTTTATACCTCACCTCCAACCGCCTGCCCACGCTCACAAGCTAGCCCCGCTCATGTCCCGCCCTCGTCCCTCTATCTCGTACGCCTCGTCCTGGCGGCCGTCCTCCCTGCCTCCCCGTCCTCGCGCCCCCCCATCTACCACCATACCACACAGCTCCCGGTTTGCCAGTTCGAAACATCATCATCGTTCCAAACATTATTGTCTTCATCATCATCATCATCATCATCGTCAGGCAGCCCCAAACAGCAACGGCATCAGCACCAGCAACAGCAACATTTCGTGGAATAGAGGGCGGCCAAGAGAGAGGGGGCCGGAACAGGCCGATGGGGGGAGGGTCGTTGGGCGTTTTGGCGTTCGGCGGCGAAGGCTTGTCTGTATGTCACCCGTATACATGTATGAATGTATATTTGTGTGTGCTGCTGCTGTGTGCGTTGCTGTATGTTGCTGGCACAAAAAAGAGTGTGGTGGGGGTGGTGAGGGGGCAGGACGGAGTGAGGGGTGGTGGAGGTGGGAGGTTTTGCGGAGCACTGAACAGGGCCGTTGGGCGGAGGGGCAGGAGAGCGGCCTACCGCCGCTGGTGGAGCTGTATGGCTGTTGTAGTTGCTGCTGCTACTGCTGCTGGTGCTGATGTTGGTGGTGTTGTTGTTGTTGTTGTTGCTGCTGCTGCTTTGGCGCTGTATATGTTGTTGGTGGCACTATTGTTGTTGTTGTTGTAGCAGCAGGCTGCGGCTGTTGTTGCCTTTCGCAAATCGATAAACGATGTCCGGACTGCGGAGTAGGCGAACGCTTTGCTTTGCGTGTGTACCCGCCCAGCACATATGTGTGCGTGTGTATATATGTATATAATATATATACAAATATATACCATGCCAAAGAATATACATATGTATATAATGTAGGCGGTTTGAAACAAACCTAAACCCAAACAGCCGCCTAACGAAGTTTGATGCAATCTGCACTAAAGCACCCATATGTATCAGATCTGGTATATACTATTTACTTATTGATACATATGTATGTATGTATACCTGCACACCTGACCCCGAAACATCCAAATGACCCCAGGACTCTTTCATGTATGTGTGTGTGTGTGTGTCGGTCATCCCATTGCACTTCATCATTTATTTTATTGATTAACTTTAAATTAAAGTTTTCAACTTAAACAGTTTCATTTCAACATCCAATCTCCAGATACATATATCCTTTAAGAAAATGTTTAAAATGCATATTTTCGAATATTGTAGGATCATAATTTTATTACGAATCTTTGAAATATAACACGTTTTGGAGTGGAATATTTTGTGACCCAATATTTTGAGAGGGAACATGAAACTCGATCTCGAGTACTTCAAGTTACACTACTCTTCTCAAAACCACAATTATACTTCGAGATCTTTAAGGAAAATCCTATTCCAGTTCTATCCTAGCGTTGAAAAGCGACGGGTGTCTAAATCCTAAATAATCTTGGATTTTGTTGATCCTTAAGTTAAAATTTATATTAAAATATTTTCAGCAATTTGAAGGACATCTATATTTTGAAAATAATGAGTTCTACCTTCGAGTATTATTTGGAAAATATACTTTGTAACTTGCAAAGTCCTGCGACGGATCATGAGGACTTCTACACAGTTCAGGAGTTCGTCCTTAATTTGGTTAAAAATAATCGTTTGGTGAAGTCTACCTGTAATGTAAATGGTATAGGTTTTGGTAAGTTTTAAAGGAAATTTCAAACTATTAAGATAGCTTAATAGGAAGTACTTCCTCCTTCTTTAGGAAGTACGGCTCACGGAATCAGAATGTACGACAATGACGAGTATGACGTTATGCTTGAATTGGAGTTTCCGTACTACGAAAATATCTGCGTACGCCCGGATCTACATCGTCCGGGAATGGTACATCTGGACTTTAAGGACTTACCCTATAATGACTTCACTGAGGATCTGCTGCTGGATCACCGTTGCTACCTGTTGCGAGAGAAAGTCCAGACTTGGATGCAGAGCATTCTATTAGATGTATCTGGCCGAACAGTGAGAGGTAGAGGCAATAGTTCCTTTTATCTCAGATACAAGCCCGGCTATAATTGCCACACAATATGGGCGGAGTCTGATAACCATACCTTCTCCATTGACTTTATGCCGGCGATCAAAGTGATTTTCGATGACATGGACTGTCAGGTGGTGCCAATGGCTGCTGAAGGACCAAAACGCTCCCATGGTTGCACATTTATGGTGAGCGATGTCCGGGAAGAGATACGATTGTTCGAAGAAGGTGGGATGTTTGTTCAAAAGGCCGTAATGCTGTTGAAGGCACTGTGCGAGACCAAAGGTCTCCCTAAGATCCACAATTACCATCTGGTGACGTGTGCCATTAATGTAATAGCACGCGATGATTTTGAGGATTTGAACTTAGAGAATGTTTTTATAAATGTAAGTGTATCCCCAAATAGAATATTTGAATCAAATTATGATGTCATCCGTTTTCGATGCAGATCCTTGGCCACCTGGTTGATGCACTGGAGGACCATTCCTTGCCATACCTTGGCTACATGGACCGGAATTTACTCTCCAATTTTAAGCCACAACAACTCAATGAATATATTGACATTTTGGATAGCGCATTCACGACTCTAAAAACATATCCCCACCAATATAATCTTTCCTATGAGCGTTGCAGTTCTCACTTTCTAACTGAATAAGCTGATTTTTGTATTAGTTTTTGATTTATGTTTCTTTTAAATACCCAAATGCGTTTTAATTTTATATTTTTAATAATCTTTATTGAATTTTAAACTTTATTTTTGTAAATAAGCCAGTGAATAAATAAATAAAATTACTTGAATTACTCCATATGTGTAATGGGTCCTATGGGTCCCACTATTTCCACATTACTGACCAGTGTCTTGGAGCGATCTTTGGTCTGCTGCTGCTGTTGGAATAGCAATTGCACCAGGATAATAACATAGTTGGCCATTCCGTTGTATATCTATAGAAATTATATCCCTAAAATGATAAATATAAAACCCAGACGTTGGTCATCCCTCACCAAGTAAATTGTAGAAACATTGAGAGGTATGGTACTGCCCACAACGGCACTACCTTGGTTGTGCATCCGCCAGTGCTGGAAATCCTCGGTCTGCCGGGCTGCTATTTCATGGTTAGGAAAGGATTTGGAGTAATTACCTAGCAAATGCATACAATTGATTTTCTGAAATAAAAAGATTTCAATTTTTATTGCTCTAACCTAAGTATTTGCAATTACCGACCTCACGTTGAAGCAAATACCCGTAAGTACTGGTGATGATCACTTTGTAGGTGTGTATGGAGACGTGGAGTACCATGAATGTGTACTCCAAGTCCCAGGGCTCTCTGCTGAGCAGTTTCTGGCAGATTACGTAGACGAAACAAGTCATTATGGTGAAGTCGTAGAAGAGCCCAGCGGCGGCAGCGAATCCAAACACTGAATTAAGCCCCTTTAAAAGGTGGCAACAGCGCTTGGACATCCTGAACAAGTGTCCAATCCTTTGGTGAATGTCCTTCTCATTATCTGGTCCTTTGAACTGGTAAAGTTGCTGCAGCAACACTTGAATAAGACGCAGACGGAGGCGCAGAAAGTCCATTATGGCAATATGCACAAAGCCCACCAATCCTAGAGAACTGGTTAGGAGGGTGTAGCTAAATGCCATCAGCAGCGTGGACGGAAGGCCGCAGTTACACCGCACCGTGTCGAAGATCAAAGAGAAGGAAAAGGAGGTGAAACAGAAGCCCACGATCATAGTGCCGTACCAGTACTTCCTGTGGGTGCGCTGGTAGTTCCACTTTACCAACGGGAACTTCTCTGAAATCAACCCATCGAATTCCTGAAGGCTGTCAAGTAGTTCCAGATGCTTTTTTCGCTGCGCATCCAGCGAAATGCAATACTCCACATAGGTAATCGAGCAGCTGAGACACTCCCATGAAAAAATCACCTTCACCAGCGGTGTCAGGTGGCTAAACATGGCAGACGCCATCTGTGGATCCTTTAGCTTTACCGCCACACTTGTTATTAGACCCGCCACTCCAAACAGACGTGCCAATAGGGCGTAGCTTACCGTTAACCAGGTAGAGCTGACTCCACCATGTCGGGAACTTTTCGCCTGAAACGTGATTAAGCCCCAGAAGAACATCAAGCCGTAAAGATACCGGTAACAGTAAAGAAAGCCATCGTCGGGATGCATTGCCGTTGTAGGAACTTAAATGATGACTGGCCAGAGCCGTACAGAACTATTTATTCCCACGCAGGGGTTAATTATTATTGATTACACATAGATATGATCGGACTAATTGAATACATCGTTTCGGCCGCCTCTCCATGTCTTCATGTCTAGTAGTTATATACGTTTCGTATCACATCTTTAGACAAAAGTAAACTGGCGTGCTTTGTTGCGGGCATTCGAGTTGGCGGTGTTGTTGCTGGCAGAGTTGTTCGAGTTGGGTGCAGTGCGTCGCAAGGTTTTCTGCAGGACATGAGCGTCCGCCGGCTCGATGCGTTTGTAGTATTGTTCCTTGGTGTCTACGATTTCGAAACCAAATTTCTTATAAAACTCGATGGCTCCCTCGTTGTTAATTTGCACATGCCTGCAAATGATTTGTTGATTTAGCTTTTGTTGCAAATATATGTGTTTGTTCAGCTAGTTCACTTACAAGAAGATGCTATCAAAGTTTCCGTCCTTCTCGGCATAGTTGAGAATGTGTTCGAACATGACAGTGCCGATGCCTAGGCGGCGGTAAGGGGACAGACAGCCTAGTGTCATGATATAGAGCCGCCGCTGGTTCTCGGTAGTGTCAATGCGGCAGCAGACGGCGCCCACCACAATGTCATTGTAGAAGGCCAGCTTCGCGAGCTCGCCGGCTTCTAGAACGTCTACATAGAACTTGTCGTTGTAGGATACCGGGAACACAACTGTGTTTAGCTTTTTCAACTGCTTGATGTTGTGTGGCGTCACGTCGCCCAGTTCGATGCTGTTCCTGCAGGTGGGAAGGGTAAGCGTAAATAAAATGCAGGACACTTTTCAGACCAAGCGAGGCGGCGATTTTAGGTTATAATTTTTGAGCAGCTCCTGCTCTCGGTGTTCCCGCAAAGCCCGCTTAGCGTTCCGACTTACCTAGTCATGACGGCCGTATAATTACTTTAGCTTTAGAAACGCGCCTTGCGCCTGTTAATTCTAATAGAAAAATGTGTTTAAAGCGCCACAGCTGTTCTGATTGTCCAGATTGCTGGCTATCGATTGCCAGATGTCTCGAAAATTGTGTCCGAATGACAGCGCTGCCAGACGTAGTGTGAAAAAGGCCCTAACGCCTTCTGGTAATCGGTTATCGATTGTACAGTCGCACGAAACACTGTCGAAGAAATTTATTGCTCGAGGAAAATAATAAAATTTTAGTGGAAGATGAACCCCAACCCTATGATGCCCATGTCCGGGCCGCAAATGATGCAGGTGATGCAATCTTCGCCTTCGGGACCACCCGTTCCTGTGCCTGTGCAGCATCAGCAGCAACAACAGCAGCAGCAACAGCAGGCCGAGAAACTGGACAACATTTCGAAAGTGAAGAATCTGCTAACGCCACTCCGAGAATCAATGTTCCTGACCATCCGATCGAGCGCATTTGCGCTTCAGCAAAACAACCTGGCGGATAATCTCAAACGCGATACTGGAGCGCACCATGTGCCCCGCTTCGACAAGCATCTGGAGGATTTCTATGCTTACTGTGACCAGATCGAGATACATCTTAAGACTGCAATGCAATGCCTCCAGCAGCAGAACTCTTCAAATCACTATCTCCCAGGACCGGTGACGCCGATGCGAATGGAGAGCTTCATGCCGGAGAACGCCGGTCCCATCCCGTATCCCACGTATCTTAATACTGTACGGGTTCACGTCCAGTCGGCAAAGGACATCCACGACACTCTGATTAGTGCAGCACAAAACATTTCGCAAGCTGATTGATAGTTAAAGGCTCATTAGTTAATATTATTTACCACGATTAAACTTAAGCTAGTAATAAGTAGTATTTTATACAAAAGTTTATATTAATTTCAAAACTATTAAATATTTCTTGGTTTTGAATGTGGTCCCCCTTTGATTTCATTGAATATTCGATAAAACACACAAAAATCGATTTTTCGATAGGTCCATCTCTTGCAGCTCTACGTGTCACAATTAGAACGCAAAAGCAAAACACTGCGGTGCATTTATTTACTTCTAAACAAAAGGTATAATTTTAGTTTATTTATAATTTATATTTTCTTTTAAATAATGGCTAATTTTATTTTAGCTTACTATTCCAGATAAAATGGCTGATGAGCAACCAAATCTGGTGGCCGGACACCCACCTGCACGTAAGTGCAATTGCATTGGTGTGCGGCGGACGTGGGTGTGTGCGTTTGAAAAGGAATGTTTTTGTTTTTCTTAATAATTCAATAAGCCGGATGATAGAATGCCTGGCTGGCAATTAACCATATACCGATTCGTATCAATAGCCCCAATATCTACTGCCTTATCAGTATTTTAACCTGTTTCGGCCAAAGCTGATAAGTAAACAAACTCACACACTCGCGCGGCTGCACACAAACACAACAATTGCGTCCAAAAATATTTTTCTTTCTGCTGACGTCATACATACTCTGCACTGTGACTTAAATATTTGTTTTGAATTTAATTTTTTAGTAAAAGCCGGTGGCATGAGAATTGTGCAGCACAAAGCACCAACTACCGAACGTGCGCCCAAGGATGCCGAAGATTGCACTGGACTTACTGTAAGTTTTATTATTATATATAGCAAAAACTAAAAAATAAATGCCTAAATTATATCCTACAGCAACCCATTAGCGTAAACTCGGCTTCGGTGAGCGGTGCTCCCGTTAAGGACAACACTGGCTTTACGCCCGCCTCAGTCCAGGTGGCCCATTCTGCCAAGCCCCCGGTAGCCGTACAGCAGAAGCCACAGATCCACATCCAGCAGCCACGCAAGTGATCTGGAGCCCAATATTCCTTTAAACCATGATCTTTGTTGAAATTCTCCATGTACGAAATGGTATTGAAGTTGCCTCTATAAGTAATATATATTTAAAGTATCTTTGCTATTGCATTCCAAATGAATTTCTTTGCATCTTTTTTTCATATTTTTAATAAAATATATTGTCCTTTTTTTGTAGATTTTAAGTCTTTGATTTTTGAACTACTGAAAAAAAAAGAAACATGATCCTGTTTCGTACTTCCTTAAATATTTTTTACCTAAAACACTATCAGCCCTCCTGAGATTTATCTTAATTTATCTCCATTGTTTAAACAAGACTTAAAAAAATCTGCTTTAGACAATTCTAATAATTCTCAAGTGCTTTTTCAGCACACTCTTTATTTAAATGGGGAAATATGAACAATGAAATTGCCCCACTGAGCTTCGGTGGTCCGGGGTGCGGACTTCAAATCCGTAGTCGATTAGCGTCGAAGTGGTTCGATTCCACCTGGGGGGCGACTTGTTTTATTTTTTTTAGCACAATTTGTACAATTTTGTTAAATAGCATTGGCAGCTTTAACTATCCAAGTTCGAAGTTTGGCCACATCCGCATAGACGCTCGGGTAGTTTTCATCCGCACACGTATAGCCCCAAGAAACGATGCCAACCAGAACTTTGTTGGCTACCATTGGTCCTCCGGCGTCACCTGTGCAGGAATCTCCAACCGCATTGGATGCGCAGATGGTTTCCTCGCCCACAAAGTCCCAGCCATATCCGTACTTGTCCGAGGCGCATTCTCCGCGTTCGATGATCTGCAGCTGGACGGTTTGTAGGTCGTCGGCTAGCGCTCCATCCGGACTCGTGTAACCCCAGCCGGTGACGGTGGCTACTTCGCCTGCAGTGGGACTCTCCTTGGCCAGATTGATGGCTCTGACGGAGAGGCCCAATGTGAGGGGCGTGGAAAGACGCAGGACAGCAATGTCAAAATGCAGATACTCGGATTCAAACTGCTCGTGTACTTTGTACGCCGCCACTGGTACTAGGGTTCCGCCATAGTTATGATGTTCCGCTCCAACACGGACTTTCATCAAGGTCACTGACTTGCCGTTCACACAGTGTCCGGCCGTAATGACAATCTCCTTGCTGTAGATGACTCCACCGCACTCGTGACGTGCGCTGATCTGAATGGAAACCTGCCAGGGGGCGTTCCGGATGAGCTGGTCATTACCGCCCACAACCCGTCCTTCGATTGCAGAGCCCGCAGCGCCTCCGAGTAGGAAGCAGACCAAAAGAATGGCGAACATGTCGAAATCCAGGTGCAAACTGGTCATGCATGTACACAAGAAGCATTCCTATCGTGGGCTCTTCGAAGGGTTGTAAAAGTTAATCGCTAGCTAATAGGAGCTTATCGCTGGCCAGGAGAGAGTCTCGAGTAGTTTTGGGCCGTACTACACTTTGTTAACCCTTGTTATTCCATAGGAATACAGTTACCCAGGCAACCGTAGAAAAACAAACCAAATTCTACATAAATTTCTGACCCAAGGCAGTACATCATTCCGTAAAACATTATGGATGACTGGAAAATAACACCAGAGGAATTGATAAGACTGCGCGAAAGTTGCCTTCAAAGCATCCGGGATGGAGAAATCTACCAGCTGCGCAACGATGCCAAACTGAGGGCGGTCTACAGCTCCCAGAGCTACGAGGAGTTCAAGTGAGTTCCTTTCTACTAGAGCTCTAAAAGACTGAATCTGAAAGATACAATTTTAGAGACATAGTAGATGCAGCCCACCTGCGTCCAGTGACCAGGAGTGACAAGGCCAATGCCCATACCAAGAACCGTTTGTGGAATTCCGCCGCCCGCGAATAATTACCTAATAAAGATTCCACAAAGTTGCATATTAGTTAAGTCGTTTTATTGGATCAAAATCCATCTATCCGGAGCACCTACCTAGATTAAACATCCTAGAAATCAACCTAGACTACGGATAGTTGACGTAGGTATCAAATCAAAATTGGCAGGAATCAAATCAACCAGGGAAAACCAGGGAAAGAGGGCCAGTGGGCTCACCTTAGGAGGTATCCTTGCTGATGGCCCTGATTTAACTCCCATATCCGTTGCTGAAATGGCAGGACTCCAGTTAATAAAAATGGTATATCTTCCAATCTATTCGCTGCGATAATCCAAAATTTCAACTAATATTAATCAAGTGCGTAAGGAAACTCCCAAAGTCCCACAAAAATGACTAGCAAATACTTATTCTTAATCTTTGATAATATTTATAAATAATTTTATTTCGACCTTTATACCTAAATTAATTTATAAACAAAATATTTGGCAGTGAATCGTTTAAAGTTCAAATAGATATTGAATCGTATATTCCGTGGATGGTGTGTCACTGAAGCTTAATTATTTTAATCATATAATTAGTATATATATATATATTTTTTTTTTTTCATTTCGATCTAATATATTTTTAAATGTAAATATTAAAATAAAAATTTTAAATGTTTGCTAATATATGTTTCGATAAAAAATGTTTTGAGGATGTATATATAACAATTTTTGGTAAAAATCGTTAAAACATTTTCCAAGTGTACTGTCAAGATTATGATAAGAAATAATTTTGAGGCATGGTGCCAGAAAAAGATCAGACAAATTGAGTGGTAAGCCACAAGTTTTGATTGAATCTTATCCGTTTATTTCGAGAGGCTCTTGAGATTCGGAAAACCCTATTCAGGCAGGAACAAATATACATACATATGTATATAGTCTGAGGAGCAATGGTCGGCTATAAGTCATAAGACCATTCTAGGGAAGGCTTAAGGCCTTTTTTATTAATAAACTTACTTCAATATATGGTTTTTATGAGTCTGTATGTTAAATGCTTTACTACAGAAACCAGAAAGGCTTATATCAGTTAAATTAATATTATTAACTTAATAAAAAGAAAAATAAAAATCTAGCAAACAAAATAAAATAGCTCAAAACCTTCTAATAATGATAATAATATGCAGCTAACCTATTAATAATATAGTAAGGGATGCAACTTTTCAAATAATGACTGTCCTCTATGCTCTATGACATAGAGGATATAATATAAATTATACAATATCCCCCTTTTCCCCTACTATCACCCTTTTCAAATAAAACATCTATAAATGTACAGTAAATGTAAATATATAAATGTACATAATTGTATAGTAAATAAACGGATAAACGGATAAGGAAATTATAAAAAACAACATACTTATTTGGTGTTACTTAATTATTTTCTTTTACCTATACAATCCTCAACCTTACTGAAAACCCTTTGTTAAGAGGAGCCCTAAATAAATAGGTCTTACTCCAATGAGCTCCTTATGGAAACTGATTTTTTTGTGTCCCTTACCACTTGGGGGGAAACATCAGAGGATCCGGCTCGAAGGACCAAATGTGAAGAGGAGCCCTAAATAAATAGGTCTTACTTCAATGAGCTCCTTATGGAAACTGATTTTATTTGGTAAAGTTCTCTTATAAGTACGATACATGAGAATCTTAAAACTATTTAAAACTACTTGTCAACGCACTGCACGCTGACCTGCTATGCGACCCTTTCTCCAGTGCGATAAGCGCACCACTTATGTATTTGTTTGTGTTAGGCTGCAGGGGATCGGTTTTAAACCATCTGCTTGACTTGTATTTCATGGGTCCGATCCCTTGAAACTCTAACTTAAGAATTTCTATAAAACATACTGAAAACACTTTGTGACAAAAATATCTTTAAAATAATAAAAAAGAGAAATCATTTTTCAATCGTATTTATTGCAAAATTCTGAAGGCCTTGCCATCTGTCTTAGACACTGCCAGCAGCGCTGACCACCCAGGAGCGGAGAGCGGCAACATCGGCGTAGACTCCGGGGTAGTTGGAGTAGGCGCATCCGTATCCCCAGGACACAACACCGACGAGCACTCCACCAGAGACCAGAGGGCCACCAGAGTCACCCTGGCAGGCATCCTTGCCACTGGCGGCAGCACAGATCATACTGGACCTGATCTCGCTTCCATATCCGTAGCTGGACGAGGCACACTGCGTCCGGCCAACAATGTTTACGTTGACGTACTGCAAGGTAGTGGGGATGGAGCTGGATCCGTACGACTGAGTACCCCAGCCGGAGACGGAGGCAGCAGCACCGTTGGCAGGAGCGGAGCTAGCCAGACCAATAGCCTTGATGGTGGAGCTCAAGCTCAGGGAAGAAGCCAGACGAATGACGGCGATGTCGTTGACCATGGTGTTGGCGTTGTAGTTCTCGTTGTTCTTGAAGGCGGACACACTGACCAGGGTGCCACCGGAGTTCCAGTAGGTGGATCCAGCACGGACCTTCAGGGAGGAGGCGGAAACGGACTGCAGGCAGTGAGCGGCGGTCACAATGATGTTAGCGGAGTAGATGGAGCCACCGCAGGAGTGGCTGCCACTGCGCTGCAGGGAGATCTGCCAGGGGAAGCTGGAGATGGTGGTAGCGGTACCTCCAACGATACGGCCATCCAGCTGGGGCAGGAGACCCTCGGGGACGGTGGCTCCCAGGGCGCAGGCAACGGCCGACAACAAGATCACGAACTTCAGCATGGTGCTAATCCAATGAACCGGACTGGGAACAGGCGCCCCTTTTATAGGTGATTTTCTATCTATTCGCCGTGAATTAATCAGAGCTTTCAATTATTTTTATCAAGTGTGTTAGGAAAACCCAAAGATTGCCTGTGAAGTGAGTTGGAAAGATATGCAACCAACAACCTTAGATAGCTTTGGACTTTCTTAAATTTAAATTGATGGACAGAAACATTATCATTTTTAACGATAATGCGAAGCTTTAAGCGAGCGAACTTTTATTTGGTACATTCTCCATAATCTCCTTCTGTCTGTAAAAAAAAAATGGAATAGGACAAGTTCAGATCATAGAACAAAGGACTTTGGATAAAACGAGATAATCTTTCCTTAATTTTAGATGATTTAAACAAAATATATATTAATTTTTATATCAGAGTTTCTATTTATCCTATATAAATACCAAAAATTAAAAAAAAAAACCAACTCTAGAAGCGAAAGCTAACTTCAGGCGGAGCCGAAGTGGATAAACCTTTGCAGTTAATATAGGATATTACTATCCTATTTACTATCTACTATCCTATTATTTACTACTATCCTATTACCGACTTGCAGTCGGATATATGTAAATCACAAATATCGGATATAATTGACCAATCGTTATTAGAATTTTATTATAAAACCAATTTATTAAAATAAAAAATTTAAAAAAAGTCTCAAACTTCTTTCATCAAAAATACCAAAGATGGTTCAGTTATATGGCAGCTACAGGATATAGAAGGCCGATCTTCATGAAATTTGAAAAGTCGGACAGACAGACGGACATGCTTATATCAACGGAGATGTAGGAGTATAGGGCCGGAGGTGTCTCCTTTACTGCGTTTCACAGTTTTGACCAAAATAATAATAATCTCTGCAAGGGTATGAAAAGTTGGGTAGATTTTAGGAAAAAAAAATTAAATTTACCAAAATGTCCAAAATGTCAATTTATCAAACGTTGCAAAATTAATGCCCTTTTTTGAATTGGGGTTCCCTTTAGTATCGAAAGGAAAAAAAAATAGAGAAAATAGAGAAATAAAAATTTGGACCCTATTTTGGCCAAAAACCCCTTTAAAAATGTTCGAAAAATGGGTCAGATTTTAGTTGGGCCGGTTTCGATTTGGAATAATAGTACCCGAATATCTAAGATCGGGAAGGTATCTCATTTGACGATCGTATAGGTATTGGATATTTAAGTAAAATAAAATATGGATCAAATGATAGTAATTATACTGTTAGCTTTTTTACCCTAAATAATGATCCCTTTTTCAATTGGCAAAACGGATTTAATTAAAACTAATAATACTTCAAGATCTAAGATAGGCATCACATTATTCCATTTGATAAGTATTTAAGGTATGGATAGTTCGCCGAAATAAATCATCCATAAATCATGGTTTGACCAAAATTTAAGCTTTCAAAATATGTTTCAGTCAATATTTTAATTATTACGCATCATATTTAATAAGCTCGCATAATTAAAATAAGTTGCAAGCCACAAGTTTTCATGCCAAAACGGAAGTTAAGCCCCATGAAAATTCCAGATCAAAAAATCTTTTCTCAAATGTATTTATTGCAAAATTCTTGAAGGATTAGCAAAAACCTTAGACACTGCCAGCAGCGCTGATCACCCAGGAGCGGAGAACGGCAACATCGGCGTAGACTCCGGGGTAGTTGGAGTAAGCGCATCCGTATCCCCAGGACACAACACCGACGAGAACTCCACCAGAGACCAGAGGGCCACCAGAGTCACCCTGGCAAGCATCCTTTCCACTGGAAGCGGCACAGATCATGGTGCTCTTGATCTGGCTGCCATATCCGTAGGTAGACGAAGCGCACTGCGACTCGCTAACAATGTTCACGTTGACGTACTGCAAGGTAGTGGGGATGGAGCTGGATCCGTAGGACTGAGTACCCCAGCCAGAGACGGAGGCAGCAGCACCGTTGGCAGGAGCGGAGCTAGCCAGACCAATAGCCTTGATGGTGGAGCTCAAGCTCAGAGAAGAAGACAGACGAATGACGGCGATGTCGTTGACCATGGTGTTGGCGTTGTAGTTCTCGTTGTTCTTGAAGGCGGACACACTGACCAGGGTGCCACCGGAGTTCCAGTAGGTGGATCCAGCACGGACCTTCAGGGAGGAGGCGGAAACGGACTGCAGGCAGTGAGCGGCGGTCACAATGATGTTAGCGGAGTAGATGGAGCCACCGCAGGAGTGGCTGCCACTGCGCTGCAGGGAGATCTGCCAGGGGAAGCTGGAGATGGTGGTAGCGGTACCTCCAACGATACGGCCATCCAGCTGGGGCAGGAGACCCTCGGGGACGGTGGCTCCCAGGGCGCAGGCAACGGCCGACAACAAGATCACGAACTTCAGCATGGTGCTAATCCAATGAACCGGACTGGGAACAGGCGCCCCTTTTATAGGTGATTTTCTATCTATTCGCCGTGAATTAATCAGAGCTTTCAATTATTTTTATCAAGTGTGTTAGGAAAACCCAAAGATTGCCTGTGAAGTGAGTTGGAAAGATATGCAACCAACAACCTTAGATAGCTTTGGACTTTCTTAAATTTAAATTGATGGACAGAAACATTATCATTTTTAACGATAATGCGAAGCTTTAAGCGAGCGAACTTTTATTTGGTACATTCTCCATAATCTCCTTCTGTCTGTAAAAAAAAATGGAATAGGACAAGTTCAGATCATAGAACAAAGGACTTTGGATAAAACGAGATAATCTTTCCTTAATTTTAGATGATTTAAACAAAATATATATTAATTTTTATATCAGAGTTTCTATTTATCCTATATAAATACCAAAAAAAAAAAAAAAAACCAACTCTAGAAGCGAAAGCTAACTTCAGGCGGAGCCGAAGTGGATAAACCTTTGCAGTTAATATAGGATATTACTATCCTATTTACTATCTACTATCCTATTATTTACTACTATCCTATTACCGACTTGCAGTCGGATATATGTAAATCACAAATATCGGATATAATTGACCAATCGTTATTAGAATTTTATTATAAAACCAATTTATTAAAATAAAAAATTTAAAAAAAGTCTCAAACTTCTTTCATCAAAAATACCAAAGATGGTTCAGTTATATGGCAGCTACAGGATATAGAAGGCCGATCTTCATGAAATTTGAAAAAGTCGGACAGACAGACGGACATGCTTATATCAACGGAGATGTAGGAGTATAGGGCCGGAGGTGTCTCCTTTACTGCGTTTCACAGTTTTGACCAAAATAATAATAATCTCTGCAAGGGTATGAAAAGTTGGGTAGATTTTAGGAAAAAAAAATTAAATTTACCAAAATGTCCAAAATGTCAATTTATCAAACGTTGCAAAATTAATGCCCTTTTTTGAATTGGGGTTCCCTTTAGTATCGAAAGGAAAAAAAAATAGAGAAAATAGAGAAATAAAAATTTGGACCCTATTTTGGCCAAAAACCCCTTTAAAAATGTTCGAAAAATGGGTCAGATTTTAGTTGGGCCGGTTTCGATTTGGAATAATAGTACCCGAATATCTAAGATCGGGAAGGTATCTCATTTGACGATCGTATAGGTATTGGATATTTAAGTAAAATAAAATATGGATCAAATGATAGTAATTATACTGTTAGCTTTTTTACCCTAAATAATGATCCCTTTTTCAATTGGCAAAACGGATTTAATTAAAACTAATAATACTTCAAGATCTAAGATAGGCATCACATTATTCCATTTGATAAGTATTTAAGGTATGGATAGTTCGCCGAAATAAATCATCCATAAATCATGGTTTGACCAAAATTTAAGCTTTCAAAATATGTTTCAGTCAATATTTTAATTATTACGCATCATATTTAATAAGCTCGCATAATTAAAATAAGTTGCAAGCCACAAGTTTTCATGCCAAAACGGAAGTTAAGCCCCATGAAAATTCCAGATCAAAAAATCTTTTCTCAAATGTATTTATTGCAAAATTCTTGAAGGATTAGCAAAAACCTTAGACACTGCCAGCAGCGCTGATCACCCAGGAGCGGAGAACGGCAACATCGGCGTAGACTCCGGGGTAGTTGGAGTAAGCGCATCCGTATCCCCAGGACACAACACCGACGAGAACTCCACCAGAGACCAGAGGGCCACCAGAGTCACCCTGGCAAGCATCCTTTCCACTGGAAGCGGCACAGATCATGGTGCTCTTGATCTGGCTGCCATATCCGTAGGTAGACGAAGCGCACTGCGACTCGCTAACAATGTTCACGTTGACGTACTGCAAGGTAGTGGGGATGGAGCTGGATCCGTAGGACTGAGTACCCCAGCCAGAGACGGAGGCAGCAGCACCGTTGGCAGGAGCGGAGCTAGCCAGACCAATAGCCTTGATGGTGGAGCTCAAGCTCAGAGAAGAAGACAGACGAATGACGGCGATGTCGTTGACCATGGTGTTGGCGTTGTAGTTCTCGTTGTTCTTGAAGGCGGACACACTGACCAGGGTGCCACCGGAGTTCCAGTAGGTGGATCCAGCACGGACCTTCAGGGAGGAGGCGGAAACGGACTGCAGGCAGTGAGCGGCGGTCACAATGATGTTAGCGGAGTAGATGGAGCCACCGCAGGAGTGGCTGCCACTGCGCTGCAGGGAGATCTGCCAGGGGAAGCTGGAGATGGTGGTAGCGGTACCTCCAACGATACGGCCATCCAGCTGGGGCAGGAGACCCTCGGGGACGGTGGCTCCCAGGGCGCAGGCAACGGCCGACAACAAGATCACGAACTTCAGCATGGTGCTAATCCAATGAACCGGACTGGGAACAGGCGCCCCTTTTATAGGTGATTTTCTATCTATTCGCCGTGAATTAATCAGAGCTTTCAATTATTTTTATCAAGTGTGTTAGGAAAACCCAAAGATTGCCTGTGAAGTGAGTTGGAAAGATATGCAACCAACAACCTTAGATAGCTTTGGACTTTCTTAAATTTAAATTGATGGACAGAAACATTATCATTTTTAACGATAATGCGAAGCTTTAAGCGAGCGAACTTTTATTTGGTACATTCTCCATAATCTCCTTCTGTCTGTAAAAAAAAAATGGAATAGGACAAGTTCAGATCATAGAACAAAGGACTTTGGATAAAACGAGATAATCTTTCCTTAATTTTAGATGATTTAAACAAAATATATATTAATTTTTATATCAGAGTTTCTATTTATCCTATATAAATACCAAAAATTAAAAAAAAAAACCAACTCTAGAAGCGAAAGCTAACTTCAGGCGGAGCCGAAGTGGATAAACCTTTGCAGTTAATATAGGATATTACTATCCTATTTACTATCTACTATCCTATTATTTACTACTATCCTATTACCGACTTGCAGTCGGATATATGTAAATCACAAATATCGGATATAATTGACCAATCGTTATTAGAATTTTATTATAAAACCAATTTATTAAAATAAAAATTTAAAAAAAGTCTCAAACTTCTTTCATCAAAAATACCAAAGATGGTTCAGTTATATGGCAGCTACAGGATATAGAAGGCCGATCTTCATGAAATTTGAAAAAGTCGGACAGACAGACGGACATGCTTATATCAACGGAGATGTAGGAGTATAGGGCCGGAGGTGTCTCCTTTACTGCGTTTCACAGTTTTGACCAAAATAATAATAATCTCTGCAAGGGTATGAAAAGTTGGGTAGATTTTAGGAAAAAAAAATTAAATTTACCAAAATGTCCAAAATGTCAATTTATCAAACGTTGCAAAATTAATGCCCTTTTTTGAATTGGGGTTCCCTTTAGTATCGAAAGGAAAAAAAAATAGAGAAAATAGAGAAATAAAAATTTGGACCCTATTTTGGCCAAAAACCCCTTTAAAAATGTTCGAAAAATGGGTCAGATTTTAGTTGGGCCGGTTTCGATTTGGAATAATAGTACCCGAATATCTAAGATCGGGAAGGTATCTCATTTGACGATCGTATAGGTATTGGATATTTAAGTAAAATAAAATATGGATCAAATGATAGTAATTATACTGTTAGCTTTTTTACCCTAAATAATGATCCCTTTTTCAATTGGCAAAACGGATTTAATTAAAACTAATAATACTTCAAGATCTAAGATAGGCATCACATTATTCCATTTGATAAGTATTTAAGGTATGGATAGTTCGCCGAAATAAATCATCCATAAATCATGGTTTGACCAAAATTTAAGCTTTCAAAATATGTTTCAGTCAATATTTTAATTATTACGCATCATATTTAATAAGCTCGCATAATTAAAATAAGTTGCAAGCCACAAGTTTTCATGCCAAAACGGAAGTTAAGCCCCATGAAAATTCCAGATCAAAAAATCTTTTCTCAAATGTATTTATTGCAAAATTCTTGAAGGATTACCAAAAACCTTAGACACTGCCAGCAGCGCTGATCACCCAGGAGCGGAGAACGGCAACATCGGCGTAGACTCCGGGGTAGTTGGAGTAAGCGCATCCGTATCCCCAGGACACAACACCGACGAGAACTCCACCAGAGACCAGAGGGCCACCAGAGTCACCCTGGCAAGCATCCTTTCCACTGGAAGCGGCACAGATCATGGTGCTCTTGATCTGGCTGCCATATCCGTAGGTAGACGAAGCGCACTGCGACTCGCTAACAATGTTCACGTTGACGTACTGCAAGGTAGTGGGGATGGAGCTGGATCCGTAGGACTGAGTACCCCAGCCAGAGACGGAGGCAGCAGCACCGTTGGCAGGAGCGGAGCTAGCCAGACCAATAGCCTTGATGGTGGAGCTCAAGCTCAGAGAAGAAGACAGACGAATGACGGCGATGTCGTTGACCATGGTGTTGGCGTTGTAGTTCTCGTTGTTCTTGAAGGCGGACACACTGACCAGGGTGCCACCGGAGTTCCAGTGGGTGGATCCAGCACGGACCTTCAGGGAGGAGGCGGACACGGACTGCAGGCAGTGAGCGGCGGTCACAATGATGTTAGCGGAGTAGATGGAGCCACCGCAGGAGTGGCTGCCACTGCGCTGCAGGGAGATCTGCCAGGGGAAGCTGGAGATGGTGGTAGCGGTACCTCCGACGATACGGCCATCCAGCTGGGGCAGGAGACCCTCGGGGATGGTGGCCCCCAGGGCGCAGGCAACGGCCGACAACAAGATCACGAACTTCAGCATGGTGCTAATCCAATGAACCGGACTGGGAACAGGCGCCCCTTTTATAGGTGATTTTCTATCTATTCGCCGTGAATTAATCAGAGCTTTCAATTATTTTTATCAAGTGTGTAAGGAAAACCCAAAGATTGCCTGTGAAGTGAGTCGGAAAGATATGCAACCAACAACCTTAGATAGCTTTGGACTTTCTTAGATTTAAATTGATGGACAAAAACATGTTCATTGTTAAAAAATTTAAAGATAATACTAAGCTTTCAGTGAGGAAACTTTTATTTGGAATACCGCCTGCAGGATAATGTCGTACTGTGTGCTAAAAACAAATTGGAAGTTCTCTTACGTGAAATGAATAAAAAATTAAATTTTCAGATGCTTCTTAGAGAATAATTAAGCTATTTCGAAACGGATTTGAAAAATGAATACAACTATGAATCGGGATTCCTTAAATCACCGATCTGCATAAAAATATTGTAAAATTCGGGATATAAAAATTTTGACCATATTTTGGCCAAACTCATGATGTCACCCCTTTCAAAATTTGCGAAATATGGGTGAAATTTCAGTTGGTTAGTTTTTTATCGGGAAAAATAGTGCTCAAATATCTATGATCGGCAAGGTATAACATTTTCCGATCCGTTAAGTATTAAGCGAGTTATGGCTAATGCAAGTTAAAGTTGGGACCTTGGCCATAACACACTATATAATTAAAGAAGAAACTATTTTATAATTATATATTAATATTCCTAAAAAATCGAGCTAAAATCGTAAATCGATAATATTAAGAAAAGGTGACGTCCTTTCGTTAATTCTTTATCGATTTTATGTGTATGTCGTTTTTCTAAGGTTACATCTAAGGTCTTCCAAGGACACCTTTCTAAGGTAGTCTTTGAAACATTTATTTTTTTAAATTATAAAAGATACAAAAATTAAAAAAATCGAAGAAAAATATCCCGATATTGTAGAAATAACAACCCGAATAAAAAACTGAAGTATAAAAAAGATCTATGAATCGTTTTTGATACATATTTATTGAAAAAGCACTAATGCGTTGCCAACATTGCTTAGATGCTGTTAGCAGTGCTGATCACCCAGGAGCGGAGTACGGCCACATCGGCGTAGACTCCGGGGTAGTTGGCGTAGGCGCATCCGTATCCCCAGGACACAACACCGACGAGGACACCACCAGAGACCAGAGGGCCACCAGAGTCACCCTGGCAGGCATCCTTGCTGGCGCTGTAAGCGCAAATCATGGTGCTCTTGATCTGGCTGCCGTATCCGTAGCTGGACGAGGCGCAGTTGCTCTGGCTAACGATCTTCAGGTCGACGTACTGCAGCTGGGCGGGGATGGAGCTGGATCCGTAGGACTGGGTACCCCAGCCGGAGACGGAGGCGGAAGCACCGTTAGCAGGGTTGTAGGTGGCCAGGCCAATAGCCTTGATGGAGGAGCTGAAGCTCAGGGAGGAGCTCAGACGGATGACGGCGATGTCGTTGACCATGGTGTTGGCGTTGTAGCCCTCGTGGTTGCGGAAGGAAGCCACACTGACCAGGGAGCCACCGGAGCTCCAGTAGGAGGATCCAGCACGGACCTTCAGGGAGGAGGCGGACACGGACTGCAGGCAGTGAGCGGCGGTCACAATGATGTTAGCGGAGTAGACGGAGCCACCGCAGGAGTGGCTGCCACTGCGCTGCAGGGAGATTTGCCAGGGGAAGCTGTTGATGGTGGTGGTGGTACCTCCGACAATACGGCCATCCAGCTGGGGCAGGAGACCCTCAGGGATGGTGCCTCCCAGGGCGCAGGCAACGGCCGACAACAAGATCACGAACTTCAGCATGGTGCGAATCCAATGAACTGGACTGCGGCAGGGCGCGCTTTTATAGCCGGGCCACTATCTTCGGGGGATCCTAATCAAGTGACCAAAAACGAGATGCCTCGTGGCAGAGGTGGATAACACGGTGGAGTGGCCGCTGGCTGATAAGCACTGATTGCTTCTGTGGCTATCTAAGGTGGCTTGTGACGCAGCGTCTTTCATGGGTAGATATGACTGTCAATCAAGGGTATGAGTGATTGGGTTCACTGGAGGGTGCGTATATAAAGGCTTAAGATCTGGGGATTAAGCTACAATCAATTAAAATGTTGAGATTCGCGGTACTCCTCTCCGTTCTGGCCTGCGCCCTGGCCGGTACCATTCCCGACGGCCTTCTGCCCCAGTTGGATGGCCGCATCGTCGGTGGCTACGAGACCAGCATCGAGGATCACCCTTACCAGGTGTCCCTGCAGCGCAACGGAGCTCACTTCTGCGGCGGCTCCATCTACTCCCATGACATTGTCATCACTGCTGCCCACTGCATGCAGTCGGTGGAGGCCAAGGACTTGAAGGTCCGTGTCGGCAGCACCTACTGGCGTTCTGGTGGCAGCTTGCACTCTGTTCGCTCCTTCCGCAACCACGAGGGCTACAACTCCCGCACCATGGTCAATGACATCTCCATTGTCCGTATCGAATCCGACTTCAGCTTCCGCAGCAGTATCCGCGAGATCCGTCTGGCCGATTCCAACCCCCGCGAGGGCGCTACCGCCGTGGTTTCCGGCTGGGGCACCACTGAGTCCGGCGGCAGCACCATCCCCGATCATCTCCTGGCCGTCAACCTGAAGATTGTCGATCGTGAGCGTTGCGCCTCCAAGGAGTTCGGCTACGGTAGCAGGAAGATTAAGGACACCATGATTTGCGCCTACGCCGAGCACAAGGATGCCTGCCAGGGTGATTCCGGTGGTCCTCTGGTATCTGGAGATCGTCTCGTCGGTGTGGTTTCTTGGGGCTACGGATGCGGTGACGTCAGGTACCCTGGAGTCTACGCCGATGTTGCTCACTTCCACGAGTGGATCGAAGAGACCGCCCGCGAGGTGTAATCCCTGGACACGAAAACACTTGAAAGTACTTCAATAAACTTCTCTGAATCAGCATTGGTGTCTCTTTCTTGTTCTCTTGGCCCGAATTGCGTCGCAGGTGTAAAACCTTCCGGTTAGGAAGATAAGAGCCGTCGATCGGGAATATATAAAGGCTGGATAGTTGGCATGTAAGCACTAGTTTCCATCACTTACAATGCTGAAGTTCGTGATCCTGTTGTCGGCTGTGGCCTGCGCCCTGGGAGGCACCATCCCCGAGGGTCTCCTGCCCCAGCTGGATGGCCGTATTGTTGGAGGTACCTCTACCACCATCTCCAGCTTCCCCTGGCAAATCTCCCTGCAGCGCAGTGGCAGCCACTCCTGCGGTGGCTCCGTCTACTCCGCTAACATCATTGTGACCGCCGCTCACTGCCTGCAGTCCGTGTCCGCCTCCTCCCTGAAGGTCCGTGCTGGATCCTCCTACTGGAGCTCCGGTGGCTCCCTGGTCAGCGTGGCTTCCTTCCGCAACCACGAGGGTTACAACGCCAACACCATGGTCAATGACATCGCCGTCATCCGTCTGAGCTCCTCCCTGAGCTTCAGCTCTTCCATCAAGGCCATTAGCCTCGCCACCTACAACCCTGCTAACGGAGCTAGTGCCGCCGTCTCCGGTTGGGGCACCCAGTCCTACGGATCCAGCTCCATCCCCGCCCAGTTGCAGTACGTCAACCTGAAGATCGTTAGCCAGTCGCAGTGTGCCTCGTCCACCTATGGATATGGTAGCCAGATCAGGAGCACCATGATCTGTGCCGCTTCCAGTGGAAAGGATGCTTGCCAGGGTGACTCTGGTGGCCCTCTGGTCTCTGGTGGAGTGCTCGTCGGTGTTGTGTCCTGGGGATACGGATGCGCCTACGCCAACTACCCCGGAGTCTACGCCGATGTGTCTGTACTTCGCTCCTGGGTGATCAGCACCGCTAACAGCATCTAAGCAATGGAATTTTCTTGAAAATGTGTATATTTTTTAAATGAAACATACATGTTTCAAATGAATGTTCAATAAATACGTAATCCGCAACATTAAAATATATTGTTTTTAAAATTTAGCAAAACAGATAACATTAGCTTTGCCCCTCACAGGCCATATCTAATCAACGAAATAGAAATATCGCGTCACCAGAAGTAGAATCTTTGTCAGGGCGGAAGGGTATTCACACCTGTGAAATGATACGCAAGTTCTTCGGCCCAAACTGATTTCAGTAGTCTCGAGTGCTTTTGGTCAAGGGGTAAATATTTTCTCAGGACTGGTACATCTAATCTGGATGGGGTGCATCGCGTGTCCGCAGTGCCACTTCATCTTCCCATTGATAAATTGATTGATGGCGAAACATAAGGGCCGTGATAAGATAGTAGACTTATGACTGGTGGAAATATTTTGACATTCGGGGCATGTCCAAAGGGTCCTTCCTCTCCAGATATTTGCAGAAAAAACTTTGTCATTGCATCATATAAATAAATAACAAATTAAAATCAATTTGCACACTTTAATCTAGCAATTGAGACTTTTGGTTTTTTTTTTTTACTGATAATGATGTTTATAAAACGTTTTCGCTATCAATTTAATTTAAAGTGCCTAAAAATTCAATGAAATTTGCGGTTGATTTGCGCCATTCTGTGTCAGGTGTCCGTGACTTCTGATTGATGGATGAGTGTGGTATCATCAGCACTGGGCCACCCCTTACTTTCGAGGGGTATTTCCAGTTGGTGAATAAAGTGGTAACATTCTCGGTTTTAATGGGCCATTAACCGCTTTTGCAACGTCTGCTCATAACCTCGTTGTCGGCAATTCCGGGTCATAACAACTCAGTTAACCTCTATCAAATAGGGGAGTGCTTTCTAAGACCATAAAGCCCACAAATCGACAAGCGATATGTATGTTTCACAGACTGATTCCGTCGGTTTCTTTGTGATACCGATTTGGTGATAACAATAGGCTAGTAAGGTATGCTAATTCCCCCAGCTCAAAAGATCAAGTCGATACTGTCGCCTGTCCGTCCACTCGAGGATCACACTCTACCCTGTCAAAAGTTGGCCCATGGAAGGTTATAAATGCCCGAGGACTGGCCATTGGGTGTTTAGTGTTCTTTGTTCGTAATGAGGGGCTTTGTAATTCTTCTGGTCTGTCTGGCCGCTGGTTCTGCCTTCGCCGGAACCATTGGCGTATCCAATGCTGATCCCTTCGCCCGCGAAGGTCGAATTGTGGGCGGCGAGGACACCACCATTCGGGCCCATCCCTACCAGGTTTCTCTGCAGAAAAAGAACTCAAATCATTTCTGCGGCGGTAGCATCATTGACGCCTACACCATTGTGACCGCTGCCCATTGTCTGGTGGGCGTGAAGGCCGAGAAGATCTTTGTGCGCCTGGGCTCCACTCTCTACAACGAAGGCGGCCGATTGGTGGCTGTTCGGGCCTTGGCCTACAGCGAGAACTACAACTCCAAGACCATGGAGAACGATGTCGGCATTCTAAAGCTGGCCGAGAAGGTCGAGGAGACCGACGACATCCGCTACATTGCATTGGCTGAGAAGACCCCAGAAACGGGAACCCCCGCTGTGGTCACCGGCTGGGGATCCAAGTGCTACTTCTGGTGCATGTCGCTGCCAAAAACCTTACAGGAAGTCCTTGTCAACATTGTGGACTGGAAGGTGTGTGGATCGGACACCTACAAATACGGTGAAATCATATACGACACCATGGTCTGTGCCTACGAGAAGAAGAAGGACGCCTGCCAGGGTGACTCCGGTGGTCCTTTGGTGGCGGAGAACCTTTTGGTGGGCATTGTGTCCTGGGGCTATGCCTGCGCTTCAAATCTTCTGCCTGGAGTCTACACCGATGTGCCTTCTGTGCGCTCATGGATTAATTCTAAGAGCGAAACATTGTGAAGGGTTCAATAAACTTTTAATCAAAGCATACTTTTGGGGTTTAATATTTAATAAAGCTTAAAAATACAAAAGGACAGTAAAGTATTTAAGTATTTATAAGGGTTTTATGTTGTTTAAAAACATATAACACCATCTAACTTATCTCTCCACCATCTGATCATCATCATAATGAAAAATGTATTATGTATCTTAACTTTTCTTATAAAGAACCTTTAGAGTTCGGGAGTAGGGGCTCTGTTACAACTCCAATATACAGCTCCAAATCTAGGGATCTTTGGTAAATCTAAAAATGCCTACAATCGTTTGACAAAGATTTCATTCAAACAATGTCATTACGCTTAGTCAGGTTAAGGCCCAACGAATTCCAGAGAACGCTTGCTTCTCTGGTGGTTGACCATCTTATCGGTTCTAGACCGAAAGCAATTTATTGACCAATTCGCGATATGGACAAAGCTTCTCGCTATTCCCGAACTAGCCAAACAACATCGATTTAGTCACATTCGAAACAACGAAATGAACAAAGCTCTAGTATCGATTATAGCCGGGTCTTTGCTCTGGCTGGGAATCTTCTTGGGCGGCTCGGATGCCCAGCCCGATGGACGGATTGTGGGCGGTGATGACGCTTCCAGTTACTATACAAAGTATGTGGTCCAGCTTCGCAGACGCAGTTCGCCGAGTAGCGCCTTTGCCCAAACCTGCGGAGGAAGCATCCTGAATTCCAAAACCATCGTGACAGCCGCCCACTGTGTATACAATCGGGACGCATCCGACTTCCTAGTGGTGGCCGGCACCGCAAACCGTGCTGGCATGGATGGAGTGGTGGTGCGGGTAGAACAGCTTATCCCCCACGAACTATACAATGCCACCATTACTAACTATGACATTGCCCTGGTGATTGTCGATCCTTCGCTGCCATTGGAGAGCAATAAAGACATAGAGGCTATCGATATAGTCACAGGCGAGCCTGCTGTCGGTGTCCTGGCCACGGTTAGCGGTTGGGGGTATACCCTGGAAAATGGGTTTGCCTCTAATCAACTCCAGCAGGTTCGTGTTCCGATTGTAAACTCCACGAAATGCCAGGATTCCTACAACTGGCGACCCATAAGCGAGGCTATGCTCTGCGCCGGATACTCAGAAGGCGGAAAGGATGCCTGCCAGGGTGACTCCGGAGGACCTCTAGTTGTGGATAACAAGCTGGCCGGGATCGTTTCCTTTGGCGAGGGATGTGCCCGTCCCAATTATCCTGGAGTCTATGCTAATGTGGCATACTTTAAGGATTGGCTTTCCAAGCAGGTGGATTTCAACTCATAATATTGTTATTAATACTATGCCCTTGATATTAATATTATTTTTTTAATAAAATTTACAAAGTATATAAAAAAATGTTGTTTATGATTAGTATATCTTATTCTTATACAATCGTCTGTTCCGTCAGTCTCTGGATTATAAAAATATATAGTGCACCAGATCATAAATAGAATGGCTATAGTCTAATCAATACTCCCTACCCAATAGACCCTATAAGAACTTATAACCTGCCCCTTTTCTTTAAATGGAAAACTAATTAGTATAATTGGGTAGTAGTAGGATAGTAGGATAACTTAATAAGACATATGTTTATATAGTATACTATATAATATCCCCTCGATCTAAATTCAAATATAAACTAAAAAATTCCTAAAATCCTAACCTTGTTAGCCAATGTTACTAGTGGGTCATAAAACGTAATCGTCTGTAGTTACCATATAAGTGACCAGGCATATCCGAGTAAAATTTATGGTCCAAATGGCAGTTTAGACCACTAGATAAGCCTTGCAGCCGGTGGCCAAAAAGTTGTGGCTTCAGTATTCGATTTTTTGTGGAGCAGGAAAGATGTCGCGTTGCTGGTTGGTGTTTCTGGTGTTCGGATTGTGTGGCCTAGCCCTGACCAAGGGGCTTCCCTTACAGGAGGATCAGGGGGATAAATACCTCCCAGATGGACGCATTGTGGGCGGCTATGTCTCGGATATAGCCCAGTGTCCGTACCAGATCTCGTTGAGGTACAAGGGTATAACGACGCCGGAGAATCCTTTCCGCCATCGCTGTGGAGGCTCTATTATTGCTGATGACCTGATAATCACTGCCGCTCATTGCGTCATTGCCACGGTGGCGAGTCAGTACAAGGTGGTGGCCGCATCCAACTACCGCACCGGATCCGATGGAGTGGTCACCAACGTCAAGCAGATCATAATGCACGAAGACTACTTCACGGGAGCGGCCTACAACAACGACATAGCGCTGTTGGTGGTGGATCCCCCATTGCCACTGAATAATTTCACCATCAAGGCCATCAAGTTGGCATCGGAGCCCCCGCTACCAGGAGCTATTAGCAAGATCAGCGGCTGGGGCACCACATCCTCTGGCGGTACTGCCTCCGACGTCCTCCTCGCCGTCGATGTGCCCATCGTGAGCAACGCGGATTGCAATGCGGACTACGAGAACTTCGGAGACGAAACCTACTATATCACCGACACCATGTTGTGTGCCGGAAAGCGTGGAGTCGGCGGTGTGGATGCCTGCCAGGGCGATTCCGGCGGACCTTTGGTGGTACGCGACGAGCTCCACGGCGTCGTCTCCTGGGGCAATGCCTGTGCCCTGGCCACCCACCCAGGAGTCTACGCCAATGTGGCCAACCTCCGTTCGTGGATCGATGCCAGGATTGCGGAACTTAAAGTCAATACTCGTAAATAATTTTTTTTGCTAGCCGTGCTAGTTTCTAATAAATGTGGTTTTTCCACCATGTGCCTTGGGCTAATCCAAGTAATTATTGTTTCTTGATAATCCTTATCGATGATGATGAAACTATTGATTAGATTAACCTTGACTAGATGGATTTAGATTAAGTGGCTTTCAAGAAATCGGAACTGATTTGATAGGGCTTTTGGAACAGCCCCAAAAGTATGCTTTGTTTGATTTCGAGGAAGGAGTATTACGTGAATTAGAGTGGACCAAAGTCTAAGACTTATCTGTTGGCTGGGGAATTCTCGACCATTTTAAAATGCATGTTTAGCTATGACTTAGTAAGTTAATAATCTTATATTTCGCATTAGTTTAGTTACTGAGTAGGTTTGTAGCTTTTTCAGATTTTAAATAGACTTGAGGAATTCAATAGGGAGATTATAGCCAATACAGTCCAGCAAAAATCGTCGTTTGAACGTCATTATCTGAAAAGAACTCTGGCGTGCCAAGAAAGTTATCAGATGCTATCTCGAGCACCTTCCATTAAGATAATCGATATCGCCTTTTGGAGGCGTCCGGCAAGGTGCAAATTCGCCAACCACAATCAGTCTGATACGAACCATCCGCCAGGATGTACTCCCCTGTTGTGCTGCTGCTGCTTCTGGCTATTGGGACCTCTTTTGTTCTCACCCAGGCCGTCCAACCGGAGCCCAGGATTATCAATGGAACGTCGGTGGATATTGCCCGGCATCCCTATATTGTTTCCCTGAGATATCGCCGGGACGCGGAGTCCAGCTACAAGCACGAGTGTGCCGGAGTCATCTATTCGGAGAACGCCCTGCTAACCTCCGCACAGTGCCTGTACAACTTGCCGGAGGGAACCAAGATTCTGGCCGTGGCTGGAGCAAATACCCGAAATGGCACCGAAGGAATCGTCTATCCCATTTCTAACTGGACCTATCACTCCAGCTTTGATACCTACACCGTGGATTATGATATTGGGGTGCTGTTCCTCGACACACCCCTGAACCTAACGCACTTTGACATCAGTGCGATTGGCATACGTTCCGAGCGGCCGGCAGTGGGTCGACTGGCTACCGTCGCGGGGTGGGGCTATCGCGAGGAGTGGGGACCCTCGAGCTACAAACTGGAGCAGGCGCAAGTCCCGGTCGTCAGCTCGGAGCAGTGTAACGAGCTCTATGGAGCCGGTGAGATCAACGAGCGGATGATTTGCGCGGGCTACGTCACCCAGGGAGGCACCGACGCCTGCCAGGGCGACACCGGCGGACCCCTCGTAATCGACGGACAGCTGGTGGGCCTGGTGTCCTGGGGACGCGGCTGTGCCCGTCCCAACTACCCAACGGTGTACTGCTACGTGGCCAGTTTGGTGGATTGGATAGAGGAAACCATCAACGCCGCCACAGCCGGAGCTAAATAAACAGAAATACACACTTCCAAGGCAATCAAACGCTATCTTTAAGTGGCTACCGTCCGGATAGAGTCGGCTAATTTAATAATAAACCCGTAATAAAACAAACAATATACACCCATAGTTATCGATCGGAGCAAGCCCAACTATGGGTAATCTCCTTATGTAATTTTAAAGGCACTAACTAAGGTAATTCAGCTGGGATATGTTCAGGGTTACGTAGAACAGAAAGTCATCATTGTATTTCAAAGTTATGGTACCCTTATTGGAAACAGTTCACTTCACCAGCTTACAAGAAGTCTATTTGTCCCACCACCGACAACTCTTCGATTTTCTGCTCCAACCAATCACGGACGTTGGGCACTGAGCAATAGACTCCAGGCTTGCCATCGCGGGCACATCCGGTGCCCCATGACACGATGCCGAGCAGTTCGTTGTTGAGGACCAAAGGACCGCCGGAATCGCCCTGGCATGCATCCTTGCCGCCTCCCGTCACCGCCGCACAAAGCATCCGACTGGTCAGCATAATGGAGTAGGCCTTCTTGCATTCGTCGTTCTCCACGACATTAACAAAGACCTCTTGCAGGATGTTGGAGATGGAGCCACCTTCGGTGGTGGTACCCCAACCGGTCACAACAACCTCGGTATCGTGCTCCGGCCGCTCTGTGGCAAACTTGATGGGCTGAATGGAGTCGTTGAATTCAAAGTCTCCGTCCAAAACAAGGATGGCTGCATCGTAGTCGTTGTTCAGAGTTCTGTAGTTGGGATGGATGATGAACTCGCGAACGGCTAGTTCCTGCTGCTTGGGTTCCACAGCCCAGATTTGCGTTGATCCTGCCACAATGGTCAGGTTTGCAACGGTGGTCAGGGTGTTCACACAATGCGCGGCACTCACAATGATGTTGGTGGCAACGACACTACCTCCACACCGGTGATTTCCCCTCAATCGCATGGATATCTGATAGGGATATTGCAGAATGGTGGTGTCCTTACCACCAACAATACGTCCGTCGAGTTTTGGCACCTGGACTTCATCGTTCCGGTAAAGAGGATCCGCCAGGGAGCAGCTAACTCCCAGCACCAAGCAAATAGCGACCAAAATCCGTGACATTTTCAGGCAACTGTCTGCAATTTTGGTGGCGTTATGGATTTTATACAGACGTCTTATCGATCGCTGGTGTATTGGTCATTTATTTGTAATCTAAAAAATCTACTGATTGCGGGTTAATCTGTTAACAGACATGGGCTTAGGTGAGCTGTAAATCATGACCCGACTCCAAAATTTTAGGGCTGAAAAAAACCCATGACCCGGCATAATCTAACTCTGAGCTTGATTGAATTATTTTCTATTCTTTTTTAATAGATTGAAGATAAGGTTATTAACTTCTGAAATTTCCCAAAAGATAGGGAAGTATGTAGGTCCATAATTTTCGTCCATAACCCAGCTAAAAATGTAAAGCCTTTACATGGTAATTAACATTTTTTTTTTGATACTCAACTATATTTATTATTAATTTTATTTATTTAACTTAACACTAGGCCATTTACACTGAGACTAAAAACTAAGATTGCACATTTCCGGCCCAAGACTGCTGACATTTATCACAATACGCATCCGCCGATACGATTCTACAGAATATATATATTATATTTGATATTTGATTGCACTTAGATATCTTAGGGTCTGTCCTCCCTCTGTCCTCTTATGATCTGCGTATTGGATGCAGTTCTCAAGGGTTATCTTCTACACTCTACGGATAACTAACTAACCTAACTTAGGTCTATCGAATTGCACCTTATGGTTTGGCAAGAATCTCCAATGTATTGCACTGATTGCTGATATTGCTTTCTTTTCCTAAAACTATGAATGGAAGTCTTTTGTGTGCTTCTGGTATTGCACACTCCCTAGTAACTAGCTTTAAGGTCTAGCTAAGTCTAACTCTTCCTTATCATCTTGTAGAGAACGGAGTGGGTTTCTATGCTTTCCGCCCCCGACTCCCACATATCCTCCGCGTTGGTCTCCTCGTCGGTTTCCGATGATCCGCAACAAGTGCTGTGCCCGCGTCCGTTCTCATCCGAGGAGTAGGACGACATTGTGGTGGTGCTGCCGCGCACATTCAGCTCCTGGGAATTCGATTGGGAATGGGATCGGGTGAGGGTTTTGTCGGAGTCCGCGTCGCTCAGATCCCCATTGCCCACCACCACTGCCCCATTGTCCGAACCACGGCTGTGACCTGCGGACACCATGTGCTCCAGATCCTCGAAGCGGCTGTCGTTAGGGCCGCTCTCATCCTCATTGTCCTCTATTGTGTCCACCCGTATAATCTGACCCCTTCCGGACAGCATCTTGAAGTTGTATCGATCGTAGACATTCCGCTTGTACAGCTCCCCGGAGTCGGTGCTCATGTAGCCACTGTCCAATTGCCCGAATCTCTGGTCATAGTAGGTCTGACTTCCGGGCTGACCCATTCCAGCAGAGTGTGCGGCGTCTTCTATAATGGAGGCTATGCCCTCATCCTCTAGGAAGCCCGGAGGATGCTTGCTCTCGTAGGTGGGAGCTGGACTCTGGCTGGGACTGAATTTATTGGCCGCCATGGTCACGAACTTACGCCACGCATTCTTTAGATCCTTGGCCTTCTTGGCGCGATCCTTCAGACCAATGGCTATCTGCATTCCGGCTGTGATCTGGGCCTGCTCGATCTCACAGCGATACACCGTTTGGACGTTGCCACCGGGATTTGTGCCTGCCGAGCTGCTGCTGGCTGCCCGCTGCGGATATGCGATACCCACCGGGACTCCGGCATTCCGGTACATCTCCTTGGTGCGCTCGGAGAGATGGCCACTGCTCCTATTGCTTCGAGAGCTAACAGAAAGGGCGTCAAACTGCACGAGATCCACATCCTTAAGGTTCTTCCCGCCGCCTGTAAAGTCCGGCTCAGGGTTGTCCTTTGGGACAGCATCCTGGCCAGCTTTGGAGGCCTCCTCCCGTTGACTTTTCCGCCGGTTGAGATACTTAGTGAGGCTGTAGTCATTGCGGAGGCTTCCAATCTTTTTGTTGTACATCTCCTCGTACTCCTCCACCCTAGTCTTGCCACTGGTTTCCTTGTTCGATCCTCGGGATGTTTTCCTTTGAGGCCTCTCCTCGGTGGTGGCCGATATAGCACTTGACATGGTATTGTTCTCGAACTCCGAGGTGGCAGTGACTTCGGTGACCTCACTGTGTTCGCTGATGGCATCGTCCTCGGCAGCCTGGGCATCCGAAGGAGTAGGGGGAGGTGGGGGCAGAGGGCGCTTACCGTGCACCAAAGGTGGACAATAATGCTGGTTGGGCTTCTCCGCCGGCTTGGGGGAGGAAATCGTTATGGTGGTTTTGTTTACCTTGGCGACATCCACCACCGACTGGGTGGGCGAGGTGTCCATGCCCCGCTGCCTCCGGGAATGCTTGGCCTCCAGGGTGAGGATGCGACCCTCTTCTGCCGGTGGCGGCTTCTTCTCGCTCTTGTAGTTCTCCTGGGCAACCAGCGGAGACTCGTAGATCTCTCGCAGATTCCGGAAGGAGTTGCTCGAGCGCAGAATAAAGGAGGCGGTCCGGGGCTTGATGGCCTGGCTGGGCGTGGGACTCAGCTGGCGACTGAGATCCGGCAGCGAGTTGATCTGGCTGAAGTCCGAGTCCATCTGCTTGTGGGCATCCCAGGCAGAGATGTCGCAAAAGCTCTGCTTCTTGGGCTTTCGGTCCAGCGTATCTGGTTCGAACTGGTCGCTGTCCGTCCGCTCCAGATCGGAGGGGGGCTCGTGCTCCACCTCGATGGTCATGCTGCCCCGAAAGGGAGTATCGTACTTGATGCGAGCCGCTGCCTCCTTCTGCCTCTGGTGCTGACCATGAGAATGCGGGTGTTGATGCTTTCCAGCTAGCCGCTTCTTCATCTCGCCCTCCTTACGAAATCCGTCCATGCGATCGTAGACCGTATGGCTGATTTCCATTTCCTCCTCCAGGGGCAGAGCTGTACTCAGGCTGGGGCTCAGCTGGGAGCTCACATCCGAGGAAGGCGAGCTGGAGGAGTGCGAGCTCTTCCGCTTGCTGGGCTCCAGCCGCTCCAAGCTATCCGTTTCGTAGTCCACGATCAGGTATTGCGGGGACTTCCTGCGATAAATGGGCGAGTCCGGTTGGAACTGCTTCAGGGACTTGCGACTCAGGGAGCTGTAGTCGGGCGTGGGCACCGATGGAATGCTGCTCTGAGTACTGCTATAGATATCCTTGATCCTCTTCTCAATGGTGCTATCGTAGTCGGGCGTTGGTATATGAGCCGCATACTCCCTCTTTAGAGAGTCGTATATCACCTCGGCGGGCTTCATGTTCCGGAGCATATTGTAGTGTTGCCGGTCGAAGGACGTCAGCGAGGTGGGCGTGGAGTTGGCAGCCGCAAACTGGTCCAAGACCTCGCTTCGCTTTCTCAGGGACTTGGAGCGGCTGGAGCAGCTACGCAAGGAAGCAGCCGGAGAGTCCGCCAGCATGAACTTGGGATTGTTGTAGATCTCTCCGCCCGTCTCCGCAAAGCCATAAACATTGGCGGCTACCGAGAAAGCGGAGAAGCCTTCAAAGGTCGGGGTTTTCGGCTTGGCTGTCTGTGGCTCTGGACTGTTCTTGGCAGGACTCCTGCTGACCGTCTGGGATGGAGAACGGCGTGGAGATGAGGGTTCCTCCGTTTTGGACTTTTGCATGGGCGGTGGTGGGGGACGCTCCTTAGGTGCTGTTATTTCCCTTCGCAGGGATCCCTTGGAGGGTGAGCCGGTGGGCTTCTTTACCGCTGCCGTTGCTGGAGCGGGTCTATCCAGGGTCTTCTGCGCGGGAGAAGCTTCCGAGTTGGGAACACTCTGGAGCCACTGCTCGATGCTGTTCCTCTTGTCGCCCATTCCCTTCACGGCCAGACTCTGCTGCAGTGGAATATTGTACATGGTGGGGGAACTGGATCCAGTTTCCGGATGCATTTCCTCCGGGATTATGTTGAGCGAAGGCTGATACCTCTTGGCGGCCATCTTGTACTTGGCAATGGCAATCACCTCGCGGATTTTTTGCAAAAATTCAATGGCCGCTTGTGGGGGTTCCTTTGAGGATCAAAGATCATGTTAGGATGGGAAAAATTCAGTTAAGAAAAGAACTTACCGCCAATAGATGGGGCTCGAAATAGGCTGGGTTGAAGTAGAGCTTCTTCCGCACATTGCCACTGACCATGGCACGCAGGTTCTCCAACTTCTCCTCACTCATCAGCTCGTCGATGACGGCCACATTCTCCGCCGGCAGGCACTCATTGTCCTGCAGGAAGTCATCCGTATCCATGGCCGGATTGTCCGCTCCCCCGGTTGGCTTGGGCGACTTGCTTAACTGCGGATGCACCAAAACAGATGTCTACACGGGTTCACGAAACATTAAATTCTAGTATTAGGGGTTAGTAGTAGTCCAAAAACAACCCACCTTGATTTTCTCCTCCATCTCACACTCGGAATTCGAGTTGGAAATGTCGCTGGCAAACCCGGAATTGTGCTCCCTTTCCCCAAGTTGTGGGAAGTGCTGGAGAAGGGGATTGTTTTTCACAATGCCCATATCCTCCTTTAGGCTTCCGATACTGGTGCGGGTGTTGGACTCATTGCCGTTGCCAAGACCCATGCTGTTGGCCGAGTAGATGCTGCCCACCCGGCTAAAGGGTGCTCCGTAGGTCACCTGGTCGTTTTTGGGATAGTTGATCTCGTTGGCGATGTTATCCAGCGAGTGGCGCGAGTTGTGCCGCTTCCGTTTTTTCATATACAGGTAGAGGAATACGGAAGCCACATAGATGAGACCCAAAAGTAAGCTGCAGATACCAATCACTACATATTCCCGCATCGTCATGCCATCCGAAGTGGAGGCCAAAGTGGTGGAGTTGGCGGGCTGGAAGAATACCTCGGGCACGTCTAAGAAAATAGTGGTTAGCTTGGATTGTTTATTAATTTATTTTCCACTTACTATGAGTGTATTTTACGGGGCTGCCATTCACACGAAAGGCCACACAGGGGGAGTGCACGTTGCGGGGCGGCATGAGTGGCTCCCTTTTCGGGTGACTGGTGGCGTTCAGGGTCATGGTCATGTCCCGACACACCAGATGGACGACTATGAGGCGACCCTGCATCTTCTGGCGCAGGTCCGCCTCACCCAGCCACTGGAGGAAGCTGCGTCCCTCGTCCCGAAACATCCGGAACGGATAGTCGGTGTCAATGGGATTCCGCAACTCTGACCAGCCATTGGATCCCAAGTATTGGGCACCCGTTACAGCACATACAGGAGTATGTATATCTTTAAAGGGACAAATTGTATATTTAAGATTTAAAAAATAATCCGTGGACTCACTGGCAAAGCTGATCTCCCGACTGGGGTATATTATCTGACCCTTCAGGGGCAGGAACACAAATGGTATTTTCTCCGACGAGGAACCACTCACAAAGGGCGACAGGGAGCACTCTGAAATATGCAATTAGCCAGTTAGGGAATGGGAAACGATTAAGGCCAAGACATTGTGGGAAAGTCAATTCAATAGCCGAGCGATAACGATCGACGCTTATCAATTACACATTTCGAGCCAGCAAGTGAAACTATTTCTCGGGTTTTTGTTTTTCCGCCCAGCTCTTACTTTCAGACCCATAACTCCAAGCTTGAATCCAAGTCCGATTCCAATTCCATGTCCGATTTTCAAGTTGTGTCTTAGACCCGAAATGGCAGTAAGTTTTGGCGTTGTTTATGTTACCAGACGGAGACGCGATGATGGCGATGGCGATGGCGATGGTGACGGCGAAAGTTTCCTTTCATTCATTAGCAGCGGGGAAACAAGCGATTTGTTCAATAATAATAACATTTTTTCCCTCTTTGCGTCACGTTTCGTTTTCATTCTGCAGCCCTGCACAATTTCTGTCGCTGTTATTACAGCATTTCTTTCATATTTCTCCTATTTTTGTTTCTCCTATACCTTTTTTTTATACATATTTGGACTGGGTCTTTTCAGTTGGGCAACCATTGTGTCTCGGATATGACAAAACAATGGATGGATGTGTCTCACATGTGGGAGCGAATCCCACCGCGAAATGGAGCACACAATTTGGCCAAAGAGGCAGAAAATGCAATATTCGCTTCCGCGATGCAAATGCAACAACAAATTGGGACCGAATATCATGGGATTACGATTAGATGGTTATTAAATCATATTTGGAGGTATACTAGTCTCTAGAGAACTCACAGTCCATAGAAAAACTTACCATGAATATCATCCACACAAATGCCCAAATCCTCCCGATAGGCCCTCTGATATGGCAGACACTTGCAAGTGCATCCACTCTCCGAGCTCTGATCCGGCTCCTTGACTTGCCCGCGACCTTTTTGGATCTTCATGCGACGGGTTAGGAGCTCCATCTGACCTCCGGACATTGAGGCCGCCTCGCGATTGAGTCCATCTATGGTATTTATTTTTTTTTGGGGAAAGACGATACTCTCGGATTAGTTATGACAAGCGGATATTACCATGCTAATCTGTTAGTTACCGTTGTCGTGGTCGCCTCCATGACGCACCAACGAGGCTGTGCCGCTAGAGAGTCCGATGCAGGTGTCCGCATTGCAGGCACTGCCCAAACCTGGGAAGGAGAAGACAGATGAAAAGAAAGCATTAAGATGGATTGAGTTGGGACTTCAAAACACAGCATCACAGCTGCATCAACGGATTGACGGCTAATCAGACGAGCCAGACCGGGAGGGACCTAGTCGAGCCGGGCCGTGCCGGGCCTTACTGGTGAAATTAATGCTGCTGTCAACGGATCAGCCGGCAAAAAGCGCAGCATCACCCAGCCAGAAGATGCCACATGCCTCATGGCCCGGCATCGGCTTTGACATTGACTTTGGAACTGCCATTGGCGATGGCTCTTCAGGAAACCAAGCACGTTTCAAGAGCTTCCATCAATTACCTTGGACTACGAATACTTCAAGCAACTAATTGAAATGAAGCATTTAGTGTTTAAATACTTTACAGCAAATAATTAATATTGATTAATGGGAATACATTGATGTTTATTGAAGATTTCTGTAAAAATGTCTAGACTCCAGTCTCTATCCTAGACTCCACAACAACTGAAGAAAGATGGGAGTGTTTCCCCTGTTTGTTTTAAGTGCACTACTCACCGGTTGTGTGGAAAATGTCACCATCGTGATGTCGTGTCAGATTGGTGAGCTGCCCATTAGTCTGCTGGAGTTCCTCCAACAGCAAACTGGCTGGCACCAAGCCATCCTCTGGCTCCTCTGGTCCGGGCTCGGGGCTCACCCTCACCCTCGGATGGGTGGGCAGTCGGGGTGCCGAAATGGGCGTGGCTGGCGACAGCAGGGTGACAACAAGGAAGAAAAGCTGTAGGAGTAGCAGTGAGGATTGGAGCTGCATCTTAGCAGCATCATCGCTGGCGCAAACGCACTCTCGGGGGGATTCTCCGGCTGTAACTGAAAGACAGGTCGCTAATTAATTAAAAAGAAATCCAAATTCGTAGCTAGACCAAGGTGAAATAAAAAAAAAAGAAAAAATATATACTGAAACTAGCTTGCAACTAGCAGCTCCCAACTAGCAACTTGTTGACATTCTTTGGGCCGCGCCGCTTAATGAGGCAGAAATTGTTTCGTCCGTTTTGCTGGAAATGGAAATGGAGCAACATCTACATCCAGTTAGTGGGCTGTTGGTGGTGGTGTTGCTGTGTTAGCCATCAGCTAACGGACAACATTTAAACAAATGTTGCAATTAAAACTTGTTCTGCCGGCAAAATGTATACTTATTGGTGGGACAAACTATGCACCATGAGAAAAAGTTCAAGAACTTTTCAACTAGAAGACTACAAGATATATGTAAGTAAATAGTTTATTAATTATTAATCTCAATTTTCTTCTCAGTGTAATGATAGAATTATGCTGCACTGCAACAAGTGCGTCGATGCAGTGGGAAAACGCAGAGGCTGTCGCTGCAACTTCTGCTGCGACTGTGGCCTGCTGCTGCGTGTACCGTTATTAAAGCGCTGCACTTGGCTAAGAACACCCCGTTTATACCGCTAATCAGTTGCACTTTAGCAGCTGCTTTCGGCCAAACCAATTTACATAAATATTTCACAGCCACATACATACATACAGACACACATAGAGAGTGGCACTAAAAAAACTAAAAAGACTAAAAAAAACGAGCGCCACAGAAAAATTATTGGGGACTTCTAACTGTTTATATCTCCCAGTTCTGCCGATCTGAGAGCGCGTAGTGCGTGGTGTTGTTATGTTAGTTGTTGTTTCTGTTTTTTTTTTGGCTCTTCAAAAGAAGAACAACACCTTCAGTGGACAAAAGAGACAGGTGGTGGGGCAGACCAAACAACAGTCATAATGTGCGCGCGAATGAATGAGGAGAAGAAAGCGATAAAAAGCAACAGTTGCGGCCTAATTTGAAAGTAAAATTTCTTTACAAAACGCAGTAGAACAGCAACAGCAACAGCAACAACACAGCAACATAGCAGCATACTAAAGTTCGTTGTCTAAGTCTTTTGATTGACCAGTCACCATCACCGTCCGTCCATCCATCTACATCTACATCTGTATCTTGGGCCATAAGCTTTAAGCAGCCATCCATCTATCACTCGACTTGTTGTACAGTTATGGCATTTAAAAATAACAACAATATCATTTCTATTATTACTCTTTCTTTTTTTCGATTTGTTTACGACTTTGCCTCAGTTTTAGGTTTTAGTTTGCTTTGATTTTCGGTCATCGGTTATCTAGACTTTATTTTAGTTTTTCTGTCGAGTCGTCTGCATTTTCGAAACGAATTTAATGGCAGTAATGACCTGGTTTTTCGCTCCGACTGCAACATCAGCAGCAGCAGCAACACCACAGCAATCCCAATCCCAACTAGCAGCTGAAACTGATGCGATTTTGATGATGCTGGGAAAATAAAAAAATGACAACAGTAACAGTCTTGGTAGACTTTTGCTGAACCCACAGATCTGATCTCAAAGTGGAACTCAAGAAGTAAGATCTGTTTTATGGCATTCATATGGTACTCCCATTGGTCTCTCCACAGGGTCTTGACTCTTGCGCACTCGACTAAACTCAATTAACAGGTAATTGAACCCAACTGCATAAATTAGCCATATTCCATCTATTCCATCTCATTTCAGCCGAATGCAGGCAGGCAGGCCCAGCCCCTCCTCATCCTTTTAGCCATTCGCCGACATGTACGCGATCATTAATTATTGGGCAACACGAAAGAGCGTGTGCGCATTGTTCTAAGTCTGTGCATAAATTTATCCATAATAAACAAGTGCCCGTCCCCGGCCACAGGTGGTAGTCTGATCGAATCTGGACATACCCCTTGGTTGGCTGTTGGCCTGCTCAGCAGACCGTTAACAGCTGCAGGCCCAAAGAAATGGCCAACAGTGTGAAGAGAATTCTATGGTATACGGAATTGAGGTTGCTTTTAATAAATCGAAAGTTGTAAATTGATATTCTTTTATACATTATTTGATTTATTTTAGTTATATATTGATTTAGAGATTGACTTTCTATAGAATGAACATATTTAATCAAACAGACTTGACCGAGTTTTAAATTGAAAAAGATTTGTATCTAAAATGCCTAAAACATTTCTTTCTTTTCATTCAAATTTCAATCCAAAAATACTTCAAACTAAAGTTAGATTTCATTTAGTTGATCATACCCCAAAAAAAAAAAACAAAATAAAACACCAGAAACCACCTGAAAGGGTGCAGAAATTACCACAACGCATTCTAACCTGGCCATTGCAATTCACATGAACATGCACCAACTACGATGATGGCTAAAACTATGGCTATGACTATGCAGTTGGCTCCATCTCTGGGCACCTGATGGGGCTATTGTCTGGCAGTACGGGGCAGCTACACTAGGTAGTAGCTACAACCAACTAGCTACACTTCCGAGTGCAACCGACGTCACACTCGGCGTACTTTTAACACTTAGAACACGCCATATGGGAGGCATCATCTAAAGTTCTGAAGCATCGCGTCCCACCGGGCCTAATAATAAATTTCAAATTTATTCCTCTGTTATTTTTATTATTTTGTGTTTTTTTTTTTTTGTTAGCCGCTCCCGGGGGCACATCCACCATCCACATCTAGGTACATCCATTGTGTGGCCAGAGAAGCGCATCATTTGCTCGACGCCTTAATGTGCTTTAATATGTACTTATGGCTTAAACTTAGGGCCAAGTTAGCAGATGGCTGACCAACGGTTTCGGTTAGTTGTTAAAACTGAATTACGATGGCAATGGCCGGTGTTTTTTCTCGTTTGCATGGACCAGGTACTCCAGCAAATTACTTTCTCCCAAAAAAAATTATCAAAAACAAAAAAAAATCTTGGAAAATCTTAGAAAAAGATTTTCAATTTGGGCAAGTACCCAGTGACCTAAACTCGATTGGAAATGGTCTGATAAACCCGAAAAACCAAGGGCAAAACCTAACCCTTTTCTCCAAAAGGAAAATCTAGATTTGTTTCAGATATTTTGCAACTCTTATTTATTTTATTTTTTTTTTTACTCACAACAGAGCCCAGTTGAAGAGGTGAATAAATTAACACCTTTGGCCGTTAATTTTCCTTAACGAGTGACGGAGTGTAGTGGATGGGCTTTCTGTGTTTTGTTTTTCTATTTGCACCAAGGATTTATTTTCACACGAAAACTTAAGCGGTTTCTTTTTGTTAACTTCACTTTGCATCTGAATTTTCTTGTGGCATATTCACACATTTCTTTGGCAGCATGCTTTGCACATTTTCCATCATTTCTGGCCACATTTTTGAAACATCTCGTGCCACACAAATCCGCACAAAAACAACATTAGCCCCAGCTAAGTGTTATTGTTTTTAGAAAATTGTTTTTTTTTTTTTAGTTTGAAAGAAAGCGAAGACCGCGGCGGCTTTTCTTTGCGGAGTTTTCACGGTTTTTGGGATGGGTTGTAGCAATGGGGCGACTTGATTTTCTTTTCGAACCGCTGAGACGTCTATCAAGGTCGCCGTCGGTGGAGCGACTGACGGCAGAAAACGCGGCTCAAAGCAGCCAAAGCCGAAGAAAGATTCAACCCAAAAGATTCAGGCTAAAAGAGAGACAGCGACTCTTAAACGAGTTTTCTTTTAGCAGCTTTCCGCTCTTATATCTCGAAAGTATAAGTTTCGAACCGCCGCCACCGTGTGGCACATTGTGTTTTGACAAATTGTGGATACAACAACCGTCGGCTGTAACTGTTTTCCAGCCACTCCAGCTCGCAACTCCAACTCCATGTCTGTCTCCATGTGTTGTGATGTGTGAAGGCGAAGATCTCCGGATCTTCAGATCTTTGCAGACTAATTAAAACCGACTCGGGGGGACAGGTTCTGGCTCGCCACATCGCTCATACGCCGTGTGGCGCGGCCTTTTGATATCGTCGCATGAGAAATGAAGGCGAAATGCCGAAGGAGCTGCCTGCCGGGTACCGTTCTACACCGTACTATCACGCTCCAATTTGATAAAAGCAGAACATCAAACAGAAAAACAGAAAAAGCGTCATTTGTCATTGGTTCAACTCAATTTATGACAATTTACTCACTTTAGTTGCGCTCGAGTGCAGTGTCTCGGGCATTTCGTGGAATTTGAAGATCCGCACCGCACCGAGAGAAAATAGCCTCCGAATTGGTCATAAACTGGCTATTTTGATGGCATTGCGAAAAGCAAACATCAATCAAATTAATAAACAAATTGGTCATAAATAAATACATTTTCACTTAATGGAAAATATAATCTTTAAAGTCTGAAGATAGGTATTTAGAGAAAATTATTGCTTAAGGATTTAAATAAAATATTTTAACAAAACAAGTCCCATACAGTAATAGCTATTACGACTTTGTAAATATTATTTTTGTCTGTATTAGATGTCTGTGAAGAACTGGATGTGCCACACGGAACTGTCATTGTTATACTTTCGGATATATATATATATATTTTTCGCCTAGATGTGCCTTGGTGCACCAGAATTAGCGTCAAACTTTCGAAAGGGGGAGGGGATCTGCTCAAATTACACAGACAATCTGTTTGACATAAGCGAGTTATAGAGTTATAACACATATATAGCCATTTTGCTGGGGCCAGCCAAGCCAAAAAGACAATTACCACAAACTGGTTTCAATTAAAAACAGTTAAGCAGTTGCACTGCCAGTAGCAGTAGCTAACGAAAAAGCAAAAACCTATATCGTACATATATATAGAAAATTTATAGAAATATTGGCATCTCCTTGGCGATGGCGATGGCGATGCTGCGTTTTGTACGTGCCACTGCGTCGCCTCTCAGTTGGAGTCACAGAAAGTTGCGGAAAGTCTCTGAAAAATCTCCAAGTGGCTGTGCAGTCTTCGTCTTTATTCCCATCTTGTCTGGGCAATAATTATACTTTAGTTGGCGACGCTGCTGCATATTTGCTTTGGCAGCATTTACAGTTTTTGCTTTTTTGCTGCCGATGCTGTCGATGTTGCAGTTGCCGCCCGTCATTTAGAAAGTTTTAGTTTCGAAGATCTCCATCTAATGATACCCACCGAACCGCCTCCAGCTCCTCCTTCTTCTCCCCAGAAGCCACTACTCCACATTATCTCCGATTCCATACTAAACAGTTCTCGAAAATGGGCTTCGATCGATTTTATTCATTCTTTTATGATGTCCATTGCCTTGTCATGGCCTGCTATCTCCATTTTATGACGCTCAATGTTCGAATTTGTTTTTCCATGTCAGTCTTCGATCCGAATCTTCAGCTTGACTGCCTCTTTCTGGGTCTTATCTAGCTGGCTGGAATAAATTTGCAACCGAATGCGTTACCTACACACAATTACCCGCGTATCGGTTTGCCATTTACCCATGCATGATCCATAAATCTTTAACTGTAAAAGAAGACAGGACCAGATCCCAGTACCAGATCCCAGATCCGAGAGAACCCGGTTCAGGTTCAGGCCATATCCATGTCCATGTCCCGTGTTGAGGTCCAACTTATGCAAACTTTGGGCACACGTCTTCGGTTAGCCTGGGGTTGCGGTGAGCTGTCTGATCTGCTGCTGTTGGAAAACTGGAAAACCAGTTCATGTCTGGGAGATGCAGCAGGATCCGACTGATCCTCACTATCCAGCACCGAAAAAAATATACATTTTATAAGATTCATCTGATCTGATAGTATATTGGAAAGGTATCAGTGTAATAGGCGTATAAATTGCAATTTATTTGACAAGAAAATGGTAAGTTTTTTAAAGATAATCTTAAGATTAGAGGGTATATGTTCGAATTGAATATTTTCTTCATTCAATAGGCCTTTTATTGGTTTATTGTAAGGATGCTACAAGGTTTTAGTTCCTATTCTTTTGAACCTCTTTTTTCCCAGTGCACCTCATCCTCCCAACCATGTCTAGTTATTGATACGCCTGTGGCGGAGTGGAGTGTGCGATCCAATGCCTCTGGCCGGCTAAACAAACTTGCAATTGTATTCATAAATAACGATTGAGAAATGTGTTCTGTTTTTTTTTCTGCTTTTTAGCCATGTCTGCGGTCAGCAGCGCACTTATTACCAATTGCTTCTGCAATAAATATGAAAATGCGCTCATCGAAGTTGGTCCACATTGGAACCAGAGTCCATAACGGTTAATGGAGGATGCAATGCCTCCCAGTCCGTCCTGATCATTGGCTGGTAATTATTTGAACCTTGTTCACCAGGCCGGCTAATGGGGGGATCCATAAAAAAATCCATAATCCTTTTATGGTCATCGGAATTTTTAGTTCAAAAACTTGAGGGGAACATGGCAGACTCTAATCCTGAAAACTCTATTTAAAGTCAAACCAAGACCACACATTTGCATCGAAAAGGTGTCAATTGAAGCCGACATGGATTAACACACTGGTAATTGTAAATGCTATCTCGTCAATCCCGATTGAATAATTAAAATCCAGGCTGGAGACAGAATCATTATCGAGGACCCCCGTTGCGTGCGAGAATTTACTGGCACTTGGGATTGATGGGGGGAATCCAAACGACAGAGCTTATGGTCTGGCAAAGTGGCGTATGACAGCACCATGGGGTTGCGTGTGCATCCTGGATCATGGAAAAATCATAAAAACAAATCCAATGGCTCCATTACCCTTCGGGCCATACATAAGGCCCCCTCTATATCATCCATCGCCCAGTCTGATTGACAGCCAACAAGCCAAATGCATTTCAATTAAACGCTAACCGCTACGAATATTTCCATTTCTGGGTGAGTTCGTATCTCTGGTCAGGTGTGCTCTCCAGCTTCTATTTTTTCGTGACCAGAGCTGGAGCAATCCAAACCATTCCAATCCAAAACGAAACCGTACCGTGCCGAACCAAGGCGAACCCCAGCCAAACCCGTAGGAGAACAATTCAAGAACAGCGGTCAACTCATCAGTATGCTGTATAAATTAGAGCATCAAACGGCGCTTTGCCAACTCGGAACTGGTCTATACTGTTACAGCTGCAGCACCACTATTCAACTATTCAACTGTGGTGCATGTGGAAGAGTTTCTTCCTGCACAGAGCAAAAATCAGAGTGGTTTTTGGTAGGTGGGGACCGATAGGTAGGGGATACACTTTCTAGATTGGGAAGAGTTATGCCAGACAACTTATACTCTTCAAGATTTGAATATAAATTGTTTTTTCCTCAAAAGAAATAAAAAGAATTATACTGTTCTCTGTGTAGAAATTTAAGCTCCATGAGGTGCATCGCTTCTGGCTTGAATCGAATCGGATGGAATCGAATGGTCCGCGAGTTCAATGACGAGGCGCGGAGTCATCGACGCAACTTGTGCACATATTGTTGCGAAATTGATATCAATTTGTTTTAATGGCCGACCCATTATGGAACCATTATATAGTTAGACCGTGGGTTATAATAAAACACACTTTATTACGTGTATTAGGAGTGGCGCGCGCCGGGCCAACAACCACCTTGTGGGCTGTTGACTCCCAGGCCTAATCCCAGATTGATTCCAATGGCCTTTCTAAATGTGCAAGTGGGGCCATCAGACGGTGGCATTAGCATGTTACAACGATGTCCAGTCCTGGCCATCCCAGACACTAGAACCAGTATTCAAACATATTTATTCATATACCATCCCATCCTACCAGATTATGACGGAAAGTGTGCTGGTCCTACCGCCTGCCGCCTCCCGGACTGGAGTGCTGGAGTGAAATTTGAATTTTCCAACTGGATTTATGAAGTTGCGGTCATTTCAGGTTTTATCGATGTCTCTGCGATCCCTGGCCAGATCTTTTCCGATTAAGACATAATTCATTTTCCATCGGTATTTTATGCAAATGGTCATGTCGATGGAAGTGCGAAGCTACAGGAAGTTTATGGCGACACGTTGATTGAACTTAACTCAACTATTTCGGTTCGTTGGCTGATCATGTTTAGCTATACGCTTCAAAAACCTCGAATAAACATTGTTCTGGATGAAATTTTAGCATTTATGCGATATATTATTCATTGTTCTTAATGATGCTGATGATCTAATGTGGCGCCCCGAGTCACGCGAACCTCAAATTGGGTTCATTGAACGCGCTCTAGAGAGTGACCAATAGATGGTAAGGGTCCATTATCATCATTTCAATATCTATCCTTTTATGAAGTCGATCGATGGAGTGCGATTTGCAACACATGTTGCAACTGCAATCAGTCGAAGAAATCTATTGCGTGGGCGTTCCCAGCAAAAAGCAAAACAATTGCTTATAAACATTGTAATTAGGCCCTCTAGGGGCAAATGTGTGGCATATAAAAGGAGCTGGCCGCCATCCGGGGGGCACAGTTTATGGACTTTGCAATGGCAGACGCGGATTATCAATCAAATCTTCGCCTTTTACGGAACTTCCTGGACGAGTTTCGATCGGTGCTGGCCGAGAAGACGTCGTGCCACATCCCACGCCTGGCACTCAACTACTATCGTTCTTCTCTGAGGTGACTTTTTGTTGCATCATCCATCAGTCCGGATAATCTTCCATTTTTTGTCTACCTTTACAATTGGCAGTCTGCTCTGTCAGTATCCCAACAAGAAGCTGGCGACCAAGGCCTGGATTCGTCGCATCAACTGGTTCATCTTGTCCAATGTAGCTCTGATCTTCTTGACGATGGTTTTTGCCTTTCCAGAGTCCAAAAATGTCATCGACATGGGCGACGACATGGTGTGGCTAGTGGGGGTCAGTCTTACTCCCTCATACTTGAATCTTATAGATTTTCCAAGTTTTTCATTCAATAGATGGGATTGGTCGGGACCAAGGTATTCTACGTACATCTCCGTTGCAACGATATCGATGAAATTATTTGGGATCTGGACTACTACAACCGAGAGGTCAGACCTCACAACAGCGATGATGAGGTTCTGGAATGGCAAAGGCTCTGCTACCTGGCCGAATCAGGATTCTTCATCAATTGCTTTTTCCTGGTGAATTTTTTGAGTGCAGTCATTTGCTTACAACCTTTGGTTGGCCAAGAGGAGAAGCTGCCATTCCACTCGATTTGGCCCTTCCACTGGCATCGCGCCGATTTGCATCCCAAGACGTATTGGTTCCTCTATGTCTGGTTGAGTGTAACCTCGCATCACAATCTGATGAGTATTCTAATGGTGGACATGGTGGGCATCTGCACCTTCATCCAAACGGCTCTGAACCTCAAGGTCCTATGCATTGAGATCAAAAGACTTGGCGAGATGAGGGCTGTGAACGATGCCAAGTTCCGTGAAGAGTTTTATCGGGTAATTCGCTATCATCAGCACATTATAAAGTGGGTTTATCTATAAAGACTCTAAACCTTCTTTGGTTGATAATATTTTAAATATCTTAGGCTGGTGGACAAAGTCAATACGACCTTCAATGGCTCGTTCAATGCCCAATTGATGGCCAGCTTTGCCATGGTATCCATATCCACTTTTGAGACAATGGTGGCAGCATCGGTGGATCCCAAAATGGCTCTAAAGTTTGCATTTCTCATGGTGGTGGCCTTTGTTCAACTGTCCACTTGGTGCGTGGCTGGAACTTTGGTGTATTCTCAGGTGGGCTGTCAAAGACTATAAACTTTGTATATTTTTATGATTTGAGATATTTTCAGTCTCTGGAAGTGGCTCAGGCCGCCTTTGAGATGAACGACTGGCACACCAAGACTCCCGAGATTCAAAAGGACTTGGGTTTCGTGATAATGCGCTCCCAAAAGCCCCTCATCTATATGGCCAAGCCCTTTCTGCCCTTTACCCTGGGCACTTATATGCTGGTGGGTTTCTATTACTCAAAAACCGATTCCATTTCATCATGAAATATTCCACTTTTTAAGGTTCTGAAGAACTGCTATCGTTTGCTGGCCCTGTTGCGGGAATCAATGTAATTTCGTAGTTTTGTGAAAATAAAAGTTGCATTTGCATGGCTCGTTTAGGCTGTTGCCGCGCCCAGTGACACTAGAGTGTACTTTTTTTGTACTTTTCTTGTTTTTACAACAAAAAGGGCGGACCACGCACACCCAGCGGCGACAGGTGCAACCCAGCTGCAAAATGGTGTGGCATGTGGGCTGTGCACTCGCCGAGGAGATGATGCAGGGCCTCTGCTTTTGGTCGTTAACTGGAGCCAGCCTCGAACTTATTCAAACGTGAAACGCATTGTCATGATCTGACCCAACAGCAGACAATGCAACGGCGGTGATCGTTTAGTATTTGGTGTTTAAACATTTGGAGTTGTATGTAGAAGCAGATTCTGCTACCCCCCAAGTCCCAAGCCATGCCCCATGCTCCATCCCCACACTCTATGCCCTTCACAAGTGGGAAAGTCGCCCATGTCCATGAAAAGCTGAATCGTTGACCGGCCAAAATGTCATTATGTGCCATGAACATTCGGCCAGAACGAAAAGCTCCAGCACATTGGAACACTCTCCGCTCCACTCCACACTCCACTCTGGTCCAATCCAATCCACTGACAACACACCCAATTTCCCGGGTGCGTATGTATAAACACTCAAAAAAAGGTACATCCATATTTCAGTTTTAAGGTTTATTTGCTTTTTAAATGTATCTATGAGGTCGTTTGTTTTCTCGCAGTGACCGACTGACTCCCCAATCCATAGATTGGAGTGGGTGGGTGGTTTGGTTGTCCAATTCGGTGGGGGTTGCAGAGACAGCAGCAGGCTTTTGTCAACTTCGGACCGCTCGCCGCACTGATTAACATTTGAATGGCAATCCGCGTACGAGCATTTAGAACATTGTGTCCATGTAGCTCTTTGTTGCTGTCTCCACATCTAATTAATTCCCCATTCGGACCATTGTTGCCATGGAGTTGTACTGCCCCCGCTAATGGTAATCGCATTGGCAATCGCAATGGTAATGGTAATCATAATGGTCCCAACCACCGATCCACCAATCCACCGACTGCAGACCAACCTCGAATTCAGTTTGTCGCGCCATATTCTAACGATCGGTCGGGTTCGGTCCCCTCAAATAATATTCAAATTCTTACAATTCGATCTGTTAAATTTTATAATAGTCCATTCAGCGGTTATCCTTGCGACCATAAACGGTATTAAAATATGTTAAGTGATCACGATTTGAATAAATTGAAGTGTCTTTATGGGAATAATTGAATACAAATTGTTTTAAAGATCTAACATTTAAAAAAGGATAACAAAGTGCTTGAAGCCTTAAAGTGAAAAGGAACCATGAAGTGATAAATACTCTTTTATTATTGGTTGTTTGAATAAAGGATCATCAAGGACTTGAAGTTTAGAATGTCTTAAACAGCAGGACTCCTCGAATAATATGTCCTTTTTGGTGTTGTGAAAGATATCCTTTACCCTAAGGACCCTAAGAAGTTCTTTAACTTGAATTTCAAAAACCTTTCTCTTGAAAACCATTAGAGTGACAAGCTTTTAGAATAGAACTACTAATCGCGACACTTTCCAAGTACAGCCACCATTCGCGTTGAGGTCAATTTCCAACGCTTTTCCAAAAAAACAACCTACTCTGTCGGCTTTTGTGCTTTTGAGCATAAAGAGTTTTCTGCCAGGTGGACAATAAACCGGAAGCGACATCCGGAGTTGCGGATCGATATGAGTCTAGCGACACGTAGCTCAGCTAGATTTTAGTTTAATGATCCAAATTCACGTTACGCATTGTGCACATTATGGCAGCAGAAAGGCACAAAAATATATTTAAACTATTCATGTGATATTCGACTCGCGGGGAAATTCTAACTATTGAGGTCGCATATTTCATGTCATTTTGTTGGCCAATGAACTAATTAGATCATGTCGGATAAGCCATCCCCCCCACTAACTACCACCAATTTCGATTCCAGCTAAGCGGTTACCAGGTAATTCAGATCCAAAAGCCACCAAGTCGGGGCTAAAATAATGCCGCGAATAGGCTAGAACTCCAGTGTGACGTTCTACACAAAAATATTTAAAAACTGGACAAAATATACAGATTTGGAAAATGAGACCCAAAAAGGGATTACATTTCATACTGACTGCTTTGGTGGTCAGTCTTAGTCTTAGTGAAATAAATGGTAAGTTTAAAAATGATTCATTTTTTGTAAAATTAACTTCCCCCCATTAATATCCGAAATCTGTAGGTCAAACCACCTGTAAAAATGGCCTGGGCAGAGTACTCTATGAAAGACTGCCCAACCAACAGCTCCAGGGCTATGATGATGATGTGGTGCGGGACACGGCTCCACCGTTCCGGGTTCTGGAAAAGTGCCAGGATTTATGTCTGCGCGATCGCACTGGCTCTAATAATTTAGTACGTACCTGTACCAGCTTTGATTTCCAACCAGGCAGTCGGATAACCTCCTTCGGAGGCAACTCCGAATATGAGGAGTCACTGTGCTACTTGACATCCGAACAAGCGGGACCCGAGGGAATCGGAAGTCTGATGTTGGTGCCCAACAGTGTCCACTTTAATGAGATCTGTTTGACATGTGAGAATAGCAAGGATCAGAAGGAGAAGTAGTTACTAACGTAGAAAATCCAAATTTTTAGCAAGCCGTCCGGAGAGAGAGTGCCCTAGTCGGCGATATGTCTTCGAGAGGCATCCCCGCAAGAAACTGAAGCTGCCCATCAGTGACATTAAGGAAATAACTGCGGCCAATCGTTCCGATTGCGAGGATAAGTGTCTGAATGAGTTCTCCTTTGTGTGCCGGTCGGCCAACTTTGATTCCACCATGCGATCCTGCACCCTGAGCCGCTTCACCAGACGCACTCATCCCGAACTGATGGAAGACGATCCCAACTCCGATTACCTGGAGAACACATGTCTGAATGGTAAGTGTGTGAGGTGGTCTGTCTAAATGATTTTATGCCATCAATTTTGTAAACCATATATTAGCCGAGAGACGATGCGATGGACTGGCGGTGTTCGTCAAGGAGGAGAACAAGCGCCTGGGTGGCCCCTTCGAGGTGGACATCTTCAACAACATGACGCTCGAGGAGTGCCAGACCATGTGCCTGCGGGCCGAGAAGTGAGCTGCCAGCTAATATCTCTATTTCAGAGTCATTTAACTAATTATATGCACACGCACACCAGATACTTTTGCCGCTCCGTCGAGTTTGATGACCAAAGCAAACAGTGCATCCTCTCGGAGGAGGATTCCATCTCACAGAAGGATGACATTAGTATCAGCTCCAGTCCCACACACCATTTCTATGATCTGGTTTGCCTCGACAATCGTAAGTGGCTACCGTAAAAGTACATTATAAACGAAAAAAAAAATAAGTAGAGAAAAGACAACAAGATTATAGTGGTCCAGCCCATCACAACGGTTGCTTCCACATTCACCTCTACATGTCCAAGTAAACTTCTCGCCTATGTCTATGTTGTATGTTGTATGTTGTATTCCCGTTGCAGAACGAGCCAACGATTATCCAGATAACTCAGTCACCTCGCACCTCTTCTCGAGCGGCCGGCGGCCAGATACAGCATTCCAGCGGTACCGCAACTCCAGGCTCGGCGGCGAATTTCACTCGGAGATCACGGGACGTTCTTTGAGCGAGTGCCTCGACGAGTGTCTTCGCCAGACGAGCTTCCAGTGCAGGTGCGTTTTTGCCGTTGCATTTCTTGTTTTGATACTCTTTTAGAAGATGCTATGGGTTTAATCAAAGGGGGTTTAGACTACCACATTTTAGAGATAAATATATTTTAATTTTGAATTTTAAAAATCCTAAATCACTTGTTTAAGAAGCAAGAACTTTAGGTCTCTAACTAGAGATCTGTTGAAGGATACTTGCATGTATCTCAGGGTATCTAATAGCCAACCTTATCATACTACCTTCCCATGTTGTTCTCCCAGTGCCTCAGTAACCCATCCACTCCATCCTCTTGCCAAATTGCAGGTCTGCCGTGTACAGCGATCGTTTTCGAACTTGTCGCCTGAGTCGGTACAATCAAAAGGACGGCATGCGCATTATATACGATGCTGATTATGATTACTACGAGAATCTAATGTGTAAGTGGTTAGAGGAGGTGCTAATGGCCGGCCCGGTAATCTCTGACTTCTCTTCGACTTCTTCAACTTGCAGTGAATGTGGTGGGCGGAGGCGCCGATGGCGATGGAAGTGGTCACGGTGGCAGCAACGACGGCAAGCGACCTGGGGATCAGTCGGGCAGCAACTGGAGACAGCCTAATAAGCACGACGATCGCTACGGACCGGGTGGATCTCAAGGAGGCGGAGGAGTTGGTGGTGGAACCGGTGGATTGCATGGCGGTGGGGGCTCTGGAGGCTCTAGATTGCCGCCAGGCGAGGGCGTCGACTATGGCCGGCCATACGATCGCTATCCGGACATGGCTGGCAATGAATATGGTAGATAATCACACACACATAAATACCCAAACATACATTTATGGCACTATTACTCTTTCGCACAGATCGCTATCCGTATGGCGGAGGCGGAGATCGCGATCGGTATCCTCCAGATCGCTATGGCTCCCGCTACCCCGGCGGCACCGATGGAATGAGCTATGGGCGACCCTACGATCGCTATCCGGACGAATATGGTAAGTTAATCCTCTAGATTCCTTCAAGATTCTAAAAACCATTAATGACACAATCAAATCGAAACCAACTACTCATCACTCTCTACTGACAACTAATTCACTAACACCACGTCAGATCGGTACCCAGGTGGTGCCAGTGGCGACCGAGATCGCGACCGGGATCGGGATCGTGAGCGCTATCCAGGTGATAGGGATAGAGATCGGTATCCAGGCGATCGGGACAGAGATCGCTATCCGGATCGTTACCCGCCTGATCGCTATGCGGACAGATACGGGGATCGCCGCTATCCGGACAGGGAAAGAGATCGGGATCGTGAACGGGAGAGAGAGAGATTACCCTACCGGCCACTGCCCTATCCCGGAATCAATGACAACAACCTGCCCAGTGATCTGCCGCACACAAGACCCTACCCGTCGGACGATGATGCTCCATTCCGCCCGTATGGATACGGCGGTGGACGTTACGGAGAAAACAGATACGATAGCCGCTACCCTCCGGGTCGGTTTCCACCTGGCCGTGAACGGGACCCTGTGGGCGGATACACAGGAAGAGATGCTCCGGACAGCATTTTCCCAGACCGGCGGTACAGACCTTCCTCTATGGACTCGCCACGTTATCCCTATTTACCCGACTCCAGAGGTCCACCGGGAAGATACGACGATATAGTTCACAGTGCACGGAGACCCGAACCAGATTCGGCCAAACGATATCCCCCGGCTCCGATAGCGCCCTCAGGGAGCGCCAGCAAGTATGCTTCCTCGCCGAACCGGTTTCCGGTAGGTAACGACCGATATCCCATAGATATCTACAAGTACGGCAATCGATTGGGACCCGGAGATGCTGGCAGGAGACCAGGTAAGTAATCCGGGACTAATCAACTACCAACAAACTACCAAAGTATTTAACCCAAATGGTGGAAAGAGTAGAAATGGAAGAACAACTAATAATTTCGATTCTTCGTTTAGGCCTAGATCGTCCGCCACCACCATACTATGACTACGACTATGAGGAGAGGTATGGCGATAGGTACGGGCCCTACGACAGGGAGTACGATGGTCCTCCCAGCCGGAGACCTCCTCCAGGTGGACCCTATGGACGCTACGATAGCCCTTTTAATCGTCCCTATGGCGGAAATGGTCTAGATGATCGCCCCCTTCCCCTTCCCGGCCTAGGGCTCTCCCATCCGCCCACTCCCTACGGCGGTGGCGGCGGCGGGGGAAGCCATGTTGGACTTGGAGTCGGTGTTCATGCGGGACCCCCTAGACCGCCGATCACCCGTTGCGAGGAGAGCGACAATTTTAAGCAGATCGCCGCCAGGCACAAGATGCGCCGCCACTTTGTCCGACGAGCTCTGATCGTGCCCACGCTGGTCCAGTGCGAGAGGGAGTGCATCGAGAGCCGGGACTTTGTGTGCCGCAGCTTCAACTACAGGTGGGTGGGGCACCTGGTGGCAGATACCAGATACAAGATACACGAGCCTCTACAAATTCGCTTGCACAAATTTCAATTTGCAGAGACTCGGCTGTCTCCAACTTCGAGGACAGAGATAGGGATCGGGAGACGCCAAACTGCGAGCTAAGCGACCGAGACTCCCGCGAGCTGGACATCCACGATCCGGGCACCTTCGACGCCTCCAACTACGACTTCTATGAGCGCAGCATCGGACGCAGCGACGGGGAGTGCATGGACGGTGGGTGAACAACTTTATTGAAATTTGTCCAGATCGTTGAGAAGATTGCCGCAAATATGTTTCCAGTCACACAGACGTGCAACGAGGAGGGCATGGAGTTTACCATTCGCACACCAGAGGGTTTCCTGGGACGTATATATACCTATGGCTTCTACGATCGGTGCTTCTTCCGAGGAAACGGAGGTACTGTTAATGTTTTGAGGATCAGTGGACCTCAGGGGTATCCGGATTGTGGAACGCAAAGGGTAAGTATCCAAGTTCAAGAATCGCTTATTTTTCTAACATATACTATCTCTGGGATTAGTATGGAGATACGTTAACCAACATCGTGGTAGTTCAGTTCTCGGACAACGTGCAAACCAGCCGGGATAAGCGCTATAATCTAACCTGCATTTTCCGTGGACCTGGTGAAGCGGTTGTTAGCTCTGGCTACATTGGAGCAGGGTAAGCCTCAAGTTTAAAGTGTTTAGTGTTTCCACATCATCACTTATCCCTTCCAGATCCGGTAGCCCTATTCCCATTGAGTACCTACCAGCAGAGAACACACTCAGCTCCAAGGTGCGGCTTAGCATTTTGTATCAAGGCAGACCCACCACCACCATCGCTGTAGGCGATCCTCTCACCTTCCGTCTGGAGGCCCAGGATGGTTACAATCATGTGACGGACATTTTTGCCACAAACGTCGTGGCCAGGGATCCCTATTCCGGCCGTAGTATTCAACTGATTGACCGTTTCGGTTGTCCTGTGGATCCGTTTGTGTTCCCCGAACTGGACAAGCTTCGCGATGGCGACACTTTGGAGGCCCGCTTTAATGCCTTCAAGATACCCGAGTCGAATTTCCTAGTATTCGAGGCAACAGTACGTTCCTGCCGCGAAGGATGCCAGCCGGCGTACTGTCCAGGACCAGCAGGACGGCAAGAACCATCGTTTGGACGTCGGCGCAGATCACTGAACGAAACTGAGGTGGAAGAGCAGGTGCCAGAGCCTCAGGCCCTGGAGGGGGAATCAAGCTTGGAGGACGTTACGGTCGTTAATAGCACCACAGTGAGTGCCACCTTGGGACAGGCCCCTCTGAACGAGACCCAAGTGGGTGAGAAGACCAAGGAACCGGAGGAACCAGAGCAAGTGCGGGAAATGATTGAGGTAAACGCTCATGATTGAGGAGAGTTAATTTAATTCAATTTTTATGCTTGAAGGTCTTTGAAACCCGAGAGGAAATCGAAAAAGAGTCCTATCCTCGCAAGCTAGTGGCTCCGGTGGAAACAGTGTGCATGACTCCGGCAGAATACCATGGACTAATCACGGCAATAATTCTACTGATGATTCTGCTCTTTAGTATCACCTTGGTGGCAGGATTGGGTTATAGGTTAGTAATAAATAAACCTTTGAAGATCACCGGGTTTCAGAGTATAATCTTGCAGGCGCTACTGGAAGTCCATATCGAAAAACCGCCTGGTGGACCGTCACTCGCCCATTCATTCGTTGGGCCACTCCTCCTCCATACGCACCCATGAGCGCTTTACAGAGATCGGTAATCTGTCTGGAGGAGGCGGAGGTGGATCCAGTGGAGGAGCCGCAGGCGGAGCCAATCAGAGCGCATCGAATCGAGCCCCGAACGCTTTTCGCACCAACATGTCCATGTTTGGCGGCTCATTGCACAAGACATTTGCCACAGGGTGAGGAAAACAATCCGTCTGTCCGTCGATCAGGCGGCGGAGTCGCCCAACCGGTCCACTTATGGAGTGTTTAATGTCTTTACAGCAACTTGGCGCGCATGTGCCAGCTGCCAGTGATAAATCCCATGCGCACCGCCGGCCAGGGCGTCGGCCATCAGTTCGAGGATCCCAGCGAGCCCATCTACACGGATCCCTCGCTCTTCGAGCGCTCCAGGCAAGTGGCTGGGGCAGCAGCAACACCATCCTCATTTCCGCCCACCAAATTCAAGCTCAATTGTAAATATGTTTATTTCGATTTCGTTTTGTAAACGCGATTTGTCTAACCGCCACCGCCACTACAAGGGATTGCAGACGCAGAGGCCCACCTTGTTGCACCGGCCATCTCGGCCACCGGCTGTTTGGCACTTGGTGGTGCACCAGTCCCCTTGCAACTGGCACACGCCAGTGAATGTGGGCATCTCACCTAAAGCTAAACCAGAAATTATCTCTACATAACTTGCATTTAAATTAGACTCACCTGTTTGGGCACTGACTAAACCGAAGAATAGCGAAATAATAACCAGACAGAGGCGCAGGTATTCCATCTTGACTGATGTGGTGGCTGCCACAGACTAAAGTCAAGCTACTCAGGCGATAACCGACCCTATCAGTCAAATGAATCCGAAGCGAATCTCTCTTATGAAATTCTTAAACACATATTCATTAACACATATATTTTCGAAAATAAAATCACTGATTAAATAATGTTTTTTCCCCTGACATTCACAGATCGCTGCGAAGTCTGACCATGGTGGCCGAGTCCGAAGACAACCAGGAGGTCTGAATTCCCATCCTCTTGTGATTAGATGTAAATAAGCTAATGGTTCAAAAACAAAGAAATCAATAACTCCACATAATCAATCTAAAAACTGACAAGTACCCACACTCTTGATATATCTATACGCTAGCTAAATGCGTGGGGCCCTCGGATATTAAGGGGTCCGTTCAGTAGTCTAAGGATTGCACCACAGACCAAGTATCCAAATATTATGATCTTATGCTCTTTAACATAGTTTGACTAAGCCTAACCGACGGAAACCACAAAACAAGCAATTATTCTCTATGTACCAGCTAAGATATGAAATGCAATAAAGCCTAAACTTATCCATATCACCACCGACTTTCGTTCTGCCTGAGGTATGCCATAGTATAGCCATTAATCAGGCTCCAAGTGGTCGCAGTGGCACTCTTAGCGGATTTGCATCTTGGCGGGTTAACGAGCGAGGCCAAGTGGCAGTTGCGGTGGCAGTTTCCGTTGCAGACAGTAGCCGACGGGGCTTCTGGAGGAGATCAGAAACCCAGCAGCAGCCTGCTGAGAGTGTGTAATCAGAAGTCTCGAGAAAAGGGGATCGGGAGCAGGATCGGTCAGAGGCCGACACATAAATCAAGCAACAGGGAGGGCACCTACCAAATCCTAACCAAACAGACAGCTTCAGCAGCTTAGTAGGTCAGTCAGCTTAAAATTAAAAACGCATTAGGAAGGTGAAGCTGTAATTCATCAGAGTCCAGCTACTGGCATCAGAAAAAAGTCATTCTACCTTTTTTCCATACAGTTTAATTAACACATTTGAATAAATTAATTCCATCCATTTTAAAGTTTAAATAAAAATATATAAATTAATGCCGATACGGTACCCCATTTAGGCCGTCCTGCGAGCTGCTCTTGACTAGCACAAATGCCTTTTTGGTGGGATATGGGGGACCAATTCTACAGCTCGCCTAACAGCTAAGTTACAATTTAAAGACCATTAATTACACTATTTACAAACACTTAGTAGCTAGGCTATTAATCATCAAAGAAGAGTATCTCTAGGATTCGCTTTTGTGCACTTTTCTTGCGCTCCTTGTTCATCTTGAGCAACTCGGTGGTAACGAGTTCGCCCAATAAGTGCTCCGATAATCGCTGCACTCCCGGATGACTGGGCGGCGTCTGGAATTTGCCGAAGTTCGATGGATGCGAGCCACTGGCCTGGTGGGGAAACTGCTGATACAACTGGAATAGGAAGTCCGTGTTTGAGGGAAACATGTTCTGGTGCTGTTGCTGCTGCTGTTGTTGCTGCTGTTGGTGATTGCTGCTGCTGTTATTGCCACTCCCGCTGTTGCTGCTATTTGCATTTCCATTTCCACCAGAGCGCTGCATGCCTATCGAGTTTCCATAGTGGTTCTCATGGGACATCATGCCCTGCGGTTCCATTAGATCATGGCTGTTGTCGTCGGAATCGTCATCCGAATCGTTGCCAAAGTGGGAGCCACTTCCTCCATTGCTGGTCATCGGATTGTGGCCATTGCTAGTTAACTGCACACGGGGTTTCTTCATGTGGTAATTGCTGGATGCTGATGAATCCAAATCATCGCTAGCCTTAGGGTTGTAGGCGTGTGACTGCTGCATTTGAAGGTTGGAACTAGTGCTAATGGAACTGCCGGCGGCACTGGAAGAGGAATGTACCACTGGCAGCTGTTGTCCAGATGCCGGTGACTGTTGCTGTGGCTGCTGTTGCTGTTGTTGCTGCTGTGAGTGATGGTTACCAGCACCAATCACTTGCAGCGGCGACGACAGAGGGGATTTCATCGATGACGAGGTCGACGTAAGGCTTCCGGCACTGTTTTGGGCCCCAGAAATGCCCATGGGCCCATCCTTGTACTGCTCTTGGTAGCCCTGTGACGAGTCCGCCATAACGGCTGCCACGGCTGCAGCCTGTTGCTGCATTTGCGACTGTGAAATTTGTTGCAGCTGCTGTGATGCCACGGCGGCCGCAAATTCTCTGAAAACTTGGTCCGCTTCGATCTTCACTTGCCCGTTGGCGTTTTCCAGTGCCGAGGTAGCTGCAGTACTAAGTGCATTCATGGCATGCTGCTGGTCTGGCTGATGGTAGTGGTGACCCTGGCCTGAGTTCCCAAACTGGCCAACATTCTTCATGGAGCCATTTGACTTGTCCACCTGGTACTCGCTGTAGCTAGAGCTATTTGCTGACTGCGGGGACGTTAGGAAGTTCGGCACGTGGCGGTAGGACTTGCGGGGCTGAATGTGCTGGTCTAGGAACTTCATCTTCTCCAGGTACGGGCGTGATAGATGCTCGTAGACGGGCGGATCACCCTGCTTTCGCTGCGAGACGTAGCGCTCGCGTAGGTACTTCCACCGTTTTTTGCACGTGTCCACTGCAAACGAACAAAGGACATTTAGTTATAGTTTGTCTGGGGTGCCCTCAGTCCCCTCATTCGTAAACCTTACCGTCCGTCCGCAACTTCATTGCAATCAGCTGCCAAGCCTCGTCCTTGGTCTCGTACTTTCCTCCGTTGGCCCCGCTGTTCAGATAGTATTTCTGACGGTTGTAGATCACCCCATGCTGGGCCACTTCGTCAATTAGTTGCTCGTCCATCATTTTCGTTTAATTCGCGATTTGGGCTTGCAATTGCTGTTGGGGTACGTCAGGCCATTTCCAACACTGGACTAAGTCACTTTGGCAGCACTGCATAAACTATCGATAACATAGACTTATTTTTAATTTGAAATATGTTTTTATTTATGAACAAGTTTTGAGTTCGAGTTTAGTTGTTTATTATATCTCGTTTTAAATTTAACTATTATTTTTTTAAATTAATCTTTATTCATTTGCTGAAATATTCCCCCCAACTACCAACTCTAAAGCAAACTTTCTCTTCTTTCCAACACTGAATTCTGGTTCCAACCCAAAGTCAATCAGTCGTTCAAACCGTAAAGTCTTCTGTTCTATTAAAAATGTTTAAATTGGCCCGTCAGCTCATTCCACAGCAGCGGATACTGGCTTCGCGGCTCCAGCGGATGATCTCCACCAGCGACGAGGTCAATGCAGAGCCCATTATCAAGTCAATGGATACAATTGGTGGCCTGCCCTCGGAGCTGGTTAACGAACAGAAACTGAAGAAAACAAGCAGGTACATCCACTCTTATCTACCGGTTTGTGCACTTGACCTTTGCATGCTCGTTTTGTTTATGTTTCGACCGGTGGGTGACTGTTTGGGGCGTGATTCCGGGCGTGGGCACAGATACAGACAACAAACATTCCTTCTTCAAAGAGGGAGAAAGTTTTGAAGTCACGTAGGCCATCTTCGTCAGTATGTGTGCGTCTGTTCTTTCTGCGTTCTATTGTTTAACTCTTGCGGACATATTATTTACCTAAGAATAGTATCCTAGAAGCTTATTTCCAAATCCTTGAATCGTTTCCTCTTTGTTGTTTTCACAGAACACTATCTACACTACAAAATCACTCGGTTCCCATCGCAGCCCGCGTCACAGTTTCCAAAGATGAAAGCCGTGACTTTATGGCCGTGTTCCCAGGTTAACCGCGCCTCACCTTTTCTAATTATCATGCTAATTCGAATGCTAATCGAGACCCACTTTGTTGGCAGATCTTGTACGTGACATCACCAGCGTGACGAAGGCATACAACTGCAACGATGCTGCCAAATGGTTCGCCCAGGTCCTGCAATACAACGTTCCTAGGGGAAAGAAAAATCGGGGCATTCTCACAGTCCTCACGTACAAAAATCTAGTGCCAGCACAGGATCTGACTCCCGAGAACATAAAGCTAGCCCAGTACCTGGGCTGGTGCGTGGAAATGGTAAGAGTCTTTGGTCGCCGCTGGTCCAAGGGCCCTCCTTTCCATTTCGGTTCTCGTTCTACTTGCAGCTCCAAAGTTTTTTCATCATCTCTGACGATGTGATGGACAATAGCACCACCAGACGCGGCCAACTGTGCTGGCACAAAGTTGAGGGCGTGGGTCTGACTGCCATTAACGATGCCCTGATGATCGAGAACGCCATGTATGCCGTTCTGAAGAAGCATTTCAGTCACCTGGACTGCTATGTGGCGCTGATGGAGCTCTTCCACGAAATCACCTACATTACCACCTGCGGACAGTCCTTGGACCAACTTAACTCAAATCGCAGTGTATCGGAGTTTACCATGGACAACTACAAAGCTATTGTGGATAACAAGACTGCCTACTACTCCTTCTACCTGCCTTTCGCTGTTGCCTTGCACTTGGCTGGGTAAACCTGAAACTATTATCCTCTTCTTCAACCTAATCTTGTCTTTTATTTTTTTAGATACAAAGACGCCGAGGCCTTTAGACAATCGAAGACCATTCTCTTGGAAATGGGTCACTTCTTCCAAGTTCAGGACGATTTCCTTGACTGCTTTGGAAATCCAGAAGTCACCGGAAAGATCGGCACAGATATTCAGGACAACAAGTGTTCTTGGCTGGCAGTGGTGGCCATGCAACGTGCTAATGCCGAACAGAAGCAGATAATGGTAGACTGCTACGGCAAGGAAGGTAAGCCACATCAAAAGGACTCTTAAATAGCTAATCTAACATTTTTAAATCCTCCTAAGACCCAGCCAAAGTGGAACGAGTAAAGGAACTTTACAAAGAACTAGGACTGCCATCAACGTATGCCACTTTTGAGGAAGAATCCTACAACATGATCAAAACTCATATACAACAAACCTCTCGAGGGGTGCCACATCAAACCTTCCTACAAATTCTAAACAAAATCTATCAACGCGACTCCTAATTTACTTCAAAATGCATCGAACTTTTGAGCAAGTTTTTACTTAAATTGTAGTATTAGCATTTACAATGGATGATCTGTCAGCATGGGCTCAGCAATTATACAACCATCATGAAATTTTAACTATACACAAAGAAATCTTTTTACTTAATTGTCTGTGAAGTCGAATGGTCCAAAGACCTTTTGGAATTCTTCTACGTATGATAGTTCCTCGTCTCTTTCCAGAAGGCATTCCTTCCAATTAACTTTCTCGTCGCAATTCAGTAGATTCTCCGAACAGAAAACGTCTCTGCAAATAACCAATTAGACAAGCTGATTGTGATATTATTTTGTTTTAACGCACCTGGCAAAATGAATGGGAAAATGTTTCATTTGTCGCGTAATAAGAGTAGTATCGTCGGGCAGTTCTGCTACAAAATATGGCCCCATTTCGGGGAGCATTTTCGGAGAATCCAGCGCAGGCAATGTTTCGAATTCCAAATTAAATTCCTCAGCTTTGTCCTGAAATGATAATAGACTACATATTAAGAAAACTAGTACATATATTGAAAGACATATTTTGTTTACCTCAAAGCTATGCTTGATCTTCCACGCGTATCCTTCTTCGAAAGCCAAGGCATTGATCTGCAGATGAACCGACTTGTAATGCCGCTCTGTGAAGCACACAACTTGTCCGAGACTTTTAAAGAACTTTTTAAGTGCCGTCTTGAACTTGTCAAGCTCTTGCCACTCCTCTGAGCTGAGCTGTGCGGAGCAGGGCACATGCTTTGTGGACAATATCATTACATGGTACTTGTTTATGGGTCCTTTTGCCAATGCCAGATAAAAGTGCTCACCAATAGTAATAAAAAGATGTCTTTCCACATCAGGTGAGGAAAGACAGAACCAGCATTTCTCTAAAAAGAAAGTAAGTATTACAGATGGCCTAAAATAGTGACCAACAACAAACCTTGATCAATTTGAGGTATTTTTGGTCGCTTGTCTCTTTTGTTCTGATCACCATGATGACGCTTACGATTGCCAGATTCCATGTCATAGAAGTACTGGCGACTTTCGGACTGTAATGAGGGCATTTTAGACTTGAAATGTATTTGAAATAAAGTTACTTACCGAATCATTTTTGCCTATGGCGCCTCCCAAATCCAAGCCAATGAAAGGACATGGTATTTCATTGGTTGTCTTTTGGACAAGATCTAGTAAGCGTGACTTATCTACAGGTTTCAGGCTGAGAGCATAAATATACTTGGCCTTTTCGGCATTGCCCACTTCAGCCAAGGAAATGAAACGAGTGCACAGCTCGAACTGGGTGGTCTCATCCTTGGGCATACGAAAAGGCGCGCTCTCATAATGGGTGCCATTGATGGCACAAAAGTGGTAGCGCGGCTTTATTTCCCGGCAAAGAAAGGACACTAATTTTGAAGCAGAAGCCTAAAAGGAGGATATAAGCTATAGTATCATGAGACTGACCATAAAGGGACTTCATGACATACATTTTGTTTTTCCTGCATTCCATAGGGCCATTGGGAAGTCAGTAGGACATCCACACCACGATATTCCGTCGAGCAATTCTTGGAGACCAGACACGCATTTCTAACAGCTATCACATCATCCTTGGTAAACTCATGCTCGGAATCTCCAGTTCCTGTGGCTTCCACACCGCTTAAATAAGCAATTTTCACCCCGCTGCTGATTGTGTAAACACCTCTCGTCCCCAGGTATGTGAGATTGGGGCAGATTTCGCCATCAGTCAGATCTTCGTAATGTTTGGCATGTTCCTTTGTATTGGGCCCGAGAACATAGGTAGGTACCGTAACTGGAAATAAAGTAAGCTCTTAGAATACAAATATATGGCCCAATAAATAGTACTTACTGTGCTTGAATCCATTTTTGTATGCTATCAGTTCCTCGTTTTGTTTTTCGTCACCAAAGAAATCGCCGACACAACAGAGGATCTCGAAAGGTCCCGCCTTTTTGTTGACCTGCTCCACGCGCTGGAAAAGTTGCTTGAAACGTCCCCGGACATCGCCTACCACTAAGCTAGGATTAATTAACAATTTAATTAGTCTGTTTTGAATATAATTCTTGTTTATTACTCACATTTTGGTGCTCGCGTCCATTGTTGACAGTGGGATTGTTTATAACTAACGCCACCGACAGGGCTGCCAACTTGCTGCGCAGAAGGGCGCGAAATTTAAATGTGCTCTGATTTTATTTTTTATGATTAACGATGCCAGCCATTGTATTTTCCACAATCATACATAATTATCATAGTTTTGGTTAGTTTTGACTACCATGACACACTTTAGAATAAAATTCCCAGTTTCATAGAATTTTTGGCAATTGGTGGTTAATTGACCGGACAATATTCTTATATAACCCGACTATAACCTTACTGCAATGTCAATGGCCCAAAACATGCCATTATTTATGACATTGGCCCCAAACAGCAGCAGATTGCAACAATGAACTTTTGCTGGGCTTTTCTGGTCATGCGTGGCTGGCACTATTAAGTGGCCATTACTCTTTTGGTTAACGTTCCATTAGATGTCTGGCTTGAACTGCGTGGCGGATATAAAATGGGACTTGCGATTCAATTTCCATATCAGTCATACAGCCAGCCACAACAATGTCGCCCAGTCAGATTCTGTTGATCTCAGTTTTGCTCGGAGTAACCCTTTACTCCCAACAAGTTGTTGGCCAAGCAGCTATTAATTGTCAAAGGCCTCCTCAGCTTGTGGTAACTTCTAAATTGTAGATCTATTAGAATATTATTTTCTGATCACTGAACCATTTTTAGGACCCAGCCCTATGCTGCAAAGATGGCGGACGCGATCAAGTGGCAGATCAATGTGCTCAAAAGATTTTGGGAGCAGGAAATGGTCAAAAACCCGCAGGTCCTCCCTCTCTGGAAACTGCTGCGGTAAGAGCATCATAATTCACAGAGGAACGAACTTAAATATAAATAATTTATTTGTTTTTATAGTGCCTTGCTGAGTGCATCCTAACAACATCCAATTACATCGAGGGATCTCAAAAGCTCCAGTTGGAAAACATTCGAAGCGATCTATCCGCCAAGTTTTCCAACGACAGCGGCTTTGTGGAGGCTATGACCATGGCCTATTCCAAATGTGAGCCACAATCGCAACGGAGGCTGGCCGTGATCATGCAACAGTTGCAACAGCAGCAGCCGCAGCAGCAACAGCGATGCAGTCCCTTTTCCGCCATCGTACTTGGTTGCACCTACATGGAGTACTTCAAAAACTGCCCGGATCACCGATGGACTCAGAATGCGGAATGTGCCCTGGCCAAAGCCTATGTTACACAATGTGGATTGGGTGCTTGATTTTGTATCCGATGCAGAGCAATTTTTGTATATAATATTAAATTTCGTAGCCATGAAAGAAAAATATATTTGGGACTTCAATTAACCCTGTTTTTCATCCGTTACAAACACATGTTTTTATAAAAGGGAATGTTGCTATTAATTAATTAAGCAATTTTTGTATCAAAGTGCTTTAAAAAAGACACAAAAATTTAATATTGCCTAAAATAACAAAAACCGGACATTCCCTACCGGACATGATCCGCTGATCGATGCCCTCGACAGCCATATCTTTGGCAATATTCATCCGATTCCTAAACGGAATACCTTGATCGATTTGAAGATCGATCCTCCATCAATCTGCATCAAAACCTACCAACAAAATATTTTTCAGATTTTTTGTCATTTTTTCTGGAGGGTCCCCTTCATAAATTTGAAAATTGCCTGGGGAAGGCATTGTTGCCCCCTCAACAGCCATATCTTTGGCAATATTCATCCGATTCCTGAGCGGAATACCTTGATCGATTTGTCTATCGATTCTCCATCAATCTGCATCAAAACCTACCAACAAAATATTTTTCAGATTTTTTGTCACTTTTTCTGGAGGGTCCCCTTCAAAAATTTGAAAATGGCATGGGGAAGGCAATGTGGCCCCCTCGATAGCCATATCTTTGGCAATATTCATCCGATTCCTAAACGGAATACCTTGATCGATTTGTAGATCGATTCTCCATCAATCTGCATCAAAACCTACCAACAAAATATTTTAAAGATTTTTATATAATATATTCGGAATATTTGAAATTTGAATTTTCCAGTGTTACCAGAATGAATTTTAAATGGCAATCCATCTTGGCGTCTCTTTCGTTGGCTGGCCACACTGTTTTCATCATTCCCAGCTTCTTCGACCGTGCTAGAGCAATTATTGAGATAAACTATCAATCGTTAAGTGAAAATTGTAGTTCAGTCTCTGCCTTAGATTACTTCGAAGCATATTCTAAAAGAACTCCAACATGGTTGACCTCACCGACGCCGGCTCACCTTTCCAGCAATCTATCCCCAACCTAGCGTTCTATGTGCCGGCTATTGTTGTTTTTACTTTGGCAGGTGAGTTCTAAAGCCCCCGATGCTCCGGCCCCCCCATTCCATTCTTTCGTTATTGTTACCGCTCCCCGTTCCCAATGTCTATAGCATGTAACTACCGCAATCCCGGCCACACCGCAAATTGGGTCAAAAGAAAGACTTTCACCAAACAAGCGAACCCCCTTCCCCATCAACCCCACTGTTTTCAGCTGTTCAGTGTCATTTGTGTTTGGCTTTTGGTTGTTATCTGTTTTGGTTTAGTTTTGGTTTGGAGTAGCTTTGATTTAGATAGTGATTTTGGCAAGAAGTCAGGCATACGTGTTCCTATCCAGCTGACCATTCCGTTCGGTTCCATTCCATTCCGGTTTTCTTGCGTACGTAGCCAAAAGTTGGTGGGTTCCAAAAAGGGAGATAAGGGGCTTTTGATAAGGCACCGACCTGCAGCCATTGAGAAGTCCCAGCAGTACAGTTGAACCTCAATTTGATAAACTAAATATATGTTTTTAAAGTCTATTTGCTAATGACCCTGTTCTAGGAACTGAATAATTTGTAGTTCTCTCTCTATGAATCATTTGGGAAAAGCCATGGATAAGAGGCTTACAGCCAGAATTAATTGACAGCTTTTTTCTCTGTGTGTCCGGCACTGATTAGTGGCTCTCCCTTATCACAGACACTGTATAAATGTATTACCGCTCTCTGCAATAGCAACTTCTTTGGGCTACCTTTGGAAACATGCTGACGAAGGCAGGAGGGAAATCGGCAAGCGGGCATATCTCAATATAATGAAATATAAGCAACTGATTACGGACAAGTATCAGTTTATTTTCGTATTGATTTTAAATGAATTTTAGAACACGCTCAGTCCTCCCGAGCAGCAGAAGCCGGAGCACGTAAGCAAACCAGCGGTCAAGCGCCAAAAATTACCATACTCGAGTGTATTTGTGTGTGATCCTGGGGGGGAGGTAGGGGATTAGGAAAAATATCCTAATCGAATAAACACTAGATTTGCAAACAGAAGTCACATTGAACCAAATTATCTGCATGCCGCGTGTCAAAGTCAATGATTATCTATCCGAATCCGGAGGCACGAATTCAAAATCCGTATCTGTTCAGTTTAGCTTGCCACGTTGTTTGTTTCTGTGATTTTGTTTGCCCCCCTTCAGTAGCATGCCAAAGATACCTGAAACCAGACTCGTATACTATGCTTTCCTATAACCCATTCAGACGCGAACCGTTAAAGGCGAGCCCACAGAACACCACCACCAGTGAACCCCTCTAACCGAGTCTACCATTGATCATGGCCGAGGATCCGATTAACCAGCAGGCCTTTGCTGAAGACGTGGCAGCTGCGGCTGCTGCCGGTGGTGCCGATGGATTTGCGGGAGCCACTCCCGGTGTCGAGCCGGGCCACCCGGACTTCAAGATGCCCAGCCCCGAGGAGATTTGGAAGATGGTCCAGGACATGGAGGGCATATCCGATGCGGAGCGCGACGAGCTGCGCGAAAGCATCTTTAACCCGAAACCGCCATCGCCGGAGGACTTCCTGCGCCAGTACGGACACCCCGGCCACAGTTCCAAGGAGTACATGGTGTTCTTTGTGATGCTGGCCCTCATTCTGCTCGTCTTTGGTAAGCCACCGGAAAGGTGCTGGGCCAAGTTGACCCTTATCGGGGCGCGATATGATCCACAGTGGGGTGCGTCGATTAGGGAGGGGCGATAGGGTTAGGGGGCGCTGCCAGAGCACTCACACGCACGAGCCCGAACTAGAATGTTTGCTTCGTTTATAGGCGTTCGATTTTAGATAAGATAACCACATAGAATCCACCGCAGACCCATCCAAAACCCACCGCGGCAGTACTCGACACGAATCCATGACGGCCAGAAGTTGACAACCTAACACCTTGTCCGATTACCCTGAAGTTCCGTCACCACCCACACCATGAGCTCGTCGGGGTTCGATGACGCGTTCGGCATCATGGAGCAGCTGAAGAAGTCCGTGGAGACGATCGTGGCCAAGACCGGGCCCAGCAGCAAGTTCTCGCAAGATCTGGTCAAGCGGATCGGCGAAATGCAGGACAAGCTGGAGTCACTGGCGGACACGGACAAGCAACAGTTCCTAACGGAGATGAAGGACAAATTCCAGCAGACCATCGGCAGGATCGAAGAGCGGATAGCGCAGCATGCGCACATAGCCCAGGCCTACTCCAGCTCGATTCTTACGGCCGTGATATTCCTCCTAGTCTCAGTCTTCGGTCTCAGCCCCTCATCTCCAAATCCAAATAAGACAAGCCCAAGTAACATATCCTTCTTCCATCTAATTACAGCTCTCTTCGGCTACAAACTGTACAAGTCCCTGACGGAGAAGGAGCTCAAGAAGCAGGAGAAGCTTAAGAGCAAGCAGGCCAAGAAGGCGAAGAAGTCCAACTGAGCCCCCAAGCAGTCGCTGAGCACATCTTGGGAATAGCTTCCGGCCCTGACACCCTAAAACTGTTAAAAACCCCACAACACACAATCGTCCCCCTGTAAATGACTAAATTATGAACCAGTAAACTTAATAAAAGTAAAAATTACCCAATAATGATTGTAAATGTCGGGGCGAATTCTTTAACGAGGAGCCGCATTAATTACCGGTGCCCCATTAAAGTACCATAAGCCATCAGGAAATGCAAATCGGTGTCGTGACCAAACTTGTTGCTGGCATCTAGGCAATTGCTAGTTCCTGGCCTCCGTTGCCAATGGAGACGGACGAATCGTTTTGTCGAAGCGCCTCCTGTCAAAGGCTGCAAAGGCTATTAATAGACAGATTTAGTTTCTAGTTACCCCAGTTAAGCAGCAACTCTCGGAGGCATCATACACTTTCGGTTTCCAGTGCTTTAAAATGTCTTACGCCAGTCGTAAGTATTACGTTATGCATTTTAAAAATATTATTTTATTCGGATACCACCAGGATTTGGCTTTGATTTCCATTTGCCGGACGAGGGATGGTGCTATCCCAAGGATGACATGCACTTCATTCGCAGCGCCGAGTGGGTTCCCGTGGAAAGCGCTGGTGTGGGTCGCTCCTTTGCCAATCCCAACGGCGTAATTTACCCGCGTGTGGTTGGCATGCTACCGCGTTACGGAGGCCATGTTCCTGGCAATATTTTTCGCGTGGGAAACACCTACGGCCGGTCCACCATCGACGCCAAGCGTCATTTGACCCTCAACCATGATTGATCTACAACTTATTAGGTTACAAGATCAACTATCACTCAAGCCAAGTCAAATTTTCTGTGTTAGGCTTACAAAAGCACTTAAAATATAAATTATAACCGCATGAAGTTTATTTAGATAATAAATGGCTTTAATTAAATTAAATTAGGGGTTACTCTGTGTGACTTAAGTCTATCTGCTAATATAAATGTATTTTAAAATCTTAAAACTAATGTATCAAAACTGTGCAATAGATTAGATTAAATTCAAATTTGGCGCCCATGTGATGTGATCCACCGACCCTGCTGCCTATCGATATCGACAACGGTTCGTGATAACGTTTTTTGTGCCATCTCACGATTAGAAAGCCAAATAGTAAACAAACCGAACCGCGGGCGAACACTTCATGGGCTCCCATTTGCTGAACATCTGGAGGCGGAGGCTCCACACATCCTCCAGCAGATGGCAGCTTTTCCAGACCACCACGCCCACCAAGCGCATCTGCATTGTTGGTGCCGGACCTGCGGGTTTCTATTCCGCGCAGCAGTTGCTCAAGAAACTGGATGACTGTGTGGTGGATGTACTGGAGAAGCTTCCGGTTCCCTTTGGTTTGGTACGGTAAGCAGATGCAGGAACTAGACTACTTAGGAGGATGTGATGTTTGTGGCGGAGCCAAAGCCAAAAAGGGGACCCACAACGGACCGAAAGATTCCACTGAGATAGGCTAAAGGAGAGGATATCCTGGAATTCTTGTTGCTTGTGGAGAAGGCAATCTTACCTCCAAATTGGTCCAAGCCCCACAGTGGACTGGCAGCGGCAAGAGTCAGGCTGGTTAGCAGCAAGAAGCTGGCGATCAGAGGAGCACTACCTATCCTCCACATTTTGCGGTTTGAACTGCGAATTCCATGCATTCCACAGAAGCTTTTATCTGCACCCGGTTGCGTGTTACGCTATCCACTAACGACTTGTCGCATTATGCAAATTGACATTGCAGCTTTGGCGTTGCGCCCGATCACCCGGAGGTCAAGAACGTCATCAACACCTTCACCAAGACAGCCGAGCATCCGCGTCTGCGTTACTTTGGTAATGTCTCCCTGGGAGAGGATGTGACCCTCAAGGATCTAAGGGATCGATATCACGCTGTTCTGCTCACCTATGGAGCCGATCAGGATCGAGAACTGGAGCTGGAGAACGAACAACAGGGGAATGTTATATCCGCACGGAGTTTTGTGGCCTGGTATAACGGCCTGCCGGGAGCGGAGAATCTGTCGCCGGATCTAAGTGGACGCGATGTGACTATTGTGGGCCAGGGTAATGTGGCAGTGGATGTGGCACGAATGCTTCTCAGCCCCCTAGACACACTTAAGGTAGCAAAGTCCCTTACATTTTTGAAATATTTTAAAAACTTTTATTTCCCGCAGACTACAGACACCACAGAGTATGCTTTAGAAGCCCTATCCCGCAGTCAAGTGGAACGAGTGCACCTGGTTGGAAGAAGAGGGCCGCTACAAGCTGCCTTTACCATCAAAGAGCTGCGCGAGATGCTCAAGCTGCCCAAAGTGGATATCCGGTGGAGGTCCAGCGACTTTTCTGGTAGATATGTTTATATTTTTAAAGTATTCCCTTTTTAAAAGTTTCCTTAATTCCAGGAATTGAGGAACAGCTGGAGAAACTGCAACGTCCCCGAAAACGCCTCACTGAACTGATGCTTAAAAGCCTAAAGGATCAGGGAAGGGCTTCTGGCACTGGCGTCAAACAATTCCTACCCATTTTCCTGCGCGCTCCCAAGGCCATAGCGCCAAGTGAAATGGAGTTCTCAGTTACGGAGCTCCAGCAAGAATCGGCGGTGGCCACCAGTGCCACGGAGCGTCTTCCATCAGATCTAATCCTGCGCAGCATTGGCTACAAGTCCAGCTGCGTGGATTCGGGCATAAACTTTGACGCTCGAAAAGGAAATGTGCGCAACAGCGAGGGTCGCGTTCTGAAAGACGAAACGTCCGAAAATGTTGATCCTGGTCTCTACGTTGCTGGCTGGCTGGGAACTGGACCCACGGGAGTTATTCTAACGACTATGAGTGGGGCATTCGCGGTAGCCAAAAACATTTGTGATGACATAGCCTCCAAGGCCATAGATACTAGCACCGCTAAGCCGGGTTACGAGGCGGACGACAAGCGGATAATCACGTGGGACGGCTGGAAGAGAATAGACGCTTATGAAACCGAGTCCGGAAAAGCCAAAGGAAAACCGCGGGAGAAAATAGTCAACGTCGAAGAAATGTTGCGAGTTGCCGGAGCTTGAGATCCAAATCCTAGAGGTGGTGGGGGGCAATGATCTACAAATACCAAATCTACCTTGTTGTTAGTTGTCTGTCTTGTTTTTAGTCCTTATTTTTGTACGAATGAAAAAGCATCTATAAAAAAATTGATTCAAAATTTATTGTGTAATTCAAATTAAATCGTAAAATGGAACATGCGATTACGCCGGAGCCGCATTTAGTGCCTGGGTGAGATGGAACAGCTTGTATAGTAGGTTTCCCAATTATCCTATAGCCCCGAAATATCCTCTCAGGTACACGGGTCACTGCGCCCGAGATCGCAGCAGAGTAGGACGCACGTACGGAAAACAAACCCACAAGCTGCTGATCGATCCCTGCATCTATCATGCTCCGGAACTTATAGTGGCCCCCATCCATGTGACGAGAGGTCTTAAGGACTATCCTACCGAACGAGAGCTGAAGGTGCTGAAAGCCAGAGAGGATCTAGTGGACTCCAATTATAGACATCCGATTCTACCGGGTTACGCTGGCTTCGTTCCGAATATTCGAAGCCAGATCGGAAAGCGATATGTGGCGGCTGCTTCCGCCGGGGTGGCAAACCATGAAACCCTAATGGAGCTCTACCGTTGCGAAAATCGAACTCTGAGACACAGGGATCTGCTGGAGAGTGGCAAGGGTCTGTTCGATCGGAAGATCAATGAAAGATTGCTGCCGCAGGCCAAGTACCGGGCTCCCCTGCTTCCGGTCACTGGTGTTTCCGAGGGCTTAGCTGACGAGTGCTGTCCGCCGAAGACCGAGAAGCTTACATACAGCAAGTTTACATCACCTCATTTCCTAGACGACGAAGATCCGGACAAGTACATAATCAATGGCTACGCGGGTCACATACCCATGTCAGTGACTCGGTTTGGGGAATCCAACAAGGTGCTCACCAACCGAGCACTATGCAGCTTCTCCGACTATATGTACAAGCGGAAGCGTGACTCCTGGTGCTGCGGCCAGGACCTTAGCCGTCCAGCTATCACCTGTCCCCCTGTACAACACTTCATCGTGTATCATGAGGATGACGGCATGGTTCCCAATTACGCGGGCCATGTCCCCGGCGAAATGTACAAGTTCGGGCGTACATTCAGTAAAACCACATACGACGCCAAACGGTGGTTGGAAGTGCACAAGGGTCTCACCGTTCTGCCGGAGGTGGCCAATTTGGACTACGCCTATTGAGGGAGCCGGTCATTCATATTCAAATAGTAACGTTTTTAGCAAGGTGGTGCCACTCTTCGGAAGGAATATGAAAAATTCGCCATTACAAAGAGATGGTCACACTGGCGATTGTTATGATATCGATACGGCAAAAACAACAACCCTAGCTTTCTGCTTCTACGTCGTTTTGTTGGCTGTTTGGAAATAAGTTTAAATTGATTTTAAGCATAAATAATGTACGAATTCCCGCCAATGCCGTGACCCATTGCAGTGCAGTGCCCCGAGTGCCCGGCAAAAATGTAAAAAGCGGCCTATAGCTCAACAGAAGAGGCCACAGTTTCCAAAAACGCTAAGGAAAAAATCTTTAGAATCGAAATCGAACAATTCAAATACACACACATACATTTGTGTACCTAACCAAGTGGTGAGTTGAATGCCGATTTGTGTACCTACCAGGTGGTGAGTTGAATGCCGATTATGCACCCTGCATCCGTCGCAGCAGCATATTTTGATGGAGAAAAACTAAGAATCAATAAATGGAGTGCAGCGACAAGTGCCTAAAAAAAATAATCATATCTCGGCAGATCCCTACAATCTTGTGAGGGGCCCCCATGAAGATAAGGTTCCCCTTAGTGAGATTTATGGCGGGAATTCGAACGGAGACTGCGCACAGGTCACAAACAAGTCGGTGCGACCCCAACTGCGTCCGACTTGTTTATTGAGAGCGAAGAAACGAATAAAAATAAAAACAAAAAATATATATATATGTAATTGTTGGTGGCAGGTGAGATTAACGAGTGTGAGTAGCGGGGGGTGGGGGGGGGCTCGTTGATGAGAGGAGAGTAGCTCCCACTTTTCGAATTTCTTATTGAGAACGGGGGCGAATGGGAAAACACGAAAGACCGCCAAAATGGGTTGAGTTGACTTGTTTGCATCGATTTTCCCGGCCGGAAAATAATGAAAAATTTCAAATCTGAAACATTTCCACCGATTTCTTGTTTTGCAGAAAAGTGAGTGGAGTGATGAGTGAATCTCAGGCCTCTCAAGTGGAGGAGACCAAGGTGTCCGACGAAGATGGCGTCAAAGAGAAAGCTGAGTCGTCTGCAGCCAAAGTTACTGAGGTATCCGCAATGGAAGTGGACACGGATATTGGTGGTGGTGGTGGGCCGCCCGGAATACAGATTCAAAGCGATCTGGGGGACAAGGAGAAGTCGTCAACGACAGTGGACATAAATACCCTCACACCCTCCACGCCGTCGCAAACACCTCCCCAGTTGTTGGCCTCGGAAACAACCACTTCCGCCGTCACAGCCGTCATCCCGGAGAACATCCTGTCACCACCAAAGTCAGAGACCCAAACGGATGAGACTAACACAGCCACGTCGACGTCGTGCTCGCCAGCATCTGAGGGTCAGCGGTCGCCGGTGGCGGAGCAGTCACAGCTGCTGGTGTCAGTGCCAGCTCCTCCACCAAAGCAGGAGCAAACAGAGCCCTCAACGGCGGTTAACGGCTCCATACCAAAGTCAGGGAAGCCCCTCTCCACGGCGATTAGCAGCGCCAAAAAGTCGAGCAAAGCTGCGTCCACGTCACCACGCGCCTCCCGAGCCCGCAAGCCCAAGGCTCTGCCCATGTACGAAAGTGAGATCAGCGACAACAAAGTGGGTATCAAACTGTGCATCAAGAAATCCGACGCCGGAGACGGTGCCCCAGCCGCCGCGACGCCACCCGTTCCCGTTTCACCTGCAGCCTCCAAGCCGGCACGTAAACGAGTCCGCAAACCAAAGCAAGCGGACAGCGACGAGAGTGAGTACGAGCCGCGCAAGAAGAAGGGCGGCGGTGGAGGAGGTGCTGGCGGTGGTGACAGTGGCAATAGTCAGAAAAAATCGTCGACAGAAGCGGCAGCAGCAGCCGAGCCTATCGAACAAAGTGTTTGGGCCCAAAAACTGCCCGAGGATGTCCTCTTCAGGGTGAGTCTGAACTCCTATAATTCTATATATAATCTTGACTAATTCTCCTCTTTAATGATGCAGATCTTTGAGCAAGTTGTGGACAAGGAAGGCTGCCTGCCCACCCTGTTCCGGTTGGGACGAGTCTGTTCACTGTGGCGCCAGGTTTCGCTTAGGCCTACATTGTGGCGCACCATGGATCTGACCACTTGGATCAAGGAGAAGTATCGTACTGAACTGAAGCTCAAGTGGTTTGTGGATAACCGCTGTAGTGCCTGCACAGAGCTGAATGTTTGTAAGTTTACAAAAAACATGCGAAGAGATTAATTTTAATAAGAGATTTTTATCCAAAATAGCAAATTGGAAAATATCAGACATAAATTGCTTCTTAGCCAAGTTGTCCAGCGGTTGCCCGAATCTAATGGGAATCACGCTGTCCGGCTGGAAAGGTTTCACATCGGATCACCTCACTTATTTGGTGGACAATATGAAAAAATTGCAGCGATTAGACCTCAGCTCCATAAATGTAAGTTAGACGCAACTTTTCCATTGAAGAAAATAATGATTTTGGGTTCAATAGGTTGAGATGAATGCCAGCAAAAGTGCAGTGGGGGTGAACTCGTTGTGCAATGCTCTCCAGACCATGGGCAGCCGTCTCACGCATCTCTACTTGGCGCACAATCGTCTGGCGGGAATACCGCAAATAGTTGGAATTCTTTCGGTAGGATTGGCATCTTTGGAAACTGATCCATTTTTGTTAATCTTTGTACGCTTTCCCCAAAACAGACGCACTGTCCGAATCTGACGTTACTGGATCTCTCGAATGTGACCACTCAGGCCACATCGCATGGTGTATTACATATTGAAAAGCTGCAGCACGGCTGCCAGAAGTTGAAGGTCCTGCGGGTGACCAACTCGCACATAACACCAAGCACAGCAAGCATGCAGGAAATTGTAAGACTTTTATTCTTTTCCTATTCTTATAACAATGACTATAGTTTTATAAAACTTTATAGATGGATTCGCCAGGATTTCCAAATCTAGAAGAGCTGTCTGTGGCCGCCTTGACGGATGAGTCGCGCATCATTAGCGATGATCATCTGCAGAGAATCTTGAAGAGCAGCTCAAAGCTCAAGCTTTTGGATGTACGCAACTGCACTAGGCTGACTCACGAGAGCCTAATACGTCTGCCAGCCTGGGATATAAAGCATTTATTCCTATCGGGCTGCTCCGTTACGCGAGACATGGGGTAAGCATTGACATATCCTTACTAGGATCTTGTACTCATCTTCTTTCGTAATCAGGTCGGGCCTGGAGCTCATCGCCTCGAAGTGGGCGCACAGCCTCATCGAACTGGATTTGGCCTGGGCGAACGTCCAACAGCCGATAGACAATGCCTTGCGTGCCCTCGCCGAAAAAGGCAGCGAATCCCCATTGGCGTGAGTACCCGGCATAAATGAAACTATTGTCAGTTTATTAAATACAATTTACGTTTGCCTTGCAGTCATCTGAACCTGTGCGGCTCATCGGTGTCGGATGAGGCAGTCAAGGAAATACTAACGAATTGCGTGAACATGAGTTCCATCAATTTGGCATCGTGCCGTGGATTACCGCGCGGTGTCAAGCGCCTGATGCAGGGTCCTCAGGAGCTGCACGAGCTGCGAGAAGTGCTTGGTGTGCAATTAAAAGGCAGTAACAGCATTAGCGGGAGCAACTAATCCAGTCAGTGGCCATGTCCACAAATCGGTTTTATTGTTGATCAGGCGGGCCCAAGTTTAAATGTAATTTAAATTGTTGCATCCCTCTTGGCGCGACGGTCTTTTTGGGCGCTTTTGTTGAGTTTGTAATGTAGTCCGCAAAAAATGCAATATTTGCATATATTTGCAATCGCTTGCATCTTCCAATAATGCTTATCTTGTTTATAGGCCGTAGATTGTAATTAATGTACTATTTTTTTTAGTATTCTCCGCTCATAAACGGCAGCTTTCCCTCCACCTCCCCTTATTTTTTTCTGGAGGATCGAGATAGATGCTTCAGCATCGCCTGCTTGGCTGGACCTTTTGTAAATGCAATATGTATTCATAATTTAGTTTATTCGAATTTTATTTGGCAGCGCATAAAAAAGCAAATCACTTGGCAACGATTTTCGCCCCCCTTTTTTCATATATATAATTTTATATATATATATATAATGATTTACTATTAGTTAAGTCCGACCATTGAGTGTGTGTAAAGTATGTATACAAAAATTTTAAGATAAGTTTAATATGTACGTTTCGCAATACAAACAAAAAATTGATATATATAATTACCATAAAGTAGTTGTCAATTCAAAAGTCGCTAAGGCAATTGTAGGATCTTTTAACCCGATAGAATTGTACATATTGGCGTTAGAGAACGTTCCAGATTGAATGTTTTTTTTATATATAAAACAAAACAAAACAAAAACAAAAATTAATCATTAATAAAGCTAACGCATATACCACAACACACATACATAAACATAAATTAAAACAATTCAATTGTTAAGCATTACTAGCAGTTAAGAGACGGCAATTAAAGGTACATTTAATTTAAAATAAACGCAAACATTTTCAATCCACTGCGCCGGCATTAATTCTTCAGCAAAAAACACATTCCGTATATTGTTTATTACGTAATTTTATTGAAATATGCGGGAGATAATATTGCATTTACGAGCTATTTACGGCCAGGACAGCAATTACAGTACGAACCAAGTGCCATCGTCGTCGGCACCCAAACAACCCACCCAGGTTGTTAGTTTCCGGTTAGTTCTTCTGCAGCTTGTCCACTTCCTGAATGTAGTCGGTGCCGAGCTTGACAAATGCTGCCCCAGTTCCCAATCCGGCCAGAGTGGCTAGCAGGGCGTTGTCCTTGGGAATGGCGGACTTGATCAGTGCCCAGGCCAGGACTGATCCCATGCTAAAGAGCGTGGCACCCAGCAGGGCGTACGCACCGCGCTTGTTGTTCTTCACGTCCTTCAGATGAGGTCGTCCGTAAATGTAGAAGGCACTGCCAACCACCGCGGAGATGAGAAAGACATTTGTCAGATCTTTCTTTGGGAGGAGTTGGGGCACGATCTGGGGGTTCATCACATTCACCGAAAGGGCTCCGTAGCTAACTAGCCCGTGTAGCGGTATGTAGTAGTTGAAGACGTTTTCCCGGGTGAAGGGCTTCAGGCCCACCCGATCACATATGCTGCAGGCATTGTTGGTCTGTGCGTTGGCCATTTTTTTTCAGTCGAAATGCAATAAAGTCGCAATATTTCCCGGTGTGATGGGGACCAAGTCTTCTTCTTCTTCGTTATGTAAAGATCAGGGTTGTCGAGTTATGTTGCAGCTAAAATATATGTTGGTATATAAGCGCAATGGTTTATTTTTCAACATAAAGTGTTATTGGAAATATTTATTGGAAAGTTACTAAAAGTAAGTTGTTGTTGAGCTGAATATTTCTGTGTTTATATACTGTTGTCAAATGTACTTAAAAAGAGAAGTACTTTTAGATTTTAAAAAAATTATTATCAGAAAAGAATTGTATAAATTAAATTATTAGCTTAATACCATTAGTTAAAAGAATTAATTTTAATATTTACGGTTCCCATGAGCTAGTTCATGTTCGGAGCGTAGTGCAAAGTTTATTCAACAGCCGGCACATCTTCCATCGCAAGGTGGCAACACCGACCGGAGAAAGAGAAAGAAAAGCGGAATAGGTGCGAAAAATTTTTAGCTGGTCGGAAATTCCACAAATCCGTAAAATACTCCAGAAATATCCGTAAGGAGGCAGCCGCCGGCCATTGGCACCGATAGATGCGTGCGCTCCACCAGCAGCACAACACCAAATCCGCAGAAGCCTGAAGAGCCAGAAGTTTTCGCCCAAAACCCAATCAGAACCTCCGCGGAAGACATGTTGACGCACAAAACTTGTCAGGCCCGTAAGAAAATGCAGGTGAGAGCGAATGGGAATCCAATTTAATTCAATTAAACACCCGCAACCACTGTGTGCGGCAGGTTTCCTTCGTGATACGAGACGCCGAGGAGAAACAGCACCGGAATGGCGTCAATGCCCTGCAGTTGGATGCGAATAACGGAAAACTGTATTCTGCCGGACGAGACGCCATAATCCGGGTATGGAACACCCGCACCGAGTCCAATGACAAGTACATACAGTCCATGGAGCATCACAACGACTGGGTCAACGACATAGTCCTCTGTTGCAATGGCAGGAATCGTGAGTAACCCAATGGCATCTTCTACGCTGCTTTCTAACCAAATCCACCATATTACATATTTGCAGTTATCAGCGCCAGTTGTGATACCACGGTCAAGGTGTGGAATGCCCAAAAGGGATTCTGCATGTCCACCCTCCGTACGCACCGTGACTATGTCCAGGCTCTGGCCTATGCTAAGGATCGGGAACAGGTGGCCAGTGCCGGACTGGATAAGGCCATCTTCCTGTGGGACGTGAACACATTAACAGCTCTCACTGCCAGCAACAATACGGTGACCACCTCTAGTCTGACCGGGTCCAAGGACTCGATCTACAGCCTCGCCATGAACCCATCTGGCACTGTAATCGTCAGCGGCTCCACTGAAAACATTCTCCGCATATGGGACCCGCGCACCTGCATGCGTAGAATGAAGCTGCGGGGTCACACGGAGAATGTGCGATGCCTCGTGGTTTCGCCGGATGGCAATCAGGTGGTGTCCGGAAGCTCCGATGGAACTATCAAGGTGTGGAACCTGGGCCAACAGCGATGCGTCCAAACGATTCACGTTCACAAGGAAGGAGTGTGGTCGCTGTTGATGAGCGAAAACTTCCAGTACATAATCTCCGGTAGCAGAGATCGAAACATTATTGTGACAGAATTGCGTAATCCCAGCAATAAGATGCTTGTTTGCGAAGAACAGGCGCCCGTGCTCAGTTTAGGGTACAACATTGACAAGACGGGAGTGTGGGCCACCACCTGGAACTCGGACATTCGTTGCTGGAAGTTGCCCATGTACGATACGTGCACGCTTAACTCCTCTGGTGGCATGGACGCGCAGTGGACTCAAGGAGGAACGGAACTAGCCTGCATTAAAGGGGGAGCCGCCATCAAGGAGTGCACGGTGCTCAACGACAAACGGTATATCATAACCAAGGATTCCCAGGACCAGGTTGTGGTCTACGATGTACTGAGGGTGGTGAAAAAAGAGCAATTGGGAGCTGTTGACTACGAGGCGGAAGTAAAGAAGCGCAACAAGCAGGTTTATATTCCCAATTGGTTCACTGTCGATCTTAAAACCGGGGTGAGTTTTAAATAATATAATTTCTAAGACCATAGTCTAATAAAGTCTCCTTGCAGATGCCAACAATAGTTTTGGGACAGGAGGAAGTAGATTGCTTTGCGGCTTGGGTTTCTATTGAAGCTGGCCTGCCGGAATGCATAGATCCCACAACAGAGATTAAGGTAAGTATCTTTATAGACTCTCCCCGATAAATTGCCTAATGAAACCCCATTATATAACAGATCAACTATGGAAAATTATTACTGGAGGCCCTACTTGAGCACTGGACACCGCACAACATGCCACCAAACGATATGGATGCGGATATGCACGGAAATGGATACTTCCAAGTGCCTAAACACACCCCAGTTATTTTTAGGTGAGTCTTTGTGAAAATATCTTAATGGAAGCTTACCTAATATGTTTTAAAAACCAACAGTGAAGTGGGTGGTCGCACCGTGTGTCGTCTTTTAGTCCGCGATGCAGCTGGAGATAGCGAAAGCACTTTACTCCAAGAGACTGCACCACAATGGGTGACCGATGTGGTGATCGAAAAGAACATACCCAAGTTCCTTAAAATACCGTTCTTCCTGCAGCCTCATCCACAAATGACCAAGCCCGAGCGCACGAAGAAGGTGGGTTTTTATTTCGATCAATCATTCCAATTGTTATAACCTTGTCTTGTATATATGGACCTTTTAGGATCGTTTAGTTGCCAACGAATTTATTCAGTGCCGAAAAGTCTGCGAGCATGTTCTAGAGAAGGTGCTGAACGCAGAGACAACTCCAAGTGGTGGCAATGCCAACAATTCGCTGCAAAACAGTCAGAGCGATGCCAACTCCGAGGGATCTCAGCTCCCAGCAGAAGAACGTATCGAGCTGTGGTGCAACGATGTGGTAAGAACAGAATTGGAAACATTTTTGGAACAACATCTAATATCGCACCCTATAGGTTGTGGATCCCAATATGGATTTGCGCACAGTGCGCCACTTCATTTGGAAGCAATCAACAGATCTTACGTTTCAATACAAAACCAAGCAAAACTTCAACTACGATGGTAAATAAGAGAGCATACGCACAACTTCACACTCATCATCAACATCGCACATTAAAACACAACCCATATACACACACACATATTTTTTTTTTTTGTACAATTCCAATGGCCTAACTGTGAGTTATATATGTATATTCGCCCCCCAAATAGGTTCGATCGGGGATAGTTTGGAGCGCGTGACGCGCAAGTATTGAACACTGGCATGTGATCTCCCGCCTAACGCTGCAGTTACCGATGCATTAAAAAAAATAGATTAAAAGAGATTGTAGAGATCGATTAACCATATGTATGTATTTATGCAATGTATTTGTGTTTATCTTCGTCCTGTGGACCTAACATTCAAGAAGAATCTGTTCAAAAAATGATTTTAGATGCACTTTTAGTGTGCTTCTGTGTTTGTTTTGTTTTCGTTAGGAATTATACATATATGTACTTCAGATTCAGACTTATAAGAATTAAGCTTGCAACAGACACGTAGATAAACCTTTGAATAACTGCAGACATACCATTTACATGTATTTGCATCTAAAGCATCTAGATCTAGAAAATTGCGCATATTTGTATGTAATATTCACACTTGTTTCACAATAGGATTATATATAAAATATATACATAGAACATAAGTATAAGTAATCTGTTAAAGATAAAAAAAATCAATGCAATTGTAGAAGTCCAACCTGTAAAAGCTCTTCGATAGCCAATCTGTACATAAGTAATGAACAAAAATCAAGAAACCAGGATGAACATCAATTAAAGTTATTAAATTATTTGGAAATCAAGCTTGGCTCTCATTCCAATTTCCATTTAACCTAATTTGAACACTTAGCTATCTAACAACTATCATTATATCCCTTTTCCATTAACGGCGACGTCTGGTGCTTGCCACACGGGAATACGATTCTATGGTGGTGAGCAGCAAAAGAAGCTGTTGCTTCAGCGTGGTGGGTATGTGGTATCCGTTGATTATTCTCCTTGGCGCATTGCTCGTCCTTATCAGCCAGCGGGCGATCAACCAGAGGCAGTTTTCTCGCAACGTTCGCATAGGAAAGTGTATCAACACCTGACTGCGAACGTCGCATAGCTGGTCCGGGTGCTGGGGATTCTTGGGCACCCGAATCCGGACCGGGTGAAAGATGCGCCTGGAGCGCACATGCATCCGCTCTCCCGTGTAATAGTCGCGAAAGAACCAGCTGTGCGTGTTGAAGGTATTCACGCGCACCTCCTCGAATGGTTTCAGGGTTAGGTACATGTTCTCCTGGTCGCGGAAACACATCCAGTACAAGTCGAGTGTCCGATGGGTGGTGTTGACAAACAGCACGTAAACCTCGACCATGGGACCTCCAGGTTGCGGGGGCTCCCGGTTGTTGTGAGCGATTTGCAACGCCATCTCCAGCAGGGTGCTAAGCCTGTCAGCAATAGCTACGAAATCAATTTTTGTTGCTTTTTGTTTTTCTTCGTGGGCCAAGCAATGCAAACAACAAGTATAGATAAAGAAAATTTCCTATGCTTATCAATTACGATAACTTCATTCTCTGAACGCCTGTGGCCACACTGACCTTGATATCGATACATCGATACATTTCAATCAGCTGATGTTGATACAAGGAAGAAAGTAAATAAACGAAATGGCATTTTGCATTGCAGTAATTGGCAAAGATGTAAGTTGTTAATATTCGGTTCTTTTAGAAATATAAACATCTTTCTGACTTGCCTAGAATGCGCCCATGTACCTGACCACCTCTGACATGGAACAGGAGCTGGATTTGCAGTACCATGTTCATGCAGCACTGGACGTTGTGGAGGAGAAGTGCCTGATTGGAAAAGGAGCTCCCGATTCAAAGGAGCTCTATCTAGGACTGCTCTACTCCACCGAGAACCACAAAATGTACCTAAACATTGTATTGATTTAGCTAGGTTTTACTTACAGTCTAAGGTGTTTGTTGTCGTTGCAGTTATGGTTTTGTGACAAACTCCAGAGTGAAGCTCATAGTGGTCATCGACTCCAGTAACGTTGCCCTCAGAGAGAACGAAGTGCGAGCTGTAAGTTAAAGTTCTTCAGTTTGTTTATATAGTTTCATTATTGTTCCCCCCCCCAGATCTTTCGTAATCTGCACATACTTTACACAGATGCCGTTTGTAATCCATTCTACATTCCCGGCGAGCCGTTGGCTTCCAAGTAAGATATGCTTGCCACATTGGATTACCTTTGATTTTCTCACCTTCTTAATTTAATTTACAGAAAATTTGATCGTGCAGTACAAAAACTAATGAGCGGAAATGCTTAGATTTTAAGTTAAGACCGATACCCTACAATAAAACTAATTATCCAACAGTGGCTTGTGAACAAACATTTTCTCCGGGCAGGGCAGGTCTGGGCTGAGCAGAGCAGAGCGTGGGATGTCAAGGTGGCCTGGCCAAGTGTCCGCCCCGAAGCTAGTATCGATTTTAAGAAATTCAAATAAATGATACGCACAAAACGGAAACCGGTCGCTGGTTAGTCGAATATTATGCTAATACTATATTTTTGATGAAAATAATTCGAGAATTAATTATATCTTTACAATGTGTCTGCTAGTTGACACATAGTTAATGTCTCCGTGTCAAACTCGTCTTCCGTCTGTTTTTTCTTTTGGCTTTGTTATGAGCCCGGCGTGCTCTTTAACTAAACAGCAATGGCGAGACACACATAAACATGTATTTTGGCTTATCTTATGCATAATTAATGAAATTAAATCCTCCGCGTCACTTGACTTGAACTTGGGCGCCACCGACGAAGATGTTTCGGTAGCATCTCTAGCATATAAAAAGCCGGCCATAGATTCACATCGATATCAGTAAGCCTTCTCAAGTCTTCCTACAAACAACATGAAGTTCTTCGTAAGTCACTCAAAAATAATCCAATCTCCAAAGGATAAATATCTGATTGGTTCTCTTAATCTACTATAGATTGCTTTCGCCTGTCTGCTGGCCGTGGCCTGCGCCAACGAAAATGCCAACGTTCTCCGCAGCGATGCGGAAGTTAACGTAAATGACTTCAAGGCTGTTCTTGAACTGGATAACGGTGTGAAAGTTGAGCAGCAAGGTGAATTGCATGGTGAAGAATGGATTGTGAAGGGTGACCAGGCATGGATCTCTCCCGAGGGCGAGCAGGTCGCCCTCACCTATGTTGCCGATGCCAATGGATACCAGGTTCTGTCTGCCAACCCCCCTCTGCCCACCCCACCCCCAATTCCAGAGGCCATCCAGCGCTCTCTTGAATGGATCGCTGCCCATCCCTCCAAGGAGGCCTAAGTTATGTTTGCCAAAAATAAAAAGCATTAAAAATTAAAAAAGCCTAATGTGTTGATTTTTTATAAAAAAAAGGATCATCTTGAATTAACTAACTTAAGTCAAGGCCTAAAACATGTTTCTCTAAGGTCTCTAAAGGTCAGGTCAGAAAACAGCCATGATAATGAATATTAATATGATTAGTTTCGACAGTTGTCCATTATTGATGTTTTGGCCCTGAACTTGGGAATACGGCATTCAAGTTTCATTACTTTTGGTTTTAGGGCTTTAGTTTTCAGTTGAAGATCTCTGGAAATTCTTCCAGTGTAGAGACATTTAAGCTAGCCCTATCCATTCACATAATCAGGCTCTTTGTTGTCATAAAAGATGATGCAAATGCTATGATCGCAGCCGTAGCCACTCGAAATGTGCGATGCCGGAGTATGCCACTGCAATTATGACAACGGGCAAAGTGAATGCCATCGTCAATTACCCGGCGATGCTGTCGAGTGAAACCAGGGGCAAAATTAAGAGTACCCCAGCATCCAAAGTGGCGACGATCAAGGCTAGACCCGACCTCGCCGCCACACAAATGTCAGAATAACATTGAAAAGCTTGGCACTCGCTCCGGTTACCGATGCCGCCAAAATCCATTGATTCTTGGCTCTGATTCTGGTTATAGTTCTGGGTCGCTGAGGCTAATCGCTCTGGAAGTTCGACATGAAAACGCTGACAGACTGCAAGCGATGAAAACAAATTTTCACAAATGATCGATTGAGATGCTAGTCAACAAGCCCATCCATGCTGACAAGCGATCAGGAGAACACTGAAGGAAAAATGCTTACTCAAACTGAAAACCTATAATCTATAATTTTCCAAAAATTTCTTAAATTTTTGTAGCCATACCATAGAGACTACCTCAAACATCAATAAGTGCAATGGAATATCTTTTCTGAATTTCTGAAATTCTTTCGCTCAGCTGCTGTCTATTAGTAATGGCGTGGCATTCTGATATATGCTTCCCATACATTATCTGCTAATAATTTAATAACAACATAAACAAATGGTCAATATGTCACTGTGACGTCAACTTTTGGCGGCTGCTTTGGCTGGCGCTGTCATAATTCGAAAACACCATTTGGTTTCCTCAATTTTCCCAATATTCCATGGCTTTATAAACAAAAACACAGACACACGTTGTAGAAATGTATGCCATTCCAAATGGTTATTTTATTAAAATGTATAAATCAATTTGCATAGCATCATCATCATCATGGTGGCATTAAACAAAGCGAAAATTAATATTATGCCTGATATAAATTTGAATAGATATACCGTATATATGTATACCTATATCCTATACCGTATAGGAAGCAGAATCGCAAGAGACAATATTCGAATCGTTTATAAAAATGTTTTAGCACGTTGTCTGTTTGATATTTCCACAAAACGTATTTGGTATCTGTGTGCGGTTGGAATGATTCCATCCACCTAATTTATACCGATCTTTAATAGCTCGTTAATTTGATCGAGTTATAAAACGATTTTATGGGACTGTCGTGATTGATTCATAAAGCGTGTCACCCGCTGTGCATTGGAAAATGTGATCAGTTTTGCTCCAATTATGAAAGATATATGATACATACATTAAATGAGCACCACTTAAGCGTACACTGAGCGAAAATCGAAGAACTCTATATCACTTTATTGTTTTAGTTTTTTATTTGATTATTTGGCTTGGAGGTGGAAACACCAGTTCCGCATCTACTCTTCCTTTTTTTGTTAAAAAATTTACCCGTATCTAACAAAAGAATAGATAAAGATAAGTTTATTAAGACCGAGTTAATTTAAGACTTTTTTTAAGTCATTAAGCGAGTTTAATTTAAATGAACGATGACAGCGCATGTGGAACAGGTTTATCATCAACCTGAGATATGGAGATTTTTATCATCATTTTATTGGCTTCTGGATGGATTCCGAATATTTTGGTAGTAAGTAAATAGGCACTTATTTTCTTCAGTGTTGATTAAAAATAGTCATTGTTAAGCTTAGCAAACCACTACAATATTGTATTGCTCTTCCGATGGGTGGGTGGTTCCATTGCTGGTATTGGTGTTAGTATCTGGTGGCCAGCCGCAGTAAATACGGTCAATGGTTTTACAGTTCTTTTCACCCACCCACCACCCTCCCGCCATCCTGCTCCCTCACTTTTTTCCTTTTTGTTTCACTTCAAAAAAAAAATTAAAAACGAATTTTAAGTTTTTTCCACGTACGCGTATGTATGCTTTTGTTTATTTTCTCTAATTTTATTTTCGAAATGCTGCTGAAAACCATAAATTAGCTTGTTACTTTTGGAATGCCCGGCGATGTGGCGGTGTGGGTGGTGTGTGGGGTGTGTGGGGTGTACGGTGTGTGTGTGTGGGTGAGGATGATGGCCAAAGAGCGCAATGAAGAAGTGGTTTTTTCGAAATTTTCAGTCGTTAGCGGAGATCGATCTGGTGAACAACTAGCACAGGATTCAACATGGAGAACATTGTGAGTGGAATATGGATTAAGGGCCCGTATTCTTCTTCAAGGATATATGGATATATTATCAACTATTACCAATTATCAATTATTATCAATAAAATTTCTCGATTTTCGTATTCCAGGATGAGGATCTGACCCCCGAGCAGATTGCCGTTCTGCAGAAGGCATTCAACAGCTTCGACCACCAGAAGACCGGCAGCATTCCCACCGAAATGGTTGCCGATATCCTGCGTCTGATGGGTCAGCCCTTCGACAAGAAAATCCTCGAGGAACTGATCGATGAGGTCGATGAGGACAGTAAGTCATCAAAATTGATCATTTTTTAAACTCTCAGTTGACCTTTGTGTGACTTGCAGAGTCTGGTCGCCTGGAGTTCGAGGAGTTCGTCCAGCTGGCCGCCAAATTCATTGTGGAGGAGGACGATGAGGCCATGCAGAAGGAGCTGCGTGAGGCCTTCCGCCTGTACGACAAGCAGGGCAATGGCTACATTCCCACCTCCTGCCTGCGCGAGATCCTGCGCGAGTTGGACGACCAGCTGACCAACGAGGAGCTGGACATCATGATCGAGGAGATCGATTCCGACGGCTCCGGCACCGTGGACTTTGATGGTGAGTCTTCTCCTTCCGATTCCCACCAATTAGCCGCCGTCATTCGGGCGATAAAATACTCGAATTCCCTGGCCGAATGCCAAGGCATTTGCCACACAAATTATATCAATTTGTTGCGGGGCTAGCCCCTCGTCCATGCCAGCCATGGAGCTGCCCTTGTACCACCGATTATTTTTAGACATTTGTATAGGTACACAAAAAAACAATAAGATCACTTTCAGCCAGAAACTAGAAGATTACACCAACAGGAAATTATTGTAGAATAAATGTCTTTATTGTCTGGTTTTTATTTTTTGAAAATTTTAATTACTCTTTTTTAATGATCTCATGATAAAGAGTTATGACTCATAAATAGAATCGGAAAGTTTTCGTTTTATTTAACCAAATTAAAATCATATTAAATCTTGACATTTTAAATACAAATCTTCAGCACATTCGAGTCTTAGAATCATTACAAATGTATGGAATTGTTTGGAGTTCTCCTCAAACTGCCATATAAAATAAACATAAAAGTATACCATAAATTTTCTTGAATAGCTAATACTTTTGTACCTTGAGTATTCTTCCATTTATTTCTCTTTAAGTGAACAAAATTTAGGCCAAGGAATATTACTTTCAAAAATAACAAAAAAATAATCATAAAATTTCAAATAATACCTTTAAAAAATAATATTTTCCCGCTCTTCTTCTATTTGCAGAATTCATGGAAATGATGACTGGCGAGTAAGCGTATTGGACCCATCTCATCCTATTTAATGTCTATACCCGAACCCCGAGGCTTGAATAAACGTTTTCTATTTTATTTCTACAATTGAGTAATCATAATTACGCTATAAATAATCCGCTTATACAGGAACTAAGTACGAGCTGTAGAAAAACCCATTCTGTGCCGTGCATCTGCATCCGAGTTGAGTCATTTTAATTGCCGCCCTCTAGCTACAGATTATTATTTTCGATTTTTATGCAATGGGCTGGGTTGAGGGGGCGTGGTCGCCGCCCGATTATTTGTGTGTTAATTTGGCAAGGCCATGGCGTATGAGTGATGCATGTTGCGCATACGCAGTGTGGCCAATTGTTCTTTTTTTCCATCGTTGTTTTTTGTTTTGTTTCACATTTTTTTTGATTGTTGCAAGTGCGTGCAAATTCCTTTTGCCACATGGCTGGCGTTCTGGTCCGCGCAGCTGTGCCCCAGCCACCTCGATTCATCCCCACCAAGAATTCAAAAGCCCATTGCCAATCTGCAATGTTTTTATTTATTTTTTTTACCTGCCTTTCTAAACGGCTAAATGTCAATGAGCATTCTCCATGTCGCACGGCTGTCTGCCAAAAGATGTCAAGCATTTTCGCTAAACTTGGCCCCCGAAACATGCAGCCAATTTCCCAAAACATACAACAAAAAATCCACAAAAAAAAAATAAAAGAGGCAACTGCCCTTTTTGCAAAGTTTAAAAAGGAGAAGGGGCATGGTAGATGGATGTTGTTGCCACCAAGTGGAGCAACTTGTTTTTCGCAATGGTCGGTCGGTAGGTAAGTCTTTTGGCCAGAGGGTGTCGATATTAGTGGTATTTATTATACAGTTTCAAATCGAGTTTTCAGCTTAGGTGAAAGGTCAGCAGGCTGGACGCCCTGTGAAAGACACTGGAGCTCATAGACTGTTTTAGCCAGATTTATTGACATCCGTCTGGGCAGACATGATTAGGAACATCAGTATATGCGATTCTTGACGCCAAGCGCATTAAAATTGTTTCCCAAACGTGCAATTGAATGGAGATGAAGCTGAATTGACGATGATGCGCCCAACCGTTGAGAGTTTCGATTGGATTTCAATTTACGAGCAGCACGGCAGCAAGTTGCTAATTTTTTTGTATTTTTTTTTCTGTTAGCCAGGGAGAGATGTGGCTGAGAAGAGCGTTTGTTTAACAAGACAAGGTACATTGAGTAAACGAGATGCCGCTGTTTCTGTAAAGACAATAGTTGAATCTCGATGCACCAGCAGCCGACGCCGCCGCCGCCGCCTCCGCCTCCGCCCCATCCCCGGCATCCCTTTTGCGGCATGCAATTGTTTTTGCCGCTCCAGCTGGGGGGAACTGCAACCAACACAGCTGCACACGATTGCAATAAATGCCATAAAGTATCAAAATCTCAGCACTCGCTCAGCTCCGGCTTCGGCATCAGCCTGTGCTATACAGCTACAGCGTTTTCGTTCATTCCATTCCATTTGATTGCATTTGGCGCCAAACCAAGTATAAAAGCTGGAGAACCTGGGCTGCATCGGCACATTAGTACTGTGACAATCGAGGGCCACATCTTGCACTGCCACTTGTAAACGAAGGACTCGCCAGGATTAGTTACAAGGATTTTCTTACAACGGAAGGAGTTGTTTGCGGAAAGGTCCTATCTCTGACTTTGGGATTACAGAGAGAGTGCAGCGATGGCTCTTAAGTGGGTAAGTTTAGTGGCAAAGGATAGTGATCACAGTGCCCATCTTAAATAAAAGTTTTAAAAACGAATTTAAGGATAATTTTGAACTAGGATTTTATTATATAATGTGATTCAGAAAAGTGACTTTTTAGTTGTGATTTGGTTGTGATTTAATGGTTTCATTAGCCAAGTGATTAAAATTTAATGAAGTTTTACAAATTCCAAACAATAAGGCCTTAGGTAATTAAAGTGGTAATGACTTTTTCAATATAAAAACTCAAATATTTTACTAATTTTTTACTACTGTACCACTGCTAGTTTAGACTAATACCACAGGATTCATAGTTAGGAATGAATGCTTAAGAACATTAACAAAAGGTTAATAGATACTAATAGAGACCCAGAGGCCCCATACAGATACCTCTTAAAAAAAGACTTAAACTCACCAAAAAGGGATTTCCCAATCCCTGTTAGCATATCACAATTGTCTTAAAAAGATCAAAGTGGCCATCCCCCCAAACCGCCCACGGAAAACGCATAAATTAACAGTCCATTGGCAATCGGAGATGGATGATGGCACGCAAAGTTGCCCAAGTGCTCCGCCTCCTCCTCGGGGTCGTGTAATCCCCCGCCTCCAAGGCCCAGAGATAATCCAAATTGAACCAGTGGCGACCCAATTGGCAGCCCATTTGCAATTACTGCAATTATATTTGCAAGTAAGTAAGCTGCTGGGTGGCTTCGTTTTCGTTTTGGGTCTCCAGTTGCGAAATTCTGTCGAAGATGTCTGCCGAGGTGGTCACGAAATTCGGATCCCAGACTCTATTCGGTTGCATGTGCAACCACTGACTCATCCGTGGCGGTGGCAAATGTCAGAATTTCCATTATTTCATTATTATACAATATTATTCAGGTGCAAAGCGGGGCGACAAGTGAGCTCATCGATGAAGCTGTTAGTTTTATGGCCAAAAAGGCCCGTAAACGGTTTAAACTTCAACTTGAAAGCTCCGTTTACTTAACCTTCCCCACCGTACAAAAACCCCATCAATGGTTCACACGGTGTTGCATCTTCACTGCTGCTCCGGTCGCCAGTCCTCCGGTGGCAGCAGACACATCTTCTCTCTAACAAGAAGTCCATAAATATCAGAGTTCGCCTCGAGCTGCGACAACTTGCCAAGTGATGATGACGACGTTGATAGTTCCGCGCACATTACCAGCCTTAATGGGCGATCGCCGATCCGATTCGACGGCAACAATGGAAACGTGAGCGGATCGGATTGCGCTCCGTCAATGGGCGAATAGTTCATTCATGGAAATGGAAATGGCCGACATTTGGCAGCACTCTTGACCCCAATAGAGGTTACAACAAGGTGATCTTAGACGCCTTGATGAGAAAGAAGTTCCAGGGAAAGGATTATGAATTACTGTTCTTAATAGTCAGACTATTCCATTTATTAAAAATATGTAAAACTTTATGGGATTCAATTCAAATACATTATTTCAATTAATCTATATTTCTCACATAAAGATTTCAAAGAATTTGCATTCTAGAATATTTCATAGTTGCAACATGATCTACTGATATTGTGGGGATCTACCTCCCCACATTTGATTATAAATTCAGTTATGCCGAACTATGATGACTTTTAACATGTCTAACCCGTCTACAAACAACCAATATGAGGACCAACCAATATGTTCCCGCGGGCCAGGTCGAAGCGTGCATCGCGATGGCAATTACGGGATTTGTGTGAACTTTACATATTTTGTTTAGTATTAGTATGAATTTTGTCTCCACTTACTTGACTTTTTTGTTATGTTAATGGTATCTGAGTGATAACTATCACAGTAAATCTAGAGGATCCTAGAAAGATCGTTCAATAGGTTAATAAGAGGTATGTTCCCCATTAGTCATATTAATGGATGGTTTTTTAAAACCTCTTTAGTGACATATTTCTGATTATTTGTGAGCATACCCAGGAGATTGGGTTGGTATTCAACACTTAAATTATTTTTTTACACCTTTTAAACACAGTTTTTTTTTTATCGAAATACATACCTGTATTTGAAGTTGGCCCTGAACCCTATAAAAGGCAGCCTCTGGAGATTCTAAATTCATTCGGTGGTCAGCCTTCAACCAAGAATCAACCTCTTTTCTTTTCTTATTTTTTATTTTTGGTCTTTTTTGTCTTCTTATTTTGTCCTTTTATTTTATTTTTAAATTTGATATTGAGCACTCGCTTTATTTTGGCGTTCCAACAAGACAGACCACATAAATGGCTTATTCTTTTTATTTTATTTTAACTATTTAATTTTTGACTTACCATGGACCTTTCTGAATGAGCTTTGAGCTCTGAAAAGTTTCTACTATTTATTCAATGGAAGAGTCGGAGGTAGATGATATTTTACGCCGATTTATTTTAATCTGATTTCTTGCTTTTCATTTAAATTTTTTTTATTTAGGAAAGGTTTTTTTGATTATTGTGGTTCCCATGTCTGGTTTTGGTTCTCAGGCATCATTCGTCCACCAAGGGCTTCTTTTTATTTTAATTTTTGATTTATTAAAACTTTTTTTTTTTAAATAATCCAAGTTATATTGTATTCCATTGGTTCTTCGTCGACTTTTATTTAAACGGCCGATTTATTTGATCTGATTTCCTGCTTTTTATTTAAATTTTTGTATTTAGTAAAGTTTTTTTTTATTATTGTGGTTTACATGTCGGATTTTGGTTCTCATGCATCATTTTGAAAATTTTGAAAAAAAAATTTTTTTTTTTAAATAACCCAAGTTATGTTGTATTCCCTTGGACTTTTATTTAAACGGCTAGTCCTTTGTTCGTAGTTTATATACCCGGTACTCGAAGAGTAAAAGTTAAATTTTATTTAAAACTGTCACTGACAACTGTTAAATTTTTTTCGTAACAAACTATTTATTCGAAAATAGTTCGTTTCTAAATTTTGATGCAGATCTATACTGCGATCTACGAATCGTTTAAGGTACCCCGAAGGTTGTTTGAAGGGGACCCCCTAGAAAATTTAACAGAAAATCTAAAAAATATTCCGTTTATAGATTTTGACGCAGATTTATAGAGAATTTGCTACCGGGTATAATACCGTCGAGAAACTCGATTATACCCGATCTTTCTTTTTTTTTTTGTAATTTTTTTTTGTTCTTTCCGAATAAAAGAAAGGTTCTTATTTTTTTTTCTTCTACTTTTTATTACTTTGTTGTACCTATTTACATAATAGTTTCGACCTCAAACATGCCAGCGGAAAGTAATAAATGCTCGAATACTTCTATTAATAATTCCCAGGCTCTTTTGGTTGCAACAGTGACGCTGACTCTGACACAAGCAGCGAAGCTGGACAACAAATACCTGCCCCCACCTGCAAGTGCCGCCAGTGCAGGCGGCAGTCCTGGGGCGGGACTCCAAGGACCAGGAGGAGGTTTTGGTGGCGGCGGCGGAGCTGGTGGCTTTGGAGGCGGCGGGGGACCTGGTGGATACGGCGGTGGCACCGGAGGTGGAGCTGGAGGCTTTGGTGGTGGCAACAATGGACTTGGTGGTATCAACAATGGCCTTGGCGGCTTCTCCGGTGGCGGCGGCCCCAGCAGACCCATTGGGCCAGCACCTGCTGCGCGCCCAAGTGCTCCGGCTGGTGGCCCTCCGGCGGGTCCACCAATACCCATCCTCTCGTTTGTGAACGAAAACGATGGCGATGGAAACTATCGGTTTAGCTACGAGACTGGAAACGGCATCAAGGCCCAGGAGGAGGGCACTGTGAAGAACAAGGGTTCCGAGAACGAGATCCCTTCAGTTATGGGCTCGTATTCATACACGAATCCAGAGGGAGAGTTGGTCGAGATCATGTACACTGCGGATGAGAATGGTTTCGTTCCCTCGGGTAGTGCACTGCCAACTCCGCCACCCATTCCGGAGGCTATTGCTAAGGCTTTGGCGGCGCAGGGCATCTCCGCACTGCCGGGTGGCGGCTATAGTGGCGGTGCTGGAGGTAAGCTTTAAAATCTGTACTAAATAATTTTTAATAAACATTTATACTTATTTCCAGGCGGAGGCGGCGCTGGAGGAGGAGGTGGCTATGGTGGTGGTGGCGCTGGCGGCGGTGGAGGTCGGGGACCAGGTGGCCCTGGAAGCTTTGGCGGTGCTGGTGGCGGAGCTGGCGCTGGAGGATACGGCGGTGGAGGTGGTCGTGGCCCTGGCGGACCAGGTGGACCTGGAGGCTTTGGCGGAGGCGGTGCTGGATACGGCGGAGGCGCAGGTCGTGGTGGTGCCCCAGGTGGACCTGGAGGACCAGGTGGACCAGGAGGCTATGGAGGTGGAGCTGGTGGTGGTGCCGGTGGCGGTGGAGGAGCTGGCTACGGTGGAGGCGCAGGACGAGGTGGCGGTCCAGGTGGACCTGGAGGCCCCGGTGGACCAGGAGGATTCGGCGGTGGAGCAGGTGGCGGAGGAGGCGCAGGATATGGCGGTGGAGCTGGTCGTGGCGGTGCTCCAGGTGGTCCAGGAGGTCCAGGTGGCCCAGGAGGATACGGCGGTGGAGCTGGAGGTGGTGGAGGAGCTGGATACGGTGGAGGCGCAGGTCGTGGCGGTGCTCCCGGTGGTCCCGGAGGTCCAGGAGGACCAGGAGGCTTTGGCGGCGGCGGAGCTGGTGGCGGAGGAGGAGGCTACGGCGGTGGAGCCCCAGGGGCTCCCGGTCGTTCCGGTGCTCCAGGTCTCCCAGGTGCTCCAGGTGGTCCTGGTAAGTCATTTTTCTTTCAATTAAGAAAATCTTCTGAAATATCAAATTATCCTTCAAAGGTGGTCCTGGAGGCTCTGGAGGATTTGGTGGTAGCGGTGGAGCTGGTGGTGCCGGAGGCTATGGCGGTGGAGCCGGACGTCCAGGTGGACCCGGAGGTCCTGGTGGCCCCGGGGGTCCTGGTGGTCGACCTGGAGGCTCCCCTGGATTCCCTGGCGGTCGTCCTGGCAATCAGTATGTACCACCTCCAGCGGGTGGTGGCGGCGGTGGGGCTCCAGGAGCTCCTGGCAGGCCCGGTGCTCCAGGTGGTCCGGGTGGTCCTGGCGGTCCTGGTGCTCCGGGTGGACCTGGATCCCAGTATGTTCCTCCACTGCCCGGAGCCGGTAGCCCAGGACGCGGCAACGGGGAGTTCAATCCCCAGACAGGCTATAGCTATTAAACCCGACAAAGACACTCTACTCTCATTAAAATCTCTCGGATCGAAGAAATCTCAGTGCAACGCAAGCTGCCCCAAATCCTCTTTCTCTTCCCCCTCCTGCCCTCACCCGCAAAAAATGGTTAAATTATTTATGTAAGATTTCCCGAAACCTCTTCTGTTTTTTTTCCGTGACAATGTGAGCAAATTTCAAAATAAATGAATTTTTTAAATGGATATGAGTTTGTTTTTTTTTTTTAAGATAAATGTTTTGATTTCCGAAGGATTTAAGTTTTTTAAGAAGAATAAAAGAAAGCAGTATATTGACTTTTCTGTTGCATGTATTTCATGCCTTTGAGTTGTGACTACATCGAAGACTAAATGAAATAATTGTTTCAATGGAAGTGCCCCGATCATTTCTTTGGTGACTTCTTGAAGCGTCGGCCATACTGGTTATAGCCATATGGGTCCACCAATTGACTGGGTCTGCCTCTTAGTTGTTGGGTTATAAGAGCCTGTTGCTGCTGCTCATTCTGTTGCTGCTCTTTCTGCTGTTGCTGCTGTTGCTGTTGCTGTTGCTGCTGCTGTTGCTGGTTGAGGTTTTGCTGCTGCTGGGTCGTAAGATTACTTCCGAAATGCTGGCCAAATTGTCCGGCATATTGCCCGGAGAGGTGTCCGGCGTGCAACTGATTGAACGGCTGATCTGGCTGATATTGTCCAGAGTTCTGTTGCTGTTGCTGCTGCTGGAAGTTTCGTTGTTGCTGCTGTTGCAGCTGATTCTGTTGTTGCTGCTGCAATGGATTCAATGGCTGTTGGCCAGGGAGCTGCGGGCGAAAGGGGGCGTTGGGCAGCGGAGGTGGCAGTTGCCGGAAGGGAGTCTGGTACGGATTTAAATTGGGATTTAGAACACCTTGCTGATACTGTTGGGCACCCAGAAAGTACTGCGGGGAGGCAGGAATGCCAGTTCCTTCCGCTCGGAATCCATTCTCGTCGGCAATATACCGAACCGTAATGGGAGTACCCTCCGGGGAGGTGTACGAATAGGAGCCCTGGATGACCTAAAGGGACAAGGAATGTTATAAAAAAATACAGGTTTAATTGCTAAAGTTGAAAAGAAGACTTGAAGACAAACCCACCTGAGCCTCAACTCCTTCTCCATAGCCCAGATTCTTGACATATCCCTGCGCCTGTGCTGTGGTTCCATCGGCAGTCGAGTATCCATAGGAGAAACTTCCATCCAGGTTGAGCTCGTTCTGGTAGGCAGTGATCGGTACATAGTTTTGATTATATTGATTATAACGATTATAGGGATTCTGCAGGCCAGCAGCTCCGGTCAGAGCAGGAGCCAAAGGATTGGCCAGCGGGTTCAAAGGATTCCTCTGGCCCGGAAATAGTCCTTGGCCCTGAACCGGATTGGGCTGGCGTCTTTGAAATGGATTATTCTGTTGCTGTAGAGGCTGGATCGGCTGCAATGGTCGCTGTCCTTGGAATCCTGTCCCTGGCAACTGGGCTCGACAAGCCGATAGCCAAAGACTGGCCAGCAAACAGGCCACCCATCGGAGGTGCCTCGCGGTGGACCGGGGATAGCGGGGTCTGGACATTTAGCCTGTCAGTGGGCGGTGGATCATAAATCTCGAGAAATTACACGCTCGATAAATTCGACGACGTCTCACTTTCGCACTGAATTATAGCTGGGAAACACACAACCGATTTTCAGATCTCAAGTCACTCGGAATATCACTGTTTGAAAGCCGTGCCACGACTGCAATTGCTATTCTTACCGCTAGCCGTATTTATGCGATTTCATAGTGATGTTGCCATATACCTATGTCGGTACATATAGCGGAGTAGGCCCTAAAGCTTACTTCCAGCGTAAAAACAATCGACCCAGCGACCTGGCCGCTTCCTGTGCACATTACTGGAAAAAAAAATATATGAAGCCAGAACCAGGTCCAGTGTAATTTATCTGCGTGTTAACAAGCCGCTGGCTTGGCAGCTTTATTGGTTTTTTATTGGCCATTGACAGAAGGACAAACGAATTTCGTTTGGCTGATTGATATCTTCATGGTGGCCTGGCCCCGTACTCTAATCTTCGGCGCACTTGTTTATGATGCAGGGCTAACGTATGCAAATTCTTGGCTTTTTGCTCCAGCACTTGTCTTCTCATCTGCCTCGAAGGTGTTTGTGTGAGTTATGTGCTGGAACTCGGCTTCAGCTGGTGGTCAAGGTGCCAGTCGGACCTCAACCCGATGCAAAAGCATCATTTACCAAAAGCATATCTCTATCTCCAGGATAGCCTGAGAGTTTTGGAGCCGTAGGTGATCCATTGTTTTTGGATTTGTGTATTTGCACGCTCCAGTGGGGTTATTCATCATGAGCAATCCCCCGCACGTCGAGGTGTGCTGCGTTTGCAGTCACTCATTTATAATTGCCTCGTATCTGACAGATACTTTTCACCCGTTCTCATTTGTCATCTGTTCGAGCTGCCATTAAAATTCGAACATGTCTTATTCCATGTTCCAGCTTAAACTATAATTGCCTTATGCTAATTTCTGATGAGGTTTTCCAGGGCTAGTCAGGGTCAACGATATTGCCAAATCATGTTGGGCTTGTTAAGTATTATTTTTGCAAAATGTAATTATAGGTTTATCATGGAGTGTGTTGATGGTTAAAAGGGTAGTATGAATTTTCTTAAAATTTTCTGAAGTGGTTTTTGTTTTTTCTAATCTAGCCTAGATGCATGCAGTAACTTAAAAATTATGGTTTTTAATAGCCAGCCTAAAAGAAGGCTACTAAATAGGGGAAAGATAGGTTCCACATTAGGCCAGAAGAACATCATAATGCCCTGCAGCTACTTGGTTATTTTATATCAAACTTAAAGTAAACTTAAAAAGTAACTATGGGCTAAACATACTTATACACTTTATATTTTATTTATTATTTTCACATTATATTATAAAAATGTTTTATTTTATATTGCAAAGCAGCAGTTTCCACGATTGGCATCTTAAATATGATTTATATTACTTATTTTAATTATAGTTTTAGTATAATATCATTTATTTTTATTACCCAAACCCTAATAGCCCAAATTAATCATATTATTAGAGATAACACCTTGATTTAATTATTATATAATTATTGGACTGCCCCCATTTATTTTTACAAATTAACCCCATAAGTTATTCATCTGCGAGTGCCCAATATTAATTATACTTTTGTGTTTGCCCCACATTGGCCAAGAGTGGCAAGATTGATTTGCCATTTGAATAATTTACCAAAAAAATAAAAGGAAAAAAACTGGAAGACAAAGCGCCGAAATAGAGCCCAAGTGAATGATGATGCCGGGGAGGAGTATGGCGTATGGGGGATGGGGTATACGAATAAAAAATGGCTCGCCAAATTTATGCAGAAATGCGAGACAACACCGTGTTGTGGCTCGATGAGCAAACCGCATTAAAGCCGGGTCGGGTCGGACACTCCTCCCACGATTCCGACTGCAGCATCGTATTGTCAGAGCCTCAAATTCAAGTTAGAGCCAAAGTTGGACAGCAACGAATGCGACGATTATTAATAGACCATGGCCTGAAAGTTGCACTGCATCTAGTGATGTTTCAAATGTTTTCCAGTGCAGTTGGGGCTTTGACATTTCGTAATTCCATTAACTAGAAATTATGACCGCCAGCGGGGCTAATTGATTTACTTTGTGGCTGTGCGTAGTTCGACTGCTGATTCTTGCCGACTATCTGGCTGTAAGGCTTCTGGTTCCGGCTGGTAGATCTTGGCTAAAGGTTAATGTGTCGCAGCTCTGAATTATGACCTCGCTGGCATTGCAGCTTCCAATCTACATTAATGAGTTTCCACTTCTGTGGCAGGCGCGTCAAAAATGCCGCTCAGTAGATAGACACGGTGAGAAATCCTTGAAGTTGGTAGAAAGGGAAGGATCTACAAGGAGGCAAAGAGTGGTCTAGTTTCATGAGAAACTTAGGAAGAGGTTCTAGGGGTTTCTAATACATAGTGCCTCCCCCTTTTTCTTCAAGTGCATCAATTGCAAGAGGGATTCAAATTCGACTCGGCAACTTGGGGGAGCCCCAGAGAATCAATTTATTAACACGTTGCCCGAAAGCCTGGCCAGAGCACTTTGGCAAGTGGAACTGGAAATTGGAACTGGGCGGGCCAAGGCAAATGCCAAAATGCAACTTCTGCCGCAGATGCTGTTGCTTTTGATGCTGCTGCTGCTGTTGCTGCAACATTGCGAAATTGCTGGAAATTATTATTGAATTCTTTTTTGTCTTGGCTGTGTTAGTTTTTGCCATAAATGTTAGCCGCTTCTCACTCTCAATAGCGCCGAGAGGTGCCCACCCACTGTAACAGAAACTCGGAATTCAGAATTCCGAATTGGAATTTGCATGGAAGCGATTTGCAGCCAGTCAGCCGTTACCATTTCTGCACCTTTCGCTTGCCACAATGCCACACAGTCAGCTGTGGAGAATTTGACAAATTTTATTAGCTGCTGCACCTTCTCAGCTGCCCCCACACAACTGTGGCATATGTAAACGATGCTATCTGCATTGTAAACATGACAGTTTATCTGGGCGAAACTACTACTAATGGGCATTTGAATTGCAAATCTATGGATCAACGAACTCTTTTGTGGCTTAACCCCCAGAATACTCGCTTTGCTACTTTCTACTGACCTCAAAAGCATTCCAGATTGCATAACAATGGCTACACAGAAACCAAAGAACTAGATTAAAAAGAAAGTCCGGTTAGCATTTCTTTCTTTGATATATTTATAGGTCCTACAGATACTCTTTCAATACACTATTAGGTTTTGATTTTAAAGAGGTAGCAACAAAAAGCTTCTATTAGGAAATTAATAACATTAATCATTTAAGGCCTTGATGTCTAAATTACATCATTCTTATACCAAAAAAATTATCTTTTTTTCCGTGTAGAAAGAAATGGCCAACTGTTTTGGAAGTCCAGAGTGCTATAAAAAGCGCAGAATCTTTTGTCCGCGCCCAGTATTTGCATAAATCATGTTCGCATTGGTAAGTGGCTAGCCACGCTCAAGTCGTATGATAACTGACTCCTCCGTTCTCCACCAGTTATGGATCTTGGCCTTTAGCCAACTTCTTTGGAGTTGGCCCGCTGAGAGTGCTGCCATTGATGGACCAAAGCATCAGATCTTCAAGCAAGAACTGGATGGCTCCTATTTCTTCTTGTACGAGTCGCCCAATGGCAGTTATCGCGAAGAGGTCGGAATAGTCAAGGACCCGCAACTGAAAGAATTGGACGGTGATCTGGAGGTGTCCGGCATATATAGCTATGTCGACAGCCAAAGTGGCCAAAAGGTGGAAGTCAGCTACTCGGCAGACGGCGACAATGGTTTCTTGTCTCGAGTCAAGTATAATGTAGAAGCCAGTTGAGACAATTGGCCAGGGGGAAGCTAAAAATAAATATCTATAGAGCCATTAGCTTTGATGGGGCACACATTCCTGCCAAATGCTAGCCAGACGATTACCAAAGCCGGCCGCCGATCCAGGTTTGTGAAAACGGGCCAGTTGAGTGCTCAGTTTTGGAGCCAAGGAGCGGCACACAGAAAAAAATCATAATATATATCAGATACTTATTAAAATAAGACTTATAGTTAAAAAAATATATAAACAAAGATTTTAAATAGATTCTTTATTTTTTAAGATTTTTTTTTTGAGTGCACAGTCCAGCTCATCGTTTGGATATTTAATTTGCGGCAGATTTCGAAAATTAGTTAAGCTGTCAGAGTTATAAATTGTGGCAATAGCTTGCCCTTTTTGGCCAAAAAACTGAAAGCCAAATGTCGTTCGGTGCAGTGAAATGAATTTGTATTTATCACCCGATCGTTTATTATTATAAATTGTTCCTCGCGGAACTACCGATGATTGAATTAATGGCGCCCGAATGCAAATGAAATTACTGATGCGCCCCATCGCGATTCTGAATCGAGTCGTTTGTTGTCAGCCGGAGAAGATGTCGATGCGATCGATTGGATAATGCCCTGGGCGAACTGCATCAGATCATAATATAAATTGCATCAATGCTGACATTTTACACATTTCTGGGATTGGTGTGACTGGATGAGGTGCGACTGATTAATCGCGACACCTGGCTGGCGAGTGGGTGCGATTTCTATGTGAATTATGCAGTTGCAGAGGCTGTTAATGGATGCACTGATCGGTGTCATCAATCCCAAATACAAGACTGACTCACAAGTGCTTTTGGCACTGTGACACATTTTCTTGTCACAAACTAGACTACCGAAAAGACTGACCCACAGAGTGGGACCTTGACATTTAAGCCGAATTGAATATTTGAAGTATTCGGACGTAGCGTCCACATAAAAACGGGATGCAAACATGTTTGGCATGTTTAAAATTTGGCAGCAGGAGTGAGCCACTATAAAAGCCAACTGGCCCAGACGCATTGACTTCACACGCGTTTTAACTCTCGCTTTCTACGCTCCCCCAGACCAACAAAATGAACAAGCTCGTAAGTGGATTATATAATCGGGATATAACTGTTTGAAACTAAGGATAAAATCCTCTTCTAGCTGCCCCTCTTCGTCCTGGCTGCCCTGGCCACCGTTGCCTTTGCCTTTCCCGAGGGCCTTGAAAAGGAAATCATCCCCGTTCTCAAATCAGAGGTTAACAAACGTCCCGATGGATCCTACGATTCTGCCTACGAAACCGGCAATGGCATCGTCCACAACGAGGAGGCTACAATCCAAGACAAGGGCACCGAAGACGAGGCCCTTGAGGTTAAGGGATCCTACAAATACGTTAACGACCTGGGCCAGGAAATCGAGGTGTTCTACACTGCCGGAAAGAATGGATTCGTTCCATATGGAACGAGTATTAACCCTGAAATCACAGCCGTGGCTGAGGCTGCCAAGGATTTGCCCAAGTTACCGGAGAAGTCAGAGCTGCACTAAGCCAAGATCTCTTAGAAGTTAGTTTCCAGCCAACGCGTTGTAAATAGACCAAAAAAAAAAACTATCTGATCTACATTCGAAGCATTTTTTCTCTCTGTGTCTGGGGATTACCTACCAAAAGAGACCTTGAAAACAGAGACTCAACGTTGGCATAGTATCGCCGTCGTCGTCGTCGTCTGGGATTCCGTATGATTAAACACACGTTTGTCCACTTTTGCCGGTACAGTGAGGTCTGCCCTGGGGGCACAATCGAAGCACCTGCTTCAATACTTTATTACATTAGCCATTAGCTTTGATCAACGACACATCGAATTAAACGAAACAAAGACCTAATGAAGAAGCCAAAAGCCAAGGGATCAAAATTGGCCATTTAATGAGGCATAAATCATGTCGGGAATTAGCATAACTAATGGAGAAAGAACGTTTTTTTTTTGGGGGATCGGCACTATTAGCTCACACGCCATATGGATGGATACATTGGGTTTCCAGGAGTATCAGTACGCCCACGTAGAACAGATAGTAAGTCACCAGAAGGAAGCCGCAGGCTCGTCGCATCTTGAAGTTGGTGGTCATGGCGGAGATCAACGAGAAGAACATACCCACCTCCAAAAAGATGCAAGCTGTCTCTCCATACGAACCCTCACTGGGTTGATATCTATCGGGATAGGCCTTAATCGTCTGAAAGAGCAGGGGTAGTGCCAAAAATGCAAAAGTGGCTACAAATATGGATTATTGTCGATGACTAATATTAGATTTAAATCAAAGACAAAACTTACTGAAGACAGGCGAAGAAAAAGTGGCGGTAAAAGCCATTCTGGGCCAACCCTGATGGGCCAGGTTGAGATTGGTGACCAGAGATCTGCTCTGGACAGCCCAACAAATGACAGTGGCGGTGGAGAATTGGTGGCTCATTTGCATGATGGTCGAGAGGGTGAAGAACATGGCATATAGCTCCGATGTAAGGATAAATATAATTAAGATGGAGCCCAAAAACGCAAATATCGATGTAAACTGAAACAATATTTTCTAAAATAAAATCTATGATTATATTGTTTAAAACTTACTCTAAATATTTTTGGTCTTGTATCGGTGCGAGTGCAAAAAAATACGATTACGCTTAGAGGAAACACTGCCACCCAAACGACAAAACATATGGGCAAGTTTATTTTCGGCATCATTTGAACGCGCACAGCCTCACCCAATATATAGGAACAGTAGGTGGGCACCAGGTTAATCTGGATAACGTAGAGGAGCTTGGACCAGCCGTGAAGGGGCTGCTCCACATCCACCACCGGAATCAGTAGACGGAGGGCCATTTCAATGGGCTCCTTGAGTATCAGATAGGCCCTCACCAGGAAGGTGGCCTCCCGGTAGCGGGCAAAATTAAAAAGGAAAATGGATCGCCAGAATTGAAGAAACAGGTGTTTGTTTCGGTGTCCTGAAGTGTGAGAGTGTCGAATCACTGTATGCCGTCTTATCGGAAGCTGAGTCTGCGGCATTAGGTTTTCTAAAAGTTCATTGTCGTAGTCATCGTAGTCATCATAGAAAGAACTTCGCTTTCGCTCGAGAGCTAAGGAGTTTTCGAATGAAAGGCTTGGATTTTCTTTGAATCTGATCAGTAAGAATACCTTTAACTTGGGACTTGAGCAGTTGCTGGTCCACAACAGCCGTGGCGACATAAAAAATGAATATAAGGGCCGCCGGTATTGTGTGCTCCAAGCCGATGCCCTCCCGCCGCTTGTGGAGGTAGTCCATATAGGCGGTGTTCACGAATAGAAAGCCAAAGTCCCGAATAAAGTAATTCGCCTCGACATAGAATGGATTGGTGAGCATCACCAGCCCAGCCACAAAAATGTGCAGGAACATGGTGACGGCGGCGCAGGAAAGGAAGGAGTTGCTGCTGATCGGTAATCCAGCAGCGATGGTTGTGAACAGATCTGGAGATCCATTGGCAATGGCCAGCACAGTAACTCCTGCCGTGCTCTCATTCAGCCGGAGTGCATCCGCAATACTCTTCAAAAGAGGACAGAAGCTTGAATGGTACTCGGAAAGTGATGAGTGTTTCGGCGGTGACTACTTATGTTGGTACTCACTGATGGATTATCGCCAATTGCATCATCCAGAAGATGTAGATCAATAGGATCGCCATAAACAGTACACTCCAGAAGGTGTTGAACTTGTTGCGGGTGTCCAAGTGGCAGTAGTGCCAGTCCAGATAGTTGACCAGATTCATGTTGGAGGTGCAGTCGTTGGTGTTTAACACGTAGTGGCATCTTTGTGGCTCAGGGAGTTGGTTGACATTTATACAAATAGACTCACCCCGTATCATTTTGCTAAAGATTCAGTAAACTTATTTTTAATTCAAATAGAAAAAAACCGATTGAAATACAAACGTTTGCTTTTCTTCCATTACTTTCTTGGGGGTCTTTATTTTAAAAGGTCTTTATCTTTTATAGCTTTATCTTGATTTTTTAATGTAATCTAATATATATGCTTTCTATACCAACTTTGTTGCTTGCGCTGATCATTTATCGCAACCTGATGTCTGCTTAAATTAGCACTAACCATTTAAATAATTATTATTTGTTTTTAGAATGCAGAATAGAGTCCGCATTTCACATGCAGCTGCTGTCGCTCAATAAATTGGTTCAAAGGCGGATTTAAGTTCGTTCGAGATAAGAAATCGTTTTATTACTAGCCAGTTAAATTAGGATTGCACTTGGTTTTAAAATTATAGAATACTTAGTAGCTATATGGCTATAGGGCTAGAGCTTAGGCAGTCTTGGTCTCCTCCTCCACCTTCTTCTCGGCCTCGACGGCGGGCTTGACCTCCGCCTCGGGCACGGCATCGAGCACCACCTGCACGGGCACCACCTGGGACTCGGCGGCCACGGCGTCGGACTTCAGGGCAGGCACCTCCTTCTCCACGACAACCTCTTTCTCCTTGGGAGCAGCAGCAGCAACCTCCTGCTCCACATCCTGGGAGCGTCCCTTGCGGAGCTTGTACTCCTCCTCGGGCACCTTGGGCAGGTCAGCGGCGGCCTTAGCCAGGGCGGTGATCTCACTGGGAATGATGGTGCCCACGGGAACGAATCCATTCTTGCCGGCTGTGTAGTGAACCTCGACGGTGTTGCCATCGGCATCTATGTAGCGGTAGGAGCCGGAAACCTCGAGGGCTTCCTCCTCGGTGCCGGCATCCACGACCACACCCTGTTCCTGGCGGTAGGACTGATCGCCGCCCTCGTACATGAAATGGAAGGATCCATCGGGCTGCTTCTCGGTCTCGAACTTCAACAGTGGCACAATTTCGCGTTTCTCGGTGGTGGTGCTAATTTGGCCAATACTGGCGGCCAAGGCTCCACTGGCCAGAGCGAACAAACAGACGGCAATCTTGAACATTTTTTGTTGGTTTTTGAGTTTGAGTGTTGGGAGAAGGTGTGTGATGCTTTCCTTGGCAATAACCGATGACTGACTTACCACATCTTCTGACCAGGCTTTTATATATCGCCACTTGATGTGCGCAGCAGCCGCGAATTAGCATCTTCCAGTCCATTACGCCACCACCGAAAAAAATCCTAAAACAAAAAAAAATATATAAACTGAAAGAAAAAGAAACAAAACAAATCGTCAAAACACCAAAGAAATTCTATGGAAGCGGGCAGAATGTGATTTAATAAAACACTCACAGCCGAAACGAGATTTGCATATTTATGATTCAGCTTTGTTTCGGAGATCGAAGCGGAGAGGTCACTCCGAAGATGCGGGGCCCTGTAATGAGTGCGAATTTTGGGCGATCCCATAATCCACATACTATGTCGAGTCAAGAGCTTCTCCAAGAATTCCGGCAATAGTTGAAATTCCCATACGAACAGGTTAACAAGACTCACACACGTCATAAACTTGTTTCCAGTTGGCGGTTGGAAGTCGATCCATCACTCGGAATGCCCAAAAAAAAAAAAAGATGGATATCCATGCGAACATCTGATTGATTCCGAATGTTTAGGAAACTGCACTCCATTAGCATATTTAGTGCATATTTGCACACGCTCCAGTAGACAAAGGGGCATAAATTAAGATACATTTGATGTTCGCTTAAAATGCACTCACATATCCAGTTTTCGGATCGCACGCGATCACCCATCACACGGGAAATTGTGTGGTGAAGAAAAAAAAAACTATAAACTGATGGTGAGTAAGCCAATCTCTGTCAAATTGTATGTCAAATGTGAAAAATGTAGTAAACCGACGCTGCCAACGATGGCCGAAAAGCTCTTCCTCTCCGCCAAACTGCAATTTGGCCAAAAAAGAGGAAAAAAAAAAGCAGCGCGAAGGCCAAAACAAAACGCGGGCAACCGCGAAATTGGCCAAGTAACATGGAAAACGTACGAAAAGGAAAACCAACTGAAAGCCAACTTCAAAAAGCAGCTAAAAGCGAGAGGGGGCGGATGGTGTTGGCTGTAATCTCGGGCGATGTTCATCATGTTCGTGATCATCTTCACAGCAGCAAGGTAGTTACACTGAGAAAATTTGTATGTCTTTAGTATTTAAAGCTCATTAACTAGTAAAAACTTTGAATAGGAATTTCTTTTAATGTAGAAATGAAATGAATCCACAGTTACTGGATTTTCCTTGCAGTTATTGCCGTAATTTTTATGAATTGCAACTGACATTTCCTACACGTTGGCAAAGTTTAAAGTTTAAGCCAGAAGTAACCCAAAAAATAAGTTGCATTAGCCGGCCGGCAAAATGGGAACAAAGGGAGCGGAGGGCAGTAGCCTAACTGGTGCAACGGGAGTGGCCTGACCTGGTCAGCGAAATTGGCCAAAAAGGGCAGACTAACCGACTAACCGCAAAATAAGACAAAAGCCTCATAATGCTCTTTAACGATGCATTCAAAATGACAAGTTTGGCAACGCCCCGACCCGCGGCACATTGAAATGTCAATATGAAATGCTAGCGATACTGATACCATCGGCTTGATGTAACCAAATGGCCAATTCATCAAATCGATGCCAATTGCAACATCTGTAATCTTTTAATTAATATTTGACTTAACGAATTATTGCAGCCAGCGGAGCGGGGGCACTAATCAAATGAAGTTCGCATTGCTAATTCCCATAAATTACAAAAAAAAAAAACAGAAAACACGGCGAGAAGTAAGCTGCATACACGGCGTATGCGCAACGCCCATTTGCATTTGAAACTCGTTGCGCATACGCTACGTGGTACAGGTAGTGGGTACTGGAACAGCCACTGGCACCTCTTCCGATTCTGCTGACAAACACTGTTTGTTCTCCGCCCCCTCTCCGAGATGAGGCCCCCATGCCCCGCCCTCCTGCCTAACCCCTCTTGGAACTTCATCTTGTTGCGGATGCTGTCGCTGCTTCGGCCGCTGCTCGGCTGCTGCTGCTGCTGCTGAGATTGTTGCTGCGACTGCTGCGGCTGCTGCAGTGAATGCAATTTCTGTATAAAAACCTTTGTGGCAACTGCAGCCAAGTCAAAGCACTTTTGACGAGCCTCCCAGCGCAGACGGGCAGTTTCATTTAACCGATAATCAAGTCGCGAATTCGAAGTGAGTTTGAGTTCTAATTGTGGTGCGGTATATCCTGTTCGCAGGATTAAAACAAACTGACCAGATCGACTTTAAAGTCACAAAAAGTGAACCAAAGACTCCTAGGCCCTATGTCTGGAATCTTAGGCGACAAATAAATCAAAAGGAGTCATCAAAAAACCGTTCTATTATGGGTTAAAAAAAGGACTAAACATAAATTAAAGGAAAAGTTAATTATCCTACCTTTAAACCAAGAAGATAGATCATTTAAAGAATTATAAGATATTATAGGTCCTGTACATTTTTTACATAGTAATATTTAGGAATTTCTAAAGCAAATATTAAGGACTAAAGAAAAATAAATCTAGAATGCTGTTAAGAAAAATCTAGAAAACATATAAAATAAGTTTAACTAAAAAAAATTCAGAAAGGACATAGAATAGTATAATTGTAGTAAAGAAACTCTAGAAGGACAAGTACAATTCAGAGTATTATAGAACTAGAAATCCATAATTTCTGGAAACATATCAGGAAGATCAGCCAAATTATCCTCCGAGAACTTGTAGTACATTTTGTAAGCTAAAGGGCTTTTTGACCGTATAAGGACTTCCTGTAAAATCCTAAAAAAATAATACTTTCTAATCACCATATATGGATATTATTCCCACGACCTTCGATATCATAATCATCATCAGTCGCAGAACTTTCAAAATCGCTAAAAGCCAATCAGCTAATTGCGAAGCAACGAGTTTGACATTCAAAGACAAAGCCGCCGGCAACTCAATCGAACACCAACGTCGTAAACTTCAGTTACTTACTTATGACTCTATTTAACCACCCACTCCGACTTATTCTTCTCCCGGTAAAGGTCATGCCGCTCACCCACGCCTCCTTTGCAGCCATCGCCCTGGCGCTCTGCTGCCTCAGTTTCGTGCAGGCCCTGCCACAACGTGGACTGCCCCCGCCACGCGGCAACTCCTTCGATGCCAATGCAGTGATACTGAAGCAGAACTTTGACCTCAATCCCGATGGCTCCTACCAGTACAAGTCAGTCTTGAGATACTTTTTATGCAATTGTATCAAGTTTTTTAATTACAATTGCCATTTTAGCTACGAAACAAGCAATGGAATTCGCGCTGATGAGGCTGGTTACCTGAAGAACCCGGGTACTCAGGTGGAAGCTCAGGTGAGTCGACTTTTGGGCCAACTGAGCACCTTCTGTAGCATGCTTTTGGGGATTAACCTTCACAGGTGATGCAAGGCTCGTACTCGTACACCGGACCCGATGGCGTCGTCTACACCATCACCTACATTGCTGATGAGAATGGATACCGCGCCGAAGGAGCCCACATACCCACACCCCCACCTGTCCGCGCTGCCGGCGCTCCTGGACGCTTCTTCAAATAATCATGGACTTTCCACATCCCACATCTGTTCTAAATCTTCATCAAGTTGGCAATCGTATTGTTGTGGGCCCAGATAGTGGGTCTGGCCCGCGAAAAGTGAACCAGAGGCAGAATGTTGAGAAAGGAGCAGCTGCTCGTGAGAGGTCATCCATTTCATCGTTTCCCCCACCGTTTTCATTGCACTTTCGCGACCCCAATCCTTCCCAAGGCTCTTTACCCAAAAGCTCTGTGCTTCATCTGTGCATTTTATAAAAAAACAAAACAATCTACATTCTAAAATCTAAAATCTACTTAGTGCTTAACGAACTGTATGTGAGATTCATAAACATTTGTAAAATATGTAAATTCGATTGTTAAAAGTCGTACGACGGTAACGCAAGCTCAGCAATAAAACAAATATTGCACAAATATCTCTTGTTTGATTCAAGGACTTTGAAGATTTAGGAGAAGGACCTTAGCATTGTTATATAAGACATTGCAGTGCGCACAATCTGAAAGACATAAGAAAAATTAGAAATTAAATAAGTCATGTTAGGATACCCCACCGATGAAAACGCTTCCATGTTAGCCTCGAAAAAATATCCAGTAATTCGAAAGCCCCGATGAGCCCTCATCATGCTGATCAACAAGGATCGGCATATGGCAGCCGAAGCTCCTCCAGCTCCCAGACTATCATGCCAGGGACTGTCGTAGATGGCCCACTCGAAGCTGGCACTCTCCGTCTTCAGGTTCTCGCCGCAATAGCAGTAGATGTAGGCCTGAATTATGATCGTGGCTATGAAGGAGGCATAGTACACACCCTCTGTCTGGGCAAAGGTTATCGAAAAGAGGTAGCCCAGCATACAGAGCTGCAGGGAGGATATAAAGAACTGGGCACAAATGATAGGCTGGTAGCACTCATTCAGCTCAGAGCACATGTTCAGACTGGTTTGGTATAAAGCAAAAACGCGATTCAGAGTGGTCTGTGATTCCTCCAGAGTAGAGCCCTTGAATCGCAACACCTTGTACTGGGCTATCTTGAAAAAGGCGCAGAGATTACTGGTGAAGGAGCAGAAGATTGTGTCCAGGCTGACGGCTGGCAGAACCACGCCAGTGGATGCAAAGGCACAAAACACAAAGCTCATGGCGTAGTTCCTTAGAATATGAATGTCCCAGGGGAATCTAAGCACATAATATTGAAGATCATGAATAATTTACATAACTAGAACACCCACAAGCAGGGAAATGGCAGCTCTGGTTCGTAATGTCCTGTCAACCAATAGCTGAGACCCATTCGCACAAAGGGCAGGACACTGTTGAGGGCCCAGGCGATGAGGAAACAGGTCCTGAAAATGCTGCAGACACGCTGATCCTGCTGATTGGCGGACCTGATGATCTCTGCATACTCCTCTCCCTGTCCAGATTCTTTCCAAAAATCAAATAACTTTTTAAGGTTCTTTCTTCAAGACTTCCAACTCACCATTTGCCATCACCAAGCGAAACCTATCAATGAGTCCTTTAAAATCCTTTCGCAAGTACAGTATCATGCTGAACTTGAAAAGTCCTAGAATCGTGATTAGTAGAGCCACCATGGCATCTGCCATTAACATTACGTTCTTAATATTGTGAAGAACAGCAGCCAGGATAAAGGGGAATAAGGTAGCTATTCCAAAGACGTTCACTGCTCTGTAAGGACGGAGCCACATTTTTCTGGATTCCCCAAAGAGATCGAATCCCAGCAGGGCTATTGTTCCTTTTTGCACTTCCAAGAAGTTCTCCTTTGACGACATGACTTCGCACTACACTTTGCACTAAGGATAATCAGCAAGGACACCAGCTTTTTAAACTGAAACTGGATTGTAATTACAGGTCTTCACACCTTTTGCCGTTTGACAGCTCTCTTGGTATTTCCAATGAAAATCAAAATTTTATTGCTTTAATGTTCTTTATTAACGCCTTTGAATCCTTGGGTGGGAGTCCAGTGGGAGTCAAGGGGCGTGGGGCAAGAGGACGTTTGGCAGGGGGCGTGGTTTGGCAATCTACCGACCCCAACCGCCCCAACCTCCATGGTGGCCACGTCCTCCCCATCCGCCACCCCATCCACCACGTCCTCCCCATCCGCCACCTCGTCCTCCCCATCCGCCACCGCGTCCTCCCCATCCGCCACCCCATCCACCACGTCCTCCACCATATCCCCACTGGCGGGCTTCACGGGCTCCATCGTTGGCATGGTTGGCTCCCTGATCGGCGACGTCCAGGAGGCTGATCACCCTCTCGTTCTCCGGATTGGCATCGTCCAGAGCGTAGACGTAGGCGAGGCAAAGCACGCCTATAATGGCCAGAAGTGCTAGACGCATCTTGGTTACTTGGATTCGCTGGTTACTGCTTGTTGTGATTGCTCGAATGCAACTGATGACTCCCAGACTCGATTGGGGGCCTTTTATTTGGCAGATGCTTGAGTACTCGACGTTCCTGTTCTCGAAACGCATCAATAAACTGTAGCTCTCACACCCAAGACAATATTAGATATAATATGTATATTCCTCATGCCCCGCATAGTCCGACAGGCCAGTGTTACCTGTCAACGGGGATTAGGGGCTCTTTTTCTCTTGTTGACCGGCCATATCGTTATATTTCACCACACAATTACTACGGTCTTTTGTTATTGCGGTTTTTGGTAATTTTTTTTTTTTGGACGTCGTTACTGAATCATTTCAAAATTTAAATGTCTCATTTGCGAAAGTTGCCTTTAAGTGGTTTAATACATAGATCATTCGATTAGCCCCTAAACAATTGGGACCTGTTTTGTTTTATGGTTTGTTTTTGTTTCTGCCTTTTTTTCTGTCAGATAAGCGTCAAATCAATATTCCATAAAATGTAAATTTCCACTAACAATTTCCACTTCCACCACTCAATGTGAGCATCTCACTAATATTAAACTTTGACTGGGTCAACCCCTTGAGAAAGACCCCCAAGTGTCGGATGATTGTCAAGCCTATTAATACCTGGTTAAGCCATTCAAAATACAGTCTGGAAAATGCAAATTTTTGATTTTATAACTTCATCAACCTAATTTGAATAAACAACTTTCTCATCGGCAGGACTCATATGGTAATTAGTCCCAAATTGCCTAATGAACGTCGAAATCATCTTGTTTGATCTAGAGTCTAAAAAAAAGTAAACAATCGGGGATTTACGAGCTTGAGCCATTGAACCCAAGCTGTCAATACTGGTTCCTCCAAATATCCCAAGAGTTGCGAAAAAAACAAACAATAATTTGCTCAGCTCGTGCGAATTCGCGCAAAAAACACACACCCCCTTATGGGTTCATACACGATGTGAGTTTCTAGAAAAAATCTGATTTCTCATGATTGCTGATCGATTTTTGGTTGCATTTTCAAATACTTTTAATAATACATAGCCCAATTCATAGAGTCCCACAATCGAACATTACCAGAAATATCTACTCATTTTAAAAGATTTATTTTAAAAGGATATATATTTTTAAAAAACTCTATTTAATTAACAAAAAATTGAATGAAGAACTCTTAGATATAGCAATTTATCGACCATAGTGTCCATGATGTCCTCCATGTCCTCCGTGTCCGCCATGTCCTCCGTGTCCTCCATGTCCATAATGTCCATGACCATAACCTCTTGCCAAACGTGCACCATTTTCGTTGTGAGCCTCTCCCTGATCTGCCACTCTTAGCAGATCCTTCAGGCTTCCATTATCCAAAGCACAGGCCATGGAAAGGATGAAAAGGACAACACATGAAAACAGGATAAAGCGCATCTTGATTCTTGAGATTGTCTTGTGGTTTTGTTGATTTTTAAGCTTCACCTTCTGCTTTTTATTTAAAATCACTTGTTTACTCTTGTTACCTATTTTAATAGTTTTGTTTATAGAAAAAGAATTTAATGTTTTCCATAAAATGGCAAAGCGTAAACAAGCTCATTTTGGTTATTGTTTTTTGGCCATTAGAAAGCTTGGCTAAGCTTTGGTTTTTAAACCAAATACGTATAAAGCTTTGTTAGAACTTAAACAAAAGTTTGATTTTGTGTGAATCGTTTTATTTGTTTGCTGGTATCGTTATTTTGTCAGCCACTGTGCTGGAGAAGCTACCACCAAGACTTGTAGATGCGCCAGCCGCCTCCGTATCCTCTGTTCCATCCGCCACCGTAACCTCCGTAACCGCTGCTCCACCCTCCACCCCAGCCGCCGTGTCCTCCCCACTTGTTCCACAACCAGCGGGCTGATCGGTCGCCTTCGGCGGCATGTTGTGCGCCAAAGTCCGCCACATCCTCCAGATTGGTAGCTGCCACAGGCTGATCCTGGAGCGTATTCTCTCCAGTTGGCAGAGCCAACACCATACCAAAAAGAGCCACAAAGGCCAAGACCAGGCAGAACTGCATCGTCGGGTAGAACTATGTTGCAACTGCAACTGCCACTGCTTTTATAGCCCCCCGAGTGCACTTCGCGTCCAACTAATTGAAATTTATTTTTAGCCGCATCTTGTAGACCAGTTTGAGCCCTGACCCATCGGATATTCCATTTCAACAACAAAGATATTTTATTAAAAGTAATTCACACAGCATGGTGGAAAAACGATGTGGATAACAACTGGCTAGGTAAGTACACAGTAACAAATGATGGGTGATTTGATGGATTTTGAAAACAACAAAATATATAACAACAATATCTTAAATCTCAAGATTGCCTTTAACTAATTCATCATAAAAGTGGCATATTAGTCACCTGAAGGCTAGCCAATCGATTTCAGTGTATATACACTTTAATATTCAAATTAAAGCAAATAAAGAATTTGTGTGTCTTGTGTAAACAACTTTCAATGACACCATCGATGGTTATACTATTAATACTGTTTTTTGTATGGCTTAGCCCAGTAGTCCGAGCAGGCCGCTCAAAGCTTGAGGATTAGCACCCGCACTAGTGGCTCCTGCCGCGCCCCCATTGGCCAGAAGGGGCCGTAGACTGCTGCCCAGGGCCTGGCCCAAAAGTCCTGCCAACTGGGCAGCCTGTGCCGTGGACAACTGCGAGTTACCAGCTCCAGGAACAGCTCCAGAGCCTGCTCCAGATGCCACTCCCACGCCCAAGGAAGAGGTGGGATTACTGGAGATTGCAGCGGCACTGCCATAGCCTCCATTCGAGGGATATCCTCCCACTGATGCCAATCCATATGGTCCGTAATTCGGTCTGTATCCGTAGTAGCTTCCTGGATTGGGCTGAGGTCTCTGGTAACCCCCATAGTTATAACTGGGCCTGTAATAGCCATAATACCCATAGTTGGGGTAACCATAGTTGTAACCATAACTGGGATATCCATAGCCATAGCCATAATTGGGCCTATATCCATAGTTGTTGCCGTAATAAGAATCCGATGGATCTGATTGGGTTCCAGCCGACGACGAGGATCCTCCCGAGGGCCTAACAGGTGGCGGAGGAGGCGGGACATCGAAAAGAGATCCTCCGCCACCCAACAACAAAGGTGTTAGCAGTCCCAAGGTCCTGCCCTGAGGACGATTCTGGCGGGATTTACTTCTCTGGCCATTTGCCACCGAAATCAGAAGGACAAACAGAATCAAACGCGCGGGAGGCAACATTACGTATACGTAGCATCCGTCAGATGCTAATAAACAATGGAAACTGAAGAGTGCTCGAAAAACCCAATTTTGTTTTATACCACAATGTTCTCAGGTGAATTTCCAAATTGGTTTTGGCCAAAAAGTTGCAGACCTTCGAGACAAAAGAGATAATAATAATAATCGCAGGTCGAGCGGAACAGACACGCAAAAAACCTAAAAGCCGAAACGTCATCAACAGGTTTGCAAGAAGCCGCTTTCACGCCCATTCGAGATCTTCTCGGCTGGTTTTTGTTGGCCCAGTCTGCAGTCGGCTCCCACCCGACATTGACCTTGCCAAAAAAACAAAATGTTGGCCAAATAAGTCAGCAATCTGTTTCACACCGTTAGCTCACTTCCGCGGGTTTTTTTTCGCTTCAAAAGCAGCAACAACTTAGCAACTCGGGGGCGTTTCTGCAAAGCCAATTAAGCAGTTCAATATTTGGTTAGCAATAAAGGCAAGTCAATAGCCAAGTTAATCACCAGATTGACAATCTAAGGGGCCAAACGACAGGAGAGATTCCCTCATGAATTCTGCGACTGATGCAAATTATTATATCTTTACTAATTAAAGAGGGTTCCTCCAGACATATGGAAATCTTTAGCTTTTGCTCTTAATTGAATTAATCCGGCTAGACATTTGACAGGCTATCAGTTAGTTAGACAGCTGAACAACTCAAACAACAGATATTATAACTACTATTTGTAAAATATGCCATATTATAACTACTATTTGTAAAATATGCCATAATTACGGGGAGTGCACTAGACCTTTAAGAAATGTTCATTCAAAGCAACCGGTTTACTCATCTCCGTAATAAACGTTTTGTTTATTTAAATTCCGTTACGTTTAAATTCATTTTTTTTGCATTATCATCTATATGATCACTTTGATTTTTACACTTTTTGAATGAACAGCAAACTGGTTTCCCTTTTTAAGTTGTTTTTTTTGCACCAAAAAGAAATAAGAACCCTTGTTGCGATGATGCGGTTTATAATTAATTGTGCTTCCCCTCGAGCCGTAAAAAACCAACAAAATATTAAGACACCTATGTAAAATCCGATCCCACCTTACATACATATATGGTAGAATGCAGGTACTCTACGACAAAATATTGTTGTCTTTCTTCGGGTCAGCGATCACATGCGATTTCTCAACTGGTTTTCATTCAATTCGCAGGCAAAGTAAATCCCCATCCTGGGGGCTGGTTCGAGAACAGAACTATCCAGAAATATACAGAAAGAAATTGAAGCAATTTCCTATTAATTTTAGTAAATTATTTTTATTAAATCAATACATTTTAGAAGCTTTTAATAAATTAATTATAATTTATATTTATTTTGTTACTTTACCATATAATTTGGATCTTAAACTTCTACTCAAACTTATCTATTTCTTATATTTAATTTTATTAAAATATTGGTAGATGATTAATAAATTTAATTTTTTTGTTATTTTTGTAAACTATAGGTAATAGGTTATTTTGTTCTAAATTTTTTTGGTTTTGATTATTTTTTCAGAATTAACTAAAAACCATTCGTGAATCCATGGCGTTTTGATTAATGATTTAGCTATCTATATAGATATCTATTTATATTCTCTTAGCTATTAAAAAACATAGATTTTTTTCTAAATTAAATGTATAATTATAATTCTTTCTTGTGTAACTTTTTTCACATAGGTGGGCAATTTATTTTTGTTTCTACTTGATGTTAGGAGAAGGTTCTGGGATTGAGGGGTTTGTTTTTGGCGGCCCCAATTGACGTGTCTGGGATTTTTGTTGACCCCCAGAGTTTCGGTGATTTCATCAGAAGTCGATAATTGCCCGAGGGCTCTGTCTGGCTAATGATACTTAATAGTTACAGCCAGGATGATGCAGCTAGAAAGTAACTCTCCCATGAGCCATAGATCTCTCACTCTTCGGCCGGGACATCCCCGCCATGGTTTTGCTATAAAAGATCGATGCGAGTTCTATTCGGGACTAGAAAGTATTTGATTCTCCAAAATGAAACTATACGTGATTGCCGCCCTTGTATTCGTGGGCATTGTCCTGGCCCAAGGACATCCGGTGAAGGAGGAGCAACAGCAGGTGCAGCTCTTGACCCTGGAGGATGCCGAAGCCAAGCAGGGAGTCGATGATGGTGCCGGAGTTCGAGCTGCCCGTGGATTCGGAGGATGGGGCGGACGTGGAGGAGGATTCTGTTGCGGAGGAGGCTATGGCAGGGGAGGCTTCGGAGGAGGCAGAGGTTTCTATCCTGGCGGTGGCTATGGACGCGGCGGTGGTGGCTATGGCGGAGCCAGTGCCTCTGCCTCGGCTTCGGCTTCAGCCTCTTCATACGGTGGCGGCTGGGGACGCTAAAAGCTCCGTCCCCCTTGCGTTTTAGATTAGGAAAAAAATTAAAAACAAAACCGAAAATAAACAAACGACGAAAGTCGAAACGAAAACAAAAACAGATATTTTTAATCGAAGGGTGAGAATTAGGGGGTGAATGGGAGCAGATACCTTACGTACTTGGATCTCACAAAATAAAAATAAAACTTAACAAATGCTAATCGATGAGATTAAAACGGATTATATATTTTCCACAGAAAATAAATATTCCTCTAATAGAGATTATTTTTAAAGGTAAATTTTTGGTGAGGGTCTAACTATAATTGGATCAAAAATAAATCTGGATGAAATCGCCTATATCTGGGATAATGTAACCTGTTTTCCCGACACTCTCTAATTGCTAAAATCAATAGAAATATAATATATATTTTTGATATGCCCCCTAGCTAGTTTAATTAAATTTTAGCCACCTGGTTTTCGATCTTTGCGGTTTTGTTTTATGCACTCCCGATCCAAAAAAATTAAATGGAAAATTACCTATATTTAAGTTCCTGGCACCTCATTTCACCAGATACTCGGAATATTTTGCGATATTTGAACTCTCCAGGTTATGTGATGCGTTTTGATCACAATCTTATGATTCACAAACTCTAATTAGCAAAAGCAAATATTTTTCATTCTCAAGGGGTATCCATTTCCGCTTGAATCATTTAGTATTTACATTTAATTAACGCCTTCACCCACAATGTACATTTTTCCCCTAGCTACTAGTTACTAGGCTAGAAATGCAGCTTTACACCAATCATACTCTAAGATTAGATCAAAACTGACTTAAAAATAAATCTTAAACCAAAAATAAATATCTAAAATATGGAATCACGATACAGACTGTGGTTTTTGCGGCATTTTTGATCCAAAAGGCTAAAAATGAACAAAAGTTGAATGTTTCTAATCTGAAATTAACATATTTTACCGCAATTAATTAAGTTGAATATTACGTGAATTCATTTCACAAAAATGTGAGGGTTAAAATAAATATACATCATAGTTTACAAATAAAATTAAATATTAACTTATGTAAGATTTTTGGAGACGCGTAATCCTTATGAATCTTAGTTTTAAACATTTTATCTGAAATTAGAGTCTAAACAGGTTTCACTTTCGGTGTCTGCCTCTGAAGAGACTGAGAACTCCGTCATAGGGTGTTGATATGTACGTCACAATTATAATACAAAGAACTAACTAATTGATGACCAAACTTGGTGATAAATTCCTTTTCCTATGATCTGCCGAAGAGGCCAACTCTGAAAATGAATCATTCAAATGTCGGCAGTGCCTACCGCAACAAAAAGTGATAAAAAAAAATTAAACTAAAAACCGCAGAAAGTCGCAAAAATGTTCAACCCCCTACTGACGTCACAAGCGGGGAGTTGACATCCCAAAAAAACGGCTAAAAATTAAAAAAAAGGCTGGACATTGCATTGACGGAAATGTTGTACGTCCCGATCCCTGCTAATTGGATCGAAAGATGCGAAACAAATTAAATTAGTGTTACACTAGTGGAATCTGGCTGGCTGACTGGGCGACGCGGTCTGTCATAACAATTAGCAGGTATTGGGGAACAATCGCGAGTATAAAAGCCACTGGCAGGCGACAGATCAGCCACAGAACCCCAAGGAACTCAAAAAGCATTGGACATACCAAAGCACTACCCCCTTTAAAACACTCAAAGTACCTGATTAATCAACATGCAGTTCACCATCTTCGTCGTAATGATCTCTATGATCTTCGGTCTGAGCCTGATCCAAGCAGCCCCCATCAGCGATAGCAAAGCTAGCCAGGATCCAGGATTCGTTTCGGCCACAGATCTCACTGGCGAGCCAGTTCGTCAAAAGCGTGCCAGTTCGGATTACTACCAAGGCGACTACTTTATCTGCTATCCAAAGAGTGCAGTCTACGGCAAAACCGGTGGTTACAGCTCCGGTTCCAACCGCAGATCCTACGACTCTGATCTGTATGGACCCCATTACCTGGCCGATGATTCCTTCGAAGTCCGAAAGGCTCGAGCTGATGCCAGACGTGCCGCCTACACCGACAGCTACGGAAAATAAAGAAGAGCCTCTAAATGGATTACACTTTAAACAATGTTAGGAAAAGCACAGGTCAATATATTTAGCAATATATTTTGTAAATACTAAGAAATATTTATTTATAAAACCAATTAATAAATTATACGTAAAATCATATTCAAAAAGTTTATTTTTTAATTTTTCAAAAAAGGAAACTTTTCAACCACATTTTAGGCTATAAAGTAGCCATTTTGCAACGGATTTTGAAAAGGAAGGACATTTACGAATCAGGGTTCTAAATAGCTTCGATCTGTATTAAAATATGGTCGAGAATGTGAAGCTAAATTTTTGACCCATTTTTGGCCAAAATCATGATGTTACCCCTTTGAAAATTTACAAAAAATGGGTCAGATTTTAGTTTTTCGGAATTTGGTTAAAAATGGTTATACTCGAAGATCTAAGATCGGGAAGGTATGACATTCGTTGATCAGATTAGTATTGGCCAAGTTATAGCGATTTTCCAGAAATAAATCGAGGTAAAAAAACTCATTGGCCAAGTTAACCATAGGATAGAAAAATATCATCTTTTCGTGCACTCTTTAGCCAATATTTAAGTCAAATCGTATGGTATTTTGAAAAGGATAACCAGTTACGAATCAGGGGACTAAATAGCTTCAAACTGCATCAAAATTTCATAAAAATCATAGATTACAATTTTTGACCCATTTTTTGGCCAAAATCATGATGTTACTTACCCCTTTGAAAATTTACAAAAAATGGCTCAGATTTTAGTTGGCCGGGTTTTGGTTTAAAATGATTACACTCGAAGATCTAAGATCGGGAAGGTAAGACATTCGTTGATCAGATTAGTATTGGCCAAGTTATGGCTATTTTCCAGAAATAAATCGAGGGAAAAAAACTAATTGGCCAAGTTAACCATAGGGTGGAAAAATATCATCTTTTCGTGCACTCTTTAGCCAATATTTCAAATCGTATGGTATTTTAAAAAGGATAACCAGTTACGAATCAGGGGACTAAATAGCTTCAAACTGCATCAAAATTTCATGAAAATCGTAGATTAAAATTTTTGACCCATTTTTGGCCAAAATCATGATGTTACCCCTTTGAAAATTTACAAAAAATGGGTCAGATTTTAGTTGGCCATGTTCAGATAGGGAATAATAGTACAGAAATATCTAAGATCGGAAAGATATGACATTCGTGGATCGGATAAGTATTGGCCAAGTTATGACTATTCCCGTGAAATAAATCAAGAAGAAAAGCCTCGTTGACCAAGTTCAAATCTTCGGGTAGAAAAATTAACTATTTTCAGTCACTTTTAAGCCAATGTTTAAGTCAATCCGTATCGGATATGGAAAAGGAATACCATTTAGGCATCAGGGTTCCAAAAAGCTTCGATCTGCATTAAAATTCTATCAAAACGGGGAAATCAAATTTTTGACTTTTTTTTTGCCAAAATCATGATGTTACCCCTTAGAAAATTTTCGAAAAATGGATCGAAAATTTAACTTTCTGGTTTCCGCGATATTTTGATGCAGATTTGTGAGGATTGTTACTCTGATTTATAAATGATATTCCGGTTTCAAAGCTGCTGAGAACTATAAGAGTTATTTGCTAAAGAGTGCTTGAATTGAGTTAATTTTTCTCAATTTTTAATTTTGCCATATCTTTTTATATTTTCTAAAAACCCAGCCAATAAAAAACTTATAAAGCTAAAAATGTAATAAAATCAAATCAAAAAGGAGTTCCACTTTTTAAAGCATACCTTCAGGCTGATGCTGAAAAAGATTCATTGAAATGACTCGTTCCATTTGTGAGTCAGCCTGCTCATTCCGCCCCCGCTGCACCATGCCCAGTACAAATACAGGCAATAATAAATATATATATTTTTTTATATCCACCATACGAACGCGACTCACCTGGCGAACAACGATTTTCTGCAAGGTAAACTCCGGACTCCGTACTCGGAGCTACACTGGCGGGGATGCTGAGACATTTCGCACCTTATTTGCCTTGGGCATTAGGCTAAAAGTGTGAATTGTTTATAAAGAGATTACAAAACCGAAAGACAGGCACGCTCAGTGGGCCGCGCTGTGTTCGACTTTTGCCGCCATAAACCCATAAAAAAAGAGCCATCACTTTATTTTCAAGAAAACCAAAGCGAACCGAGCCGGATAATTGCAAAAGAAAGTTTCCACCGTGTCTTGGCCTCGGCATAAAAGGGGATTACGACGAGCCGGAAGCAAACAGTCGCCCCCAGAGATTGCTACCAATATGAACGGTTACGTTGCCCAAAAGAAGTCCATCCTGCTGGTGTCCCTGCTGGTGTTGGCAGCAGTTAAGGCGCAGCCCCTGGATCAGGAGGAGCATGTTCGGAAGGAGCGTCAGCTTAAAGGAACTGCTAGCGATGCGGATGTCAAGATGGTGGCCACCAATGTGTCTCCAGCGATGGCCACTCAACCCATGACCATGACCATCGGTATGCCGGTCAACCAGATGGCCCTTAATGCCGTCGGCAGCCAACTGGTGAGATATCCCAACTACCCGGGTCTGATCTATCCTGGAATAGCTCCTGGCCTGAATGGAATTCCCGGCCTGCAAGCTAACATTGCCAACACCAACTATCCAACGGCCTATCCGGATCCCAACTTGCCGGGCGGACTTCCTGGCGGCTTTGGTGGCTTCGGGCCCTATGGATACCCCAGCCCCCTTCCACCCATGTTTGGTGGCTCCCTCGGATATCCAAATCCCCAGCTGCCCAATGGATTTGTTCCACAGCCTTCGGTGGATAATTTCCAGGCACTGAACAACATCGTGAACATGGCCAATGCCCAAGGATTGGGAGGCGGATATCCAGCTCCTCAGCCCTTTCCCGTGCAGGCGAACATGCCTGGATTGTATCCGCCAGCCGGTGGCTTCCTGGAACGCATGAACATGCAGGCCTATGCCCCAGGATTCTAAAGTCAATTCTTAATCCATTCATTATAAGATTTATTTATTTTATTTATTTAGCCAAATATACGAACATTTTGAAATAATCTAAAATATGTAATAAAGTCTTTTCTTTAAAAAAAATTTCATATTACAATCTTTTAAGCTAGCCTCTTCAAAATAAATATTCAAAATTATAGCACTATCCTAGCTTAAAGTCCTTAGCTCTTATGGGTTTGAGTATACCCCACTTTCCAGATCAGATTCGAAGGCTGTGAACGCCGTGTGAGAAGCTTGAAGTCTCCTTTGCCCGAAAACTTTGGATAAGCTCCCCGGGAACGCCATATATAGCCGTTAGGTAAACGAATAGGAAGCCTTTGTCCCCCGCTCGCCAGAAGGATGCAGTGCAGCAGCAATAGCAGCCCAATCAGCAACAGCGGGCTCCTCATCTTGGCCAGAACTGGAGGCCATCCAATGCGATTTGCAGCTTTTATGCTGGCCTGGGTTCTGTGCCAGTTTTGCAGACGAGTGTCAGAAATGTCTAGAGATGGCTAGAAAGTAGGCAAACATGGAAACGGGTTTGGCTGCAACGAATCCCTCATATTTCACCTGGAGAGTGGATTTCACCTCTTTCAGCATGCGCTAATTAAGCAGCAGGTGTCGGGTGCAAGGTTCTCTCTCTTGGACTATCGTGGACTTGGTAATTTGGCAAACGGTGCCAGACGGCCAAGATTGTGAAAGTGAAATTAACACGACGTTTCTCACCCGCAGAGCCTTTGACAGAGTCCCGTTCTCCGATCTTCCCATGGAGGAGAACATATTTTTGTTTAAAAAAAACAAACCTTTCCCGCACTGATTTACAATCTGGGAGTTTACCTGAGAGAGTGTGTCTGTGTACCTGGGTAATTGATAAGTCGCAGGTAGTTGCGCAGTCGGGCATAATCCGATAATGGTTTGTGGGTATAAGAACCCGCATTGCGAGGTCAAAGTGCATCAGTCTTCGCCTGACCCTAGCACCATGAACTTCGCCTCAGTGACTCACATTCTGATATTGATTCTCATACTTCTAATGGAGATTTGTGCGGCGAGACCTTGGTGGAATACCAATGAAGCTGGCTACGATGCCAGTCTGGATCCCGTGGCCTGGTCGAGGTCCTTCGTCAAGGAGCAAGTGCGAAAAACACGCCACAATACAATCCCCACCTTAAGCAGAACTAGACATCGACAAGCTCCAAAGTATCGCTACAAGAAACTGGCCCAGGCACTGGCTGGAAGTCATCAGAAAGTCAACACACGGCAGTACAAGAAATTCCTAAGAAGACGTCAGAAGATGACAGCACGTGAACGATACTCGCTTTGGAGGCAATAGCCTAACAGTCATATTCCTAGGTGCTAAGCATAAATATTAGTCGTAATTAATTAGCATATTAAACAAAAGACTTAAGACACAAACGAGATTGTTTTATTTTTGAAATCAAACGCGTCATTGAAATCCTGACCCGCCTCGATTAGCAATTGTTCTAAGCCATGATATTTTCAATTTGGCCGAAAGCAAACACGGCTTAAGGTCAAAATGGTTACGTTTCAAGAGCAACCCGACTTGGTAATCGCCAGGGCAAACATGATGTAACATTATCGTTAGGCCTGGAGCTAAAGACATGAGCAAACCCACTCAATGGCCAGACCCATCCCAAAAGTCTAACAAAAGTTTGGATGAATGAAAGTACGAGTGTATTTGGCCAAGACAAGATCGCAGCCACCAGTTGCTGGGCGTCTTTTTGGCGGCTTTGTTGACACTGCGAATTAGCAACTCTTCGCACGAGTCCAAGACCCAGACCAGAAGTATATAAACCTAGTGGCCAAGTCATTGGGATAAGTACTAGCCCAGCAGTCGGTTAATCATATTACATTTCGGAAGATATACATTTCTTTAAAAAACAACCCAAAAACCATGAAGTTCCTGGCTCTGAGTTTCGCCCTGATTGCCGCCATGGTGGCCTGCTCCTTGGCCCTTCCCGTGGAGCTGCAGAACAACATCGAACCCCTGAACCTCTGGGAATTGGAGGTTCAAGAGCCGGAGCCACAGCTGGATGAAGTGGAGGGTGAAAGAGTGGCCCGAGGACTAGGAGGCTTTGGTGGACTGGGCGGCAAGTTCGGTGGACTTGGTGGCCTGAAAGGATTCGGTGGTCTGGGCCATGGTTTCGGCGGTGGCTTCGGTGGACATGGATTCGGCGGTGGATTCGGTGGTCTTGGCGGATTCAAGAGCCTTTTCAACAAGAAGTTCTAATAATCTAAGTTCAAAGTTCGCTAATCATCCCATCTCTAGCTTAAGAATTACAAAATAAAGTACAATAATAGTTTTAGAATTTTAAAAGTTCCCAGTTTGATAAATTGGATTCAAGGCTCCATAGTACTGGAGTTCCGGCTCTGATGTCGTGGTGCTTCTTATCCTGACTTTGGCAGTGGGAGGTGGTGGATGAGTGGTTTTGGCCTGAAGATTACTAAAGACTTTTCGCACCTGGCTGGCAAAGTTGCGCCAAAGTTGGAAAGGCTTAGAAACTGGAAAGGTCATCAAAAGATGATAGAATATAAAGTACTTTTGGGTAGAAAAAATAATAGCAATTATTTTAATAACAAAGACATTAAGCTTCATAATATATGATACTAAAGATGATTTTAACATTATTCAACTGTTATTTATTCTCACAAGTAATTATTTCATTAACACTTGAATGTCAAAGGCCAGCGACTTGTAGTCTCAACTAGATATCCCATTTCTTACCTGTATTTCGAGGCGGAGCCACCTGTGGATCAAACTCCCTTTCGTCCAGCGACACGACCAGCACCACTGTGACCCACAGCACCAGCAAACGGAACATTTTGGCAAAAAGACCAGCCTCCTCACTTATAAACACCTCAAACTAAAGCTTTCCCCGCCATAAATCCCAACCCAAATTTTATCATTTTTTCGCCATAAACCCTCGATTGAATGGACTTGCATAAGGTATATATTCGTATTTTTGATTACACTTGGTGGAACAGCACAAAAGAAGTATCACAAAATGGTTATTTATTCACTGGCGAGTCCTCAGTTGATTAACCGTAGAAGCCTCCGCCGTAGTAGCCACCGCGTCCACGGTAACGGGTGCGGGTGACGACACGAGTGCGCCCAAAACCGCCGCCAAAGCCACCGCCGAAGCCTCCGCCATAGTAGGGTGGTGGTGGTGGTGGGCCAAAGAAGGGCGGTGGTGGTGGCCCAAATGGCGGTGGGCCAAAGTACTGGCGGACCTTTCGATCGCCCTCCTCATTATGGGTCGTCTCGCCGGCTTCCGAGAGTTGCACGGCACTAGGCTTCTCCTTTGCCACATCCGTTTCCGGTTCGCTGGCTTGCACAAAATTACAGAACAGCAGCACAGCCAGGCTCAACATAAACAATATCCGTTTGTAATCCATTTTTTCCAGTCGTATTCCCACTTGGGGCTCGCCAAATACTAAAATTCATCGCCCACCTGGCCTTTAATTTATAGCCAAACACAGAATGGTTAAGAACTCAGGCCCCGGGAGTCGTAAACAAAGGAGGTTCAACGACATATCTCTTGATTGCCATTGAGAGTTGCTTTATTTTATTTTTCGTACAAATTTCAAATCAAACCAACCAAAGCCGCCGAGAATAATTGTTGAAAAAAAAACCCAAAAACAAAATAAAACTCAAAATCTACAAAACGTCTACACAAATACATTAGTTTGACCCAATCTTAATGTGTTGACGGATTGAAATATAACGCGGAAGTTGGAGAGACAGTGGAGCAACATCTAGATCGGTGTTGACATGTAACCAGATCTTTGATTGATGAAGATATTCGGTTTTTGTTTTGGGGAGGTTAAGGTTAAGGGGTTTCCAATGAGGTTCACTGAGAATAGAGGATTTTAGGTTCTACGTTCTTTGGCACCTTTCTCCACATTTTGTGATCAAAGATATATTTTCTTTTTTTGAGGGAATCTACTAAAAAGATCTTTCAACCTGTCTTATTTTTTCAGTGTTCTATCAAAAGGTTCTATCACTCTCTATAATGGAATATTTAAAGATACTCAAGTTTCAACAGAAATGCTTATCTGTTTTTTGTTTTTGATTATTGAACCCTTAACCTTGACCTCAGAAACCTTAAGCCTCTCAAGAACTTGAACCTGAATAAGACATTTCTTTTAATTAAAATAAAATACAATTTAATTTTGTATCTATAACTCTTTAAAGAAGATTTGTGTAAAAAAATCTTGTAAAATAAAGCCCTTAAGATAATCTATCTAAAGACTCAGATAATCTATCCAAAAAGCCCTTTAAAACCATATTTTGGATGTATTACCACTCTGCCCTTCTTCTTAGCCAACTTAGACAACTTGACCCACTGTAATCGCTTGATGGCTTGTTGTGTTTACCACTCAAAAGCCCATCCGCTACGTCTCGCGTGTTTTTCGGCACATATGTGTACATATACATATAACTAACGAGACTTGGGCTCTTCCAGAAATATCCACAAAAACAAAAAAATGTGTATAAAAAAATGTGCAACCTCATCGAAAATGTTGATTCCAAACACTCGGCAAAACGAAACTCGATCTCGCAGCAGTTTGTTTATTCATTGTTTACTCTATTCCAAAAGTCTGGACTGGGTCATTGGGGACTTTAGCTTTTTTAGCCAAAGAAGCCGCCTTTGAATTTGGCAAATCCTACCGCGCCTCCCACAAAGCCACCACCAACGCCGCCGCCTCCGATGCCGCCGAGTCCTCCGAGTCCACCTAGTCCACCTAGTCCTCCAACCTGGGGATATCCGTAGCCATAGGATGGTATCGTTTGAACGGCAGATACCACCGGTACAGTTGTGATCACAGGAACTGTGGACACGATGGGCACTGTTTGGATGGCTGGAGCAGCCACAATGGGAGGAGCAGCTGCCACGGCTCCACCGCCAATGATGCCTCCCCCGATGATTCCACCGCCACCTCCGAATCCGCCAATGTGCCGGGGCTTCCGTATCAATTCCCGGTCGTTGCTGGAGAGGATCGGCGTGCTACTGACCAGGGCAAACGTCAGAGCGAGCAGGTAGACCACCGTTTGCCACAACATGATGCTGGATACTGTTTAAGTTGCCCCACTCCCAACTGCTTATTTATGCAAATTAATTAGTGGCTCCCTGTTTGCCATAATAATTCACATATGGATCGGCCGAGAAAAAACCCGAAGAGATATAGTAAAGACCCCATATCTGTTTTGGGGCGGTTCTAGTGGTTTTTACCCATCACCGACCAGTGGTTCACACCTCGTCATCATAATATGTAGTTACTAGCCGAAGGTCGCTTTACGAGGCATTATAAACCAAGTGATGTTGGGATTGGCATTTCAAACCGTTTTCGGACACAAGGCGACTATGAAGTACAATCCGCAAGTGAAAATATTTCTCCTCCTCGGCATCTGTATCTGTCAGATACTGGCTGATCCCCTGGGAGGAGGTGTAGCCGGAATTGGAGCAGTCGGTGGCGTTGGAGCCATTGGTGGAGTCGGCGGCTTGGGTGGAATACAGCAAGTACCGGTAATCCAGCAGGTGCCGGTGGTGCAACAGGTGCCCATCATCCAGCAGCAGCAGCCCCAAGCCCTGGGACTTGTCGGCGGTGGAGGTTTGATTGGCGGAGGAATCGGAGCAGGGGCCGGCTTCGGGCACTACAAGGAGAGCTATCGAGTGCGAGCCAGAGGCCTGGGCGGTGGATTCCGTGCCCGCTACGACAAGAAGTTCGGCGGAGGTGTGGCTGGGTTCGGAGCTGCGGCAGGAGCAGGAGCAGGTGGTCTCGGCCTGTTGGGCTAAGAATTTGTAACTTAAAGATAGGAGATCTAGAAAAAATAAATATATATTTAAAATTTAAACAAATTGAAACATTATGTGACTTTTTATTTAACAAGGTAGTGCCTAAAAATAAAAATAGTAAGTGGTTTCTTTGAGAATCCTTCGTATAATGTAAAAATTGATTAATAAATCCTCTTAAAAAAATGTATATTTTGGAAAATATATTTTTTGAAAAATTTCAAACCTCATAACCCCAAGCACCCTGTATATTTTTACTGACATGCGCAGTTTCCACCCCCAGCAGATACTCCGGCAGCTCTGTGCTTTTCCGCTCTTTCGAATTCCCTTCATTTCGAGAAAATATTTCGCTCGGATCGGACGTGGCTGCCGTAGCTCCTCCAGAGCTTCCCTTCTATCGCTGTCTCTCCGCCGTTTTTTTGGACACCCGCTGGCGCTACGGGTCACAGTGATAAATCTGGCCAAGGAATTGCGTTGCCAAATAGCAGTTATTTCGTATTGCGCCTAAAAATAGCACAATTATAGCAAAAATAGCCAACAGACAGCGCCGTAAGGCGCCTATGTGTTCTTGTGTCCGTGTCTGCGAGAGTGTCTGTGAGTGAAGTGGAAATCTGTTTAAAAATAAAACAACGCCAGACGACCGAAGCTGGGCCAGAATTGCAACACCAGCCAGCATTCTGAATAGTGGGCCAGAACTCCAGGTGATAACCTACTTTAAAACGTTTCTTAAAAAAAGGGGGGAAAATACTTTGTTTTTAATCAAATTCAAGGGGAAAACTTTCAACTGCTGTGGCTCTCTTTCTCTTTTGCTTTCTCTTTGGCTCGTGGCCATTTCTCTTTGTGCCCGTTATTTCAGTGTGACCAGGGTGGCAAGGACTTTGAATTCAAAATAAAACAGCAATTGCTTTCTCAATTTATTCAATTAACCCCAAGATTTTAAAAGAAAGTGGGGTTGCTACAGCCTCGATACCTGTCTTATCTATTTTCTGCAGTTTTTCGTCATTGTGTGGTAATGCACTTTTGGCCAAAACAACCCCGGGGAACGTCATTATTTCGCTTTTTTGCCAGACCACTTAACACGTTTCGCCTTTCTTGAACGTAATTAGTTTAATTGCAACCAGGATATTGTCAGTGTTTTGAGTTTTATCCTGTCGTTTGGTTGATTGCCCCCCCAAAGGAGAAAATCAAAGTTGAAAAATAACAAACAGGGTGGTTTTGTTAAAAAATAGAACAATTATCCCTCATACAATGAGGAAACTTCCCCACAAAATACCCTTGAACTGCTACTTGCAACCCCCGAATCCCACGCACTGACGTAGCTGAGCTGCAATCTGCTCTAAATGTTAGTGCTGTTGCAGCTTTTTTTGTTGGGTGGCTGTGCACCCACGAGTATGTAGTTCAAGGTCGTTAGCCTGGTTTTTGGTCAGAGGGCATAAGATGCGTGTTCTCATTACGACAACAAAACAGAAACTCGAGACCACACGGCAAGTTGAAGGACACGCGAATACCTCACTTGAGACGCTATTCTTGGATTCGCCAGAGTGACTACTCAGGTGACACTAATCACCTGCTCCTGCTCAAGCCACCCACCCCCCCACTAGGGCTCTTTGTGAAAAAGTGGCACTAATGAGAGCCGGTCATGCAATAAGTTGGTGACCCCTGGAAAATGGCGCCTAGCCAAAAACTATAAAAACTTTAGCATTTTTAAAAAAAACGTAGACACTAATACATGGTATGAGGTTGGGTTTACTTTGTCTCACTGTCTCTGCAACAGGAAGCCCAGTCATTGAACATTTAATGCAGTCCAGATTGCAACAGCGGGCGCCAGCCTTCCGGGCCACTGGCCCGATGAAAGTGACCATAAATTTAACGCCCGCTCTAATCAAGTTGGCCCCCTGGCTAGAAGCCAGAAGCCAGCAGCCAGCAAAAATGCTCGACCCACTTGGCCTGGCTTAATGTCAGCTAATTGCATTGGCGCTTGGTGGTCGGGCGCTCTTCAGACATATTGTCGCCGTAGTGCTCCCTCCATTTTCTCATTTCCCGGGAAGTAAGTTCAATGAGGCGCAAATTGTTATGGTAACAGACACAAGTACAGTGGAGCTTTCCTAAGAGTTATTAAATATAATCTGGAAGCCAATCCAATGCTAGTTATTTCTCCATACAACATTTTTGTTACGTATTTTTCCTTTTAATAAAAATCAAACTTCTAGAATACATATTATGTAGCAAAAAAATAAATTTAATTTACATGGAAATTCCTCAATGTCAGGGTGTCCTTTGTGGCGTGTGTGACGCAAAACAAGGAGCTCAGGGCTGGGGGTAGGAGTGGGTGTGGACCCCCCTCGATGGAGGGCAACCTTGGGCCTGGAAATTATCATTCGACTTTCGTCTGGCTCCGTTTACCCTCTGACCTAAGTCTTAGTTGACATGTTTATGCGCAAATTTGGTTGTGTTGTTAAAGTCTTGTATCGATTTTGTTAACTCGATTATAGGAACAGCGCCGAACGGATAAAGGATAAACAAGGACAGTGACTCGTCGGCTGTTGGGTGACATGCTAGCAGCAGTTATGGCATCTGACATAAACTGGGATCCAGGTGAGTGGCGCGCCTTACCTTCTGATGAGCTAAGACAATAAAATTATCCTTTCCAGCTCTTTCCAAATTGATCACCACACTTAAGGAGTCGGAGAATCTGTCCAATGACCAGGAGATTGACTTCCTTAAGGCCCTGCTCGAGTCCAAGGAGCTCAATGCCCTCGTCAATGTCCACACGAAAGTGGCCAAGGTGGGCCGGGATGATCGCCTAGCCCCAGTGCTTTCCACCTCAGCCCAGGTGTTGTACGAGGTCCTGGAACAGCTATCGCAACGCTGCCACCTGAGTGATGACTGCCGGGAGGCCTTTCATCTGCTTCAGGACTCCCATGTCCAGGTTGCTAATTCTTATAACCAATATTTGACAGTTCTAAATATGAAACAATATCTATTTCAGCACCTCTTATTCGCCCATGATGCCATCGCTCAAAAGGACTTCTATCCCCACCTGCCAGAGGCACCTGTGGAAATGGACGAGGACGAGGAGACCATCAAGATCGTTCAGCTGGTCAAGAGCAACGAGCCGCTGGTGAGTCTACTTGGCCATCCTGATCCTGCCATCCATTTCGTCTTCCATGTCCATCTCATCAACGTGATCGCTGTCCTGTGCTGTCTATCGCTTTCGTGTCACTCTTGGCATACCATTTCGCCTCCCACTTTCACTTTCACTCTCACTGTCACTTTCACCGCCCCCGCCAACTGCTCCTCTCTGCGCCTTCTCATTCATTCTCGTACTTCTCTGTTGTTTAATCGCCTCTCTCTGTCAACTCTTCCCTTTTGCTAATCAATTTTGTAAATTTTGCTTTTGCCAAAATTCGAATGAAATCGAATCCAATCTCTCGAATTCGCCCATACCCAACTAAACTGCATTTTGTACCAAAAATCAATCGAAAATTAAAAAAAAAAATAAATGAAACACAGACAGGAGCACAGAGTGCGGAGCCAATTGTTGTAAGTAATGAAATGTCCAAATGTCCATAGCGTAAAATACAGAAACCCGTTCTCAAAAGCACCAACAATGATAAAAATAAGAGCAACCCAGCTACCAGGATGCTGTGCGCCATACACCCACACACACACTTACACCAAAGATACATCCTTTTTGTCCCCATTCTGTTGTTGTGACACATCCATCAGATACACACACACATGCCGGAAACCGCAATCCGCACACAACACACATACACTTAGCACTCACACATACATAAGACCGCATCTTTGCTCGGCACTTCTCTGACACTGTTGCCTACTTTTAGGGGGCCACCATAAAAACCGACGAGGAGTCTGGCAAGATAATCATTGCGAGAATTATGCACGGAGGCGCTGCAGATCGCTCTGGTTTGATACACGTCGGTGACGAGGTCATCGAGGTCAACAACATCAATGTGGAGGGCAAGACGCCAGGCGATGTCCTCACTATTTTGGTAAGCTCTCATATGAAGGCTTCCCAAACGCTAGTAAACATTTTCTTCGGAAACAGCAAAATTCGGAGGGGACTATCACCTTTAAACTGGTTCCTGCGGACAACAAGGGTGCCCAGCGCGAGTCCAAGGTGCGAGTCCGCGCTCACTTCGACTACAACCCGGACGTGGATCCGTACATCCCCTGCAAGGAGGCAGGCTTGGCCTTCCAGCGCGGCGATGTGCTGCACATCGTGGGCCAGGACGACGCCTACTGGTGGCAGGCGCGCAAGGAGCACGAGCGCTCGGCGCGGGCTGGACTGATTCCCAGCCGGGCACTGCAGGAGCGGCGCATCCTCCACGACCGATCCCAGCGGGAGGGCACTGATCTGGACTCGAAGCGTAAGCATTCGCCGCATCATCCGCTCATCTTGGCTTTGCTATTGGCCCGCATCCATTACTAACATTGATTTACTTTCATGCCGCATCTGAAAACCAAAAACCCCATCATCTAACCAACAATTGGCCACCACTACATACCCCAATCCACCTTCGCAATCGCCAGCCGGTTCATGTGCCTCATTATGCACCACCCCACCCGGCTCCCCCCGCCTGCCGGCGAGTAGCAGTAGCTCCTCCTGCCGCCAGCCAAAGACTAAAAAGATCATGTACGATTTGACAGAAAACGACGACTTTGACCGGGAGCAGATCGCCACGTACGAGGAGGTGGCCAAGCTGTATCCCCGTCCCGGAGTCTTCAGGCCCGTGGTGCTCATCGGTGCACCCGGAGTGGGTCGGAATGAGCTACGCCGTCGGCTAATAGCCAGGGATCCAGAGAAGTTCCGCAGTCCAGTGCCATGTAAGTCAAGTTGCCTAATCTCTAAACCTTTCTAACATCGTATTAATCTTCACCAGACACCACACGACCAATGCGCACTGGAGAAGTAGCTGGCAGGGAGTACATTTTTGTGGCCCGAGAGAAAATGGATGCGGACATCGAGGCGGGAAAGTTTGTGGAGCATGGCGAGTACAAGGGACACCTGTATGGCACCTCGGCGGAGAGTGTCAAGTCGATCGTGAATGCCGGGTGCGTTTGCGTCATCAGTCCCCACTACCAGGCCATCAAGACGCTGCGCACCGCCCAGCTGAAGCCGTTCCTGATCCACGTAAAGCCGCCAGAGCTAGATGTCCTGAAGGCCACCCGCACGGAGGCGAGGGCCAAGAGCACCTTCGATGAGGCGAACGCCCGAAGCTTCACCGACGAGGAGTTCGAGGACATGATCAAGTCAGCAGAGCGGATCGACTTCCTTTACGGCCACTTCTTCGACGTGGAGATCGTGAACGGAGAGCTGGTGAACGCCTTCGAGCAGCTGGTCCAGAATGTCCAGCGTCTGGAGAACGAGCCGCTCTGGGCCCCGTCCATGTGGGTGCAGTAGGAGGAGCCAGGAGTGCCAGTTGTTAAGGGGCAGTAGCATTTCATGCAACTTGTTAATGAAACACCAACACCAAAGTATTTTTGCCATACGAATTTAGCAATCTGCTAGAGAAGATTTGAGAGGAGAGAAGTGGAGATAGAGAAGAGATGTGAGACACTATTAACCCGTAGGCGGTCCTGCTGGGCACTCCCGTCCGGCATTAGTCCTTTTCACGACATGTACCTTTTTGCGTAAAAGTGAAAACAAAGTAATGAATACAATAAATAGGCAGAGAGATCGAGAGTGGAAGATATGGATATGGAGATGGAATTATAAACTCAAGCAGCGCATCTATCTTACAATTACGATACAAATTAAATTATAAACTTGTTGTACAAAACTTTATTTGTGTTCAAAAAGTATGGACTAAATTATAAATGTATTTATAACACACGTTGTTAAAAGTCAAAGCAAAAAGAGTTAATCTCCAAAATCCCTTGTAACCTTAAACACTAATCCCTCGCATTGTATCGCAATTGTAAATACACTCACTCACTAACTGGAGCATATTGGATACAATGCGACCTCAATGTGTAACATGTCTCATTTTGGAAACCCATTAAGAAAAAATCTGTCGAGGATTCATTGTTGAAAACAAGTGTGAAATTAATAAAAACCTATTTTAAATGCGAAAAATGGATGACTCTTCTTGGGAAAGATCTATCCAGAGACAGGACATTGACTTAGAGAAGACTTGGACACAGCTTTATTGGGCAGCACTCTTGTTTACATATTGACACGCACACATTCGCAGATATATACTATAAGGATACATATCCAGTCACCTATATCCTATGGTCCGTAAATTTAGCTTATGCTTATGAAGTCTATCCAGGATGTATTGTTCAGTTTACTTGATTGTTTTGTTTTTTTTTTTTAGTGCGAAGACAAAGACAGATTAGCCAGGTATCGTTATAGTTATAGTGGCTATAGTTGCGACTTGGTGCCGGAGCGGGATCCGCTAAGTCCGTAGAACTGGGCCAAGCGCCTGGCCTCGCGCCAGCCAGCCTCCACCGCTCCATGCACCGTGGAGTAGTAGTGTTCGCTGGACGCCTCCCCGGCAAACTGGACAATGGGTCGATCGCAGCGACTCTGCTGCCACAGCTCGTCCTCCGGCTCCTTTTCCCGTTCCGGCGTGGTGGCCACTACGGTCAGAGGGTAGGCCAGCTCTCGGGCTCCGGTGCCCAGTTGCTCCGTTTCCATGGAACGGTAGGAGTAGGAGCCACGGAAGTTCTCGTTCGAATACCACGCGGAAGTCTTGAACTGTTTGGGGTCTGGTATGATCCACTGAAGGAAGCGCCGGAAGAGGTACATGCAGCCAGCCTCGACCTCGTCCAGCGGCAGGGTTTCCATGTGCCGGCCATTGGTGTTGATGATCCAACCTGCCAGGATCCTAGGCTGATAGCTTACCCTGTAGAAGCCAAACACATCCTCCAGCCAGGCTCGGGAAGTACCCCTGATGTCGTCCAGATCCTCCTCTCGCCAGAGTAGGGTGAATCCTGTCCAGTCCTCCGGCCAAAAGGCCTCTGGAAACTCCACAAATATCTTGTTGACCGTCCCAAAGGCCAGACCATCGATGGCCCGCTGTTTCTCGATCGGAAGTGGCGGGTCGAACATCCGCCAGTGTTGCTCCTTGAGGACACCAAGTGATACGGTGACCACTACGTGATCGGCTATGCAGGAGTCACCATTACTAAGCTGGAGCTCCACACGTCCATCGTTTCGGTTCCAGTTGATTTTCTGCACCCTAGTGCTGAGCAGAAGTCGCTCTTTCAGGACTCCATACTCCGCCTTTAGCTCTCGGGATCGCATGAGTAGTTTTAGCAGCTCCACAAAGCCCTTATCCTTCCAGTTCAGGAGGATGTCGCCCTCGCACTCCCAGTAGTCTAGGTAGCCCCTACCCGAGACCTGCTCCAGTGTATCGGAGGCCTCCACGGAGTTTTCGAACTTTTGATAATTGTCGAAGAATTCCCTGGCCACCTCGGCGTCGATATCGGAGTTCTCCGGGCGACGCAGGGTATCGTAGAACTTGTTGGTCAGATAACTGCCCAGGGAGCCGCTGCAGTGTCGCAGCTCCAGCTGCCGGGTCACCAGGGAATCACCCACAATCGCCTTCAGCCGGCTGGCCACCTGGTCGGCCACCACCTCTCCATTGGATCTCACGCACTGGTAGTTCTCGTACACCGGTCCCGTGGACTCCAGCAACTCCTCCTCCTGCTTGCGGGTCAGCTCGTAGACAATATTGTCCCTTTCGCCGTGACACCACTGGGCACCCATATCGATGACGTTGTCGCCAAAGGGAATGGTATGAATGCGACCGCCCAGGCGATCCTCCGCCTCCACGACGAGCACATTCTGGAAGCCCAGCTCCAGGAGCTTGGTGGCACAGGCCACGCCCGAGGCCCCAGCTCCAATGACAACGATCTTGCGATCTAGATTCCGTTGTGCGCCACTCATTCTGGGTAACTGAATCTGCATTGAGAAAGTAGGAGGGAAATGGGAAAGCAACAGGCGGTAAGCAAATTTAATGCCGGGAAACTTTACAGAATGTCTACGAATGTGGGTGGAGGTGGGGGTGCTTGGAAATTGAGACTACACAGTGAAAAAAACTAGTGGGTTTTATTAAAGTTTTTTCCCTCTTTGGTATCTTAAAAGTAAGGAAAGTTCTTAATAAAAATATTTGTTTATTCAAAAGACTTGTTTATTTGGAAAAACAAACAAGTATTGTTTAAAAATCAATAGCTATAGCTTCTATACATCGTACTAAACTCATTAATATTTGTGTCATTTAAAAAAAAACATTTGTTTGTTTTCAAAAACAAATACTACGAAATTTTTCACTTTCACTTTTGAGAATCTCAATATTTTGAGAACAGTACAATTTTTGGCAAATAATTAAGCAAAACATATTATAGACAATCGAATGCTAAGGAAAACAAAGAAAATATATGTATATTATTAAAGATGTGGCAATATTTTCGACTTGAAGATCTTTTTTAATATTATTTGGCCATAAAGAAGGGTTAACTCTAGATTTTTTTCAGTGCCAAGCCAGCATTTAGATGATTGTAAAGTGCAATTCCAGGCACTTGAGCCTCATCATTTGACTAGTTTTTTTGATTAAAAATTAACGGCCTGTTCGGCCAACATCTGTTTCGATAACGAATTCTTGCGCGCCACTCGGACTTTGATAAGAGTCTCGAAAAAGCTCCCCCCACTGCCGGCCAGTCAGGCAGCCAAGAAAAGCAACACTTTCCGCCTAAGGAAAACACACATGTGTGTATAGAAATCTGTGTTCGGCTGCTTCTCGCCACATGAATTTATTAATAGCCTTCGGTGGCATAGAAAAATTAAGGGGGGAAACTGAACCGGGGGGGAGCAGGAGCAATAGTTAAAGCCAGAAGGAGTGTCTGACCAACCGGACCAGCTGGTTTTTTGTTGTTGAACGGAGGGCACCCCACCTGGAGTTACCTGGAAATCCGCGTTCTAAATTGGATAAGGGGGCTATGTCAGCTGCCTTTCACCAACGGAAGAGAGAGCACAGCATTGATTTTATATTTGGCCAAAAATATTCAAGGTTTTCTGCCACAGACAGACCCAAACAAAAATAAAAGAAAAAAATTTAATATGAGGGTGCTGGTTATGGGGATATGTTTGTTCACTTCATTACACTCTCAAGACTCACCAAAACTATTATTTCTAAACTCGATTGGCCAATATTTATTTATTAAAATAAAACATTTCTACTGGACTACAGTTTCCTGTTTATTTTGTTTTTTTTTTTTGGGAGAAAATCTCCTGATTTGACGGAAAATCGGCGATGTCGGCGAAAAATCAAACAAAACTGAAAGCCTAAAACCAAAAACATCACATGGAAACGTGCTGCTACCCAGCCTGTGTGCTTATGCTGCAACCAGAGTCGTAGTCCAGAATACCAAAGGGGGGTTATGTGGTGGAGCATTTACGTTGTATCCCCCAGGCTACGCCTCAGTGCGCTCTGCGCAGACTGTAAGCTTCTGAAAAGCTTTCCCCAAAAAGCCCCCATCACAGCTGAGTGAGTGGGTTTTGGGGTGGTGGGTTGAGTGAGATGAGTGGTAAGACCCTTGCCCAAGTGCACAGAGAAAAAAAATAAATAATAGCTTTCAATGGCCTTTAATAAAAGCACCATAAGTAAAGGCTATCAAAAAATATATATAGAAATAGATACAATTTTCTCTCTGTGCACTAATTAGGCATTCCTCGGGGCACCCTTTAAAAACTTTTGTTTTTTAGGTTCAAATGATTCATACATTTATATATATATTTTATATATAGTATATTTACTCAACTGCATACATGTTTTGCTAGACTTTGTTAAAGGAATTTCCTAAGACTCTTCGTTAAATAACTCGTTTGATATTGGTAGGTCCTTTTGTAGATATATTCATCTTGTTCGATGTATGTACAGGTCAGTTGCAGTATCCTTTGGCCAAATCGGGAATTACATAAGACCGGAGCACTTGGTATATAAGGTTAATGGTTATCATTTATTACCCGCCTACATTTGACTTAACATGATCATCTTTTCATCCTTTTTTTTTTTGTTATTATACGTGTATATACAGCAAGGAGTTTACTTGGAATACTTTGATAAAATGTTTAAAAAACAAAACAATAAATTAAATTTGCTTTAAAGAACCTGAATTTTAAATTAAGCCAAGTTTTAAATTAGTCTAATTTACACTAAATATATGTATATCCGATTTGGAAATGAAACGATTGTAATTACAAAACAATAAACAAAATTATCACAAACAATAACAGCCCGGATAAGATGAGAATGGCGGCCCACTGTCGTTTATCTGTTGAGGAATGAAATACTTAAGTTAGTAACTCGATTTAAATAGTTGTTAGATGGAAGATTTCTTCAAAAGCAAATACTGATCACAAGAATCGTATTTATTTTTAGAAACTATCTTCCTATTAAATAATATTTCATAATCACCATTATTCATGTGCAACACTTTGGCAACTTTCTTCATGGTCGTGTCCAGCTTGGATTCCGTAGTATCGAACTCGTTTCCGAAATCGTCCAGCATCACCGCCTGCTCATCCAGCTCCACACCAATCTGCCGTGAGACCGTCTTCAGCGTTCCAATAGAATCGCTGATCATGTCCAGCTGCTCATCCTGGCCCTGGATCATCCTCTGTTGTATAGATACCGTTTCGCCAACATATCTATGGCTGGGACTGTCCAGACCGCCGTGATGCGACTGCCCGTAGTGACTGGGACTGTCGAGAGCATTCTCCAGCTTGGAGTACTTGGTGCCGCTGTGGCGGGAAGCTGCTGCTGCCGCTGCTGACATGGTGCCTGCTATGGTATTTGCCACTGCCTGGCTGCCACTGTTGATCAGCGAGTTGCCGTTTAGGCCGCTGGGACACTCCACCAGGTAGGTACGATCGTTGTGCGGATGCTGGTGGTACTCGTTCGAGTTGGAGTTCAAGCTGGTGATGGCAATGGAGTGGTTGTGATTCGGGCTGTGACGCTCGTTGTCGAGGAGTGGCTGGTGTGCTGTGATGTCTCTGTCCCGGCTCCGGTTCAGGCTCATCTTATCCTTCATCTGCTTGACCTCATCGCGAGTGTTGTCGATGAAGTGGCGCCGGCTGGAAAGTTCACGGTTATCGATCCGAAATTTGCTCGGATTCTTTTCAACGATGCGTATTAATCGAAAAGGTTAAGGGTTAAGGTGGAAACCTTTCATAATGGATAGTAGATTAATGTATATTAAAATAAAAGTATATGATAACCGGTACTCAACATTCTAGAGTAAGTATTTCAAGAAATACGATTTTAAAAGATATTTTTCTAAAGGTTTTTAAATCTTTTCCTGAATATACTTTCCTGAAATACTATTTTCCCTACCACTACTTTGAGTACCGGGCAATGAATTGATTTTTCAATAGACGACGGTGATGATTGCTTGTAAAAGGATATTGATAGTGTCCTCGAGGTCCTCGAGATCCCACTCGATGCTCCGGAGCGAGTTACGCAGCTCGGTGGTGGTCCATTCAACCTCGGCGCCTCCGCTCTCGCCCAACTCCCGCCAACGTAGGTAGAGGCCGCGGGTTTTGTTCAGAGCTTTGAATACCTCGCTGTAAGAAAAAAAAAAAAAAACACCAAATGAAAGGAAAAACAAAGGCTCAGGTGGGGGAACTGTCAAAGGGAAATTGCATGTTCAAATAGGACCAACAAAAGGATGGAACCTACTCCTTGACTCCGAAAAAGGGATCCTCCAGAGACATGCCGTGCTGTCTTCTTCGCAGAAATGGAAATTAACACTCCCTTCAGCTCGTTTTCACCAACAAGCGTTGCGTTGCTATTTTCATGGATTTTTTCCGCCACCGCAGACGACACGGGGGAAAACTACCCCCAAAAAAATGTTGTGGGGGATGCGAGTGGAAAATGCAAGTGGAAAACCAAAGCCAAATGGGGGATTATTATGGAATCAGTAGACAAGAAAAACAGGAGGTGGCACACGGTTTTGATGTATTTTAGCAGGAATTTCACAATCAACTGGGGTTTTTTATCTTTTGGCCTGACAGCGAAGTTTGAACAGCACGTTTATTGATTATTGCACTTGTGCCGCCTGCCGCTTATCTCCCGATTGCCTCCTCGGATTCCGTGGATTCCCGCAGATTCTACTGATTCCGCCGATGGCCCAGAGAGCACTGTCGCAATTGGCGCTCCGCTCCGGAGGCGAAGACCCCAAGCATTGGCATTTGTTTACGCCGCTCTGGCGTCTGCGCACATTCCCCGATTTCCTTGGAAACCCTTGGAAACCACAAAACAAACCCTAAATTTTGGCAAAGCAATTCCGCAACAACAAATGTTGGCCAGAATACCAGAGGCTTGTTTTTTGATTATTTTCACCTGTTCTTTTTTATGTCTTACCTTTTGCTGGATTAAACGTCATTTAGCTATCAAGGTGGCTTACTTGTATTTTTTAATAAACTATGTTTTTGTTTATTTTTATTTATTTGTTATTATCTGCTGATTTTCTGCCACAACAGTCAGGTGGTTTTTGGGCTAACGCCTTTTTGGGAAATATACTACTGCTTCAAGGAATATACTAGATGAGAAATATACCAGATTCTAGTACTAAACCGTTATTAAGGCTTTAAATGTCTGGCAACTCTAGTTTCAAAAACTTTATTTTTGGATTTGAAAAGATACTGTTATTGTATTTAAAAAGAAATAAAATATTCAGCTTTTTTCTTTAAAACCAAAATAAAGAAGGTTTTAACATAAATAAGGTTTTATAGTCGTTTATTATTAACGATTTTCAATCTTACAATGTATCTTGATCCTTTTTGAACTTTTTAAAAATTATATAGAAGTTTGGTATTATTTTAGATCTTAAGCACTGTCACACCAAAGTTTTGACCGTTTTATTTTGGCCGCCTCCGTCAAAAGAGTTTGAAAAGTGCTTGCAAAATGTTGCAAAACGATGCGGTGCGGACTTTGCAATACGATAGCGAAATTCGCGTGGCCCAGCAGCCAAGTCCCACAGAGCCAAGAGGTAACAATATTATTTAAAATAATGAAAACATTGTGTGATTCATCCGTGGACATTGGTAACAAACCTGTTACCAACTGATAAGCAATGCACTGGATTAATTTATATTGGCTGGGAGTGTGTCATAGTTCGACATAAATACACAGGGAAAAATATTAATTTTATAAGCTACAAAAATATACACAAAAATTAAAAAAGTCCTTAGAATTCAAGCAAGTCATGGAATTATATTCTTAACAAATGTACGTCGGCTAGAGTCATCCTCAAAACAACTTTCGACTTTCAAGTATATGTACAAAAAATATATATTATCTGAGACGTAAAAAAATATATTTTATCGAAACAATGTCTAATTCTGATTCCGAGTCTGATGGCAATAGTCGTCGAGCAAATGAGCATATAGTCGTTATGGTCCTTGATCAACAAAACACCACAACAAAATTTCGGATATGTAACAATACCCCATTGATAAGAGTGATGAAAGCATACTGCGACAAAACCAACAAAAATATACAAAGGACCAAGTTTTTATTTAATGGAATTCCAATTGACTACAACGACACACCAAAAAATAATCGTATAAAAAATGGCGACACATTGGAGGTTTATAGTCGACAGGAAGGAGGATTTTATGCACCCGACTAGCTCTGGAATTTTTACAAATTATTTGCTGTTTTGTTTTTCTTTTCAACTATAATTATACAAAATTGTTAATGTTACAAAAAATACTGAGTTATTTTCCCGAGTGTAAATTGTCAGGTCGGCTATATCTTATCGGCTAGTGTTTTGTTGTGGTCCCCGCCGCCTGAAGTGCCTTTGTTTGGACCTATAGGTTCGATTCATATAGACATTACTATACGTACTCTCGTACACAAGAACTTATCGAAATCAAGCTTTACGATCGGTTTTCGTGGAAACTCCATAAAAATAGGTGATGGAACTAATTCAATAAATCGTAAAATATATATTTTTAAACTTTGAACTTTTTTTCAAATGATTAATTAAATAGACAACAGACCAGTAGGGATTCTTATAGCATAAATCACCTTTTAAGTTCAACAACCTTAGGATTTTATAAATAATTCCCTCTTTTCTCTAAATTCTTTTCAGTTTTTGATTCGCACATAAGTATTACTTCACAACCAAGACCGGAAGCTCCTCGTATTCCCCTGCCAGTTCCCATAGCCACTGTCACGGGCAGCAGGACCTTTATCCCTTTAGCAGGATACGACTGCCTGGCGGACCTTCCCTCAGTGCACATTGAACAGACTTTCGAACTAAATGAAGGTAAGTGGGTCCTTATAGGAAATAAAATCTTAATCCTTAATTAAAATCTATTATTTTATTCAGCACTGACTGGGGTTTCTTCGGAGAATCGATATGTGGTGCGATCACCTTTGGGAGATGCCATCTTCGCGGCCAGCGAAAGTTCTACAGAAAAGAATCGTCTGATTTGGGGCTCTGGACGACCATTTCAAATGCATCTGCTGGACAAAACCCACCAGGAAGCTCTAGTCTTTCGCAAAAAGCTAGCCATGGGATCATTCTGCTGTCAGCCAAAGAGCCTGGAGATCTGGATTCCACCGGGCAATGTCCTGGGCCGAGTAGTCCAATCGCCCACTTTCATGCAGCCAGAGTTCTTCATCGAGGATGGAAACACCGGACAGCCAGTATTTTGTGTAGAAGGTCCTCCCAACTCAGGTTTCTGTTGCTTTTGCCTGCCGAGGGATAGTTATTTTAAGGTGAGCTCTTGATTTTTATTTAAGAGATGTTATTCAAGTTTTTTAAATATTTTACAGATCAATTCTGGTGGGAATATGAGGGCTTCCATCGACCACAAATGGATGACCAGCAAGTCTCAGTATACGACAAATATCTACTTTAGTGATACCAAGTTAACAGCCAAGGAGAGGGCCCTAATCTTGGGTTCTGCCTTTTTGCTGGTAAGTAGTCCTAAACACTGGAAGATCTCCTCCTCTGATATGATATCCTCTTTTTTCAGGAATATCTTTACTTCCAAACACGCTTTTAATGAAAAAAAACCCACAAATAAATCTTGTATATTCACATTGATTTCTTTATTTTTTTGTCATTTTTTTGTATAAGTTTTCATGTTTGTTTTGTGTTGTTTTTTTTTTTTATTTCAGTTTTCTGATATATTTTACAATAATGTAATAGATCACTTCATTTTTTGTTGTTTAACCACATGCATACATTCAAATATATATATGTAGATAATATATCTATGTGTATATATATATATATATACTTTGCCATGACTCTTGCCACAGCAGTTTGTACAATAATTTTCAATTATTTCTATCAACTTTGTGTAGTTTTTATTTTTTAATATTTTTTTGTTTAGTTTAGTTTTTTGTTTCTAACCTACCGCTTAATGCATATATGACAACATATTGATTATTTACACTTAGCTATTCTTCATCATTTCGTTTCGCTTCTGCCAAATACAAAATTAAAACAAACAATTAAATGAGTCTCGTGGTCTCGTCGTTCTAAAAAATTAAAACAAAACTATAGGGGTATACAATGTTATATACATTATAGATATCGTATGACCCATTCACCCGAGAAGGCGGGCCGGGAGGCTTAGGTGTGATAACAATTTGAAATAAGGAAGAACTACGTGATTTGCCGAGGATTTGATTTCGGATTGGATCGACTTGGAAAACTAATATACTCAGTGAGTGGTGAGGAGTGGTGTGGTTTACGGGGCTTGGCCTTATAAATTATACACTTCTCCGATCTCTCTCTTTCTCTCTGGCTTTTTACATTTTGTAGATAGACTCACAGCACTTCAGGAGTTAATGCCTACATATCAGCCTACAGCTACTATCGGATCCGATCTGATGACGACTCCTTAGACTAAATACTTAAGATGCAGATCGAAAGATCGATTCTGCTATGGGGATGGTGGGGGATCTGTTCCCCCAAAAAAGGTTCTACACTGGAATAGCTCGCTTATCGGGCTCTCCTATCGTCTGATTAGAATCCGCGATTAGCCCAGTTTTTAATCGATGAGAGGTGGTTCTTAGTGGCTAGCTCTAGAGTAAGTTGTGTGTGTGCCCAAATGCGATATGCTTAGACATTTGATATGCGCTCGTTGGAGGTGGTTTGGTCGCTCCTCGGCTTGTTGGCAGGGCTGGGAACTGATACCCTCAGCTGGGCTGGAGCATGTACATGTACTGTCAGTTGCTGGCTGCCGCTGAGGCGGCCACCGGAACAGCCACAGGCACCGGAACCGGCAACTCTTGTCCGGATCGCGCCCTCTTCTCGCCAGTGCCCTCTGCCGGATTATCGCTCTCCTCGCCGGTACTGCTGAAGCTTCCCGGCAAGCGTCGCTTCAGATTGTGGTTCAGGCCATTAGTCACTGTCTCGTCCTCGGACATGGAGCTGGCACGCTTCGGTGTGTTTCCAGCACTGTCGTTGTCCAGGGATGCAATGGCCGAGGCTATGGCCGCACTGAAGCCATCCTCGGAGGCACTATCCTGCGAGGTGGGGCCAGTGCCGTCCTGGGCCAGCTGCATCATTCCCGAGGGGGTGGTGTAGCCACTCAGCTTGTTGGGATCCTTCTCCAGCAGCTTCTGGGCCAGTAGCTTCAAGGAAATCAGCGAGTTTTCGCAGTCGCTGGTGTCGATCTCGGTGAGACTGATGCCAGCCCGTTCGATCTCCGCATAGGTTCCGAATGGCAACTTCTGCAGGCACTCCAGCTTCTGGACATGGGTCTTGGAGCGCAGATGCTTGGCCAGATGCCCGTGGATGCGGAAGGCGATCTTGCAGTCGGTGCACTCGAAAGGACGCGGATTGGAGGTGGTGGGTACTCCGAATGTCGAGGTCATCATCACCTTGTTCTTGTGCGCCTCGGACCGCTCGTGCTTCTGCAGATGGCCCTGGGTGCGGAAGGAGATGCTGCACGGCTCGCACTTGAACTTGCGCTCCATGTAGTGGATGTTCATGTGGAGGGTGAGCTGGTGCTGCCGCTGGAACGTCTTCGAGCAGATGGTGCAAGTGGGCCGGGCGTCGGCTGCGATTGGCGGAGGAGCGGGTGGCATTCCGCGGGCATAGGGACCCGCCTGGAGGTCGCTGCTCTTGCTGCTGGGCGTGGAGTTCTTGAATCCATCCTCGCCCACAATTACAGTGCGCTGCGTGGGCTGAGACGACACGCTGGGAGTGGTGGCTGTGCTGGAGGTGGCCACAGGTGCTGGAGTGGACGTAGCCACGGAGGCTGGAGGTGCTGATGTGGCCAAGGATGGGCCGCTGAGTACTCCGCTGAAATCATTGACATCCGGCTGTTGCACTGCGGCGGGCAGGTTTGCATTGTGACGCTCCACCTTGGACTTCTCGTGGTCGCTCTCCTCGCCTTCCTCTTGAGAAGCGAGGGACACGGGAGTGATCGTTGAGGTGGGAGGGGCTGAGGCTGGAGCCGGAATAGCAGGAGCTACAGCGGGCACCTCGTCCGGCGTCTTCACCTCGTGCACTTCGATGCTGGGCACCTCGTTGATGCTCATGACTGGCCTGCTGGTGGTGGTCAGTAGGTTGGCACTGCTGCTCATCACCGGCGCCGCCGTGGAGAACAGGGTGTTGATCAAGTAGCTGCGGCTGAACTGGCTCTGCTTCATCTTGGCGTGGTGGAGCGCCTGCTCCTTGATGTACGTCTGCAGCAGAACGTCCTCGCCCTCAGCCCCCAGCTTGGCCTGCTCCTCCATCTCGGCCGAGATGCGCACCTTGTCCGACACCGAAATCAGGGTCTTCATGAAGCCGCTCTCGTTGCCCGAGCTGCCGAAGATTACTTCACGCATCTGCTGGGCCTGCGACTTGGGCAAATCCTGCACTGGCGGCACCAGCGGCAGGGGCGAGATGGCCGACGCGGAGCTACGCGGCTTGGTGAGATCCATGGGAGCGCTCTCCTCGCTGGCCACGCTTCGCTTCGGCTTGGACTCCTCCGGATTGGAGTAATACTGTTCCTGCTTCTGATAGTCAAAGGGAGGCTTCGGGGAGGTGAAGGAGCACACCAATCGCTTCGGCAGCGATCCCGAAGATCCAATACTGTTGGCCGGACTGGCGGCCGGAACAGGGGTATCCTGCAGTTGCGGATAAGGAGAGACACTTTGCGGAATGGGCGGCGTCATGGAGAGCGACAGCAGGCATCTGGCTGCCTCGTGCTCCTTCAGGCGCGATTTCGACTCATCCGTGTCTGGAAAGAGGAGGTTTCTTAGTTAATCCTTCCCGATAGCATTATTGATGTTCACTTACCACTACTTTCCGATTCGTTGTCGGTGAAGTCATCGGAATCGGACTCCCCGGCCATCGAGGAGGTGCGACCTCCGGCCGAAGTGGACGACTGCTGATCAAAGTCCATGTCCACGTCCAGGAACTCGCCATCGGCGGGCATGGGTCCTGGATTGATGCCCAGTTCCATGCACTTCTTGAAGTGCGTCTTGGACTGCATGTGCTTGGTCAGGTTACCCTTGGTCTTGAAGCTGCAATGGAGGAAAAGGGAAGCGTTAGATCCTTCTAGATGAAACCAGGATTCCAATTCAGATTCTCACCTGAAATTGCAGTTGCTGCATGTAAAAGGCCTCACATCCGTATGAGTACGAATGTGTTTCTTCAACATGGAAGGCTTTTTGCAGCGAATGCCGCACTCGGAGCAGACATACCTGCCACGTCCGCGTCCCCGGATGTAGGTGTAGTCCTCGTGCGACTCGTATCCGCCCACCAGCGGCTGGCCGGAGGGGCTGGTCTCCAGCTTCTTGGCCTGCGCCTCATCGTTAGCCGCCTTGGCCGCCACGTTCGCCTCGCTGAGTGCGGCCACCTGGACGGCGGGCGCCGACTTCTGCTGGGCCTGGTAGAAGGCACTGCTGCTGGCATTCGTCGAGGGCGAGCACACGATCTGCTGGGACGAGACCAGGCCGTAGCTCAGTTTCCCAGTTCCAGCCATCGCAGTGGTGCTCACGTTGCCCAACATCCTCTGGCGGGAGTCGTATAGGGCCATCACCTGCTTCAGCTTGAAGCCCAGAGGATGCGGCTGGTTCTCCTCGCACACCTGCCACACGCTGTACATCGACAGCTTGTGCATGCCGGCCACGTACGAGGGCTGCGGGCAGTTCACCGTGCAGTAGAACATCTTGGTGCTGCACTTCAGGCCCAGGTAGGTGTAGGCGTGCCCATTCAGATACAGCTGCACGCAGGACTTGGATGGCCTCGGGGTCTCGGGCGAGATGAGGGGCAGGGTGTTGGCCGTGGGAGTGATTCCGTGATGGCGTTTCGGGGTAAAGGTTCCCGGCTTAAGAGGCAGACTAGTGGGTCGTAGGAACTTCGACTTGGCGGAGGAACTGGAGGCGGACGGGGCATTGGCCTCCTCGCTGGCCACTCCATTGGGCGTGTCCACGTGCAGGGGCGTTAGAGGCACCTCCTGCTGCTGCTTGCCGGCAATCACGTTGTCCAGGTTGAAGTGGCGAACCTCCGGCTCGGCGACCTTTACGTTGTCGGCCATTCGCAGGAAGTTGAACGGAGCCTTCTTGTTGGCCTCCTTGCTGTTCCATTGGAGGGCCTGGCGCTGGGCGGGAGTGGGCGGCAGGCGGCTGAACTCACTGGGCAGATTCTGGACTCCGCCGAACGGAGACAGCGCCTTCAGTTCGCCAGCAGCTGCGCCGGCCATCAAGAGCGGGCTGGGCTGCTTCCGGTTGGGACTGCGTCCCCGGCCAGTGGGCACTGGCAACTGCAACTGTTGCGGCGGCGGCGGGAGCAGAGGCAACTGAGGCGTTAGGCTACCAGGTCCTGGGATTCCAGGCACGTAGGGTATCGGTGTGCTTGGAGTAGCCTTGTCGCCACCACCCATCTGCGGCAGAGTCAGGGGGTTGAAGGCAGTGATAGAGTTGATGGGCGGGAACTGAAAGTGCTGGGCGCCCGTGGAGAGGCCTCCGGGCAACGGTAGTAGCTTTCGGTCCTTGGCCGATCCAGGCTCGCTGACCTTGGAGGCGCTTCCGACTTCCAGGAAGCTTCCACCCGACAGCAGCGATGTGCGTATCACCCTGGGACTCTTCTCCAGCTCGGGGCACTCCGATATGGGAATCATGGTGCCTCCAGAGGAAGTCAGTCTCCGCAGACGCTCCTCCTTGCTGGATTGCGGTTCGGAAACACTGCTGAACGGAAAGGTGAAGACCTGAGGCTGAGTCTGGGAGGGAACGATCACGACATCGCTGGTCTTGACTCGCTTGGCCGGCTGAGCGTCCATGTCCACGGGGAACTGCCGATCCTCGTGCATTTTCGTAATCACAACGGAGTCCTGGGCCTTGCGGGGCGTGTTCTGCTGGGCATAGTCAACCAGTGGGGTTTTTCCAAGGAGCGGTCCTGGCGACGGCAGTGGGGCATCCACAAAGCGCAGAGCCTCGATGGCTGTGGGAGCTACTATGGGCTGAGCTGCTGGAGCACTTGAAGGAGAAGGAGCCACACTGGAGGAGCTAGCAGCAGCAGGAACAGTTGCCGGAGGAGTGGCTGTCGGAGCTGTCACCGTGGATGTCCTCGCGTGGGTCTGGGCTGCATTCAGGCGATTGAGGACTAGGCAGCTTCTCTTGGTCTTCAGCTGACACCAGGCCAGCTTGGCCAGCGACAGGGGGTTCTTGGAGTTGACGATGTGGTTCTTCAGTTCCGGCAGGCTGAGCGAGATCGAGTTGGAGCGGAAGGGCGAGGAGGCCGGACTCATCGGCGCACTGGAGCTCGCATCCTGGCAATAGGTGCTGTTGTGCTGCTTCAGCTCGTCCGCACTGCGGAACTCATTGGCGCATATGGGACACGAGTAGACGGCGTCGTCACCCTCTCCAATGGGCACGGCCAGTCCTCGGGCGTTCAGCAGCAGGTTCTTGATGATTGAGTTGTTCGGCTGGGCAGTGGGTGGGGCAGTTTTCGAGCCGCTGGCCGCCGGAGCCGTGGAGCTCGTGGGCGTCGGTGCCGCCGTACTGGTGGCTATGGAACTGACCGGCAGGCTAACTACAGCGGGCTTTGGTTTCGCAGACAGGTTCAAGGGCATCACATGCCCACCCATCGCCTGTTGGTCCATCTTGGCCACCGGAGTGGCGGGATCCTGACGATACTGCATCGTTTGCATGGGCAGGGGTGAGGGCGGAGGTGGCAGATGGGGCTGCTGCTTCACTGGCGTGGCAATCGACGGAGCTGGCTTGTAATTGTTCCTCTTGACCAACCCATTAGGAGGTTCCAGCTGCTGTTGCTGTTGTTGCTGCTCCTGGTGTTGCAAGTACATCTGATACTGTCTCTGTTGCTGCAGATGCTCCTCCTGTTGCTGCAGTTGCTGCTGCTGCTGTTGTTGCTGCAGTTGCTGTTGCTGTTGCTGTTGCTGCTTCTGGACTATGGCCTGGGCCAGGTTGACTTTGGCCTCCCGCTCCGGCATCTGGGCACTGATGTGATTGCTGCTCGCCAGCTGGGTGGTTGGATTTCCGGCGTGTTGTGACGCACTATTGGCGTTGGCGTTGTTGAAGCTGCGGGATCGGTTGAGCTGCTTGGGATACTTCTTCTGCAGCAGTATGTCTTTGTTCTCCACAATGGCCTCGTTGTGCGAGATCAGCTTCGATATGTGCTCCTGAACTTTGGCCACATTCTGTATGAAGTGAAGAGTGATAATTAACAGACCCAGATCTCGGAGAATATTTTCTGAAAAACTTACCACTTGCATGCCCCCGCTGGAGCTGGCAAAGCTGCTCAGGTTTGTGGCGGGCGAGGGTGTGGCTGGTGCTGGGGTTACGTTGGAAACCTGACTGTTGGTCCGCACCAGCTGCAGGTATTTAAGATTTGAATTATTTATTATATTTGCATATAATTTGAATCAACCGACTCACCTGCTGAGGGGCGACACTGGGTGGCTGTACCATTGGCGGAGGAGCCTTAACCAGCGGCGAGTGTTGCTGCTGCTGTTGCTGTTGCTGCTGCTGCTGTGCCAGGTGGATGTGCTGCTGCAGTTGCAGTTGCTGGATGACTAGCTGCTGATGGATCGCAGCCGCGGTGGGATCCTGATTATAGTAGGGTGGCTGGCCCAGATAGTAGACCCCGGCTGGGGGAACCGGCGGCAGGCCGACCAGCAGCGATTGCTGAGCGTGCAACTGCTGCTGCAGCTGCAACTGCATCTGGTGGGAGTTGATGTGGTTCTTCATCTTCATCTGGGTGCTGGGCGAGAGCGTGGGATGTGTCAGCGATGGCTGCTGCACCAGCGGCAGTTGCGTCAACAGCTTCTGTTGGACCAGCTGCTGTTGCTGTTGTTGTTGCTGCTGCTGCTGCACCAAGTGCAACTGCTGCTGATCCTTGCTGCTCCCGGGAGCGTACAGCGAGGCATTGTGGAACTTGGGTTTGTATGGCTTGTAGTCAACCGACTGGCGGTGCTGGGCAGTGGCCGAGTGCAGGTTGTCCGCCGTGGCGGGCGGTAGTGTCCCCGCGGCCGGGGAACCCAGCGGCAGTTGTTGCATGTGCTGCGGGAGTGACGGCTGCTGGATGTAGGCGCTCTTCGCCGCCGACAGTGTGGAGGGTGAGGGTGTGGGTGAGCTCATGGGCTCGTCATATGGCGATCCAGCGCGACTTGGCTGCAAAAAAATGGAGGATTAGTTGTCTATATGGTCGGAGGAACTGCGTCTACTCACCAACTCGGAACTACTATTGCTCAGCTCGGCATCCTGGTCGGACAGACCATCATCCGCATCTGGCGGCACCTCCAAGCCCCTGGCTCTGGCCGCATGCGACCTGGAGCGGCAGTGCTTGTAGAGGTTGCTCTTTGTTTTGAAGGCAATGCCGCAGGGATCGCAGGGATAAGGTCGCTCGTTGGTATGGGCCCTAATGTGCTTCTCCAGCACCGAGGGCTTGGCACAAATCAAACTACAATACGGACAGACATAACGTCCGGCCTTCTCACCAGCGGGAGTACCGCCTCCTCCTCCACCTGGCACTCCTCCTCCGCCAGCCGGTGCCGTTGGCTGCGTCAACTGCTGGTGCTGAGCGAATGTTGCCGGCGACAGTGTGGCATTTGCCGCATAGTTGCTGTTGCTATTGCTGTTACTGTTGCTGTTGGTTAGCGGCGTTCGCGTTCTGGGCACTGGCTTCTGGCTCTCCTCCGCCTGGCCGATGGCATTGACATGATTGCTATTTACAAAGTTGGCACTAAAGTCATGTTGCTGCGTCGACAGCGGCACTGGCTGCGCAGCCGACGGCTGTTGGGTCAAGTGATGACCATTGGCGACCATTGTCGGTGGCGGTGGCGGAGGCGAAAGTGAGCTATTTGAGGACAGCGATGTGGTGCGGCCGGCATCCCCAGACAGAGTGCCATTACCGTTGGCGTTCTCCACCTCGGTGGTGCTGGCCAGTCGCTTGAATTTCTTGTGCAAATATCGCGATATGTTTGAGCACTCTCCGAAGGCGGCTTCATCGGTGGGCGTGGCAGTTACTGCTGCTGCTGCTGCCGCTGCTGCGGTGGTGGTGTGGCTGCTGCTGCTATTTGGAGCCACTGGCTCCTTGTTGCTGCTGACGGCTGCCATCTGCTGTAGCGTCATTTTGCTATCACTTAGACTTGCTTTATCTCTACAACTCTTAAACTCATAATTATTCTCACTAATACTATTATCACTGTGGTGGTTGTTGTTGTTATTATTATTATTATGATTTTTGTTGTTATTATTATTATTGTTGTTGTTGTTGTTTTTTGTGTTGTCGGCAGCTGGTAGTGGCAATTCGCTCAGCTTATCGCGGGTGCTGGTACTGGGCTTGCTACATGCAACATCGGCAACTGTTGCTGCTACTGCTGATGGTGTTGCTGCTGCTACTGTTGCTGCCTCTGTGGCAACTGTGGCTGTGCTAGCTGCTCTGTTAGCCTTGCTAGTGGCTGTTCTCTGAGTGGTTGTGGTTGCAGTTTCCCGATATGTCTGCTTCTTGGTTGCCGGCGTACTGGTGGCTGCTGTTGCTGCTGCTGATGCTGCCGCTGCTGCTGCTGCTGCCGCTGTGGCACGTCGCGTGCTGTTCACCTTATTGGTCTTGTACTGTTTTCCTGTGGTCTTGTAATGCTTGGCCGTTGTGGTTGTTGCATTTTCCATATTATTATCAAATTGATTATCCTGTGACGTATCCGCTGGCGGTTCATCTGAAGCGAAAGAAATCAAATTCCAAAAAATTAATTCCACACATTTATAATGTTTATATAATTAAATTTAAATGCTTATGCTAATTGGTGAGTTCACGATGAACCTATTTAGAGATTTCTGCACAAATCTGGTTGAAAATCAAACAACCAACACGTATTACCGAAACTAACTTACTAAGTAAGGCCTCCCGTTCGATTTTGGTTCCATTTCGATCCAATTAAATATTAACTTTCCGCTAATAAAACCCTATAGCCCTTTTTATTTGTAAATAATTGAAAGGCACTTGCTTTTATGACCTGGCTTTCCCATGACATTTGCTCGGCAAACCTCCCTCCTCAGTCCAAACTCCTGAACCCTCCAAACGTGTCAGCCCTGATAGCAAAAATATTTAAAAGCTTAAATCTTTTATCAACTTTCTATTTCGAATTCGCAAGCAAAACTTGACTCAGTTTGGGGTTAAGCCCCACCTGTTGCCACAAACGCCAGACAGGCAACAAAAAAAAATCCAAAAGAAATGACAAGTGAAGTGTAATGACTGTTGTCACTGGACCTTATCAGTATCAGTAAGTGAGGACAGTGCCTCACATAACTATAAAGAGGAATCCAGACCACCTCCATTAAATTATCATAGCCCTACACTTTTGTACCACACTGTCTTCGTTTATGACTCGAGCCCGATTACTAAGCCCGGGCACTTCTCAAATCACAATCGAGTCGGCTGGCCCGACTGCTCCGACTGTTTAGCATTCAACGTGTATTATTATACACATTATATGGCATTATACGATCCCCAGAGCACCTCGAAGCCTCGACGAAATGTTTACTCTATTCGTTATCAGCGTTTTTTTGTTAGAAGAATTGCCCAAAAGTTCCATTGATAATACACACACTCTCTCACACATATATTTTTAGTATCAGTTAGATTCATTATCGGTTATCAGCTATCAGTTGGGGACTATCGTGGGGCCTGACTCAGAGAACACAAAGCCACCGATACCGATAAGCGATGCGATTGGGAATTTCAGCCACCGGGACTGCAGACGCGTTGACGTCAGTTATCCGGCAATGGCTCGTTGGGCAATTAGGTGGCATTCGCCGGCGATTAGCAGCTAGCTGCCAGTCCTACCCCTGCCCCTGTGTCTCTCCCCTAATCTAAATCCTAATTACATAATCACGTGCGTAGCTAGGAAATACTTATGTATGTCTATTCACATATTTATTAATAAACGAGCGAGTAGGTCAATTACAAGGCGCCAAGACGCCAACTGCGCCACAATTGGAATAGTTGAGAAACTCGACAATCTTTATAAGAAAAGCTCCCAACTAAAATACAGAAAAAATAAACTGTAGAAACTGTAGAAACTCTAGTCACAACAATATAATAAAATCAAGCATGAATAAAGCAGATAAGCTAATCAGAATGAGAAGCTTATACAGAAACCTCAGTAATTAGATGAAAAAAATGTCAAAATAAGAGAAAGAATGTCAAAACATATACATGTTAGAACATGTCTGAATTAGTGTGACCAATCCTATTTATTTTAAACTTAAGATCTTAATCCATTGGATACGAGGATCCGTAAGGCCGTAAAATAAATATTTAAATGACATTTTGTTATCACGAATTTTTGTTTAACGATTTTCGGTTCTAATTACGATCTTGTTTGTCTTTCTGCCTTTTGTTTGAGGCGTGAAGAGGCAAGTAAACGCGAAATCCACATGGGAATGTGTTTTTTTTTTTTTGTTTATAATTCAGGCATTTTTTTTATTTGCATTTTCATTCGATTTTTGCATTTGCATGCACTTTTTGTGCCCCTGTGTACAAAGTGCAATAAATAAAAGCTAGCACTGGGTACTGGGGACTGGGCTGGCAAATATCACGGGCAGGAAAGCAGGCCTGCGACTGCGAGCCTACGTCACAAGTGCATTTCACGATTGACTGACTGACTAACTGACTGACTGTAATAATAAAATAATAAAAATAATAACCAGCACCCATCAGAGTGTGAGGTGCGGCTACGGCGCCACAAAGTCCACACATCTGGCTTGTCTGTGTAGGTCTGTCAGTTGGTCATTTAGCCATTCTGTCATTCCGTCATGACGACGTCATCGGATTTCAAAAAAGCACTGAGCACTGAGCACTCGGAGCACTCTGAAACACAGCCCACTTGGCAATTGTTTATAATTTATTAGCGAACAGCGTTTTACAGCGTCGTCAGCGACGTCAAATTCGCGGAAAAGATACGGAATTCCAGCGATGACAGAAATACATACAAAATAAAAAGCTACCCAAAATCACAGACACCTCCACGAGTGACACAGCAGCGAACGGTAAAGAGAAACATACCCGATTTTAATTGTGACGGCCACACGCATATCTCAAGCTAATTTGCATAACGGTCTTGTTATTGGACTCGGAATTGGATATTGGATATATGTATAAAGTTGGTGGAGTAACAAGCGCAACAATTGCAACAAAAAAAATAGGTGAACTGCAAAAAGCGACAATCCACAATCCACAACCGACGCGCCTGAAACATTTAAGGCAACTAGACGAGGCGACCAGCGAAATTCATTCAGAGTATCTGTGTGTGCTTCAGTCTGCCGGTGTACTAGTATACTAGCCAGAGTATGAGTATGAGTATGAGTCTGTATCTGTGTGTGTGTTTGTGCGAAAAGAAAACGAAGAAGCGTCCGAGCAGTGCAAAAACAACAAGTAAGAATACTAAAGTAGAGTGATTCGACCATACGATACCCGCTACTGTAAAAAATAAATTTAATTTAATTATTTAAAATTATTTTGAATAAATTTTAATAATTTTTGTGTATTTTTTCACTCAATTGCTTTAAAAATGGCAGCTAGTGTTGGTCTCATGAGTCCTGCTTAAGAGAACAAAAAAATGCAGCATACTTATTGGGGCTTGTAGGCCATTTTTGATTTTAGGAAGCTTAAGGGCTTGAAAAACATGGTTTTTTTGAGGAATTAATATTTTAGTAAAATAAATAAAATAATTTTACTTTGTTTTGAGATCTTTAAGTATTTATTTTTAATTTTTAAAACCTCTCTTATATGTACAATATACCCTTCCTAACCCAAACAGCTGGGTACAAAAGGCGCGACGTCAGCTCTGGCAGCAAAAAAAAAAGCAGAAAAAAAAGTACAATAATCAAATAATTGCGGCAGCTTCCTCTACACCCCCCGTAGCACACACACAACACACACTCACACACACACAGTTGCAATTGTCAATCAAAAGCAAGCACAGGGTCGCTCCCGCTTCTTCTGCTTACTCTTCTTCTTCTTCATCATCGTCTTATTCTTCTTCTTCTTGCTCTTCAGCGACTGCGAAATGATCAAATCAAGCAAAAACGTAGCCCCAACAGGTGACGCCAAGTACGAAAGACTGTCGCCAGCCAGTCAGTGTTTATTGTTGTTGTCGTTGTTGTTGTTACTGCTGCCGTTTCTGCTGCTTTTGTATCCCCCTATTGTTGATTACGTACGCCCCACACAGACGCTCACATCCACGCTCTGTAAACACGCGCACACACACAAACAAGACCATAATACGCTGCCCCCAACCCTCCCTCTACCGCATTCACAAATATGCGAAATTTTGCTGACTAAGGAAGGTCTGGGGAGCACCAGGCAGCCGCTGCCCGTAGCCGAAGCAAAGCAAAGCAAAGCAAGAGCACGGTGCGATAACAACAAAAGCATTTAAAATCGTAGAAGCACACATACACACATACAGATACACACATCGACGAAGCAACGGAAAAAAGTGATAATAAAATAATAATTGCTACAGCACACTGATCTCAAGAGAGAGAGGGGCATGTGTGTGGGGAGCAGCCCCAGAGTTGCCGCAGCTGTCTAGAGAGAGAGAGAGAGAGCTAAGAGCACGGGGGTGCCCATACCCCTCCCACTTATTATGCCTCTGGCCACACACCACTGCCAATCACTCAGAGAGTGGAGCACGATTTGCCATGTGGCGACCGAAGCCCCACAGCCAGTTCTCTCACACACTCACATACATACATACATATAAGCGCTACATGACTAAGCCAAACAACTTGACAACACTGTTGGTTGAACTTTTGTTGTTTTTGTTGTTGTGGTTGCTTTTGAGTCAATTCATAAGAAACGAGGAAACCCGCCATATCGCTGTTGCTGCTATATGTATGTATGTCATGTGTATGTATGTGTGTCTGTATGTTTGCATGCGGATCAGTATCAGTGTATCTGTGAGTTGGCATGGGCATGAATCAAGTTAAAAATTTTAATAATTTTGCCCGATGTTGTGGCTGAAAACGAGTTTAGCTTGTTGAGCCAGCCAGCCAGCCAGCTAGCTACTTGTTTTCTGCTTCTTCTTGCAGAAGATAATACCAACATTGAAACACACTCGAAGAGTTCCCTATAAAAAGGAGAGCTTGATAAGCACTCTCTTTACTTTTTTATTTTTTCAAGGAAGTGCGAGGGGGAGGGCTATGACGTACCTCTCTTTATTGTTATTGTTTTTGTTGTTACTTGGGGCCCACTCCGGGTGTGTGTGTTGAAGTGTTATAGGAAATCACATTAAGGCGATTAAAGATCGAGTAAACTTTCATGAAAGATGGGCTTTTTTATGAGATATGAGACTATGAGATACCCTATATTTAGAGTTACCAGTCTAACAGATATAAACAGTCTAACTTTCATACTAATCTTGTTGACTTTCAAAAAGTACATTTCTTGGGTCTTATCTATTGGTTGGGGCTATAATACTCTTACCAAAAATAAAAGGTCAAGGTACGGTTTTCTTTTTTTGTTTTTTTGGCCAAAACCCCACAATAGATAAGATAGAAATATAGTTACTTGTTTAGAGTTGAAATTCTCAGCAGGAGAACCTTGTTCCCGATTCCAAATGAGTAAGCAATATTATATTTTTGGATTTCTCGCCAAATTATACAAATACGTACTATATTATACATTTTTCACATTAGCACGGAAATTCCCAAATGG